TGTATTTTCGAAAGAGAATCGGCCCCTGCTCACCAGCCACAGGGTGTGTCCCAGTGAGCCAGCTGCCAGTCCACCCCCCCTGGGCAGCAAAGCTCGAGGGTGATGAAGTGGGGGAAAGAAGAGGCGACTTCGCGGCGACGACGATATTAACGCTGCGCCTGGCGCTTCGTCTGACATGGCTATTACACGCATGCGACGACACCTCTGTCCACTGGGCCATCACCGGGCCTTCTGATATGCTCCCGCGAGAGGTATACCGGCCGTATTTTCCGTATTCTTTGCGATATATCATATTGCAAATATTACACATCGCTCTGATCAGTTAGTCGCCTGTTCCTGGGTTGTGCGGCATGTTTCTCTGTCGCCAAGTATCAGATCTGGTCGAGGCGCAGGTCCTTCTTCGTAGATTTTGCTGCGAGGACCTTCATGATTGGAACACTTTGTGATATCATGCTCAATCACAGACGCTCACGCAGGTCCAGGCTCGCTACGACCTAGAATGGCACCGCTTGTTGTCCGGGCATGCATGACAAGCCCGAAGTCTCTAGACCTCGTTCGCCGCTAGGAATCCAGGAGTTTCGCAGGAGAGTTGCACTCATGCAGCTTGCCAGATTTGTCCAGTCTCGATGATCTGGTGCGACGGCTTTCCCTTTTCTTCTCACTGCATCCCTTCCTGTCTGACCACCGTTAGTATGTCACCGTCATCGCCATCAGCATGGCTAAGGTGTAGCGTTATTTGGCAGACGGCCCAGCTGAGACTGCGCCGGAGATGAAATTTGATATGCGACCATCGTCATCTCGCAAGCCCGCGGTCTTGCCCAGTAATGTGGTTGCAGTCGATATTCTGCGCAACCTAAGATTTAGGAGCTGTTGACTTGCATTTGCATACAGGAGACTCCTGCTTGCTGCGCTGCATCATGTAGGTCCTAGCAGAAGATCATCTTGAAACGATGCAGGCGCGGTTGCGGGTAGCCCCAGTGTTCTATAGCGTCTTTCTGACCTTGACTGGACATGTTCATATGCAGCTCGGACTCCTGTTGGAGCGTAGGGTTGTGGTCGATGGACCGGCTCGAGTTTCTCGAGACTCAGGGCAACATGATGATTGGGACGGCTTAAGAGCCGGAAGACAGAACCGCCAGAAAACCAATATTAGGTTTCGTTCGCTAGAGTCCCGGCTGGGGCTCCGCCTAGGAAAGCAACATCAGACCAGATGGCGCGGCGTACCGCAGCGACAGCATTGTCATTTCGCCTGAGAACTGGCGTGGGGAGCGTTTCCCAAAAGCGTGGACTCCCCTTCAACAATCGAGCTTCGCATGGACGCCGAGCTAGTTTGGCCCGTCAAAATGGAACGGCTGCGAAAGAGCTGTGGACGACCAACGTCGGTTGAGGGTGAAGGTGTCGAGCAATGACAGCCTGTAGATGGCTTGCGACAAGGTTGAGGCCCTTGCTAGCGGCGGAAGGAGAGCTGAGGTGTGTCTGCGAAAAACCTGGTCTCTGAGGCCTCATTGGTTGCTGATCTTTTGGCCAGATTCGGTCCAAGTGGGTTCCAACGGAAAAAGGCCGACTGCCTCATGATGATTGGCAACAAATGCTGAAATTCCTCCATGATATTTGGCCAATCATAGACCGTAACCTGTCTCGACCTGCGATGAGCAGAGACCGGGGAAGTCGAACGAGCCCTAGGGACCCCTATGAGCAACGGTCGTTGATCAATAGTATCCGCGTTAATGGCGCAAAAAGGAGCAACTTCACGCCGGTTAAGGGGCCAAACCAGCATGGTCATGGGCGTCATGACAGGTTACACACCAACATGTCCGGATTTGGGGACGGGCCTGTCCCGTTCGCGGGTGTCCGGCTGCAGAAACAACCGTTCTCGAACCTCTGCAGCAGCGGATTGAGATCTGTCACTGATTGATCCGCCGTCCAATCGAGTCATTGGACTGCTGGCCCATTTCTGGTTGACTAAACATGGGGATATTGCCCAGAAACATCTCCGAATCCCCAGCAGGGACCACATTGTCTCTGTCAAGGTGATTGTACCTTGATTATATGAAAGGGCCTGCGTAAACAGGTGGCGAAAACAATGACTCCTTTTTCGAGTGGATTGAAGACTCTGCCCCCGGTAAATCCAGGATACCATCGTACCGGTAGCTGGCGTCTTTGACACCGGTGTCGGCATCGGAGTAGAGGGTGGGCGTTCAATAACACCCTGGACGGAGTTGAATGCTCCCCTGGGGAAGCGGCGGTTGTTCGGTCGTAGACGCGGAAGAGAGCGACACACGGGATGTTGTGGAGTCGGACAGGCCAATGCCGTCGGCAGGAGTCGGTCTTGCGCCGGGGCGGCAAGTCTGCTGACTGTCTCCTATTTTTGGCCCCCGCCTTCTTCACCCGTCGAGGAGGCGGACCGCCGTTTGCCGCAGCCGCAAGACTTGGAGCTCGTGACCGCTGCTATCACTTGAATCTGGTCACATGAGTTCACGCACCAGCCTGTGTTGGCCTCGTTACCGCTCACAGCATACCGCCCTGGTATTATGCCGGTGAAGAGACAGGAAGGTCAACAAGCTCAGTTCGAACTGCACCACAGTCGTTTCCAGTGCCACCAGGCTCGAAGGCAGACCCCTGCCGCAATGGCTAGTCTCACGACCCGCTAACCTTGACACTTGCTGCACGGTCGCACGCGGGAGAAGATCCCTTGATTTCTTCAAGGAAACCAATGAATACCCGTGGAACCTGGAATAATTCGTTCTCAAGATGGCAAATATTGCGCTTCATCTGTGTGCAGTCTGTGATGAGGATAGCAAGAACAATTTGATGTGCATCGAACGTAGGTCGAGCGGTCAAATTTGACGTCGTAGAATTCTCTTCTTGACCGATAGCGACACCGCTGACGACCAACGACTCGAAGGCGTATGTCGCGAATCATGTTGAATGAAAATAGCATGGCAAGCTTGAGCCAAGCATGAAAGCGGGACGGTTCGTTTTGAACAGCATTGAAAAGAAAGGCAGTCCTGGTCTTGAGCTGTGGTGGTACCGATATTCGCCACGCATTATTGCGCCTGAGCCAGATTGTACTTGCAGTAACGACCTTCGCAGATGCCACGGGGCCCGGACTGGATGCGAACGACAGCTGGACGACAAACAAGCATTCGGACAAGCAAGGTCGTCCTTTCTCGAACGCGAGGCGATTGCGTGTCTGTTCCCTCAGTTTTGGCGGTGGTGTAGTCGTGGGTATGGCGAGAATAGTGACATCAAAAACACACACACACCGACGATCGTAGGGTTTCCCCAGATCTCGCTGCTCCGAGAAGTGCCCAAAAAAAGAACAGGGACTGCCGGTCTCCAGTGAAGATCCGCGTGTGGCGCAGGGCCCGGAGGCTGGTGATGGAGGGTTGATGTGTTTTCCCTCATTGCGAGCTCCGAGAACAAGACGTGCGTTCTGCACAACTCAGGGGACATGGGCCGAATACGGGAGCACCGTGGTTGGGCAGTTTCCTATCCCTGGGCAGCTGAAATGGGCTGCTACCTCAGCATAGGGTCCGCTGATCGCTTCGAGCCGATTGCTTGACAGTGGTCGCTGGGTCTCGATTCTGCATAAGAGATGCCACACGGGAGGGGCTGAGGGGCTGTGCTGCCCACAGAAACAAACGCCGTTGACTCGTTGGTGGTCGGCATTTTGGCATTGACTTGGCCCTCCTCAACGGCACAGGACACCGTACGGACCGTTGGCGACAGCCACGCGGCTTCGAAGGGGCCCAAAAGCGGCCCGGGGCAATCAATTCCGATTGTGGCCAGCATGATGCCATCACCATGGTTATGTTTCCCACCGTCGATGATGGCATTTGTTTCACCAGATGCATCTGCTGCAGAAACAGCCCAGCGTCTGGGGGTGGATGGGTATTTTGACTGTGCAATCGTATGTGCGTGTGTTGTGGTAGCGAAGTCCCAGCCAGTCGTGATAGCCCCGTGTTTCGAACAGAAGAGCTCGAGTAAGTTCGTATGATGGAGCAAATCCGATTGTCGTCGAGTTAGATGCCGGCTGTTGGTTGTAAAACTGCAGTCATGACTCGATGTGGCAGACTGCTACCGCACAAGAGCGACTACAAGTTCGTCCTTGTCTTTTTGTTGCGTGTTGTCTCACGTCGAGTCTGTCTGCCTTGCGTGTGTTCTGACGAATGCTCTAACCGGAGACGACGACAGGGCAAGGACAAGCAGATGACAGCAGAGGTATCTGCGCTGGTGACAGTCAAGCCGAGTCGCCATTTGCTTGCTAGATTCAGGCGTGAACCAAATAGAGCTGGCACATGGAGGTCTTTGATGGTTGGGTAGCCAGGACGTCAGGCTCAGAGCATTTGCCGAACTCCGTAAGGCTTCGGCCAACGGGAAGACAGCGCATTGAGACTTCGAGAGTAGAAAAGTTTGTTGGAAGCTTGTTATTCTGGGAAGAGCAAGCGGGCAAAATAGCACAGCGGGATGGATGGTGAACTGTCGAGAGGTTGTCGAGAAACCCTGAGGACGACATGGATATTGGGGGAAGGAACTGGCGCTGTCAAACTTCAAACGGCAGTGACACTGGGAAGGAGCTTGGGCCATTCTTTCTTCGTCAGCCTTAGGCGAGCTAAAATTCCACAGTGGCTACCTAGGTACCCGTACAGCACATTGCGGAGCGTCTCGGCCGAGATTACAGTGGATCGTTCAGTAAATCACAGCGCAAGGCTGGGTTAGCCGCCCCCATGCCGCCCGTAGAACTGGAAAACACGCAATCTTATTGGCTCGTATTCAGCCTGGTACAGGAGTTGACATTGACAGCACACCTCCAAGACGAATGTCTAATTGCGGCTTGTGCCGACGTCATCAGAACATCAAAACACCGTTACTCTCCTTCGCCCACGATCCTCTACGATACTCTACGGCCGCGCCTGACAGAGCATGCATTTCCTACAATATATACACCGATGATACTTTAGTTCACGACCACCCAAAGCCGCCTTGATCGCTTCGCGATGGCGGATCCCGCTCCCCCGGCCGCCCCGGCAACCACGAAACAAAAGCAGTCGAGCCCTGCGATCCCCGTTGGCCTGAACGAAGCCTCCCTCGACTCGCCGACCTTCCGATCGACCGCTCAGCACTTCGGCGAGCACATCGATAACGTCGAAAGATGGCTGGACGACTATGTGAAGGCCACCTCCCGGGTCACACGCGACATCCTGGCTCTCGAAGAGGGAGTTAACACCTATCTCTCCAAGATCTTTCCGCCTGCTGCGACTGCCGATGCCATCATCGACCATGACTACACACTGCTCGCACTGCGCAGAATAAGTGATGGCTCCAAGGAATGGTGGTCACAGATCATGTCAACCCTCCGAAAAATAGATACTATATCCGTCGATCCGATCCGTTCATTTGTTGCCGCCGACCTGCGATCCTTCAAAGAGGTACGAAGAGTGTTGGAACATACGCAGAAGAACTTCGACCAAGCCATGGCCCGTTACATGAGTCAATCCAAGACGAAGGAGCCATCCGCAATTCGAGAAGAAGCATTCGCCGTATACGAAACCCGCAAAGCGTACCTGAAAGTCTCGATGGATTTCTGCCAGCTCGCGCCGCAAATTCGTTTTAGTCTCGATAAGCTGCTCGTGCGAGTCAGTGCTGATTTTTGGAAAGAGATGAAGCGGTCCCGGGATGCTGCTACGGTGTCGACAAAATGGGGGTCCGAAATGGAGCGCATTCGTGGCTGGTCTAGGGAGATGGAAACATCCGAGTTCGTTTTCAAGAGGGAGCTCCAAGTCGCCAGACGCGATATCGGTGAGAGCACCTTGCAAGCTTTCAAGCCATCACGCGAGTTGGAAGATTACAGCGCTTCCACTGTGCCTTACCTCGGCTCCAGAGGTCCGGTCAACGTTCAGGCTCAGGAGAACTCTGCCGTCATTTCGGAAAAGCAAGGCTGGCTTTTCTTGAAGACTCTGTACGGGAAACCCGCTCGGTCTAACTGGGTCCGTCGTTGGTACTACTGCCGAGATGGCATCTTCGGTTGGCTCATCAATGGCCCCCAAGGCGTTTTGCAAGGCGATGAGATCGGTGTGCTTCTGTGCAATGCCAAACCGGCAGTTGCAGAAGATCGCAGGTTTTGTTTTGAGGTCAAGACCAAGAGCCAAACCCTGGTGCTCCAAGCCGAGACTCAGAACCAGCTCACCGAATGGCTTGAGGTCTTTGAGGTTGCAAAGAAGCGAGCTTTCGAAGCCAGTATGGACAGAGATAGCAATCTCTCACCTGCAGGAGCCGATCCAGCCTTTTCTATCACCCCTCCGCCACTACCTGAGTTCTCTGCAAGGTCTCTGGATGCATTGGTAGCAGGCGAAGAGCCAGCAGCTAGCTTCGATCGGGCTGGCACTCTTCCTGTTCCCGGGTCTGACAATAACATTGCGGGCCGTGCCAGTTTCGATGTAGGCGGTAATGGACCTCGTCGTTCTATCACGGCCCTTGGCCGGGATCTTGGACGGGAAATGGTCCGAGAAGACGGTGAAAGTAACCGTGAACACGCCGCAAGGATCATTCAAAAGCTCGACCTTCACCGCAAAGCAACCTTTGGGGCCGGCGCAGAAGCTGCTGTTGCCGCCGCTGCCACACCTAGTAGTGGCGGCATAGCAGGCATGATAGCCAGCCACGGCCATCTTCCTGGATACCCCTCGCCTCCCCAAGGTACACCAAAGAATGTGTCCGCAGCCAGGCTCCCTGCCCTCGACCCAGCTCATGGGACTTTGGCCCCGTTGACCCTGGCGAGGCCACCGGCCGCAACGAATCTGAGCCGGACCGCCGTCATGTTCTCCGTCGACAGGAGTTTGGGAGGGGATAACACAAGTCACTTGCCCACTGCCGTCCTCGCAAATTACTGGGGAAGTAGTCCATGGAGCGCAGTTTACAATACCGGCCTTGGCCGGCCTCGCACCCCCGGACTGCTCGAAGAAAACCCTTTTGGAATCATAGTTCGGGAAGTGGGGAAGCCTGGCGAGGAAAAGCCTCCAACGCCTACGACAGGACATAGGAAAACAGTCAGCGTTGACGCCAAGTTCACCCAGCCCCAACCTCAGCTCAAGCAACCAGTCGAGACATTTCCGCCAGGTTATCCTCCCGAGTTGAGGATTCAACATCACCAATTCCGAATTCTGTTCCCCACCGTTCCGCTCGACGAGAAGCTTGTCCTCGTATTCCGCGCTGCTTGGTCGAGTTCGTCGGGCAAGGACTCGCCGTCCACGGGACACGGCCTCGCAGGTAATGGCCGCATCTACATCACACCTGACAACATGTACTTTTACGGCCAGCAAATGGGTCTCGTCGTGGCATATGCCATCAGTCTCGATATCATTGCCGAGGTGACAGCAGCTCCCGGGAAGGAATGCGATTTTATCTTCCTCCACCTGGGCGAGGACGGCAACGAAACTGGGTACACTCGCGTCACCATCAAAGTGTTCCTCGATAACCTCCAACTTCTGCATGCCAGACTGAATCTGCTCATCGATGACCTTCAGTCAGAGGAACCGATGGAACTGCCCGAACTTATTACTGCTCTGATCAACCTGGAATACGAAGATTACACGAAACGCAGTCCTAGTGTTGAAAGTTGGGAAGAGGTTTCATCAAATACTCCATTTGACAATGGCACTCATTCCGGTCGTCCGGCTAGACGCCAAAGCCAATTTGGTCCCCGGCTCCGCCTGTCAGGCCCAAGTACTCGGCAGACGCCCAAGTTGCAGTTACCCGCCCACCCTGTAATCTTTGAACCCGAAGACATGCAGAGGAAGGTGGCCGAACGACACTTCGAAATCAGCCCCAAGGCATGCTTTCATGTTCTGTTTGGAGACAAGAGCTTTGTGTTCCCGAAGCTCTATTTCGAGCGTAGAGCGCAGCAAATCGCTCAAGGGCCATGGGCTCTGGCGGACCACGGCCGGATGAGACGAGAATTCCAATTCAAGTTCGACTATAAGGACATCCTTGGTCGCCCGAAGACCGTCAATGTTGTCGACTACCAGACGATGGATGTGTTCCAAGATCACGTTACGTACGTGGTCACTCATGTCAAGACGGCATGGCATCTTCCACACTCTCAGTACTTCAAGCTGGTGACGAAGATTGTCATCACGCACGTGGCCAAATCCAAGTGCAAACTGGCCATTTATACAAAGGTGGACTGGTCTAAGACGCCAGCCTTTTCGAAAAACTTGGTGGAGCGGCAAGCTCTGAATGACGCTGAAGGCGATGCTGAAGAGTTGGCGGACGTGGCAACAGATCAAGTACGCAAGCTTGGCCCACACAGCCGAACCAAGAGAGCCATCCAAGTGTATGGAAACATCGGGCAGCAGACCCAGGTGGTCGTTTTCTCGCCAGCCGATGCAGCTGCTTCAAAGAAGCAGCTCATCAAACCACGCACACTAACGGCCATGCTATTGGAGACGCTCCGCTCATTCGGAGAGAGTGCAGTTACATCACTCATCATGTGGGCCATTGCTGGAGTGCAGAAGTTCTTCAGTGTGGTGACGGCGCACCGGCTTATTCTTCTCATCCTGGCCGCAAGTACGCTTACGAATGTATTCCTCACTTCGAAGGAGAGCTCGACATGGTGGACAGAGAGACGGGCCTCCAAGTTTATGAATCGCATTGGTGTTGGGCCAAACGTGGTGATGAGCAAAGCCATATACATGGCCGACTTGGGCGAAGCAACTGGAGCAGTTGGTCATAACAACTCGTGGCCTGCTGACAGCGCCTGGTAAGTCTCGATTGGCTCGGGCTGAGTACAGCATCATACGCTAACAAAAGACAGCTTCACCACTTTCCAACTGGTTGCAAATGCCACGGACCTTGATGCCCCGTTCGAAGACGCCGGGTCAACGTTGTCAACGGCCACAAGCCGGGCGACGGCTCGTCGGTTGCGTCGGACACGTCAACGTCTTGGATCATACCGGCACGATTTGTTGGTCGCGATGCGTATTGTCAACAGTATTGAGCGGGAGATGGTACAGTCGGAGTGGGAGAACTGGCTTGCCGACGAGAACGTCCGTTGCGATAAGCTCAAGACGGTGCTCGAATCAGACGGGTCTACAAAGTCGAAGCGGAATGGTGACCAGAAGGTCATGACATCCAACATTGACGAGGGCAAGAGGGAGACGTTGCGGGAGTGGTACGATACGTATTGTGGCAGTTGTAAGCTGGACCATGCGTCGTTGATGAGCGAGCGGAATTCTCTGGCAAGTCTATAGATGGATCGGATTCGCAGGTGAAGCACACGATGTGTTTCTTAGCTTGCAGTCCCTTGTTTGAGTCTCGTTTGGACAGCCCTTCGTTGCTGCATTGTCAAGAGGCAGATTAATTTTCCGGAAGCATATACAATAGCTTATTACTGAAGTACGTCTTTTGGTTCATTCGATCAAAGCCAGATGCGATGAACGGTACTCGATTGAGTTGCGCCAAGACGTGCGAAAAGCTGTGACTAGCACTCGTCGAAAGGCCGGGCAGAGACTAGAATAAGCCTTGTCTCGGATATCTCTGCCGAGTGCTGTTGACCATTGTCAAGGCTGCGCGATCTAGATCATCATGATGCGATATCATGCACAAGACCCAGAAAAACAGGTTCAGTGACATTTTGCAGTCAGGGCCCCGTTGAACAAGGCTCGGTAAGAAATGGGGATAACCTCACGTGCCACATTGGATGACCCGTACCCGTCAGTCTGAAGTAATCAGCCACATTCAAGTTTTTGTGTGCAACTGCCAGAAGGCTGCTGAGTGGCTCCCAATTCCGTGGCTTTGAGAGGCCTGTTGATCGAATACCAAGCCTTTTCTTGGGCGACGTAAGCCTTGTAGTCAGATCGTGAAGTGCCTGCAGACGCAGCCAGAAGGAGGTCGTCTGCCCGCAGAGCAAGACCAGAAAATCAGTTGTGGAGGAGCAGTGAGCCGCGCTTGACTTCATCGTTGGAAACGGCGCCCAATTAGCGATGCCGAACCCGCGGACGCAATACGCGGATTGGGCGGATTTCTAGACGATCTCTAGCGCCATTTCTCCACTTTTCTCCCACGATCCCGTCCCCTGAGGCCTGGGCCCTCTTCGTGCGGGACCTGCGACCACCAATTGTGACGTCGGGGGGTGCAGGGGCAACCCCTCTTTGCCTTCTGGCGATGGCCGTACATGGGACAGGGGTGACGTCAGCGACCAGCTCGATTGGATTCAATCGGTGAAGGCAGCCCAGCCCAGCCCAGTAGGCAGGCACACACACGAGAGAGAAGAGCCAGCTGCCAGCCCGGGAGAAAGGACGACCAACAACTGTTTGAGGCATGAGGTAGGTGATCGGGGTACAAGTAAGAAAGTGCAACATTTCATCGCTGCAGGAAACGGTGGGATTATTCGGTAGGCACTTCAGAAGCACAAGGGCATGGAGCATTAGGTCCGCTTCGCTCGGGGTCTGCAGACGTCAAAGCCCCTCCGAATATCCAATCCGTCCACCTTGCTGTGTATCATCCCTTTAACGGCCCTTGGAATATTACCCAGAGCCACGAGACCTTGCGGATAGTCGTGCAGGGGACCGACCTGAACGACCTGACGGATTCCCAAGCCACTCCGTTCCCCTCGTTCGCACCCGTACTCGCTTCTTTTTTAAGCCACACGGTCCGCATGTCAGCACTTCCCGTCTCCATCTTACACATAATCAACCAAATTCAAGCAATTAAGCATCACAGCCTCCGAAACAGCATCTACCCTGCTGCTTCACGAACACTCTCCGCTAGTTACGCCTCGGCACCGTGCGGACTCCGATACCAATCTGCATCACCGTATTTTCAGCATTGGATAATCCTACCATCGAGCTTGTCCGAAATCCCCGTCGGCGAAATCATCCACGGACTGCTTGGTCGCCTGGCTTGGGCTATGACATCTTGAGCAAACAGCGCTTGATTACCGTTTCGTTTCTTTACTCCTACAACGTGTCACCGCCAACCCCACAGAATCATCATGGCACCGCATCACGAGCCTTTCAAGGCTCTCGCGCCCGTCAAATGGGATACCGTCGCAGAGAACGACCCAAAAGACTTCATTCATAACGTATTCTCCGAAGCCCAAACGATCATCGACTCGATCCCCGTTCCCGCCGCCATCCAGCAGGCCGCGACACAAACGACGGGCCGCGCCCGATCTCACACCGATCCGCCTCAGCACGTCACCGACATCAACCGCACACTCTCCCAGCAGCGCCAGACCGCTGCTTCCCTTGCCTTGTCGCGCGACCTGTCCAAGGAATGGAAAGAAGTCAAGGTCAACCCCCGGGACAACCCACTTGCAATCAACGTCTACAAACTCGCCGCCAAGGATGGCAAGGGCAGCTGGTTTGCGCGGCGTAGCGTTCACGATGGCCTTACCTTTGAAAAGTGGAAGCTTGGTCTGGAAAGGGAGTTTGCCGAGTCCATGAAGGTGCAAAGCGGGCCTGGAGCCGGCGCCATTCGGGGCATCGGTGCGGAAAAGAGAGTGGAACACCAGGTTATTGACGGCGCGGGAAAGATGGAAGGTGAGCTTGCAATGTGAACCGCGGTGATGACGTTCTCGGCTGACGATGGCGGTTGTGCAGTGTTTCAACTATCGGCGCAGTTTCCAGGCCCGACGGCTCCGAGAGACTTTGTTACCCTGCTCCTGACTTCCGACTCTTCCGCCAAAAGCCCCGCGCCGGAGGGCGGAAGGCGACCGCTGAGAACCTTCATGATAGTGTCGAAGCCATGCGTCCATCCCGAGTGTGCCGAGAGGCAGGGCTATATTCGAGGCCAGTACGAATCGGTTGAGATCATTCGCGAAGTTCCGTCGGACAAGCCGTCAATCACCCGCGCAAAGTCGTCCATCGATTTAAGCCACGATAGCACACAAGAAAGACAGGCAGTTGCCGAGTCAATGGGGAGGGAAGCGGTTCTACGGGCAGCAAAGAAGGCAGCCGATGACGGTGGGCGACAGCGCGGAGCTTCTGTCGACAGCGCCCCCGCAAGAGACGATGCTGGACTAAGCGGGGATACTGCTGATGATGAATCATCGACGACGATTGAGTGGCTCATGGTCACTCGCAGCGACCCCGGTGGAAATGTGCCCAGGTTTCTGATCGACCGCGGTACTCCCGGCGGTATCATTGGCGATGCAGGCAAGTTCATCAAGTGGATGACGGCCAAGTCCGCAGACGACTTCACAACTTCCGACACCGAGCAGGAGGAGACGAAGGAGAGTGCCAAGCAAGCTGAGCATGAAAAGGCCGTATCTCCAATGGAAGTTGCCAAAGAGCCGACGTCAAATTTGGTGCCCGATCCCTCGGCGCAGGATGATGCGGTCCCGCCTAGTAGCAATGGCCTCTACGGTATTATCTCTGGGGCGTTCGGACTGGCAGGGTCTGCAGTAGCAAGCCGCCTTCCGAATAACTTGCCCGGCATGTTCACAGCGCCGAGCACTAACGGCTCGATAGCTGAAGAGGAGGAAGACGAGACGAACGAGAGTGACACCTCATCCATTCGCAGCTTCGCCTCCGCCGTCGAAAAGACGGATGAGGGTGAGGCCTTGACTCCTCCCGACGTTTCGCAGCCCGACGCCGCGTCCCTGCACTCCTCCGGTTCGGGCGGGGGTTCCCTGCACAAGACCACGTCGTCGCATCACGAGCGGGAGCTCAGGAAGCTCCAGGAGCGTCGTAAGAAGATGCAGGACAAGATCAACAAGATGCAGGAGCGCATGTCTAGCAAGCGTGCGGAGGACTCGCAGAAGGACGCCGCGCAGGTAAACAAGCTGCGCGAGAAGCACGACAAGGAGATCGCCAAGCAGGAAGAAAAGTACCGTCGCGAGCTGAAGAGGCTGGAGGAGAGACGCGAACAGGAGGAGCGCAAGGCCACGGAGAGGCGACGCAAGCAGGCGGAGAAGGAGGAGAGGGGCAATATTGCCATGGAGCTCGAACGGGTCAAGTCCGAGCGCGACGTCGCGCTGAAGCAGATTGATATACTCAAGGAGCAGATCGGGGACCTGCAGAGTCAAAACACGATGCTGGTGGCCAAGATGGGTCGCTTGGGAGGTTTGAAGAGGGAGGACTCAGCAGTGTGGAGTACCTCGGGCGAGAAGATGGCCCAGAGCGTCTCTACTTAGGAGGAGACGGTCGGAATGCCTTTCGTGTAGGCAGGCAGGAGCTCGTTGCCATGCGGGACTGGAAACCCAGCTTGCTCGCCGAAAAGGGGGAGGGAGGATGACATGATTTTGTTCATACTACAAGCATCAAACGGCGTTGAGGTGTCATAGCCTTCCTTTCAACATCTCATTTTCAGTTTACAGGCCATTGTACACGAAGCAGCTGATAACTTTTCTATCTCTATCAAAATCAATATCCATCTTTCGTGTAGTATCTACGTGTCTATGATCTGGCCATCTCAAGTAACAGGCCATGGAGACGGCCCTTCTTACCAATAGACCTCAGCTCTCCCAGTTTCTCCCCGAATACCTCGACGTTCACGCCCGCCTTCGCCAGCGCCGTGGCACAGATGACGATACGGGCGCACACAGCGTACACATCCGGCGCGGAAGTCCACCCCAGAGGTCCGTCGTCGGTATGCACCTCCTTCGCGAGCTTGAACAGCGCATCCAGGCCGTCGACGGTCCACCGAGCCAGCCGATCGTCGCCGCCGCCCGAGACCGCCACGGAGTCGAAAACGGCGGCCCACCGACGCGCCTCGCGCACCTCATCGACGAAGAGGTTCTGCTCCTCGATGGCGAAGAGGGAGTCGTCGAAGCGCAGGGCCTCGGTGAGCTGGGCTTCGGCGCTGGTCCACGCGGTCTGCTCCGTCTGGCCCGTCATGCGGCCGGCCAGGAGGGCGCGGAAGGAGGAGGCGGCGGCGTAGTGCGTCGAGATGTGGCTGAGCAGGCGGTCCGCGGCGTCGAGGGGCGCCAGGGGCTGTGAGAGGATGTGCTTGGCCGAGACGGAGGCCAGGTCGCGGACTTCGTCATCGTCGTCGTTGAGGGCGTCGTAGAGGGCCACCATGGCTGGGAGACGGGCTGCTTCGGAGTCGGAGTCGTCGCTGGAGACGGCGGAGAAGAAGGAGGCCAGGGACGCGACTGCTGCGATGCGGGTGTCGAAGGGGGACGAGTCGGCGCCTGCCGAGGACATCATGGCGCCCCAGCCGCGGAGGGCGCAGGGTTGGGCGTCGTCGCGGCGGACGAGGGTCGCCATCAGGGGACCGCTGACGCGGATCACGGCGTTGGAGAGGTTTGGGTTGAGGCTTTTGGCGTTGGCGTCTTGCCAGAGCGTGACGAGGGTCTCGGAGGCCGGGAGGAGGGAGGTGAGGTTTGCGGAGAGGACGAGGTCGAGGGTCTCGGAGAGGTTGGATAGGGCAGCGGCGCGGGCGTCGGGGTGGGATGTCGAGAGGGACAGGTCGGTGTAGAGGGCGGCGTAGGAGGCTGCGTCTTCGGGGGAGAGACGGGGGTGGCGGACTGAGGAGAGGGTTTCGAGGATGGTGATTGTCGCCTCGACGCTTGTCGTGCTCGTTGAGAGGAGAGTGTCGCGGAGGGAGCTGGCGGTCGGGTTGGTGTGGACTGCGTTTATCGCGAGTTGGGTGCGCAGGAGGGCGCTTTGAGGGGGGTTGGAAATGGATGAGGGGATGGAAGAAGGGGCGGAGAGGGTGAAGAGGGAGATGAGGTTCTGGACTTCGAGGTAGGCTGCCCTGACGTCGGGGGCGTCTGCGAAGGAGGAGGGCGCGTTGGCTTCGAGGTCCTGGAGGATTTGGGATAGACGCGGGATGGCCAGGGAGAACTTCTGGGGAGAAACGTCCGAGAGGCGCTCGAAGACGGCCTTGATTGTCAAAAGGCTGCCATGGAGGCGATTGTTCAGGTTGGAGGATCCAGATGCCAGAGAGTCTTGGATGATCTTCTCTGCCGCGGTGACCCAGTCGTCGTCGCGGAGCAGGAAGGAGCACAGCGCGCGGGCGGCCATCTCGCGAACGTGCCAGACGGGACTTCCGAGGTAGCCCACGACGAGGCCGTAGAGCTCATCGCGGGAGGCTTCGGGCGGGCCGGCGCGGCGGATGATGTCGAGGGCCGGGAAGACGGACTCGGCCGCGATGGTGCTCGTGCTGGGCTTCATGACCTCGCGGCCGGAGCGGAGGAGGTTCAGCAGGACGTTGGGGAGAATGGGATACTTGTGGTACTGGAGGCGAGTCGACCTGCCGTCCCAGCCTGCCTCGAGGGTGGCCTTGCTCTCGTTTGTGCCGAAGAGGTTGTCGAGGAGACTGCGGAGGAAGAGAAGGCCGCAGTTGCGGATCGCCCAGACCTCGGACTTGAGGCTGCCCGCGGCGAGCTCGAGGCATTGCGGGATGTGCGGCGCGGACTTGCCGAGCTGGGTGATGAAGGAGGATTTGAACATGTCCTTGAGGCAGTTCAGGGCGTGGACCTGGGGGAGTTTGGTGTCGTCTGTCTCGGAGACTCGGGCTTCTTTGCGGGCGATGGCAACGAGTTCTTCGATTACGTGGTCGAAGGATGGCTGGGCTGCGTTGGCGGAGACGATACCTGTGATCATGGCCGGGATACCTGCGGACCTGCGGGTGGTGGACGCCTGAGCGAAGATGCACTCTTTGGTTCCCTTGTACCAGATGTCAAGCAGAGTCTGGTCGCCCTCGTGGCCTGCTTTGGGGTCGTCGAGATGCTTGACCAGCTGACAGCAGGTAGCAAATGACAGAGAGACGGTGTTGAAAGCGCCACGATGTCTCAGACTCGAGAGCTGGTCGAAAGTCTGGGTTCCGACGGTCGTGAAGAGCTCGCTGGAAGGGCGCAGGGTCTCTGGCTGAGGCTTGGACTTCAGGGGCAGAACCATGACGCGCATCAAGCTGCTGGATTCGTGGATGGCGCGGAAACTGTAGCTCAGCAAGTCCTTCGTGTCGAGGCCTTCGAGGTCCTCGAGTTCCTGGGGGAGATGGCCTTCGGGGGAGTCGTCGCAGAGAATATCCCTGACGGCGTCCCAGATGCGTTGGCAGCATTTGACGATGCGGCTTTGGAGGTTGACCAAGGCTTGGATCTCAGAGTCGGAAAACTTCATCTCGGTGATGGCTTGCCAGATGTAGCGGAGCGAGGCGAAGTAGCCATGCACGGGTGCCTCCAAGACGGCATTTCCCAAGTCAGCCTCGGCAAAGGAGAGCTTGGTCTCCAGGAGGTCAACGAGCTTGGAGATATGAGCAATCTGCGCATTTCTGCCCTCGTAGAATCTGAAGAGAAGCTCGTTGGTACGAGCCACACCATCAGCATGGTCGGCACGAGCAGTTCGTCGTGCGATGTCTTCAGATCTTGACAGGAATTCCTCCAAAGTCGGTGCAACTCCCTGGGTTCCAGTAAGGTACTTGAATCGCTCGTCTGAGAACAAGCTCTTGAGGACAGAAGTGCTAGCCTCGCGCACATCGTCAAAAGGATCCATGATGAGATCGAGCAGAGTGCGGGTCCATCTACCGTCAAAGTGGTTGAAGAAGATGTTCTCGTCCTCATCGGTCTCCCAAGTCTTAGAAGAGTCGAATTCGAGCTTGAGGATGAACATGACCGCTCTCAGCGAGGTGTAGTGACGCTGGAAAGAAGCTGTAGGGATCAGTTCGGAGCGTAAGAAGCGGAGATACCATGCCAAGAACTCTTCGTGCTGCTTCAAGCTCTCGACCAGCTTCTCTTCCGGCCAGAAGAGGATGTTTGTGCGGTGATTTGCCTGCTTCGCTGGCTTGGGAGCAGGCTTGGGCTTTCCATCAGGAGGGGGTGGAAGGGCATTTATGGCCTTGACGCGAGCCAAGCTCTTGTGCAGAATGAAGATGGCGCCACGAGTGCGCTTGAACATGTCTTTCAGCCTGCTCAGAAGCTCCATGCGGAACTTCGCATCGGATTCGGAGAAGTACGTCTGGAGGTGAACCTGCAGGAGACGGAGCGCCACAGGGGAGTAAGGTTTCGTTGTAGAAGCAGAGGCGGCGATGAGTGAGAGAGCGAGAGAACGAAGCTCGTGGGAAGGATGTGCGAGCAGTCTTTCGAGCACAGCCTCCTCCAGCACTACGGAAGAAGACTCCTCTTGGACGATGGCGCCTAGATGACGGGTCAGCAAGCGTTTCTTCTAAGGTAAGGGGCAATAGACATACCAGGCTCTTCCACCATGCCGACCTTCTTGCCGACTTCTAATACAGCAAGGTTCAGCTGCGCGAGGGTGTCTAACTCGACACCAGAGTTGGACGCAGACCAAGAGCTATTGATCTGCTGCAGGATTTGGACCGAGTCCTTGCGGTCATCCCTGAACAGGGGTAGAAAAATGTACGTCTTGACGCCCTCCAAAAGAGACGGTGTCGCATCGATGGCAGACTGCACCCACCGAAGCCAAGCCACCACGCTGAACTCATCAGCACCCCCTTCTTGGTGGTTCTTTAGAGATCTCTGACGGAGAGCACGAAAGATGGTCACGATGAACTTGCCCGCAGTCGGGCAAACGTAGTGCATGGTCATCCAGTCAAGCATTTGACGGAAGAAGTCTTGCCAAAGAGCCATCTCAGACTCAAAAGCGCAGGATGGCTGCGTCCTCCTGTAGCTCGCCGCAATATCTTCAACTGTAAAGATCTTTGATGCGAAAAACTCCATAGCCTTGAGTGACGACTTCAACAAGGGCTTGGTGGACTGCGGCCCGATAATGGAGATTAGGGTGTCGAGAACGGTCGTCTTGACCAATTCCGCAACAGCCGGGTCAGGATTACGCCGCATCAATGACGGCAGAAGTTCCAGCACAAGCTTCATCGAACGGTGCTGCTCCGTCTCGTTCCACTTGATGAAGAAGTTGAACAGGCTCAGACTGGGTTCCTTGGAGAAAGCCCATGCTTGCAAGGCGGGCTTGGAAGACTTTGAGCATTGTTCGACAAATCCGCATAGCTTTACGCACGAGTTTCCGGATACACCTTTTGGCTGTGCGGCCAGGGACAGCAGATGGTCAAACACATCTTGAGCGAGACTAGAGGGGCAAAAACGTCAACCATTTACAAACCCCCGGAAATTTAGAAAAGGTAAAAAAGGATTGAGTATTTCTTACGACATCCATGACTCAGAGGGCTGCTCTTCGACCCATTTGACCAAGTCACTTGGGTTGACGAAGCTCTCGTACTTGGGGGCGGTATCCTGCTTCATCGCGATCTCATCATGGAGGGGCACGGCGACTGAGATGAGTTGAATGAGGGGCACAGAAGCGAAGCACTGGCCGAACGAAAGACAGGGGTGTCGATCCTCAGGGTCTTAGTGATAGTGAAAGTATGTACCCGGTCCAGACGCTCGTTTTACTGCCAAATCTTACATAAAATGCCAATGCAAGATGAGTCGTCCAAATGATCGAATGCCGTACCGCGGAGTGACATGCAATGAATTTTCACCGAGGGGCACAGGCACAGGCGTTTGACTCGGGCGGCCAGGCGGCGTAAGACTCACTCGACAAGTAAGGTACCGCAGTACCTTTTTGGAGTGGCGAGCAGCCAATCGCCTGCGCCTTCTGGAACGACACGCGCACGGGCCACACCCACAAGTGACGGATCCCCTCTGCCCTAATTAAAAGCAAGTCGCCCCGCCAAAACTTTTCAACTTTTCATCCTCTTTTCCGATCCATCCCCCCCATCACCACCAACATCTACCGTAAGCACCAGATTCCTGGGAGATATCGCCAAGATGTCGAAAATTACGGTCGCCAACGTCCGCACTCAGGTCGGAGAGCTCCTTGAGTACTCTCTCGAGACCAAGAAGCGCAACTTCCTTGTCAGTGGTTCCCCAATGACGGCGCGATAGGAAATTCTCAATTGAGAAAATCGAATTTGCGCCGCCACTCCTTCGACCTTCAATCGGCCTGCTAACCCCCCTCACAGGAGTCTGTCGAGCTCCAGATCGGCCTCAAGAACTATGACCCCCAGCGTGACAAGCGTTTCTCCGGCACTGTCCGCCTGCCGACCATCCCCCGTCCCAACATGAGCATCTGCATTCTTGGTGACCAGCACGATATCGACCGTGCCAAGCACGGTGGCGTTGACGCCATGTCCGCCGACGATCTCAAGAAGCTCAACAAGAACAAGAAGCTGATCAAGAAGCTCGCTCGCAAGTACGACGCCTTCGTCGCTTCCGAGACTCTGATCAAGCAGATCCCTCGTCTCTTGGGTCCTGGTCTGTCCAAGGGTATGTCAAACCACGAATCTCCTCCGCGCAACAGAAACGGTCGCTAACAGTCTCGCAGCCGGCAAGTTCCCCACCCCCGTCTCCCACGCCGACGACCTTACTGGCAGGATCAACGAGGTCAAGTCCACCATCAAGTTCCAGCTGAAGAAGGTTCTCTGCATGGGTGTCGCCGTCGGCAACGTCGGCATGACCCAGGAGCAGCTGATCTCCAACATCATGTTGGCCATCAACTACCTCGTCTCCCTGCTGAAGAAGGGCTGGCAGAACGTCGGTAGCCTTACCATCAAGGCTACCATGTCTCCCCCCAAGCGCCTCTACTAAGCGTGTCGTCAGTTTCTACGACGCCCGAGGTGGAGTACCGTTGGGGTTGCGTCCACGCGCGCTCGTGAAGAGTGCATGAGGCACGCTGCCTAAGGATGGGAAAGGACTATGGGCAATCATAGGAAACTCTGCGCTCGGATTAGGAACCAGCCAATACAATAATCCTTCTCCGAACTTGAAGTGTGCCAATCGCGTTGTGATCTTGAGGATGTGTAAAAGGTGTTTGATAACACAAGGTTGCCGAGCCTCAGTCATGGCCTGGTTGCTAAGAGCGGCAACATACATGCTGAGCAGATCCGTCAAGAGCTAACCGTTAAATCTTAGAGATATCCTCGTACATCGGGGAAACATCCTGAAAGGTAGTGGTGATGTAGTGCTTGAAAACACAGGGTTGCCAAGCCCCATTTATGGCCTGATTACCATGAACGATAAAGCGTCTCAAGATGCCGTCGATTCGTCCAGGGCCAATCGTGTCTTTGTCAGGAGACCACGATGGCCTCCTAACGGGTCAGAAGACCAAAGATGTCGGTGTAGTTGGGCGTTGCCTCAAGGACAGCGGCAGCACCCTTGGCGGCCCGGTCGGCGTCTTGATTCCACTTGCGCGGGATCTTCCAGAATCGGACCGCCATTCCATGCTCGTGCAGCCTCTCAATCCCAAGCAGCAGCGCCTCCCACAGGTCGCGACTCTTCACAGGCTCGCCACTCTTCAGCCGCCATCCCTTGCGCATCCAAGCACGCACCCAAACCGTGGCGCCGTTGGCCACGTAGGTTGAGTCCGTCGCGATAACAATGCTCCTGAAGCCCTCGCCGGGCCAGTGGCGGAACCGCAATGCAGCGATGGCGGCGCGAAGCTCCGCGCGGTTGCTGGTGTGCTTGTACACGTTGCCGTCCGGCCCACGGTCCTCGAGACGGAAGGCGATCCTGCCGGTTTCCTCCCTCGACTTGGCGGGCTTGAAGACGAAGCTGCAGCCGGCGCGGGCGTTGACGCCGCCGTTGTCGAAGCACGCACCGTCGGTGTAGATGAGCAGCTCCGTAACATCGTAGCGATTGATGTAGCGTTCGACGGGCGGCGTGGCTCTCAAACCGATGCTGTGGGGGAAGAGCTCAAACGGAGGGACAGGAAACTTGCTCCTGTCCCCGAACTGCGTGGGAAACACGTTGCCGATGGGCCTCTTCCTGGCGGATTGCGGCATCATGGACACCGTCTGCGAGTGTCTGTAGCCTATGTCGCGGGCTTCTTTTTCATACGCGGACTCGGGGTCAACGTCGTGGGCGAACAGGCCGGCGGAAAAGCCGAAGACATTAGCAGCAGTCAACGCGTGAACAGCGTTGTCTTCGTTTTCGTGGCGGCGGCCATACCTGCTGTTCGCGACGTCTCCGAAGGTCACGTCCCTGGGAACAACAGAGTCGAAGTCGTAGCCGAACATCTCATCGTCCTCGCCGTCTTCGTCGTCTTCGTCGTAGTCAGATTCCAAGTCGTAGCTGAAGTCGAGGCAGCACCGGCCGCAGACAACTTGCTGATGTGGTGCGCACACGGTGATGAGCCGCCCGTTGGGCAGCTCGACCTCATCGATTTCTGGCCACGGCATATTTTTGCCCCGGCTCGCCTTGGAGTGAGGTGAATGGGGAATGGTGAAGATAACAAGCAATTGCGAGGGATAACCTCGACTTTTCTTTTTCTGCTCATCTCGGGTGAGCAAGGTGGGGGGGCTAGGTATGAAACCCCCGAATTGTCCGTGAATTTAGATTGAACGTAACGCTGTATCCATCGAGATAAGTCGGCCCCTTTGCGGCTGGAATTGTAAAGGTTGCAATCCAATCCCCAGAAACTTTAATCTTGGAATGAATTCCACTAAATGGTTGATTATTTTAATCCTAATTCTTCCCTTATTTGGTAGCATTGTCAGTAATCGGTGCGAAACCTTCGAGGTCCGTAGAGCGTCAGACGTCGCTCGATGTCGAGATGATTCCAACCTGGTTGGCTCACGATCAATCGACAAGTTGATCTGTAAGTGCTAACGGTTGTTGTTTTCCGGCAGAGCAGCCACCACTGCCCACATCATGCCTCCGTACCTCCACCTTGGGACATCTTAGCCGAAATCAACTACTTTTCGAGCATTTATAACGGGATGATGTGTCGTCGAACACGAAGATGATCATTTCATACATATGGAATGAACTGCATCCGAATTGTCCCGTGAAACGTGCAACATGGCAGCCTACAATCCAGTCTCAAGCCTACCGCAGACAGTGTGCAGCGTCGCCTTTCTCAAGCGCAAGCCCGGCTTGACGCAAGAAGAGTTCTATCACCATTGGGAGAAGGTTCACGGCCCGCTCGTAAAGCCATGGGCTCAGAAACACGGGTTCATCTCTTACACCCAGGTGAATTGCCCCCAAGACCGTTTCAATCGCCAAGACTCATCAATGCAGGTACACTCGGCAGAGGCAATGAACAAAGGAACTGCGCCAATAGGCCCTGAGTCTAGCGATGCCAACAAACTTGAGGAATTCGACGGCTGTGCTGTGTTCGAGTTGCCCAGCTTCGACGTGTTCGCTGCCGCCTTCAAGGACGAGTACTATCTTCAGGTCATTGAACCGGATGAGAAGAACTTCATCGACAAGAAAGCCGGAGTGGTCAGGTCGAGGGGCGATATGAAGAAGATCCTCTAGATGGAGACTTTTGGGTTTGAGTTTGTAAGCCAATGTGTTACCTGCGTCGACGACGAGTTTCTGGACAAAATGGAGCTTAGGGCAGGTGAGATTGGGCATTGGAAACCCCATGACATCGACGACCCTAGTCATAGAGCTGAGGCCCGGCTTAAGTGACAGCAGTTCCAATGTAATGACATGAGCGACTTGCAAAATAGCTCAAAAGAAATTCGAGATTCATGTCTGACTTTACCACTAGAGTGCGACGTAAACCGACTTCAGTTCCGTCCAGTGGTCCGTAGCATACTTCGAACCCTCCTTGCCTTCGCCGCTCTCCTTCCATCCGCCAAACGGCATGTCGATTGCCATGGTAGGGCTCGTGCAGTTGATACCGACATTTCCAGCCTCGAACCTCTTTGCAATCCTGAGAGCCCGCGAGATGTCCCGGGTAAAGACAGAAGCGTACAGGCCGTAGCTAGTATCGTTGGCGATATCCAGAACCGCCTGCTCATCGTCGAAGGCGTTCACGCACAACACGGGACCGAAGATTTCCTCCTTCATGACCCTCGAATCCTTCGGCGCGTTCTTGATGATGGTGGGCTGGACGAAGTACCCTTTGTCCCCCTTTCTCCCTCCTCCCGTTACAATCTCCAGGCCTGAACTCTTTGCCTCGTCCAAGAAGCCCATGACTCTCTCAAACTGCAACTTGTCCGCCTGAGGGCCGCGCTGGGTACTTCGCCCCAATGGATCTCCAGCTGCACCGATCCGATCCATCTCGACCTTGAGAGCATCGATGAACTTGTCGACAATCTTGGAATGGACAAAGACTCTGGAGCTCGCGACACATGCCTGACCAGAGTTGATCAGGATCGAAAATGCAGCGGCGGGGGCCGCCTTCTCGAGGTCGGCATCGTCGAAGATGATCAACGGGCTCTTGCCGCCGAGCTCCAGGGTGACCTTCTTCAAGTTCGACTCAGCGGCGGCCTTCTTAATGGCACGACCGGTGGCTGTAGAGCCGGTGAAAGAAACCTTGCGGATTTCCATGTGGCGTGCAATGGCCTCACCGCAGGGACGTCCGTAACCGTTGAGGATGTTCAAGACGCCCTTCGGCAGGCCGATCTCCTGACAGCATTTGGCCACGACCAAGGGACTGAGAGGGGCCTTCTCGGATGATTTGAGCACCAGCGTGTTACCGGCAATGAGCGCTGGACCGATCTTCTGAACTACCATGGCAATGGGTGCGTTCCATGGAGTGATTGCACCGCATACGCCGTAGGGCTGCCGCAAAACGATGTTCAACATGCCCGGGGTGTTGAGAGAACTGTCTCCCTGGATGTCGGTAGCTTTCCCAGCGTAATATCGTAGCTGCGTCATAGAAATTGCGGTTGCCACTGGTCTTATGTATCAGTGAGATTATCTTTCACGCTCATGGGATTTTGACTGACTGTCGGAATCAACGGGCTTGCCCATGCTGACAGCGTCGAGATACGACATCTCTGCAAAGTGCTTCTCCATGGCGTCGGCCAGCTTGAACAGGTATCCTCCTCGTTCGCTGGCTGCGAGCTCAGACCATGGTAGAAAAGCTGCTTTGGCAGCCGCTACTGCGTCGTTGACATCTTCAACGTCTGCCTCGAAAACGGACGCAGTCTTCTCCTCAGTGGCGGGGTTGTAGACATCGAATTTCTTCCCGCTGCGAGAAGGGACGAACTCGCCATTGATGAATAGACGATTCTCGATCGGCATCTGTTTGAGGGCCTCAACAGAGTCCGAGATGATTGGGAGCTCAGGGGGCGACATTGTTAGGGACTTTCGTGATGGCTCTGGGTGAAGTGCTTCTCGGTGGTTCTCAAAGAGGCGGTGAGGCGGTTTGGGAGAGGGTAGTTGACAATGAAGACGAATTTCTCCCGTTTCTTATAATGAGACTACATGTCTATCTTCAACTCCATAGTTCGCAGCTGGGGGACCTGCATGACCTTTGTCTGATGAGGTCGCACAGTTGAGATGTGCTATCTCCGAAGTCCGTCTCGGTGTGCATGAGGCGTTACATTCGATTTTCGCCAAGTCCCAGCCAAGCCGCAAATATCACATCTATTTACGTCACTCGATGTTTTTAAGCTGTTGTTCTAGGTCAACACTGGCTCTCGACGTGGCCGTCATACGAGTCCTATGAGGGGTATCTGCGGCAGCGTTGTGGATCATCACGGGACTTCGCATGTTAGTGGGTATGTACAGGTATGTTTCCTCATAGAATGAACCTATGCTCTTCGGCTTAGTTTTCTCCACCCTGAAGTTTCCTGGTACTAGCTGAATTGCTTGTAAGTTGTGAATATTGTAGAACGCAAGATATACTCGATTGGTTCTCATGGACGAACACTTTACTATCCGGTCTTAACGTTGGCGGTAGTCCCTTGCCTTCTCTGGGTACGCCAAGAGAAGGATTGATCCTCATTCCCGACCCCGCTCTCCTAATTTAGTCCTGAAGAGGGGTCGCAGCGTTGCATTTCTATATGCAATCCCCCAGCTCCTGTTGAATCCAAGCTCAGCTCAGCAACGGAGATCAGGAAGACTTTTGGCCCTTTTGAGGTTCGTTATTGATTTACTGTTGATCTTGCTTGGGTAGAAAAGGTGTCATTACAAATCGGGCTTGAGGTCCGGGGTCCGCCATGATGCCGTTTCCCGAACGGCTTGAGCCTGGGAAGACTAGGAGAACAGCTTATAGAGCGTGTTATGCTCATTGATTCAAGTTGGGACAACAGAAGTCACTGTAGCTAGTTTCGGTTTTGTATGCAAACTATTTGCATGCACTTCCAGTTGTTAGGCAATAAGGGACTGGAGGCGAGCCAAGATCTCCGGCCGCTTAAAGCTGACGTACCAGCTAGACGTCAACGGTGATAGCTTCCAACCAAGCTACTCATATTTTCTTCCCAATCATTGTAATCTATAGGCAGTTTTTATATGTCAAGTGTTGCAATGAGTTGCAAAAGGAAAGCCTTGTACGTACGCAGAATACGTACATATCTGAGTGTGTGGTAAAATGAGGAGGTCCCAAAAAATAGAGGAGACAAAAACATACAACACCAGGTATTCGCTGGTCGTCACCGACCCAACTACTAATCCGGCCCTCATTGGCTTATCTATGGGAGAGCGGACGGGATCCCGAGTTTTCCAATGGGTATGATCGTATGTGATAGCTTGAGTAAGTCAAGCTGTTCATGTAGGGCCTCCCGGATGCAGTTCAAGCTGAAGGGTTGCGGTAAACGACTACGCACGAGACTTCTCGAGAACTCAAACACACCCAACAAGCGAATTTTCTCTCGTTCGGCAGATTCTAGCTATCCGGCTGTTGTGGAATTTGAGGAAGGTGACGGGGTTGTGGATGTAGGATAGGTTTCGGCACGAGGCATTGAGGTTTGGATAAGCAACTCAATAACCATGACAGCAACGACAAGGGAAGCATGAACGTACGGGTCTTGGACTTGGGAGGAACACATAGCATCTATCAACGGGAAAGCCTTTTTCAGGATACTTGGTTCTATTAATAGCTTTTGCTGGCCGAAACGTCGCGCAGAAAAAACACCCAACCCAATAGGCTCCAAGTTTCTTGCTATAAACATCAAAGCATCTCTATCAAAATACGGGGTCATATAAACAGAAAAGGCTGTCCTAAGAATCAAACAATCTCTCTCGAGATGGTCACAAACATGTGAGCGTATTAGAGCTTTCGTAGCATGTACGGACTCGGGGTTCGAAATCGAGAAGAACCCTTCACACTTTCTTCGACGACAACCGTGCTCGAGTATCAACACAACTGAACCGAGGACTCAAAGCGCTCCCCGCAGCATGGGAGCAGACACCTCGGTAATTTGCGATTTGCTCACGTTGCTTGGAGCATAGATGCGATGGTGGTTATCAGATGATGAGATTCACAGAGAAAATCACACTTGATAAACTCAAGACCATACAAGTACGATGAGGCTTGTCATCTACTCTTCAGATAAGGGTTCGTGAGTCAAGTCGTAACATTTCACGTTCTAGGGATTAGTAGCTTCTTGTGATCGCAATAATTGTCTGTATTTCCAGTATTCTCATGGTATTGCCCCAGATCAAGTCTTAACTTACAAGAAAAGCTAGCGTATATCCCAGCCGTACAACTCCAAGCGCTTATTAAATTTGATACAAATCCACTCGTCCGTTAACACTAAGAGCTCTTGCTGCAGGCGCTGTAACTATCGAACCCCGATGCTTGTTGCCATGTCGTCAAGTGCCCAATCAGCGTCGGGTCGATATCTCGGTTTGCCTTGATGAAGATGGTCTCGTATGGATGAACATTGGTGCCGAAGTATTTTCCGTTCCAAAGCACATCTCCGTTCGTCGAGCTGTCGCACTCTTCGATATAGTTCTTCGACTTATGGAAAGCCGACATCATCAGATCCACCTGGTAACCCTGCTTTAGAAAGGTGCTCGTAGCACCGATCTCTGCGTGCACGGCGTGATTCCAACCATCGTAGCAACCGGCCATGCCGACTGGGTCGTTTTCGGTACCGAAGTCGTCGCTAACAGAAGAGCTCTTTGGAGGGTTCAGGAGTAGGTCAATGCCGACGCTGTCTGTGGCCCAGATCATGGACTGAACGTGGAATCGGGGCCAGCAGTTGGCTGTCATACCAACCAACTAGTTCAAGTCAGCACCACCCACAACCGACATAGCATATACTGAAGTCTTACCTTGACTTTGTCGGTGATCCGGTCCAGATATAGATCGCTCCAGCACGACTTGGACCCCCAGTGTGGGAGGAAGGGACCACGAATACTCGCATTCAACGTAATGAATCGCTTGTACTTCTTATATAAGTTATCTTTTCGTAGGACCTCGCCGTATGCGCCAAGATCGAAGCAGGTGTTGGGGCGGTTGACGACCTGGATGTTCTTTTTCTCGGGAATAATGCTTGAGGCGTTCGTTTCACCATTGAGGATAAACACGAAATCGGCAGCATCATGAAGACCTTGTTTGACGAAGAATTGGAGGTTTTCACGGGCAGGGGCGGACTCGGCAAAGGCGTACAGGATGAGAGGCCTGTCGCCAGGGGAAGCCGATGCAGGCTTAGATGACTTCGAGGATGAAGAAGCCTTGCTTGAGTCGCCAACGGCGCCCGTCTCTTTCGAACCCTTGATAGACGGCTTCGATGGTCTTGGATCCTTCGATGCAGCTTTATCGTCGTCGTTCTCGTCATACCATGGTGGCAGGGTGAATTGTGGCGATTTGTCTGGCCGGGAGACATCCGGGGCGGGCTTCGGTTTGTCGGTCGAGGGTAAGTCCGGTAGGTCTGCAGGCTTAGCCTTCAAGTTTTCTGGCTGTTCATGTGTCTGGATATGGAATAGTTAGAGCTGCTTGACTTGGCAAGTATCTCTCTGGCAACTTGCGATGTGTGTAAGTGACTTTGGCGATGTCTGAGTGAACGTCGACAGCGTCCACAAGAAGACAAGAAACATGACCAGCGCGACAGCGGTCTGCCTGTTTACTGGAAAGATCGAAGCCATAGCTCCGATGGGTTTGACAGCACGTCCGGGTATTTGGAGCAATAGCTTGGGCCTGATCCTCGCCCGCCTAGGAGATCAGATAGACGGCAACCGATGAACCGAGGGTAGCGCAAAGAAATGGTTCGGAAGAAGAATGGCCAGCCATGAGACGTTGCACTGTGACGTTCAGCAGTGGTAATAGAAAGAGAAGCTCATGCTAGCTGAAGTCGAGGTGGAAGAGAGTTGTTCTCATGTCGGAGGAAAGTCGCATCAGAACAAGGGACCCTGTCCCAAATTTGAGGGCAGGGAGCTCCATCTGACATTTGCGCCACGCCTGGCAGGAATTTGTGAGGGAGGGGTGGATTACATAGTACAGTAGCAAGCATGGTTGAGAAGAGGGATGGAAAATGAAGTTAGAGTTTCTGAACTGGACTGGTATGTTCTGATGAGAGACAATAGCCGTGGCTCAGAGCTAGCGGCGGCCGGAGATCACTGCCAAGCAAGCTACTACTCGTTCAGGTTGTCGGTGATAGTAAAGCATCACCGAACGGGAACACAGCATACCGCTGTCGTACAAGACCGTTATTTCTCGCGGAGAGTTGTACGTGGCTTTGGAGGCTCGGGGGATCTACGATGCGGTGGACTCGTAAGAAGCCCACAGTCCACGTCCCTTAGTGGAACTCAGATCTGTAGCTGCCGTGTTCCCCCACTCATCCGACCGGGCGGCTGGCACCTGGGATACGTCACGTCCATCAATATGAAGCCAACGGTCTGAATGGTGGCTCAAAAGCTTTTTTAGCATCCTGCATCACATCTCGCTCCCTCGTACGACACGAGATTTCGCCTTATCGGAGGCGTTTCTTCTTCCCAGTTGTTGCGCTCAACACATCGGGGGGCTCGTTCGAATGCCGGCCGCCTCTGCAGCCCTTGCATTGGTCCCTTGCATTCTGCACCTGGCGATTGGTACGATATGTCAATGGCGTAGATTTCCAACGCTATTCATCGACCGAGATTTCCATTGATTCTGCAAAGTGCTTTCTTTGGTCAATTGGCTTCTTAACTAATGCAAGGACTATTTGAGCGAGAGACATGCTCGCACGTCAAATCCGCTAGATTTGACGACCGCCGAGCCTTGCATGCTGAACTTTTTCCACCTGGGAAAGCCTGACTTTGCAGCCAAGAACAGAACAACTTCGTCGTTTCAACAGTCGTCAGCGAAAATGGACGGCGAAAGGCGAAATCTTATGATGGAAGATGCAGTGACCGGAGTTGTTGCAGAAGAGAGCGTCTGCTGAGCCGGAACTTCCTTATCTGGAAATGGTGTTGGCAAGAGTCGCTATCTCGAGCGGGGGTTGCACCGAGTGGAGGCCGCTCTTACCATCTTCATCCTCCTGGACTGAAGAGAAGAAGCTTATCAACCCGTCAACCTCATCATCCAATTTCATTCAGCAAGGGACTCCCAGACTGTCGCTCTTCATTGCCCCTAAACACCATGTCAGCCATCACAATTCAGCCGCCACTTTCGCGACGTGGCCACGGCCCGGGCCTCCTCATCTTGGTTGAGCAAGGAATTGACCTGTCCAAGCATGACAAGATTCTAGATCCCCCTCCAGCGCAGAAATGGGCTGAAGAAGGATACGCTGTGGCGCAGATCGTCGTTGCAACTGGAGACAGTGAAGTTACGAACAAGATTGAGTCCGCAATCGAGAGCCTCAAGGCTCTTGAAAGCTGTGACGATAAGGACAGATTTGGCGTCATCGGTGAGCCCCTCACTGCCACACGTACAGTCCACCATCTGACTATATTGGAAAGCTTGTCTCACGGCTTCGTCCACCCAAGTTGTGGAAGCGATTCAAAATAATGCTGAGATCAAGGCCGCTGTCTTTTTCAACTTCTCGCAAACTCTCACCATTCCGACTTTGTCGCATGTTTCAGGGCCCGATAACATCAGCAGCAAGGCAGCGCCTCCGTCCAAGACGTTTTCCTACGCTGCGAATGACTTTTTTGTGATACCGAGCCATCGTCACTTTAACGCCAACGCCGCCGGGCTCGCCCACACCCGCACACTGACCTTCTTGAAACCCATCTTGGGAGGGCCTTACTTCGACCTCGAAGCCGTTTGGGAAGAGCACACGCTCTTTGAATTCGGGGAGCGAAACGTCGAAAAGACTATGGCCACAATGGTCGAGCAGCCTTATGTGAGTTTATCCAAGGGCAGCGACGGGGAGCGGTGCTGAGGATCAAAAGGTCAACCATATTCCTACACTCACTGGCGGTATTGGTCGAGCGCGGCTCACCAATTTTTACACAAACCACTTCGTTTTCAATAACCCGGAAGACACTGAGCTCGAACTGGTGAGCCGTACAGTAGGCATTGATCGAGTAATCGACGAGTTCGTATTCAAGTGTACCCATGATAAGGTCATTGACTGGCTGTAAGTGCCCTTGCTACCGTGACACACCGTTCTGTCTTACAAATTCGATAGACTTCCTGGTGTCCCTCCCACGGGCAAGCATCTTTCAATTCCCTTTACAAGTGTTGTGAACGTCCGTGGAGACCATCTCCACCACGAACACATTGCTTGGGACCAGGCGACCGCATTGCGCCAGCTGGGTTTACTCCCCGAGTACCTCCCCTTCCCGTACCAAATCAACGGCAGCGGCCCGGCCAGCGGTAAAAAGTTCGAGTATCGGTTGCCAGTGGCAGGTGTGGAATCGGCACACAAGCTTGTGGATGAGGGAGCGGTCGAGTCGAATGGGATGTTCGAATACGGTACGAGGGAAGTCGACGCGTAGGCGGATCATGAATCCAGACCAAGGCGTGTATCAAGGTCAGTCACTCCTCGCGGGTGGTCGCTGATTCTGACGATGACGAATCTTTATTAGTTTTATTACGCTCGGCTATTATTAATACACGCTCTTCATTAGCAATTCATGATCTACACTCGAGAGCCAAGACCCGAGGACGAAGCGCTTCTCGAGGAAGACTGGTACTTCGACTCGTTGTACTTGGGCTGCTCCTCGCCCCAGCGGACCTCTTGATCAACCTTGATACGGATGCCACCCTTGAGTGAGAGATCGTCGTCTGAGCCGGAGTCGGCAGGGCCCTTACCGCCTTCAGATCGCCCAGTTACGCTCGTCGTGACACCGTATTTGCCGTCCTCAGTTCCGAGACGCTTGAACCCTCTGTCGGCCGACTTGCCGCCGGTTCCTCCAATAGTCATGAGCTCCGTGGGGCCACGGCTGCCCATCTTGGTCGCACGCCCGCCGCTCTGGCCTCCGGAAAGGTTGTACTTGGTTGCGATGCTGCCGAATTGCGAAGACACCTTGACCATGAGCGGGCGAAGTGTTGGCAAGCAAGCACTGATAACACCACAGGCGCACTCGACGACACACCACGTGCAGGCAGTAGCGAGAGTCCCTATCGAGGTCAGCATGGGATGTCACACCGAGGATGAGGGACTTACAGGTCGTGTCTGTGAGCTCGAATTGCATAATCGTCGTGAAGCGGTAGATACTGGCAAACAGAACGCTGCCTTTGTTAGTGGTTTGCTGAACACCGAGGATCACAGTACTCACAATCCACCAAGCAAGAACATGAAGCACAGCGACAGACGCTGCACCATGGTGACCTGCAGCCTCCACACCTCTTTAATGGGCAGACAGAGGATGGCGACGTCCGTCAAGATGTTGGGGATGGCGTTTCCGATGAAGGAGGCCTTCAAGTCGATACAGGTGCCGTCGATCCATGGCATATACGCCTTGGCAACAGGTGTGCACTGGAACACGCAGACCAGGACGATCGAGATCCACCATCCGATGGTGAGGGCACCGAGGACCATGGCCGAGATCTTGAATCCGCGGGACGGGAAGATGCGGCGGTACATCAGCAACAGCGACAGCTTGATGAACATGACCGCCGTGACGTAGATGCATTCGAAAGCCAGAAGCAGCTTGAGGAACTGCACCTGCTGTTCCAAAGTAATCGTTGAGGCATGGCGTCCGAGACCTTGGCCAATCACTATCATCGAGGTGAGTTTACGTCCGACTTGGGATGCTGCGGCTAATGCGCTTACTAGCATAGTTGAGGGCACCGGCCATGAAGGTGACGATCTGGTGTCGACACGTTAGTCTCATTGGCAACTCTACAGACACCCGGAACACGCACCAATCCAACCACCATGAACCAGTCATCGAGGCCATAGTTGAAGCCAACCGTCCATCTCGCCCAGAACCGAAGCCCAACGAACACCGTTGCGAGAACGAGCAGCGCCGTTGTCGTACCGCTCAGTTCTGGCCCTCTGTCCGCCAAGGGATCCGTTATCGTGGTGTCGGCCATTGCGGCTGAAAGAGAAGGGAAGGAAAAGATGGAGACCGGAAAGGCCGGCCAAAAAACCAATATCTGAGCGCGGATTACGAAAGATATATGAAAGAAATGACAAGCAGGCAGAAAATCAGCTCGAAAGGGACAGAATGGGTCCCGATGTGGGAAGCGCAGCAGCGTCTCTAGAGTCCTTATACACGATTTTGTCGATAACCCTGCTCGCGGAAAAAAAAGGTGGTAAGACTGCAACTGACTCGGCACTTGAGGGGCAACAAGATGCCGGTAGCAACGAGGCAATTGTCGATGGGGTCCTCTCTCAAGGGGCACGTCGCACTTGGGGGTATCCAACGGTACATCAATTTAACGGCGATGTCGAGCCCTTGTCCATACCCAGAGTGGCACCGTCGCGACCCTGGACGTCTGATCGCAGCTAACATCACGGGAGTTCAGACAGCGACCCATCGTCGATACCACCTCATCACGCCCCATCCAACGGTGTCCATCATCTCAATCGAGGCATCATCCTCCGTCCTCTGCTCTCCATTCGGAAAAGGGGAATATCATGGGACGGCGTGGGCACATGGATGATGACGGGCCACGAGATTGGGGAGATTGAGGGAACGTCTCCTCGGACTTGGTTCATGGGAGCAATTTTCGACGAGGATAAAACCGTCCAGTTCGTCGCACCTCGTGGCATTTTCTTCTTGGTTTCCTCACGCTCGGCACCCTTAATTGTTTCCCCCCCTACCGCCTCGTCTGTCAAGTCTCCTGGGCATTGCCCCTAGATCGATCCAAAATCCCAACTTAATCGTTCCTTACAAGGCCTTCGGCATCCCACCTTCGTTACCAAGTCACTCCTTTATACGGCTCCTCCAGTCTCCTCTTCAGTGCGTCGACTTAATATACACGCACCTCTTTCAAGCATCGATCGACAGTTGTCTGTGTAACTCACACCCTTGACAAAACCACTCTATCTCAGAAAGACAGAGTCCCAAAAACGAAAATGTTCCCCAAGATCGTGAGCCTCCTCACCTCGGCCCTTGCGGTTTCCGCGGCCGTCCTGCCCCGTGCGGAACTGCCCACCATCGTCTTCACCCCGGGTGCCTGGCACGGTCCGCAGTCCTTCGACCTCGTCCGCGCCGGCCTGACCCTCAAGGGCTACCCCTCCGAGGCCATCACCCTGCCCTCCGTCGGCGCCGAGCCCGCCACCGTGAGCCTGGACGAGGACGCCGCCGTCCTCCGCTCCACCCTCGAGACCCTCGCCGACGCCGGCAAGCAGATCGTCCTCGTCGTCCACTCCTACGGCGGCATGGTCGGCAGCAACGCCGTCAAGGACCTCGGCTGGCAGCAGCGCGCCGCCGCCAGCAAGACCGGTGGTGTCATCATGATGGTTTACCTCGCTGCCTTCGCCGCCCCCAGCAACACCAGCCTCGTCGACATGCTGAGCGGAGAGTTCCTTCCCTGGATGAGAGCCGATGTAAGTCTAATTACGGCCACAACTGTCATTATTTTGAGCCCTTTCCACTAACACGTACAACAGGGTGACAAGGTCTACGCCGACACGCCCGAGACCATCTTCTACGCCGACGTCGACCCCGTTCTCAAGGCCAAGGCCATCGCCGAGCTCAGCTGGGAGTCGAAGCGCGTCTTCTCTGACGACGCCACCTACGAGCCCTGGAACCAGGGCATCGAGGTCATGTACTTCCACACCCAGCAGGACCAGGCCATTCCCATTGCTACCCAGGAGACCATGGCCGCCCAGTTCCCTGCCGGCTACACCACTTTCTACGCCAACACCTCCCACTCTCCCTTCCTCTCCCGCCCCGACCTCGTCATCGAGGGTGTCGAGCTTGCCGTCACCAACGGTCAGGCCAAGCTTGCCTAAGCTCTTCTCTGAAAGAACTGGATGTGGTTGGGAGATGTGACTTATCATGTGCGCTCTCGTATAAGTCATGGAGATGGATACCCTTTTTATGAGGAATGATAGACAATAAAAACTATTTCTCACGCAAAACTTCAACTATCACTTACTGGCTTGTGAAATCATTCGTGAATCATTCCCAAATCGTTCGAGAATAGCCTCACTAAGATCTGTTGGCTCTCATCCCATCCAAGTCCACATGTGATTGAAGAAAGAGCCACCGGAAGTTGTCCGTACCCCGTCAAGATCGCCGCATCGGTATTCTTCAAGACACAGATCTGCACGCGAAGCTTCAGAAAATCAGAAAAAGCTCCCCTCCCCTGCAGAGAGGATACCGGATTCGCGACGCGGCAGTTACCGTTTCCTCTTTTCTCCCCCGGGCTCCTCTTCAGAGGCAATCCAAGAGTTGAGAAGGCAAAAAAGGCAAAGAAAGCACGAAGGTCAAGGCGGAGAAAAAAAGGAAAGACTGTTTTGGGCCATGGTTAATCTACCAACACATGATAAGAGTCAACAAACAGCCCACCTCCGGTCCTCCACGACTCATCCCACGTACCAAAAAGAGAGACTGCCGGAAATCGCCATGTCAATATTTCGCCCGCCGGCTACCCTACCACCCACGTGTTTCCTTTCCCTTTCAATGATCATTGATCACACACAGACCCCCCGACGATTACGAACCGTCCGGCTCTGACCCTGGCCCAGAAGCGACCGTTAGACGGCGGCGACGCCCCGCAGTCCTCATGGCATTGTCTTCAGCGAAGGGTCCCCGGTCAAGTCAAGGTGGGGAGGCCAGGCCTCGAAGACCGCAGGCGAAGCAGACCTGAGAGAGAAGGGAGAAAAAAAGGGGGGATTGATCTGGTTTGACGGGTGGGAACATTCCACCCGGGTCAAGAGGGCAGCATTACGAGCGTTCGTGCGTTGACACAAACCGTTGATCTGTGTGCCAAAACATTAGTATTATTCTTGCGTTGCAACAGTTTCGAATTCGGATGACATGTAGTCGGAAAAAACATGTCGTCAAAAAAAGAACAAGCCGGCACTTATCCCCCGAACCGAGTCTCGCCAAGTGTTGGTTGACGATTTTCCCGCCTAAGCACAAAACAGACAAGTTTCCGACACGCCGCGGCGCGGGAAGGATTGTTTTCATAATCGACTTCTGGCTGCACCAAGCCGCATCGAGCTCGGAATATGCAAGCTCTGAAAAGATGTGCTCGCGGCGCGGCAATCCGAACCAGAAAAACACGAAATGAAGCTACACCGCAATCGGCAATCGGAGGACCGGGCGTGGCTTGACCCCACATCTCCTTCTCTCGGCCCCCGGCCGACCCGGAGAACGCGTCCTCCACGCTGCTTAAACCAAAGACGGAAACGTGACCCGGACCGCAGGCCTCGCATGAACGGTACGGAATTGCGCGCGCTGGATATGGTAGTTTGTAATCAATTCAGTGTGGAAAGGTGAAGACTGAAGAGTCTGTGTGTTTTCAATTCTTCTACTGCTGTACCTTCCACTTTTCCCTTGGCTGCGGATGTTTCTGGACCGGACTGTCACCCTACTGCGCGGCATATTACGTGCGCGACGTTATGTAGCATTGGCTCTCGGACGCACGCGATCCACCACCGCCATCGCTATCTATCGCACCCGTCCGATACAGAAAAGACGATAGGGAAAGGGGTCTCGAACGTCCTGACGGAGCGCGTTCAACCCACCACCGAGCGGACGTGTTACTGTTCAGGTGAGTGGGATTTTTTTCGATGATATACCTCGGTCTGTATTGGGCGGAGCCAATATGAGAACGGACGTGCTACTGCTCAGGTGAGTGGGAGTTTGAGAGGTATATACCTCGGTCTCTATAGATCAATCAAATCATCACCTTGAAACTTTGACGGCGAGAAAGATTGTATAAGCTTATCAATCAAACGAAACGAACAATCCCAATCGCAAATTAGACTTTCAGCTCAAGCAAGATTGACAACTTTGACAACTGGAGAAACACTCAACTCTCAACGTCGTGCTTTTTCTTTTCCGTTCTTCTCCTTCCCAACTCCCAGTCTAGCGTAAACGCGCAATCGTTTCACGCGATCCAACCCAGGTTCGTTAGCAGTTAGCACGCTTAAGACGTTGTGCCCCCCGGTCCCGGTCCCGGCACGCACCACCCCGGGTCCCCTTGCAAGCAACGGTTTGCCGGTTGGCCCTGGGCCAACCGGCGAGCCAGCACCTGCCAGCCTAGCGCGGTTGTCAAATTTCCTCTGACGTGAAGCTATCCTTTGACAGGTATCTTGACAGGACGATCACGTTTCACCGGATCAATCCCCGCCGTCCTCCCCCCCCCGAGGGCCAGGAACGGACGGATGGGCAGCGGCAGCAGGCTACGGGTTTGACGGGTTCGTCCGTGGGCTTACGAGGTGTTCGTACGCTGATCAACAGCAAAAAAATTTAAAGAAATCCTTCACCGGAATCTAAGAAACTCAATTCTCTGGATACCCGGGCTGGCAGGCATGAGGCTTTCAAAGGGGGGCGGGCGAGAGGGAGATCGTTGATCGTCATTTTGGTTGTGATTGTCGAATATTCTAGCGCGGTCCCCCCTTTGGGGGAGGAGAGATGCTCCAGAGTCCAAACGGTTTCACGAGAATAAATAACGCTTCTCTTCCTTCAGGAGTCTCGAGTTACAGAACCCGCGGGGTCGTGATTGACGTTTTGCAACGACGGCTCGGTAGCGGTTGGTTCATCGACAGGCTTCCATCGTCGCATCCCCCGAGAATGTCACCTGACGATCTTATAACGCAGGTTGACAGCGGTCAGTTTCACTATCCTCCTCACCGGGTGCGCAGACTGCCGCTCTCTTTCTACGCGGTGATACGCTCTGGCTTCCGCCCCCAAAACAGCGCCCTCGTACGGAATATTTCCATCGCGGGTTGGGCTTCCGGCGTCCGGCGGGAACAGTACGGGCGTCGAGAGATCTTTCGTTCTTACCAGGGGGAGAGAAGCGGCCAAGCCTCGAGGATTCCAGCATCTCAATCAAGGAAGTTGAAGAAATCCCTTCCAAAGTTCCCGACGCGGGGAGACATGCCACACCGGCACCCCCACCCTCGGACGCAGATCTGTATTTTAACAAAGCGACGGCGCCAAGATCCAGTGAGATCAACGAGGAAACCGACAGCGACCTTCCAAACGACTCTGCCTCTTAGCGAATCTGGATGTTGAAATAATGAGAGAATCAAGATTTGTGACCCAGGGAAGGAGGAATAGTTGGCGCACCGAGGATCATCAACCGGTTTGGTTCGGTGCAAAACGGCTGACGTGCCCGGATTGGATGTTTCCACTTCGCTTCCATTTCTGCTGCTCGATACCACAAAGCAAAGCCGGTTACCTCGGACTTTCATTCAATACTGACACGGGATACACCACGGGATTTGATTTCCAAGTCCCGCGAGAGGTCCGTGGAAGGCTGAACAGTCTGCCCGGGGGCCGAATATTGATTCAATTGCCCCGAAAGCTGAAAAGCCTGGCTGGTAGAGAGCGACAGGGCTTACGAAATGAGTAAAAACATGCGATCCGCTTACTAAAAGAGACGTTTTTGCCAGGGGAGGCGGCTGGCCGGCAAGCGACGACCCCAGCTTTCTACGCTGCCGGTGAGTCGGGCCCTACGCGAGGTCAGGAGAGATGTCAGTTCATTGAGTCTGAGCGGCGTCGCATCTTCAAAATACAGAATGTCGAAGGGCCAACCACGTGTCTGGTGAAGGTCTTCAATGGGATGTTGCCAACATGGGGTTCATTATTCTCTGTCTTGGTTCATTCATCGTCGAGATTATTATACACTCTTACTTCATGCCCTTGGTGCAACCATAAATGCGGGAGTTGTACCTCTTCTTTCGCCAGCCCATGCGTGTGATATAAGAAAAAGAAAAGTCCAACCATGTCCATGCTTTATCGTCGGGTCCTTCCAGCGGCCACTCGCACGTACAATGACAGCTGACTGTCTCATGGTATATAGGCCCCGTCGAGTGGATTTTCAGTTCGTAAGGAAATAGGTACAAAAAGGCCTGCGCCGCGTGTCCTGGATAGAAACACGAGACAACAGCCCAGAGAAGCGAAGGGGTATCGTTTGCGCCACCACATCTTATGTGATAGGGGTGAGGAAAGGACTGAGCATGAGGTCATCGGCACTTGGACGCAGGTTGTGGTCGATCTCGAAGGTTTGCGAAAGGAACGTCTGGGCGTCTTCGGACGCATGCTCTGGAATCGTAGGCGCAGCCTTGCCGCCGCCAATCTTGAAGATGGCTTGCAGCTGACTGCAGTCGGGGTAGGGGTGTGTGCCGGTCATCATCTCGACGACGAGGCAGCCGAGGGACCAGATATCGGCCTTGCGGGTGTATGATGTCTGCTTGACGACCTCAGGAGCCATCCAGAAGACGGAGCCCTGGAGTGACGGGCGGTGCTTGTTGTTGTTCGCGCCGCTGAGGATGTTGGACGCCTCGAGCTTCTTGGAGATACCGAAATCGGAAATCTTGATGGTACCCTTGTTGTCGACGAGAATGTTGGCACCCTTGATATCTCTGTGGATGATGTCCCGGTTGTGCAGATACGACAGACCAGTGAGAATCTGGCGGACGAAGCTGCGAACCAAGGGTTCGGGCAGTGCGCCATATGAGTTGAGCATCGTCTGCACTGAGCCACCGGGAACGTACTCGAGGAAAATGTTGAGGTACTCGGACGACGAGCTGCAACCAAGATACTGAACAATATTCGGGTGTCGAAGGTCGCGGAGCAGACTGATTTCCCGCTTAAGGGCCTCGATCATACTCTTCTTTCGTGCGTCGTTCTGGCTGTTGGCACCTGGAGCAGGAGCCTCAACCTGCTTCACAGCCAGGAGTTCACCGGTGACGGCATGTAGCGCAAGGTAGACACAGCCGAAGGAACCCTGGCCGATCATGGCTCCCTTCATCCATTTATCATCAGACCAGGACTCTCCTGCGAGGAAGCTCTCCAGCTCCTCGTCGGCATCCTCCCCGTCCTCATTGAGCGCCTGTGTGAGATCCTTGAGAGAGCCAGATCCCGTTGAACCATCAGCGTCAAAGTAGCTGCGTCTAGTGACGTTTCCTTCGGGATCCGTGACGCTCAAGGCGGCGGCACTAGCGCCGTCAGAGCTGTCGGCAAACGAGACGTAAGACTTGCGGTTCGGCTCGACGGGCGACTCCTCCTGGAGTGTGTCGAGCATTGAAGACGCGACCGAGTCGCGGAAGGCGTGCGTGGTGCGAAGGCCGGAACGAGGCTTGATCATGTTGTTGGAAGCATTGAGCCAGCTGTCGGCAATTGTGGGGATAGGGGGTGCATCTTGGATGCTGGATGCGAAGCTCAGGTTGCTGGCCACGCTGAGTCGACTGTTGACCTTGCTCAAGCGGGTTGACCTCCTCATTGACAGACGGGCGGTGCGGTCAATCTCCTCTCTCGGGTGATCAGGGAAGTAGGACGTGAGGTCAGAAGCAATCAGCTCGCTAGGAGGTCGCAAGCCACCGAAAGACCGAAGAATACCCTTGTTCCTCCTAGGTCCGGCGGACCTAGGGCCGTCATTGGATGCTGGACGTTCGAGTTCTTTGGCGGTGTTGTAGACGTTACGCTCACGGTCACGGAAAGAGACGGGAGAGAGAGGGCTCTGCAGCTCGTCGTTCCACCTCTCGCCCAATAGCTTCTGTACCTTCATCTGGCTTCTCTTGTCGACGCTCTCGAGGGCGCGACTGTGGTTCTGCTGGGCCTCCTCGATTGCGATGCCTGCGGCTCTCTCGAGCTCGGGCATACCGGGCTCACCGGCAGGCACGCGGCGCAGAATCAAGCGGTTGCGTTCGGGGCGCTTCTGGTCTTTGATGATGCGCCAGAGTTCCGTGTCGCCGAGGCGTCTGCACTGGTTGGGGTCGGGCTCAACGCCAGCCAAGACCCAAAAGCAGTAATTTCTCTCGTGGTCCTCTCGTAGGGCGAATTTTCGAAGGGTGACTCTCATGACTTCCTCGCAAGTGTTGCAGTCGGCAATCTTGACAACCTTGGTGACGCCTCCTGTTGAAATGACACGGATGACATCCTGATTCTGCGGTAAGCCAGCCATCAGTGAACCATCCATACTGGAGTTGTTCCTCGTATGGGAAGTTACCAATCGGCCGGTCTGAGGGACGGACGCCCCGACGTTACTCACATAGCCGGGACTTTGGCCATATCGCGGACGCAAAGGACGAATGGCGTCTGAATTGGGCAACGGCGAAGTAGGCCGGGAAGACGAAGTGTTCTCGATCGGGAGAGTGTCGTACTGTCTCGAATAGCGTTTGTTGAGAGAAGGGGTCGGCATCGTGCGAGCACTCGACGCAGACGGCCGCGGGGAGCCGCCTGAGGACGGCGTGTACTGCTCGAGGCCGCCAAACGAATCCTGTCGAGTGTCAGAATACGCATCCAAGGCGTCGAGGCAGGTTGACAACTTACTCTATTCCGCTTCTTCTGGTTCGCGTACGCCTTTGTCCTCAGCTTCTTAATACCGAGGAAGAGGCGGACGCGGTCGCCGACCTTCTCAATACCCATCTCTTTAAGGACATCCTTGTCGAGTTCGAGCAGGTTCTCGCCGTTGATGTGGTTCTTGCGGAACAGCTTCTCGTACTCGCCACACTTGACGCTTCGAAGGTATTCGCAGACCTTCTCTTCGTCCCAGTTCTTGACGGCGTCGGGGCCGTCGCTCTCGGAAAATTCGGACTCGGTCGGGCTGGCATATGAGGTGGGTTGATTCGGGATCGTAGGCGCCCGCCTCGAGGGCGGCATGGCACCACTCGAGACATTCGGCACCATGGAGTTGCCGGTGCTCAGGGGCGCCGGGAAAGCGGCGGTTTTGGGGGCCAGCATTGCCATCTTTGCTCGGATGGATTATCTCAAGTGGTCATTGACCGGAGTCGAATGGCTATCGTGGTGGTTTCGCGCGGGGGTTGTCTCAGCTGCCTCTCCTGGAGCGCGTCGTGCCGACAGAGGGATTCGGTGAAGTAGGTGCCCGAGACAGGGAATAAGGCGTCGGGCCGGAATGAGCTGATGGTCAGCGGCGAGGAGGAATGTGAAATGGAGTTGATGGGCGGGATGGAAGAATCTCTCTGGACGGAATGTTGGCCTCTCACTGCCGGACCACGAAGGTCTGGATCTGCTGTCTCCTAGCAGCAGAGGGAATTTGGGTGAACGAAAGTCGTGTGTGAAAATACGGGTACTCCGGCCGGATCAAGAGGAAGACGGGAGGGAGGGAAGGGTTAATGATGGATTTTGGGGGTAAAGGGAAGCGGCAGCGGATGCGGCAGGGAGGGGGCGTGTCTTGGGGTCCAGTGTTGGGGGAGCAAGCAGCCTCAGGTAAGGTACAGCGCAAGGCGAACCAAGGAGGGTACCCATCCCATAGCCAGCTCTTCTATTGTGAGAGGGGGAGAGGTACATGAGGATTCTTAGTGTTTTCAGGTGGGCATAAGGTATCTCGATTCAATAAGGGACTAGAAGCGAGCAACAAGCTTCCATCAGTTCCTTTGTGTGCTGTCGCAGCAGCCCGTGAAAGGAAAGCCGCCCAATGCAAAGATCAATGTGTGCCACAGAAACAGCCAAAACAGCCAGTTACCTCACTCTAATCCTAGGTCGTCCTTGTTTTGTCCTTAGTGAAGCATTCTCACAACGCGGCAGCACTGTCCTCGGGATGGCCCTGCAGCGTCTGTTCGCCCTTTTCGAGACCAAGATGGAATCAAGGAATAAAGCTTCTGGCTTGTGGTTCGAAGGCAGTGTTGTTTCGCGCAACGTAAGGCAAAGTAGCGAGGGAGTGAATCGTCTATTATCCCTCCTTTTCCCCCTCCCGTATTGTGTCTGTATTGTTCATCAACCACTTCAGTAGTCGATGATTCTGTGGCCGGTTTCCTCGGGTTCGCGGCGCTGTGATACCTGCCCTGCCCTGCCCTGGCATCGTGTGGACCGTCCGGCGGTGACATGACAGCAAAATGATACCTCAACTCAGGTAGGTTTTCTTCGGGATTCTTGGTGACTGGTCAGCGTCGTACCTTTCTGACATTGGTGCCTCTCCATTTTGCTGCTGACAGCTCTCCCGCGTTTCCTGAGGGTGATGAAGATGGAGACCCCTTGTTGTTCTCCTTGGCGGCACCACCCAACTGGAGGGTTGTTGCAAGGATAAAGCGGCGGCGGCGGCTTGCTGAAACTGGCTCAAGCAGGGTCGGGTGCACGTCCCCACTTCAGACTTTGGCTCTGCAGCGCATCAGCAGCAGCAGCAGTACCTGACGGGATTACTCAGCCTTGCCATTTCTTTCTCCAACATCTAATTTGCCCATCTCAATGCGTTCAAGCACCCCGTCCCTTTTCCGCCAATCGCCGACCATCTGAATATCTCGCGTCAACCATCCCGACAGAAGGCTAAGACAACACCATGCGATGGACAGTCCTCTAATTATTCCCATCACCACCACATCAAAGCTCTCCCGTCGGTTACAGCTGAGGTGCTCACAGAAGACCCTGATCCCATAAACAGCAACATATGGTCAGACGTCCCGCACCAAGGAATGCCGTGTCAACGGCGTCGTGTCAACATCCGAGCACATCAGTCACTCACTCTCTTCTCGAATTATCTCTCGAAACATCGCTGGTGTCCGTCCACTGCGCTTCAACCAAGAATTCGATAAACGCCGCCACATCCTCAGCCCGACTACCTATTCTAAGACCGTCAGCAAACCCGTCTTCGCGCCCCTTACCTTCACCTGCGGGAGGCTGTTGTCATAAAGGCACTCGAGGGCCCCTGCGACAGCCACCCTTCGACGCCTCCCACTCTGCCACGATTGGGCTATGACAAAGATAGCATCAACCTTTGTTCTACGACGACGGCTCCGGCCATACCACGGAGCGCAAAGAACACGGGGTAAATACGCCGCCATCGTGAGGCACACGTCGTCCTATCGTCACCTTATCCACCATCCCATGCCTGACCAGACCATGCCATGGCGATGAGACTCTATTCCTTGCCTGCTGCCGCAACAGCCCGGACGATCATCACGAATGTCGGCATGGCATGGGCCACCGTCCATGGGCTCTCATCACCTCCCCCCGCAACAGCCACCCGGCTGCTTGGAAGTCTCCATCACAGCAGGCCGCTGTGACTGATGTTAGCAGGGAAAACAACAACAACCGACATCGCAATGTTTGCCCGTCTCGCTCGGTTCACACGAGAGGGTCCCCGCAACGATCATACCTCCGCCGGTTCCACCATCCGTGGACGATTAACGAGGAGGAAACGGCCAAAGGGGGCAAGCAGCAAACCTCAACTAACAAGTCCGTCGCGTCCGCTGAATGGGACCACCTGAGCCCCGTGATCCAACATCAGACCGACAACCCTGAAGGCAGTTCCAAGCTTGCTTTACCAGGGCAACATCGCCACTGATAATCGTGACGGCTCAACTGAGAAGCGATGCACACTCAATCCACAATCGGCCGCGGACAACTCACAATATTTCGCCGTCAAACCACACAACGCCGACGGAGCAAAGTCTTCGCTGTGAAAACCGGCACGATAGGGCGGCGTCAGTTGGTGATTGGCTCGGTGGAATCTGCAGTCATTCAGGGCTGGATCTCTTGAAACCAGTCGTGTCGCACGTCTCAACACCCACTCCACTACCCTGCATCCCTGATTTCCCGGCGCCAACGTCCTGCTAGGTACTTGTATGCGCTCACCAGATGAGTCTCCGGAGCCAGAGGCCAGCAGACAGACATCAGCACGTTGGTTGCGCGCCAATTCTGCTAACTTTTCAGCGTCGGCATTGGCGTCTTTCAGGTTGATTAACACGACGATGTCAGGTCTGAGCCCGTTGGCGCTGTCGCAGCGGGGAGCGTCTTCACCGTCACTTTGGACGTCCTGTCATCGTGGATCATCCTGGCTCGCCGCTCCTTCCAGAGCCTCCTGAGAATCTTTTGCAGCGCCATGGCAATCACCGCCGGCCGTCGTTCGGAGCTGGCTGTTGACTTTTTCCTGTACGAGCCGCCATGTAACCTGTGACACCTCGAACTTGGGGAGAATGCCATCTGGCGGAAAGACACATTCCAGCTGACCTCGTGTACGCAATCCACTAATGACGAAACTTTCTTTTTGCGCACGAAACGACATTGCTGCTGGTAATATGGTTACCTGACGATGCTATTTTCAAAGACTTGCAGCCGTTTGTGCCGCGGTCGTACAGCATCGTGCAGGGCAATCTACTGGCTTTGCATATCACCGTCGATTCCTTCTTCTGCTCGCTACCCATGGTGGAGATCTGCAGTCATGCAAAGGAAATGATCTATGGCACGATCATCGTCAATTCGCCACTCAGGAGAGGAGCTATTCAGAACCGCACATCTGTCAATGTGAATGACTCCTCGACCGACGATATTCGCAAATCTGTCCTTGGTGCGCCTTTGACGTTTCACACTAGACCGCGCTTAACCATCGAAAAAGAGCTTCCCCTCCTGCAAAGCTTGCAAAGTTGCAGTGATGGTCACCGAATCCGGCCATCTGGTCAGCTAATGGAGGTCAACGTGGCCAGGCCAGAGCGGGCGCCAGCCGGCCTGAAACATGAAACCTTGGGAAATCTTCCTTGCATATCCAGCCAAACAACCACAAAGCCATCGTCCCAAGCCACTGCAGACCGACGGAGATCGGCTTGTGGGAAGCCTCTCCCGGCGCGCCGGCACCTCACCACCCTCCTCGCAGCTCATCACGGACGGAACCCTGGTTCTTGCTACCACTTCCGCCTATGTGCTTCGACGAATGCCCGTGTGATCAGGCGCTTCCACGTGGACTGGAGGAGGGAAATCATGACGAGGGGGCCACGACGCGCGTGATTCTCGCGACACTCCTTCACGCTTAGCTCCAGAAGCTTGCAGAGGAGAAGTCAGATGCCGAAAGCGAGGCTGGAGCGGAGGCAAGCCATGGCTTGCGTGAATTCATGCCGTCCATCTCACCGCACCGCGAATACGATGGACGGTGCGACCTGGGGTGTTGCTTCTTGCCATGAGAGACGATCCAGGCCGACTCCCCCTGCGTCTGGGGTAGCGGACACGACATTGAGCCAAGACCTTCCTACGTCTGACTAGTGAACTGGGCATTTCACGATGCTTCACGACCAAGCGCAACAGAAAAAAAGGTGTACTGAAATTGAAGGACGAACTTTTGCTAGGATGGCAGCGCAAAGATGCGCCAGGATAGCTAGTTCGGACCTCAAGATGCCTCCGCCGCCACCGACACATGCCACCGGCCCATACCTGTCAGTCCGGCAGCTAATAGGTAAATAGGGTTTCGGCATGTCGGGCGGGTCACCGGTCTCCGCACGGCCGGCTGTCGGCTTCCTCCCGGGCTTGACGGGACCAGTCTCGGCCGCCGGAAGGCGGCGTACGGACGGCGACACCCTCCACCTGCGATGACGGCGCGGCGTAAGCATGAGTCACCGAATGGCTGTGAGTCGACCGCTCTTCTCAAAACCGAAGCCCCGAATGTTTCGACCACATGCTTCGGCCACAATGCGATGTTTAGATTCCGCTTCAGCCACGCATAATCCGACTTGGACTTGAACAGCCCGACAACCCGAGCCTTCCGCCATGGACGCCGCGCACAACTTTTGCTTCCCGGTGCGAGTACTCACCAACGCGAGAGTGAAACTCACGCCGTTTCGGGTACGTATGTCAGACTGCCAGCTGATGGTTTTTACTGACCATATCTCCGTGTAGACCGACCGGCACGCCGCAAAATACATTGAATCCACCCGTGAACACCCCGAGATATACGCCCACACCGTATCGGGACCGTACAAGAGTGTGGATGACTTTGTGTCCAGCTTTGTGGAGGGCGAGTCTCGGACCAGCCCGGGCATGATGACTTACGCCATCATCGACAAGACGCGGCCGCCATCGACGGAGGACGATGAGGGGGAGATGGCGGGCAGAATTTCGTTCGCCAATACCACAGCAGCTCATCTGTGCACCGAGATTGGGTACATTGTCATCTTCCCCAAGTACCAGAGAACACATGTGACGACGAACGCCGTGGGACTGATGCTCCAGGAGGCCTTCAAGAGCCCCGAAGACGGTGGTTTCGGCATCCGCAAGGTACTTTGGCAAGCGCACGCGCATGTCGGGAATAGAGGCTCGGTGCGCCTGGCCGAGCGAATGGGCTTCCGCGAAGAGGGCATCAGGCGATGGCATAGACTGTTTCCTCGGGGACGTCTTCAAGGTAAGATTGGCAATGGACGTCCCTTGCCGCCGGGCAGCGATCCTGACGACATCTGGCGGGACAGCGTCCTCTTGGGCCTCTGCTGGGACGATTGGTTGGAGGAAGCCGCAAGCAAGGTTCAAGAGGCCATGGATCGGAATCGCTGATGTCTCTACCTGACTTTGGACTTTTTGTGATTTTGTGCGATATCAACATACAGCGACAGCGAGGCGTTGTCATTGTAGAAGATGCACCGGCATTGGGTGCTTGAATGTCTTAGATCAGTGCTTGTCAATCGTCCATCTAGGTGTGACTGTGTTTCGTTCCACGACTCCCTTCCTCTGCAGCCGCCCGACGCCAAATGAACTAACTGATGATCATCTTCATCATGTTCCCAAAACTTCTCGGCCGAAAAGTTTTGAAGCCATTGGAAATTATCGTTGTCTTACTCGCGCGCAAGTTTGTGTTGCTGCTCTCCGGCTGGGGCTCCTGCACCATTGAACAGCAGCAAGTGGAGCTTTCCCCGTGCCCCGCGAAAAACCCCTCCAAAAAGGCGCGCCCAGTCAGTCAGTCACCTCAACCTCCGATCTAGGGACAGCTCGCGCCTCTCACTCACCAAAACCCCCCGGCCGCCGCCGCCAGATGCTCGCCCGTGGTACAGTCCGGCTCATTAAATGAAGCTGCTTCGTATTCAACACATCACGAGGAACGTGTGTACAGTCGATCTTCCGCAGGTGGTGCTACCCCGACGCGGCCACCCGGAGCGGAAATAAAGGCGCCTTCGAGTTCCACGACGACTGTGTGTGTGTGTGATGAGAGCCTCTCACCCCAACTCATCAACAAACTCACTGCCCTCGCACCGAAGCAACAAAAAACAACAACACACATTCATCTACTCTCACCGAAGAGCAGTAAAGAGCCATGAGTGACAAGTCTCAGGTTCCGGTAGAGGCTGCAGGTGGCGCAAAGCCGCTGGTCGCCTTCCTGGGGCCCCAGGCCTCGTACACCCACCAGGTATCACGAAACCCGAATCACACATCGCACGGCATGCCTGAGAGTTGTCATCTAACACACCGCGCAGGCTTCGTTGCAGGCCTTCCCCGAGGATCAGTGGGAGCTGAGGCCGGTCGTCACCATCACGGGTGAGTGTCTCCTGTTACCCCCGGCTTTGCCGTCCATCATGCCCTTGCTTTCACGTCCACACCATCATATCCCCCCGTCCGCCAAGTCCCGACTCCTGACCCCGGAGCCGCAGACATTTTCGAGGTCGTGCAAGCCGGCGAGGTGGCCTTCGGCGTCGTCCCCGTCGAGAACTCGACCAACGGCTCCGTCCTCTTCACCCTCGACAACTTCGCCGACCGCAACAGCCTGTATCCGGACCTCTCCGTCTGCGGCGAGATCTACCTGGACGTGCACCACTTCCTCGTCGGCCGGCGCCCGTCCCGCGCCCTCGACGACGCCGCCGGCCCCGGCGACGGCTCCGGCGCCTGCACGCCCACCGCCTCGGACCCCAACCCGCTCAAGCCCCGGACCAAGCCGCTCTGCAGCCTCAAGCACGTCCAGCGGCTGTACTCGCACCCGCAGGCCTGGGGCCAGTGCGTGGCCTTCCTGCAGACCTACCTCAAGGGCATCGAGGCCATCGACGTCAGCTCGACGAGCCGCGCCGCGGAGCTCGTCTCCATGGACGAGACGGGCACCTCGGCCGCCATCTCGAGTGAGATCGCCGCCCGCATGCACGGCATCGACGTGCTGGCGCGCAGCATCGAGGACCGCGAGGACAACACGACGCGCTTCTTCATCGTCCGCAAGGGCCTGGGTGGCAGGATGCCGGACCACTGCGAGCGCAAGAGGGGCAGGACCAAGTCGATGGTGTCCTTCACCGTCCCGCACGAGGCCCCCGGCGCGCTGGCCGACGTGCTCGAGTGCTTCCGCCGGTTCAAGCTCAACCTCACGAGCATCAACAGCAGGCCGAGCCTCACGGGCCCGTTCACGTACGTCTTCTTCGTCGAGTTTGAGGGGCACAGGTTCCAGGACCCGGACGGGAGGGTGAAGGGGGCGCTGGAAGGGGTGGCTAGGGTGGCGGAGAAGCTGCGGTGGCTAGGGAGCTGGGAGGACCAGCGGTCATGAAGGGGCCGGCGGCGGCAGGCAGTGGTTCGGCGAAACCCGTCACGCAACCAAAGTTTTCTCTCTCTGTCTCTCTCTCTCTCTCTCTTTCCATGTTGCCTCTCACTTGAAATGTCTTCAACCCCCACGACGAGACCCGGCATCGGGGGACGCGGGTGGATGTCGGGGCAGGTGGCCACGAACGGTGTCCGGTGATGCCGCAGCTGGCCCCTTGAAGGATGTGCTTCTAGGGACTACTTGTGAAATATGCGGCCGAGAAGGGCGCCGGTGCGGGTGGCTCAAGGGAGTCGATTGGACGGAACAGGCCTGGACTGGCTGACGACATGGCAGCTATGTCGATTCGAGATAAGAGGTGCGTCTTGGACTGGGACGCCGGACAAGGAGACCGGGACACTGGACAAGGAGAGCGTGGGATGTTGTTTCCCCCCTTTAGCCGTTGTGTAATGGAAACACCGAAAGTGCGAGTGCCGCCGTGGAAGTCTCTGACCTTCTTCCCTCTTCTCGGGCCTGGAACAGTCTTGAGGCCTTTTTTTGCCCTTGTCCATGTCCCTGGCGGCAAGGCCTGGTTGCGTGACGGATGGATGCTGAAGAGTTTTCTCTCTTCTCTACTGCGCCGAGTGGCGGCGTCGTGAGATGATCACGACACTGCGAGAAGGGCCTCTGAGTCAGGGATTGGATGAAGGAAGCATCACTTTGCGGTCTACAGATGTCCACAGGTAGGGAGGGAGGGAGCGGCGGTTCAAGGGCTACTACTGTTACGGCTACATGTGATGGTATCGCGAGATGAACGAACGCCGGTCGCGTGCCTCCATGTCTCACAACGCGCATCCCACGGGACTGGGGGCGAATAAGAGCCGTCCCCGAATCCGTGAACAACCAAGGAATCATGCCTAAGCAACCTTACGGCTTACGGAGACTTTGTGAAGAGTGAGTGCCAAGGTCAAGGTGGGAAGACTAGGTTAGGGCAACCTCGGGTTTCCAAGTCAGCAGAGTGGAAGTTTCCTTTCGAAGCTTTGCAAGGCAATTGCGGAAGCTCTTGAAAACGTTGCAGAAGCTCTGCAGAAGCTCTGCAACCTGCTAGCGCGGCGTTGAGGGAGGGGTTGAGGGGGTTGTCAGAAGCTCTTGCAGAAGCTCTTGCAGAAGCTCTGCAAGTGTTGACCGGCTCCTTCCAAAACAAATCACACTCACCACTTTTTTTTCTCCCGTTTTTACTCACTCAACCCCTCCCTTTCTTTCATCACCACCCCTCCTTTTCTTTCGATTCCGTTTTTCCTCTTCCTCCCGTCGGTTTACCAAGACGGATGGGTTGCTCCGTTGGCATTGGATCTCTCTCGATGGTGGATCGATAACTCCACGTACATGACGTCCATATTACCAAAGTACATGGAGACGAGAAAAGGACCCTTGTGGGACTCGCGCGTACGACTCCGACATGCTTCCTCTTCCTCTGGTCCTCTGAAGAGAAACACGCCTGCTCGAGCCATGGATGGACGCGGAATGCCGAGCATGTGCCGCGACGACTCGAGCCTGCAAGGCAACGGCGTGGTTTCCAGGCCGGGAAGATTGCTGCTGATGGAGTTCTGTTGTAGTAATATGCTGGAGCACATCTCCACCCTTGGACACAAGCTTGACACGTTCCGCCGCGGAACCTGTCCATTGACTGCCCAGTTCTTTTTGGGCCTTGCGTCGTCGTTAGCAGGTTGACAGGGCAGAGGGGCCAGAAAACACATCAGATTCATCAGATTTCCCGGTACCATCTCGGCAGGGCCGTACCCACGCGTTTCCCGCATTTACCCTATTTTATTCGAAATGTCCTGCAGCAGACCAGCAACCCAGCAGCCGCAGCCTGGGACCAGGAAGCAAAAGCCCGCTTTTTCTCTCTTCTGTCAGTACAAATCAGTTGGGAAAAACTCTGTACTTGTCCTATTTTTTCTGGCGTCCTCGTCCTCGGCACTGGCCCTAGTGCTGCCGGGAGCAGAGGCGCAGAGGTTCAATTGGACTGAGTCGGCTCAGTTCCTTGTGCTATGACGTTTAGTGCCGCAGTGAGACAAGGTTTTTGGCAAAGGAGCCTCGAGGTATTCTGCGCCGTACCGTCCCGTCTCCGGATCAGGTACCTCGCCGACCGTGGACATGTCTCGTTTCGCCCGAGTCCACGCTGGATCCGGTGCCTTGGTTACCTTCGTCTCACCTCGACTCTACCTCGTCCTCTACCTGTCCTCGGTTTCTCGAGTGACTTGCAGCCAGGCCGAGTCGAGGTGGGTGAGTGGAAATCTTCGGTCTGAAAGAGGGGTGGGCGCGTTCCATGATCCGTGGCCAGACGCAACAACGACGCCAGTAGCCACAGAAATACCGTACCGTCGACACATGTACGTAGCTACTTTTTCCCTTCCCAAGCACCAGACTTTGGGACGGACGGCTGTCGGCTAAGGCAGTCGGCATGGCAAAGGAGGGCGTGAAGCCGTCGAGGCGTGAGGAAAGCGTGGGAGACGAGTGACTGTCGGCGGGAGTTGCAGAGCTTCGGGCAAGAAGCTGAGCTGAACCATGAAGGGGTGCGAAGGAGCTCTTGGACAATTTATAGCCCAAGCCCGCACCTCTTCCTCCCTTCCTTTCTCTCGATTTCGCCATCGATACCTTGTTCTGTCGACATTGACGATTCCTCCCATCATACCCGTTTGTTGCTAGGCCTTAGCGACAAGAGCTTCTCACAACGCCAACGTAAAGCCAAGTTCAGCTTATCCCGAAGCTCTGCAACTCGCGGATCCCCTGTTCCGCCCACCCGCGCTCCCGCCCAGTCTCTGTGCGGCAATTTGCTGTTTCCCATACCGAATTCCCCATCTTCGTGGTGAGGTGCTTCAAGATGGCTATCACGCCTTCAAAGCCTATCTTCTGTGCGACCCACCCCCGGGCCTGCTCTACAGCCTTCGAGAGGGTATGTCTTTCCCTTAGTCCTGCCATTGAGGCACTGAATAGTGCTGCTTACGGCGCCCACTCGCAATGATTTCCCCTCCCTGAGACAGGACGGGTGAGCACGCAATCGTCCGACGGCCCGGCGAAAACAAGGTTCAGGGTCCTGAATCGTGGGAGTAGCCGCGGACGGATTGGTGGTGTTGACGGGCTCTCTCTCGTCCAAAATCTCGATCGCCCAACCGAAAAGCTTAGCTGACTCCGAATTACAGGTGTTCATGGCCCGCCGGGACAAGCTGGCATGTGTTCATGAGCCGTTTGGCGATGCGTTCTATTACGGTCCCGAACGCATGGCTGAGCGTTTTGAGAACGACGCCGAGGGCAGAGAAAAGTCTGGATTCTCCGACACGACGTACGCCGACGTGCTGAGGCAGATCGAGGATGCTGGCAAAGAGGTTTGTGCTTCCACCGTCATTGTTCCTTCAGTTCGTTCGATCGAGATCGCCCGCGCCGGTCAGCTTCCAGCGCAACTCCCTAACAAACACCCCCTGCGCTATGTTTCTTTGGGGGTTGCAGAGCTTCTGCAACCCGCAAACCCGCAGTTCCTCCCCATCAATCCGTTACTTGCCATCCCCCGTCGAAAATCGGTCCAGTTTTCGTTGGCGGGCGTTCTAGGCACCCGGAAACAGAGCTTCTCGAAATTCCCAATTGAATTAAGCTGAAGCCTGCTTCGCTGTGGCGGGCCTGTCGAGCGACCGTGAAGCTTTGCGGTGCAGCCACCAACTGTGTCCCGCATCCGCTTCAGCGGCTTTCTCGGGGGAGTCGCTGCCGACCAACCACATCTGACCTTCACATTCACCTTTTGGTCTTTTTGGTCTCAGGAATGCACGATATGCGATAATGACACCATGCTGACCCTTGAATCCAGGGCAACAAGCGCATTTTCTTGAAGGACATGGCCCAGTACCTCCTGGCTCCCAATGCCGGCAAGACCGCCATCGCTCCGTCGGCCGGCTCCGTGCCGGAGGCCAACAACCCGACCGTGCTGCCGATTGAGACGCTGCGCAAGTTCCAGTGGACTTTCCTCATCCGCCACCCGCGCCGCTCCATCCCCTCTTACTACCGCTGCACCGTCCCGCCCCTGGACGAGGTGACGGGTTTCTACAACTTCATGCAGTGTGAGGCCGGCTACGTCGAGCTGCGCCGCCTTTTCGACTTCCTCGTCAAGGAGGGCATCGTCGACTCCAACAACCTCATGGTCGTCGACGCCGATGACCTCCTCGACAACCCCGAGGGCATCATCCGCGCCTACTGCGAGCACGTCGGCCTCGACTTCACCGACAACATGCTCAACTGGGGCGAGGAGGACACCAAGATCGCCCAGGAGAAGTTTGCCAAGTGGACCGGCTTCCACGAGGACGCTCTCGGCAGCACCTCGCTGAAGCCGCGCAACAAGGCGCATGTAAGTTGCCGTCTTCCCTCCGAAGCCGCTTTTCACAGCCCCTGCTCCCGGAGGATCTCTCTCTGCCGTTCGTGGTTTGCCCACCCGGGGCACGCTGGACGGCGACGTCGTTATACACTTCGCAGCATGCTAATACCCCGCGAGAAAAAGGTCATCACCCGCGAGTCAGAAGAAGCCGAGTGGAAGCAGAAGTTCGGCGAGAAGGGTCTCCAGGAGATCCGCAAGTGCGTCGACGACAACGTCAAGGATTACGAATATCTCAAGAAGTTCGCTATCCGGGTCTAATATTGCGCATCTCCACACACTCACGACATTGACGACAAAGAGCACCACCATCATGAATTGTTCAGGGTTTTAACGGTTTTCGTCAAGGGATATGGGTTTTTGTTTATCTCTCAGGGGTTTTCGGTTTTCTCATGGTTCATGCAACCGTATTGGTACAATAGTCTACATGGCAAAGCCGCCCAGCCACTTCAACGGGCTGCGGAAGGCAACTACTAAAACACAACGTCCTTTTTCTTTTTTTGACATGTACAATTCTTCTTCAAATCCTCAATCGTGTTGTGATGAAAATCTCGTACCTTAGGCCTCTAATTTCTGCGCCTCCTTCTCATCCGGCTTCTTGATGTCGTATTTGATGTTGTCCGCGTTGTATGCCGTTTCATCCACCACAGGTCCCTGCTCGTACTGCACCGAAAGCCTGAGAGCATTGTCCAACAGTCCGTGGGTGACGTTGTCCGACCACGACTCCGCGTAGTTGCGGTCGATGTCGACGGCCCAGTACACCGTCACGGGCAAGAGCTGGTCCCTGGGCGGGTTAATCTCGACGAGCTTGTGCGCGCGGTTGTCTTGGCCCAGCTTGATCGGCTTCGGCGGCTCGGGAGGAGCCTCCCCGTCCTTGGCCTCGGCGACCGCTTCCTCGTAAGCCTTGAGCGCGCTCTTCTTGAAGTACTGATCGGTACCGTCCTCGGCCTGAACCTTGACGATCTTGCGCGACGTGGGTATCTTGGGCGGCGGGTTCCGCAGCAACCGGTACTTCTGGTCCATGTTGTCGCGCCCAAACCACTTCCACCCCACGAGCTCCTTGCCCTCCTCCAGGACGCCGTCGAGCTCCCGCTGGGCGACCAGCAGGCGGTTGCCGCGGCCCTTACCGGCCAGCACGGCCGCCATGTCGGCGATGGAGTTGGCGCGCTGGTCGTTGAGGGCCCGGCCGCGCTCCCAGCGCGAGCGCACCTGCTTCTTGTCGTCGTCCGGGTTCATGTCCGTCGCCCGCGGCCGGAAGGTGATCTCGTCGCCCCAGCACAGCTCGTGCATCGCCCGGAACTCGCGCAGCTTCTGCATCACCGACTGGCCCGCCGCGCCCGCGTGCTTGGGGAGCTCGATCAGGGCCAGCGGCTCCCAGTAGTCCTTCCGCAGCTTGGTCTGCTTGCATTTCTTGCCGTTGAAGGGGATTTGGCGGAGTGCGCGTCTTGGCTGTCGATTTCCTCGTTAGCATCCATCCATATCAGAAATTGGAGCCATTGACTCGGTTTTTCTTGTCCCCATGCCGATTGACAAGGCAATTAAAGACAGTATCTTCGACGTGATAGGGAGGGGTTTGCGTACGTTCAACACCTCGGTATTCGAATAGACGACTTGTTTCGTCATCATGTGACTCCAGACCCAGATCTGAGTGCCATGGCCTTCGGGGAACCTGGCCTTCTCCAGCCTTCGCGGCTGCGCGCGAGAGGCATATCGTACGCTCGTCCGTGAGGCGCCTCCCACGGACAGCTGTGTGATTCCGAAGTTCGCGACGGAGAACATGATTGCTTCGGGCGCCGTGTCGCTTTCGGCACCGGCGGTGGGCTGTCGTCGATCGTCGTCGTCTTCGTCGTCGTCGTCGTCGCCGCCGTCGGGTGGTCGTTGTCGTCGTCCCCTGTAACTTTTTTCCGAACGGAGCTTGACCTCGCAAAATTTCCCGAAGCTCTGGCGGGATGGACAGCCCGCCTCGCGGGCGCTGTGGCTGAAAGCGTGGCTGTCCTTGGGTGAAGTCACATGACTCAGGCTGTTCCCAGACCACCTCCCTTATCGATATGAGATAAGATAGTATCTTATCGATAGGAAGATTAGATCCGGAGTGGACCCTTAGCGGGCCCGCGCCCAATACGACCCCGCGATTTGGGCTGGTGGTGCACTGATTCTAGTGACGTCGCGGAACTTCCACCAGGTTCTGGTCGCTGCCCTACAGCTCCCGGCCTTACCAGACGATGCTCGATCGGTCCATTCGACGGCCCACTTCCCAGTTTACAGAGTCGAAGAACTTCGAAGAACCTCAGCTCTTCAACCATAAATTAGGAGACTCGAACCGACCGACACCAAGTCTCTTCCTTTCTTCACCAAGCTTAATCTTGAACACACAAAGATACCCCAGTTGATGATAGACTCTTCAACTTGAAGCCTCACTTTTCGGAGCTTCTAATACCTCACGATATCACGACACAACAACCACACCTAATCACGATTCAACAACCACACACAATCGTTACCACACAACAACCGCCAACATGAATTCAAGAATGGAATTCACCGACAGAGGCGAGAAGGCCGTGCAGGACGCCATGGCCCTCGCAGAGCAGTATGCTCACTCACAACTACTCCCCGTCCACTTGGCAGTCTCGCTGCTCGACCCTCCCGCAGACCAGTCAAAGGACCAACAGAACGCGCCGCCGCAGACGTCCTCGATGTTCCGACAAGTAATCGAGCGCGCCCACGGCGACCCACAACTCTTCGACAGAGCCCTCAAGAAGACGCTCGTCCGCCTGCCGAGCCAAGACCCGCCCCCGGACCAGGTCTCCGTCGCGCCGACGTTCCACGCCGTCCTCAGGAAGGCGCAGGAGCTGCAGAAGACGCAGAAGGACACCTTCATCGCCATCGACCACCTCATCCAGGCCCTCGCCGAGGACCACACGATCCAGACGTGCTTGAAGGAAGCCAACGTCCCCAAGCCGAAGCTGGTGCACGATGCCGTCGCACAGATCCGGGGCACGAAGCGGGTGGACAGCAAGAACGCCGATACGGAGGAGGAGCACGAGAACCTGGCCAAGTTCACCATCGACATGACGGCCATGGCCCGCGACAAGAAGATCGACCCGGTTATCGGCCGAGAGGAGGAGATCCGCAGAGTCGTACGCATCCTCTCGCGTCGCACAAAGAACAACCCCGTCCTCATCGGTGAGCCCGGTGTGGGCAAGACGACCGTCGTCGAGGGCCTGGCCCAGCGCATCGTCAACCGCGACGTACCCGACAACCTGAAGGCCTGCAAGCTGCTGTCGCTCGACGTCGGCGCCTTGGTGGCCGGAAGCAAGTACCGCGGAGAGTTCGAGGAGAGGATGAAGGGTGTCCTGAAGGAGATCGAGGACTCCAAGGAGATGATCGTCCTCTTCGTCGACGAGATCCACCTGCTCATGGGTGCCGGCTCCTCCGGCGAGGGCGGCATGGACGCTGCCAACCTGCTGAAGCCCATGCTCGCCCGTGGTCAGCTGCACTGCATCGGTGCGACGACCCTCGCCGAGTACCGCAAGTACGTCGAGAAGGACGCCGCTTTCGAGCGACGTTTCCAGCAGGTGCTGGTGAAGGAGCCCAGTATCGGCGAGACCATTTCCATCCTCCGTGGTCTCAAGGAGAGATACGACAGACATCACCGCGTCACGATTCTCGACAACGCACTGGTCGCCGCCGCCAACCTTGCCGGCCGCTACCTCACTTCCCGCAGACTTCCCGACTCCGCCATCGACTTGGTCGATGAGGCCGCTGCAGCTGTCCGCGTCGCCAGGGAGTCCCAGCCCGAGATCATTGACTCTCTTGAGCGCAAGCTGCGCCAGATCATGATCGAGATTGCTGCCCTGGAGAAGGAGAAGGATGAGGCGTCTCAGGCTCGTCTGGTCCAGGCGAGAAAGGACGCCAAGAACGTCGAGGAGGAGCTGGAGCCTATCCGCCAGAAGTACCTCTCCGAGATCAAGAGAGGTGAGGAGATTCACCTTGCCAAGCTCAAGCTCGACGACCTCGAGAAGCGCCTTGAGCAGGCCATCAACGATGGTGACCATGCCAAGGCTGCCGACCTCCAGTACGGTGCCATCCCCGAGCAGCGCGCCGTCATCAAGGAGCTCGAGGCCAAGAAGGCGGCTGCCGACGCCGCTCTCAACGCCTCCGGTCAAGACCACGGCGCCATGGTCACTGATGTCGTCACCTCCGACCACATCAACGATATCGTGTCCCGCTGGACCGGTATCCCCGTCACCCGTCTCAAGACCACCGAGAAGGAGAAGCTCATCCACATGGAGAAGCAGCTCGGCAAGATTGTGGTCGGTCAGAAGGAAGCCGTCCAGGCCGTCTCCAACGCCATCCGTCTGCAGCGGTCTGGTCTCAGCAACCCCAACCAGCCACCCAGCTTCCTGTTCTGCGGTCCCTCCGGTACCGGTAAGACTCTCCTGACCAAGGCCCTCGCCGAGTTCCTCTTCGACGACTCCAAGGCCATGATCCGCTTCGACATGTCCGAGTACCAGGAGCGCCACGCCCTCAGCAGAATGATCGGTGCTCCCCCCGGATACGTCGGCCACGACGCCGGAGGTCAGCTCACCGAGGCACTCCGCCGCAAGCCCTTCTCCATCCTGCTCTTCGACGAGGTCGAGAAGGCCGCCAAGGAGGTCCTCACCGTCCTCCTGCAGCTCATGGACGACGGCCGCATCACCGACGGCCAAGGACGCGTGGTCGACGCCAAGAACTGCATCGTCGTCATGACGTCCAACTTGGGCGCCGAGTACCTCACAAAGTCCACCAACCGCGAGGGCAAGGTCGACGCCACTACGCGCGAGCTCGTCATGAATGCCCTGCGCAGCTGGTTCCTGCCCGAGTTCCTCAACCGCATCAACTCCACCGTCATCTTCAACCGCCTCACGCGCCGCGAGATCCGCAAGATCGTCGACATCCGCCTCATGGAGATCCAGAAGCGCCTCGAGAACAACGGCCGCAAGGTCTACATCGACGTCTCGGAGGAGGCCAAGGACTACCTCGGCAACGCCGGCTACTCGCCCGCCTACGGCGCCCGCCCCCTCTCCCGCCTCATCGAGAAGGAGGTCCTCAACAAGCTCGCCATCCTCATCCTCCGCGGCAACGTCCGCGACGGCGAGAACGCCCGCGTCGAGCTCATCAACGGCCGCATCACCGTCCTGCCCAACCACCAGGACAGCGAGCTCAACACGGACGACGACGACATGGACGAGGACGACGCCGTCGACGAGATCGTCGCCGACGAGATGGACGAGGATATTTACGATTGAAGGGAGACGAAGAGGAGGAAGATTGGACCTGTAAACGGGGATGAAGATTCACGAATGAAAGTATGATGAAAGCATGAAAGCACTGTAGATGATTTTAGAAAGCACAGGCGTTATGGGATGAAAAGGGTTTTCTAAGGGAATTGGTAGTTTATTAGGATTTGCGTTTATGGTATATGATCATAGAACTCATAGAGGTTCGTGAGAATGAAAAAAACTTCAAAATAAATCATCCTTTCCATCAATGTGACTTTAACCAGTGACTGACGAAGATAGGAGGAAATGAGCAGTAATCTGTGCTATATCAAATTCGAACTTCAACGATATTTGTGGATAACCTCGTGATAATCAGCCTTCACTTTGCTAGTTCGTCAGTCCCAGATATTGATACTAGCTGACAGGTCTGGTGTACTAATTTCCAACCACACAATCCTCAGGTAACGAAGTCGGGTAGATCAGTGAGAAAGTGTGGTCTTCTTAGTTCGAAGTAAATCCTGATGTCGAATAGTACACACACAGCCCTTCAAGTTCTTTATCGCTGATAGCAAGCATGATACTGGGCTTGTTGTGAGGACTGTTCCATTTCCAACACAAGTCAGCAGCGAGCATATCGATCGATCAATACACTTGGCTATCTACGCTCATTGAGACAGACTGAATCGTCTCGATGGTGCGAGATGCTACACTAAAGAGAAGAGAGCCTCGGCGTTAAGCAACATCTCTATCTCGTCCTTCTCGGTTACAAGCGTTTATTATAAGACTATTCCGGGTACTGTTACTCCTACACATCTGGGTCGTAAACAGCCAGCGTAAGGCGTGGTAAGCGTGGTTGCCACATATTTAGACGTGCTTGTCACCTACCTAGGTAAATGTCCCGATGTGTTTGAAATCTTTCCAGTCTCAGGAGCAAGTGTCTGCATGGGTTAGTGAGATGGCCCGACGATAGCATGCGCGCCAAGCCCTTCTCCGGGTTCATCATGCTCCCAAGAATACCTCGCGGTAGCACTGCAAGACGGCCGCCTTGCATGGCCGCAGATGCACTGAATAGGTGGACGGATCACAGCTAGCCCACATCCAGAATGACGCCATCACCAACACGGCTGGAGATGTCGACGAGAGACGGTAGTAGGCCATGAATAGATAGGCGCTGTTCTCGACACCTGCTACCGTTTCAAAGATTGGTTTTGTCGGTATTTTCAAACCAGTCCCCAAGTCTTCGAGCTGTCACCTATCATCCTATCTCGGGCGGTGTCTCATTCACCAGTCCAACCCCAAACGGACTGTTGTCCTGCTGATCAGTAAATCGTGCCGAGGGTTGCATGAGAACCACCGTTTGTTTGGTTTCTTGTTTCTCGAGGGACCGAATCGCACTCTGCCCGTCGAACGCCACGCAGCTGCGGTACGACGTGTTAGCCATGGTTTCCGACTCCAACTGCGTATTCGTGAGATCTGCGAATTCTGGCGATGGGAATACACGATAAAGGCTGCGTTGCTATTTTTACCGTTGCGACCTCCCCCCGGTGATCGCCCTGGTCGGGGAGGGGTGACCCACGACAAGGAGGTTGGCTGTCCTGAGCCTCATCCAGCAAACTGGGGGCGACGGGCGAATGAAGACCTTAGACCAGGGTTGGTGTGTGGCGGCCCCCATTTTGAAGTATGGGACCACGGCGCATGAGGTAATAAATTGTCCAGTCAATTGCCGAAGCGACGGCTGTCTTTCCCAAGTTGCCCTAGAGGCCAGGATAGGCTCAGCTTGACGATTGACCGTTGATCCCGTCGTCGTGGGGAAGGGGAAAAAGGGCCGCCGCGGTTGATGCGGGCGAGTTATCGCGGTGACGGCCGACCGATCATGCCGCGGGCGGTAATGCATTGAGTGCTGCGCGGCGGAACGCGTCACTGGGAAGACGGACGTGGCGGAAGAGGGCACTGGCGCAAGTTTCGGCGGAGGCCGCGGAGGTAAGTTGAGGCTGGAAAGGCCCGTGTCGTGTTGCACATGTACAATGTATGTAGGGCATTTCGTCCTGAATCTGGGACGAGAGAGAGAGGGGACGATGTCCGATGTCCGATGACAAGAGAACAGCAGACCGTACAGCTACATACATGAACGAAGAGGGAAGGGCCCCTTGCTCTCAGTCACAGGCGGAAAGCATCGACACACACATACACACACACGTCGGTGGGGGAGCGGCGCAGAATAGGGGTTGATGAAACGGCATGGCGCAGAAGAAGGGGATAGAAATTTCTCATCGGCATGCTCGAACGAGCTGCAGTTGGTGTGATGGTAAGCGACAGTCTCGAGTCAAGAGCTGCGATGGCAGCTGTCTTTTGACAGCTCGAGGCGTTTGAGTGCCACGAAGACGACGGGATGGATGAAAGCTTGGTTGCCAACCAGCTCGACGGATCAGCCCTCCGCGCAAGAGAGTCTTTTGAGATGGAGGAGGTGGAAGAGGACGGACCGTAGCTTGTTCTATCGTCGACAATAATGTTCGGCAGACGTCGGTACGGTAGAAGCTTAAAGGTATCCGTACTTCAGCAATGTCTGCTGCTAGGCTTTTCGGGAACGCAGGTTATCCCCAGCATCAAAGTCCCCGTAGCGTCCTTCCTAAGACGGGGGCAGATCAACTGGTCCCTTGTTCAAATCGGGGAGACTGCGGGCGGCTACCGGGCAGTGGGCCGAGAGCGATGACGATCCAAAAATAAGACACAGGATGCCGGAGAACTGGACCGAACTTCGCAATCTGATTCCCGCGTCTGCGCCGACCGACGACCGGTCCAAGACCAGATGTCGAACTCCCGAGGAGGGATGCGAGAAGCCTGAAGGTGACAGAGAGCCATTCTCAAGACTTGGGGGAGCCGTTGACAGATCGTGGCGTGGGCGCCGGCGTGCGCATACGGCATCACAGCAGCGAACGTAGCATGGGTAGGGCAGGCTAAAGCCATGTTTCAGAATTTTTAGCAGATCCTCTGACAAGAGTCATCCGAGGTTGTGATTGGAGGGGGACAAGGGGGTGTCGAGCTGGAGCATAAAGTACCAGCATCTCCATCACGCCTTCGAAGGTGTCGCACCTGGCGGCCTGGCTTACAAGTTAGCCTAGACCTTGGCTGTTGATGTCAGTGGCCCAATTGGGACACACGTCGCAAGCTTCGCTGGCTTCTTTTCGGTGGCCCCCCCTCTCCTTTTTGTTTTTCTGCGAGCAAAAGTCTCTTTCGTCTGGCTGATGATTTGGCCAAAGTCTGTGATAGATGTGCGAGGTGACCGGGTTTGAGTCAGTAAACGGCGGCGAATCGTTGTTCTTCGTCGAGTCGTTCAGTCCGTGCATGAAGATGCCGACTTCGCGTTGTGGATAAAAACGCAAAAAAGAAAACAAGAAAACAGCCGGCCCTATGCTTCGTGTCAGCAAACCCCGATGAGGCAGGGGTTGACTCAGCGTTGTGACCCGAAAACTGGATGAGGTTCACGATGCTGAACCTCAACTCCTTGAAGAAGTCTGGAAGAGCACAGAGCCTCTTGAACAGGGTGCCCGGCAAGCCCAAGGACTAGTCAATTCATAGTACACACTTGTGGCTTCTGTCAATTAACCCACTACAGCGTCAGCTTTCTGGCAGACGTTGCACAGAGACATGCCGTCTGAGGGCGGGGCGGCAGGATTAGCCATGCCGCTTCGAAGCCACTGCGGTGCGTATGGATGGTGCTTTTATATCTTTCCGTCGTCTTGGTGGCCGAAGTTGACTGGTATTGCCATGGCCGTATCAGCCGCAGACGAAGCTGGTCGTTGCCGACATCCAGAAGTCAGACGCAGACCAGATATCGGCCTAGGTTCCAGCTAAGGCGCGAGCATGTAATAAGTTGTGTTCCGGGGGCTCTGGCATGCCCCAGTGCCCCAGTACCCCAGTCAGAGGGCTTCTCGAAGGTCAGCCGTCGTTCCCGAAAAAGACGGACGGACGATGGCGGCCGGGCAGGTTGTACTGAGATGTCGCGGCTAAATGAGGCCCTGATGTCCGGGCTGGCAGTTGTAGCGAAACACTGTTCTAACTTGACTGCTGACGAGGGCCGCCCGCGCTGCGTTTTGTTTGCGAAGAGGGCAGACAGGCGATCTCTGGAGAGATGCCTCCGAATGAACGGTGTGGTGTGGTAGGCACTCGTAGACGAGACTGTGTCAGTGGCCGCTGGCCGCTGGCGTGGATGGTTCGTCGTCCAAGATGGAGTCGAGGGAACGTCAAGTCAGTTGTGGCCCCCATCTCGGGTCCCTGAGCAGGCTGGACCCCTATTGTTGAAGGAAGACAAAGCGTACGGCTACTCAACCTGGGCGGAAGGTGAAGCGCTGACGATGGTGAGTCGGGCATTGGGTGCTGTGTAGAACGGACAGGGCGGGATCCCGGCCATGGCGGAGGGATGACACCTGAAGGACAGTTTGGAGCCTGTTGTGACGGTGGTTCCATGGCATTGGAAAAGGGGGTGAATTCGAGGGAGTTGGCTGAATGGTGGTGTCGACGGAGGGAGGGATGCGCGTGTTAGGGAGGGTCGGTATCAAGACCATGCCCAAGGATGGTATCGCGACATGGCTTGGGTCTGGTCTGGAGTAAGTAACTGAGGTATCCGTAGGTTGATCGTCCAAGAACAGATGATATAGCAAGAGACCAGGGATTGTTTTCGTAGGGCTGGCCATCACTCGAAGTTGAGGAATGTAGGCAGTATCGGTAGACGCTACTTTTATTTGCGAAAATGTCTGTAATGTGAAGGAAGACGAGGTTGATCTGGGGTAAGGGCCGTGGTGTCGTATGTGCCCGCACCTAGGTAGGTAAGGTACATAGGTAGTAGGCGAGGTACAGGAATTGAAGTATAGGTTATTGGCCGCTAAGAAGCCGTTGGTGTGCATCCCGTCGTGTTAGTGTATTGATTGACGAGGCCCCGTCCCGAGTCTAGACCTTTTTCTGTTTGTGGTGAGGGCGTTGCACATCAGGTAGAGTACCTACTGATGGAGGAGACGGCACTCGACCGTGTTAGCGGCGTCAAAGTAGGTCGACACGTCGGAGATGTCTGGTGATGGAGAAGACGCTGGTAGTGTGTTCACGATGGCATCCTGCCCTTCCATGTCGAGATTTGGATTTGGATTTGGAAGCGACGTGGAAGGCACAATGGAAGTTGGGAAATGTGGAGAGGAAAAGGCGGGTACCTGAGGAATGCTGAAGGTGATGGAAGGTACGTTCCAGTGCGAGGTACAGACGGGAGTAGGTGAGGTACTTGCCGCGACCTCCGTGTCCCTGTCCTGCCACTCCCGGCCCCACTTCCATCTGGCAGTCAATGGAAGTTCACTGTGAGGAAAGAAGGGGGGGACTGAAGGGCAATTGCAGTGACTACCTACCTTAGACGACCAACAATATGAGGCGCAACATACCAATGCCGTTCCAGGGGAAGCTAATGCAGTACAGTAGATAATAGCTCTTTCCCAGAATGACAAGCGAGGGCAGTGGGATAGCATGATATCCGTAGAGCATGGCATCTGGCTGAACTAGGTACCTTACCTAGGTGCTAATGGCTGCAGGTCTTTGCCCCCTAAATTGTGCAAAGGTCGATCGTCTGCCGTTTCACACTGAGCTCAATCCTCCGCTTGGCCCCGTTGTGGGCGCTGTCGTGTCAGCCAGTCCCTGACATGCCCTACCGTGAATTCCTAGCGAGTGAGGGGAGGACGGTGGAAAGAACTGGGAAGAGGTACATGGATGTCACGGTGGCCTTCCCCGTAAAGTGATGTACCCTCTCCACCAAGAAACCTGATCCTGACATCCTGACATCCCGACAACAGCAGGAGGAGACGAAGGCGAAGGCCAACGACCGGCTTAGATCCCGTCAGGTACATTGCCTAGCTGTTGCTTCGCCTTGCCTCTACTTCACACCTGGCTTTACCACAGGCGGGCACTTGAGGCAAGGTACGGCACGATACAGAGTGCCTCGTCTTGAATCAATGCCTGAGGTGAGGTGACAGAACTGCATTTGCGCCGGGCCTGCTTCTACGACTGCTTCTCTTGCTTGCTTCGCTGCACCGCACTGCAACTTGGCTAGCTGCATCTGCGTCGTCCGAGGTAAATGTGCCTTAACCTCATGTACCTGACCCGACCTGACCTGACCTCACATCAAGCCCCCCCTTGCCCCCTAACTACTATCTGCGTTACCAACTGCCTCTGCCTTACCTTACTTGGTACTCGCTGTACCTTGTCTTTCCCTGACTGAGGACGACGGGAGGTGACCAGCCAGAGACCTAACTCCTCCTGGCCTCTACCTTTCCTTACTATTCATTAGGTACACCGTTCCAATTGACCCAAACCACAAACCTCACGTCTCAACCTCTCTCTCCTCTCTCTCATCTTTTCCCCTCTCCCACTCCCACCATTTCCATCCCCCAACCCCTATCCCTTTCTCCAGGCCTCATCAACCCTATACTAATGAAGCCTGTATATTGAGATCGTTTACGTTTGTTTCTTTCCTCTTTCTTTTCGTCTCGCTCAAAAGAACCCCTGGGAGGAAAGGACAATTAAGTCGGCTTTTGCGCTGCTGTTATCGACACGACATCGTGCTGTGGACACGGTACCGTACTAAGGTACTGCGAGTTGGAAATCCCTCCTGTGGAATCTGATCCCGAGAACCGACCAGACGATACCGCAACTCTCAACTCACCGCACCGCAACGCAACGCTACGCTACGCGACCGCTCCGCAAACGCACCGCACTGCTTGCTTCCATTCGTATCGCAGCACCCACATTCAAAAAGAGAGACCGCCCACCGCTACGCGACCACAACGGCTACCGAGTGACGGCAGGAGAAATCTTTCCATTGCCCCAGCGCCCAAATCGTCCATAGCCCACAAGCCCCCCCGACATTCCTTGACCTCACAACTCAAGTCCCGACCAACGTCGAACCCTCCTTTTTATTTTCGACAACACCCAGCAGCCACCTTACCGATTGTCTGTCTGGCGTGGCGTACCTTGTAATACCTGGAAATACGCACACAAGACTTTTTTCAATCCCTTCGACCGTTCGACCAACATTCCTTACGCAAACCCCCCCAGACGAGCCGCCCCATTTTGCCCTCGACTGCCCCGGCGACCCCATCACCCACCCCTCTGCCTCCTCGTCTCGATCTCGACAGGCTGGCAGCTCGCCTCGGACACTCTCGCGCGAAATATCTCGTTCTGGCAAGAAAGAAGACGCTGGGAATTTGAAGTGGCAACGCTGCTCAACCTTCTCTTTCGACAAGCAACAACTGCCCACACGAGACGTTTCTGTCTCCGGCTTGTCCCACAACTCGACTCGCTGGATTCGATTTCATCCGCGCGTCGTCATTGTTACCCGAAAGAACAGCATCCAATTCGACAGCCTCAGCAACCCATCGGGAACACTCGAGTGTCACAAACCTCTCTCATGAGGTCCGGCCTAGATAATTGATAATGTCAACTAGATCCGATCACTTGGCCATTGGTTACCCGCCCCAATCTGCCACACAAAACCGGTCCAACTCCCCCTCCGCAAACAACAACACATCTCCCATCGATTCTGCCGCTGGTTCATCGGTCAGATCTCCCTTCGGCTTGCCAGGAAGCTTGAATCACTCCAGCAAGATGGCTAGCGCTTCGCGATCAGGGGCTGGCTCTCCATCGCACGAGATGCCCGGCTCCAGCAGGCTGTTCTCCAAGAGGTACCTCCAGTCCCAATCCGTTACCGATTCTCTGTTCTTTGGTTCCGATGCTGACTCTCACCCTCCAGAGCCCGGGAAATTCAAGCCCAGGAAGGCGTGCCTGGATTGCCGCTGAATCCCTGGGGCGGCCCGCCGACGAGCGGCAACTCTACGCCCCTGCGCGAGAACATTCCCGAATCGCCAACCGATGGCTTCCCCGACTTTGCTCAACTCCCCACACCCGACTCCCTGCCCCAGACGAGACGCGCCCGTGCTGGAACTGTCCCGTCACGATTCTCGCCTGGCGGCGTCGGTGGCGGTCTGCTCAACGTGCCGGCGATGGCTCCCAAATCGTCTCGTCCAACGCCGTCCCACAGCCCCTTCAAGTCTCCGTCGCCTGGCCTCGAGCCGACGGAGACGGCATCCAACAACTCGGCGTTGCTCTCGCGACTCCGTGCCGGATCAATGCCCCAACGCAGTCCCTTCGCACAGATTCCGGGCACCAGCTCGCCTTTTGGTCCCTCCATCTTCAGCAGCTGGAACCCCACCGGAACTGGTCGTGATCGCGGCATGACGCTGGCGAGTATTGCAAGCATTGGTTCGACCAACGGCCCGAGCTCGCCCACGCAGTCCCAGATCTCTAGAGAAGGCGGCGGGGACAGCGATGTCCATATGAGGACACTTGACTACCTTGGACTTGCCGAAACGCCTCAGCCACCTCGCGCGCAGTTGGCGACCCCGTACATTCCGAGCTTCAACGACTTTACTAAGGCTAATCGCTTTCGCTCGTACTCTGTGAACAACAAGGACAAGTACGCCGACGAAGAGGAGGATGACTTTGAGGAGAACATGACTCTCGAAAGTCAATACGTGGCTCATCTCCAGGACCAGCTGGCGGCTACGAACGCGGCGATTCATAACCATAATCTGGCCGTGCAAGCTTTCGCAACTCAGGCGACTCGCCCTCGTGCTCGTACAGCCGGTGTCCTCGACACGCCTGGCTCTCGCCTGATGCGCACCTACATGTCAGGAAATGCGGGCATGGGTAATGCAATCCCTCCCGCCGAGATTCGCCTGCCAGATGAGAAGGAGTTTGATGATCTTCCCCAAGCTGTTGCCGCCATGAACCTCGGGCGGTCAAGCAGCCGTAACGCCAACCTGCTCAATGCGGAGGATCAGGGGTTGGAGGGACCTACGAGCGCCCTTTGGCTTGGCAGCATTCCCACCTCTACCACGACATCAACTCTGACCGAGATGTTCAAGTCTTACGGCCCCATTCTGTCCGCTCGTGTTCTCACGCACAAGAACTGCGGTTTTGTGAATTTCGAGCGCATGGAGAGTGCCATCACTGCGAAGGCCAGCATGAACGGCAAGGAAATCTTCCCTGGCGCTGGCCCCATCCGCATCAACTTTGCCAAGCCTCCCTCTGCCTCCAACACGCCGGGCCATGACGGCGTTTTCCCGTCTCCTAGCCCCGACCCCTTCGCGAAGAACCAGGACGCCGCGTCTGGCGCTGCTTCCGGCGCTGCCGCCGACAATGCTCCCGCAGCTGCGCAACCCGCCAACGCTGCCCCCACTGTGCCTCCCCTGAACGAGATGACGAACGACATCCTGCGAATTGTGAAGCAGTTCCAGGCCTCGGACGAGGACTCGGCCAAGATCTCCCGCAGCCTCCAGTCTGCCATTCAGTTCAACAACTTTATTGACGAGATTCCCCCCATTAGGGAGCCGGCTCACACTCGTGTTCATGACGCCCCGCGGCTGAGAGATATCCGCAAGCGTATTGACAACCAGAGCTTGTCCCAGGCCGAGATCGAGACGACCGCTCTCGACATGCTCCCCGAAATCGCCGAACTTTCTTCTGATTATCTCGGTAACACTGTCGTGCAAAAGCTCTTCGAGCACTGCTCTGACGACCTTCGGGATGCCATGCTTGCCGAGATCGCTCCTCATATGGCGGAGATTGGTGTACACAAGAATGGAACATGGGCTGCCCAGAAGATCATCGACGTCTGCAAGACTCCTCATCAGATGACCCTGATCGTGGAGCACCTGCGACCTTACACTATCCCGCTGTTCCTGGATCAGTACGGCAACTACGTCCTTCAAGGCTGCCTGAAGTTTGGTGCTCCTTTCAATGACTTCATCTTCGAGACCATGCTCAGCCGGATGTGGGAGATCGCACAAGGTCGGTACGGTGCTCGTGCCATGCGTGCTTGCTTGGAAAGTCACCACGCCACCAAGGAGCAGCAGCGCATGCTCGCTGGCGCCATTGCCCTTCACAGCGTACAGCTTGCCACCAACGCCAACGGAGCTCTGCTTTTGACCTGGTTCCTGGACACCTGCACGTTCCCTCAGCGACGGACGGTTCTGTCACCGCAGCTTGTTCCTTGCCTGGTACACCTGTGCACCCACAAGGTCGCGTATCTCACGGTTCTGAAGGTCATCAACCAGAAGGCTGAACCCGAGGCGCGGGATACCATTCTCAAGGCTCTCTTCTTCACGCCCAATGACCAGGTTCTTGAGGCGATTCTGAGCGACCATGCTTGTGGTGCCACTTTGATTTTCAAGGTCCTCACCACGCCGTTCTTCGACGAGAGCATCCGTAGCCAGGTGGTCGAGAACGTCAAGAACGTTCTGGTCCGCATCAAGGCCCAGCCCGGTCAAGGCTACAAGCGCTTGATGGACGAGGTTGGTCTGTCGACTCGCAACAGCGGTGGCGGTGCTCGCGACCACGGTCACGGCAACTCCAACAACAACGAGCAGCGTCAGCGGCCGGCTTCCCGCCAGGCCAACATGAACAACCACCACCAGCAGCAAGCGGCCCACATGAACAAGCAGCAGCAGTTCTACAACCCGTTGAACGCGCCCGTGAACGCCTCCAACTACGAGTTGGGCTTTTCGGGCCAGCGTAACGAGCCTGCTGAGGGGGCCATGCCGCCATTCCCCCCGTACGGCGTGCAGAACCCCATGTACAACCCGTCCAACTCCCCAATGCCGACCCCTGCCAACCTTCAACAGCTGCAATACCAGCAGAACATGATGAACCGTGGTACGCCCCCCATCAACAACTTCTTCCCGCCGATGCAGGCCGGCTTTGGTGGCTACAACAGCCCAAGCCCGTCAATCGACCAGTACCGCAGCCAAAACCTGGCCAACGGCAGTCCCATCCAGCCGCCGGCTCAAATCCCTCAGATGCCGCCCGGTCAGGCACCGTACGCACCTCCCGGATTCGGAATGAACATGGGCATGGGAGGATTCGGATACGGAGGAAACATGGGAGGCATGCAGAACATGGGATACATGCAACAGGAGCAGGTCAACGGAAGACGTGGCCGCGTAGGTCAACCCCTGCCTAACCCCATCGGTGTCCAGAGACATCACTAACTCTTGATGCGAAGAGATGATCCGAACGCCAGTTGTACAGACGAAATGCTGGTCAGAGACGGTCTGACTGGCTCATGCCGCTCTTTTTGCTTGGTATGGGATGACTTGGTATGGAATCGGCACAGGAGTTTGGTGGATCTGGATCGTCATGTAAGAATGTTTGCAGGAGTACACGCCGCCCCGATGTGTCAGGAAAATGCGCAAGCCACTCCCAACGAGGAGGGGGCCATGTCTCGATGATAGACAGGGCACAGCCGAGGCTGCCCCCGGATAGTGGTCGCAGCAACGAGAGAGGGTTTTTATTTTTTCTTCTTCGATTCAACTGGCGGCTCCAGTAGCTTCCAAATGGCTCTCCGGTCTTCCCGTTGGGGAGTTTCTTCTTTTTTTTTTCTTACAACACTACTATTGCTACCCTCACTTGGGCTTGTGGCGTGGTATATAGAACGAGCGGGCGGCGGGCGGGGTGGATTCCTTGACTGCGGAAGCCCTCCCCCCTGCTTGCGAGGAAGTCATCCCAAAAAAATTGCGTCGTCGCTTTTCGAGTACTGCAAGGTCAACAGTCATCATCGGAGTCTTTCAACGATAGGCGGGCATTGCTTTTTTTTCTGTTCTTTTTCTTTTCCCTTTCCCCTTTTTTCACGAATCAAGTTTTTATAACAGCATGTCGTTTTTTCACAACCCAACCAACCAACCCATCCCCCCCCCCCCCTTTCATGTAGAAACCTTGGGTCCTGTCGGCTCCGAGCCTCTCTCATTACGACCGAACGACGGCTGTGACGAAACTGGGTTCTGTTTTCGGGGTCCCATACCTGAATGTGTGTGGTCTCGGCAGGTTGTATAGATAGATAGCATGAGGTAGTGTTTGCATTGTAGTAAAAGCTATTGATTATTTCCCACACCTTCTCTCTGGAAGTTTATAGATCAGGTTGCCTCCTTCCCCCTCGCTGTGGATGAGAATGTCACTTGAGGCAGATCTTGCTGCCCTTCTAGCGACCATGTGTGCTTGTGTGTGAGATGCTCCACCTCAAAGATCCAAGGATCCAAGGATTATCACAGCAGCCAAGGGTGTCACTCGAGTTACCACGTGGGCCACACAGTCAATCACAAGGTCCGGCACGAGACAGTATGTTTATAACTAATGCGGTGTAGCATTCATTCTCTTTTGATGCCTTGCTTTCACCATCGCTAGCAAGACTGGGCTAACTAGCCTAAACGAGGGCCTTTGCCTCTTCCTTTCCTCTCACTCCCTCTTTTCTCTCTTTGTGCCTCTCTGTGCCTCTGCCTCCCGGGTTTCCCTTTTTCCCCTCTTCCGTGACCCTAAACCATGACCTGATCCAGGACTCCAAAGGAGAAAAAATTACGTGTGGCGAGGCAAGGCTGCCATGGTGTTTCCGTATGTATAATACAAGATGAGAGGCATGATAAAGAGTTAGGAGAGGAACCAAACCGACCACTCTTTCCGCTGATACAGGCACGATTCAATCAGTGCTGCTCGTGTGTGTTCATTCCCCGCTGAACAGAAAAATAAGGCGCGCACAATTCGTGCGGCCCAAAAAAAAAGGACACAAAATGCCTCCCCTCCCCTCTCCTGAAAGAATGGTGTGTGAACCCATTCCTCTCGCGCTGGACTGTGATCTTTCTATGACGTGTGATTGGTTTGTGATGACGGTCTTTCGTTCATTCAATCGCTGATGCTTGATTCCCCCAAACTCCAGACTCGCGAAAAGCGGTTTCTTGGGAATCAATTGAGGACGGAAATGGAAAATGAGAGAGAAAATAAGAGATACCATTATAATGTGTATCGTCGTTGTCGTCAAGCACTTGATTGGCAACGCTTTTGTTTCTCTAGTAGTGGTAATGAGAAGCCGTGTGGTTCGTTATTAGGCTTTTGTAGGTGTTGTACTGGTTTCGGCGGCGTAGTGGTGTGTTCTGGACGGATAGTGAAATCTCAGATTGCCCTAGTCAATATCCATGATAGTCACATCGTCGCCGTCCGGAACTTCTTGTGATGACTTCTCGCCGAGTCCGCTGACTGGCTCTAGGTTGTCTTGGGTGGTGGTGGCTGGGGTGGGCAGGTCTGCCATGGGCTCGACAGACTCGTTTTTGATCGAAGGAATATCGCCTTCGACACTCTCGGTGCCGTCAGTGTTGTTGCCATCGGTATTGTTGTCGTCGGCAGGCCCTTGGTCAGTCGGCGCGTGTAAGCTCTCAGCACCACATGGGCCCTGGAGCTCATTTCCTAACAAGCTCTTGATACGGCCGGTCATGGCCTCCATGTGTGCAAGCATGGCGCGAAGACTTTGCTTGTCGCTGGCGTTGACCTCGCCACTCGCAAAGTTCTCTGCACTGCCACGCGCCATCATGGAGAGCAAGTCAGGCTCGGCGCCCATCTAAATCGGCTGTCAGCTCTGCTTCCTCGACTTGTGCGTTGTGTTCTTACCAAGAGGGCTTGGGTGAGATCCTCGAGCTTGCTAGTAGGCTGTGTGGAGGCCAGTGCAGCCATGTTGAAAGCTGCCTGCTGCTCTGCGAGGGTGCGAGCGTCTAGCGGAGGACTGACGGGATGTGGCTGACCCTTGGCCAATGGCGGATAGCCTGAGACGTAGCCTGCGCCATCCTTTCGAAGCCTGTGGAATTGTTAGATACCCCGCATACCAAGGAAAGATAGCTGTTACTTACTGAGAGATGAAGTCGAGGACGACACCCTTTGCGGGCAACTTGTAGACTCGGCCGAAGGTTTTCACATCGCTCCATCCCGTTTCATCGCCGGATTCCTCATCCTCGATTTCGATGAAGCCGTTGTTCTTCATACCACGGCTGAAAGAAGGGATGATAGCGGGGGCTCCTTTGATTTTCCGGAAGCGGTGAGCTGGTGCAAGCTGTTCCGGCAGCGTGGCCAATAGATCGTCCGCGTGAAGCGGACAACGCCATGTTCGCACCACAGGCGGAATAGCCAAGGGAGGATCAAGACAATCCAGATGCCAGTGAAGGCTGCAGAGACTGCATGGGATGATGGCTCGATTATCAGCAGCTGGGCGCTGACAATCATGGCAAAGCACGGCGGAGCCATCGACATCCCGAACCTTGAAGAAGTCGGGAGCTTCTTCATATCCCTTCTTCCTGCGGCGACTGTCAGCTGATGCAATTCCTGGTTACCGCGATCGAAGTGCTTTCAGCACTTGATGGCTGGCGGATAAGCGACGGGACTTGTAACTTACTTAGGCTTAGTCGGAACCACAACATCCTCATACTCGCCTTCGAGGCCAATCTTGACCCCTTCGAAATAAAGCTGTACAGTCTTGGGCAACTTGAAGGCTTGAGGATTCGTCTTCTCCAGACTGTTGAGCAATCCGCCGAAGGGACCCCTGTATTCGGGCACCCTGGTGGGGTATCTGTTGCTGAAACAGACGTTGCAAAACCACTCCTCGGGAAGAGTGTCTCCCAGCCCTAGATCGACACATTCGAAATGGAACGACCTGGAGCAGTTCTCGCAGCAAACAAGCTCTCCAACACCGCCGCACGCCGAGCAATAGTCGTCGTTCTCGTCCTGTCGGCTGGTCAGCATGTGTTCGTTGAGGCAATTTACGGGAAATGAGCAGGAGTGGGAATGCAGGTTGGGCCAGGAAAGTGATAGGACGGGGGCCGCTAAACTCTGCGTCGGGATGTGCGCCTTGGCCGCCTGAGATCCATGCCCGCCGACCCCTCGTGTGCTGCCACCATGCCATCACAACGCAATGTCGAGCGCGCACAAGGCAGAAAAGGGTTGGGATCGCAGTGGCAGCCTTGTGCTACGATGATAGCAAAAGCGTGACGTAGGCTTACCTGGTTGGGAGGTCCCCCATTTGCGACGGACGGGCCGCCTTCGCCACTGGCACGGGGAACACCAGCTGCAGTGCCTCCTTTCTTCTTCATAGGCCTATTGGGATGTATGTTAGCCGCAAGATTCTGGCGTGGAGTTGAAGTGTCTTGTGATGAAATGGCAAATGAGGGTGATGTCCAGAGTGATGAGATCAATCGCCTGCCGTGCGACACTGCCCAGATCGCCGCCTTGGGCTTCGATTTTCATCTCATCACACACAACATGACAAGGCAACTTACGAAGTCTTGATGCGCAGTCCGGTTCGCTGCTTCTTCGTCGGACGAAGGTTGGTAGGCGTTGCAGCCCTCGAGCTGGTCGTCGGCGTAATGTCCTCGATGAAAGAGGGCGCGGTCGGAGAACTGTTGTCTATCTCGTCGTGGGTCCTCTTTGCGGATCTTGTAGCCCTCGCGCTGCCCAGATTGAGGCTCAGATTCGGAGCCGGTGTGCGGGTCGATTTGCGTAGATTCAGTGCCGGCGAAGACGCAACGACAGATCCGGCCCTGCCTCTCATGTCTGATCCGCGAATATGGCTCTCTGGCTGGGGCGTTTGGCTGATAGTGTTGTCGCGTGCATTTCTCCTACGAGTGGTCGTGGCATCGTCGCTGGGTAAGACGCGAGGAGCCTTGTCCTTGTTGGCGTTCTTCTTACCAGTCGCCTTTGTTGTTGTGGTGACCGTGGCTGTGGACGATAGGTTGGGGAAAATGGGCGAAGAAAGTCGACCAGGCATGTTGCCAGCCCCTGCAGCTTGAGATGCGTTTGGGGGGAGGGTGGGTGAGTTTGGGTTGGATGCGTCAGACACGCTCGACTTAGCAGCAAGGGATCTGCCGCGTCTCTTGATTGGCTGGGGGTCGGTTGGCGGTGCTGCGCTGGTCGTGGTGGTCTCGGTGTCGGCCCCAGCAGCCGTAGCAGCCGTCGTGGCACTGTGACGGCGATTGTGGCTGGCCGCTCGAAATCCCGCGGGAACGGGCGGAGAGCTGGGAGAGGGCGAGTCGGGTGGGAGAGAAGGCGATGCGGACAGTTCCGACAGAGAAGAGTCGCTGCTTGCAGAGTCCCGACGGGCACGCTTGCGCGACGGCGTCTCAATCGCCATTGTCGTGGTTTCCATGTCCATCATTGACTCATCCATGTCGAGGGGTGCTTCTGGCTCTTTCTTTCCTCTTCCTTTGGGTTTCGTTGGCGAAGGGCTCTCACTGTTGGGAAGGTCGAAGGAGAGGAGCTTGCCGTAGGGCGCTGCCTTGGGCTTGTGAGGGGTGAAGCGCGAGTTGGTGGAAGGAGGCACGAAAAAATAGCAGGCTTGATTGTCTTTCTTGCCCTCCTTCTTCTTTTCCTCCATGAGACGGGAAAATTCGTCCAGCGTGTCGGCGTCGGCTGTTTGGTTGGCAACTTCCGAAAACATGGATATGTAGACTGGATTCGAAGAATTTTCGTCGTAGAGGGTCCTCAGTGCCCACGCAGTGGGATAGCGGTAATGTCGGAGCGCCTCTTCGACAGCAACGTTGACCATCTCATCGACCAGCTCCTTGTCTCCGGTCATCAGGTCAGGAGTAGGAGTAGGAGTAGGAGTAGCTTCTCGAGGCTGTACGGCTTCACTAGAAGGCGCCGAAGCTTGCTGGAGTGATGCTGAGAGGCGCCGTCCTGCTGAGGGGCGCGACAGGCTCTTGCGCGGCAGCGATGCACGACTTCCCGCATTCTTCCCGGCAGCTGCCTTTGGCGTGTAGTCCTCGTCCTCATCGTCGTCGTCCAAACCTCTGGCGGGCAGCGATTTTCGGCCCATTTTGGGTGCTGCGATGGGTGGTGAGGGAAGGGGAGGAGGGGGTGTCTCTGAGCGCGTGGGTGCCGACGCACTTGCGGCCGCGGCAGCAGAGTTTGCTGAGCTTGACTTGATGATGATCTTCCTGACGGGCTGCGCACCCTCCTGGCCCTGCTTCTTGGTCGTCGCTGGCTTGGGAAGCGATCCCAGAGGCGCCATATTCTCCGTTACGCCATATCGCATCAATCCAGCTTCCTCAAAGCTCGGCTTGCTCTGCACGGCCGGCTCCAACCATCTCTGCAAAAACGTCTTGGGAGGTTCGCTTGCTCCATTCTGCTTCTTCACCGGCTCCGTCCCTCCGTTGGCCTGGTGCGGGCTGGAGATTCGCGATCTCGTGGCTCTCGTACTCGTCGGCATCATAGCAGGAGGGCTTCCGACGGCCCCTGATTTCCTCGCCTTCGACCAGACTGGCAAACGCTCCGACTCGGACGCCTGTGATCGCGTTAGTTCGTGTTTTTCGTGATGCAAATTGGACTCTGGTTACTTCTCTGGTCTTGGAAGGCATTCGGTAATGCTTTTTGGGCGCGTTCCCTCCACTTGCGACGCGAGAATCTTGGTGGGAAGGAGGGATGGGAGAGAAAAAGGGTGTCAAGCTGCGGGATTGGCCTCGTCGCCTCGAGGATTTTCGGAGCCAGCGGACTGGGGGGGGGCCAAGGAGCTACGGCACAGTACGAAGCTACCTTACCACCAGCACGGGGGGCCTGCGCGGGTTCCAGACAGCAAGGGGATCGGTCAAGTCCCAGCGCTCTTTGGAGCCAGTAGCTCAGTGCCACAGCACACCTAAGCTTCCTGATGGACCCTGTGACTTACACACTTAACTGCATGCTGGCGTCAGTCCACTGCCACTGGATTGCCTTCTCCGCCACTTCCATACACCACCAAACTGAGTAGGAAGGTAATTCAGTTTGTACGTCACTTATCTTTGTCCGTGGAGGGACACATAAACTGACGATCTGAGAGAAAAACAGCCTTTATCTAAGGGGTTCTTGCCCTTTACTCCTTCTCTTCATCAATGTCCGGGACACCTACCTGAGGCAGGGGGGAGGTTGAAGATTCCGGCTCCAGCTTTTGCTCTCCAAGGGGCTGGGTTCGATTTTCGCCATCTGTCTGGGCGGGTCTCTGCGGCATCGACGACGACCAGGGTGAGTGGCAGGAGACCTCTGGAATTGGGCAATTTGTTCCACTCACTCGTGGCTTAACTTTCTCTTCCCCCGGCCGACAAGCTCTCCTGGCGTGCTGGGTCTCATTGGCAAAACGCCCATGTCCTACCCGTACGTATCTCAGTCCTCAAACATCACAATGCGACAACGATGAGAAACATCAATCCCCGTGTGCTCCTGTATGCCGCTAGGCGATCACTCGAGATCCGGGTCGGTCAGGAGAGCGGTCTCAATGGAATGGTACGTGAGATGCGCGTATGCGTGCAGATGACTTGTCTTTGTTGGGGCGTTGCATCAGGCTTCCGAACTATCCTCTGCCAACCAGACGACAGACACATCCATGGCTGCTTGCCTCGGGGGCTACCCGCGCTGCAAATGATGCAGGCTGAGGCTTCCATCAAGCCGTCACCTCGCTCGACGCATTCCGACAAACAGTTTCGGGGCCAGTCAGCCAGCCTGCGTTGAACAGGCAGGGCGACCGTTTCTCTTTCCGGTCTCCTCCTGGCCACACGGCCCTCCCGTTTGCCCCAGGAGTAAAATCACACATATTGGCTTTCACGAACGAAAATTTTGTGGGCGCAAAACCGGGCCGCCCCCTTGCTCCGTATTGATAGTCATTTGCTCTCTTCACTCTCTGCTTACTCCTCGTCGCTCTCCTCCTCCTCCTCGCCGGCAGCAGCCTTCTTGGCGGGCTTCTTCTTCTTCTTCTTGTTCTTGCTCTTGTTTCCGGTATTTCTGGAAAGGGGCTGCTCGAGAATCTTGAGGATCTCCTCATCCTCAATCTTCTTGTCCGACTTGACCTTGCTAAGGTCGAGAGCGGGAGGCGCACCGAGCTTGGTGATGCCGTTCTTGGTGATGGCTGCGTACAAGTTAGCAGATTGATAGAAGGTAAGTGCGCATAAGAGGGTGCCTCACCAATGGTGCTCAGGTAGCGAGCAACAGGGGAGTTGTCCTTGTCGCCAACAACCTCGTAGGCACGGAAAACGTTGCCACGAACGCACTCGACGACACCGGACTTGGCGTCGCGCTCATCCTCAAGCTGGCGCAAGCTGAAGGGGAAGGTGCCGAACTTCTTCTGGACCTCGGAGAGGATCTTGCGGGAAGTCGGGCGCTTGAGGCCGTAGGTGTTGAGAGTGCGGCGGTGGAGGGTGGTTCTCTGCTCGAAAGTCTTGACCTTGCCGGCGCCCAAGCTGACGCCCATCTCAACACCCCAAACCTCGCCGACCTCGGGAACGCCGTCACCCTTGGAGCCCTCAGAGGGAGCAAGGACGATCTTCTTCTTGCCCTCGATCTCGTTGCGCTCGAACAGCCATGACGTGGTGCTCTCGACCAGGTTGCAGTCGTAGCTCTTGACGACCTTCTCGAGAAGGCTGGTGATCTTGGACTGGCTGGGTGCCTTGGCGGCGGCGGCCTTGGCCTTCTCCTCGTCGGTGCCGGAAGCCAGCAGACCGGGAGGGAGCATCAAGCGGAGGAGGAGCTCATTGGCATAGTAGTTGGCGAGGAGCAGATCCGCAGAGCGGCCAGTGACCTCTCCGCCGGCGATGATGGTGTCGCAGACGATGGAGCCGAAGCCGTCGATCTGAGCACCGAGCTGGATCTTGATGGGCTCGCCAGCCTGGATCTCGACATTGGCCTCGGCCTCGTCAGAGGTGAGGGGAGTGTAGGGAGTGACGAAGGAGGCCGGGGAGACCGTGGTAGGGTGAGAGAAGCCTGAAGGGCGCAATTGGAGTTAGCAAGGTCGAAGACGCGTACAAAAGCTCAAGAAAGACAAACCCTTGTTGACCTTCTTTCCACGGTAGACCTTGGCGAGCTCCTCCTCAATGAGCTTGTCACCCTTCTCGCAGATGGTAACGATCTTCTCGCCAGGGACGCAAAGCTCGGCGACGGCAGCCAGGACCTTCTCAGAGATCTGAGCAGCGGTCTTGTACTTGGTGAGGGTGTCGGGGTTGTTGAGAGTGTAGTCTGGTCGAGTGTTAGCTCTACGATCAAGTGGCCAGTGGATGCGCAGCTCGAATCCGGCGAGTCTCGTGAGCCATGGCAGCCTCTGCTATGGTTTGGCTCGGGGGTAGCGGGGTAGCAACGTGGGCTGGTTTTGGTGTGTGACGCAAAGGCAGCAGGAGGAGCAGGAGCAGCAGCAGCAGAGCAACAACAGCCAATGGAGCAGAACGCGCAGCTGTAGCAGCAGCGAATTGGGGCAACTAACCGATCTCCTTGTCGTCCGACATTTTGGCGGTATTTTTGGTCAACGAATTGCCTAAAAAACCAACGAGTTATCTGAAGCGATTGTGGTGCACTGGTCCAGGATCTCGAGAAAGAGACTGGAACTGCTGGATGTGCGGGAAGAGACGCAGTGCAAAGTTGGTGCGGTTTGGGGCTGGTATTTTTGACGACGAATACGTCGATTTTGCAGGGCGGGGAAGGAGGGGCTGGCTGCTGTTTGTGGGTGCTCGGGCAGGTCAAACAGGTGCAGTCACTGGTGCAGCTCAGTCTCACACTCTCCTCTCACTCGGCCATGTACCTGTGGTGGAGAATTTACGCCAGGATCGCTTAAAATCCGTTACGTAGGTAGGGTCGAGTTCGCGTGCCGGTCCAGGCGGGAGCTGTGTTCCATGTCTTGTCCTGAGGTGTTTTTATCTTTTTTGCCGGGTGAAGCCTAAATAGTCAACCCCTTACATGAGGCGAGGTGTGGTACGTGAGATCACCGGGCAGGTTGATGCTCAGGGCAGCCCGTCATCCCACCAAGCTCAAAACCGGCAGAAGCTCGGGCCGTACCGTTACAAAGCCACATGGGATCTTGATCGTGAGAGTCGGGTCGAGGGTTTTGATTCGTTGCGCGCCGACTACGTAGTGACTTCGTCCTGGACGTGTCGATATGGGACTGTTCGGTCGGTGATGCGAGAAGCATATGGAAGCGCGCATATGGAGACAAGGCGCGACGCGGGCATAGGCATAGCTGCACTCCCGGGACATGACCTATCCCGGAATGCCTTCATGTGCCACGATCGAGGTCACCTCAAGTGTGGCGTGAGAAAAGACAGGTTGAGGCGGTGCAGCTGTCCGCGAGGACTCTTAGCCGAAAGAGGTTGTCAATGGAAAGCCAGGACGCGATCTGATCGTGACTTGGTGCGGTAACGACCGAGGACGTGAAGAGGAAGCGCCAAGTACTTTCCACCTAAATTTACACGTCAAGGTACTTCCGCAGGCTTTGCCAGGAAATTTTACAGCAAGAGGCAACTGCAACTTTCGGCCGGGCCCCTGCGAGTCTGGCACTGGTCCATCTGCACTAACGGAGAAAAGTCGCTTTGCTGACTCTCACAAGCAAAATTACTTGCTCAGACACGGTGGCTGGACCCGAGGTGCGTTAGCAACACTGCAGCAGCCTTCCCATCCAACACCAACACGGAGAAGTAGGAGGCTACGGTAGACGTAGCAGAATCCACCTCTTCACCTCGATCGATCTTTGGAGGCCATCGCCAATTGGCATCCGCCACGACACGCGCGCAAATTCGAATCCGGGCCTTACTGCGCGTCTTCCTCACGATATTGCGCCTGTCGCATCGCCCCGGCGATTCGGGACCCTGCACTTCCCCTTCACCATGGCCGCCCAGCCATCCACGTCCACACCTACCGCGCCCGGCGCGACAGCCTCGTCGTCGGCATCCACGTCCGCCAACAACAACCACGATGGCACGCCCCAGTCCGCTTCCGCCAAGGCGCTTCCCGTGCGGGATAAGGACTCGTTCAACAAGCTGCAGGTCGAGCGCTATGTCACGCGCGATTGGCAGCACGCGATCGCGATGAAAGACTCCCATTCCAAGTTCGAAAAGGAGATGGAGCATATGAGGGACAAGATTGACGATTACAACATCGTCAAGACCCAGCGCATGTTTTTCCCGCCGAGTAAACTTTACGGCGAAGGCTACCGCGGCTACGGAAACGGCTACACCGATATCGATCCCCGCATGAGAGCACCCTTCCCAGCTCAGGTCATATATCCTAGTCAGAAGCCGAGACCTGGGAAGCGCCAGTCGCATCCGTTGCGTTGGAAAAAGAAGGACTTGAAGAAGCAGGCCGAGCAGCATGAAGAGCTCGTGCCGGTACGGATAGACGTGGATTGGGAAAAGATAAAGTTACGCGACACCTTTACGTGGAATTTACACGACAGGCTTATTCCAGCAGAGCTATTCGCGCAACACTTGGTTGAGGATCTGGGCATCCCGTTGGATACGGCCAACAAGCCCGTGTTGGATCAGGTCATCCATCAAATGCGCGACCAGCTCAATGACTTCTATCCCCTCGTCTTCTCCGAAGAAGACGCGCTCGACCCGGAGCTACCCTACTCGGCCTACAAGAACGACGAAATGAGGATATTGATCAAGCTCAACATCACGGTTGGCCAGCACACTCTGGTCGATCAGTTTGAGTGGGACATCAACAACCCCCTGAACTCCCCGGAGGACTTCGCAGCCACCATGGCGCGCGACTTGTCGTTGTCCGGCGAGTTCACCACGGCCATTGCACACAGCATTCGAGAGCAGTGTCAACTGTTCACGCGCAGCTTGTACAGCGTTGGACATCCCTTCGACGGCCGTCCGGTCGAAGACCCCGATCTCGTTTCCGCCTTCCTACCATCACCTCTCACGTCCGTATTCAGGCCCCAGCAACAAGCGAAGGATTATGCTCCGTATCTGTACGAGCTCAGCGACGCCGACCTGGATCGCAACGAAGTCATTTTCTCCCGCGAGCAAAGGAGACAAAAGCGCTCCATCAACCGCCGTGGCGGTCCTCAGTTGCCGGATCTCAGAGAAAGGCAGCGCACGATCAGGACGCTTCTGGTGTCGTCGGTTCTCCCTGGAGCTGCACCAAACATGGAAGAGACCACGCTCTACAAGCGCGTGGCTGGCGCGCCCACCACCCGCAAAAGGCCAGGTGCTCGCGACGGCGAAATCAGCGATTCCGACTCGAGCGACGACTCTGGACCAGACTCGCCAGGTGTGTCACAGCTTGGTGGTACGGCGAGGACAAGAGGCTTGCGTGGGGCGGCCAGTGCTGCTCAGCAACGCATCACGAACCTGGGTCGCTCGGAAACTCCTGAAGCCAGCATTGTCCACCATCATGAGACGCGCAGGAACATCAGCCGCTTCAGCGGCCGCGAGACTCGCGACGAGACTGAGGAGCCTTCTCAACTGATTGTCACGCTCAAGGTCAGCAAAGACAAATTGCGGAGACTTTTACAGAACCCTAGAGCCAGGTTCACACCAAGCGGCTCACAAACCCCGTCGACACCTGCGCACACTCGTATTCCCAGTGCCGCAGCTGCTGCTACCTCGATGCCTCCGCCTTCCACGCCAGCTTCCAACAGCCATACGCTTCCCCCGAAGCTTGGAACCCCCCTTCCTCAGGGCCAAATCGGCCGCCAACCTGCACCGCCACCAGTTACTGGCCAGCCGCCCCCACCACCTGTAAGTATCGCAAGCAGCGGAGCGATGCTGAAATCTTGGCTAACCTCATCTAGCCTCCCCCGCCCGAATGGCTCAAGGACTGCCTCCAGGAGCTCAAGAAGACATATACTTTCGATAATTTCGAGGGCATGATGAAGTACTCGGCCGTCAACCCAGACACAGAGTTGCCCGTCCCAGTACCAGCTGGCTCACAACCACCTGAGGGTGTAAGATGGATGTTCCTTCCCAGAATCCGCTGTCTCGACTGTCCGGGCAAACTGTACACGCCTGGTCCGGAGATGACCGCCGGCAATTTCGAAGTCCATTTGCGCAACAAACAGCATCGTCAGAAAGTGGACGCGAGGGAGGGCAAAGACACGGCGCCTCTCACTCTTGTGCAGCCTTAGTTGACTGCAGGGCGTGTGCTTCGACCGCGTAAATGAAGTATTGCAGCTCGGTTGTCTCGGCTGCTAAGTCTGAAAGGGTACTCCGATGTTCATCGCACGACAAGTCGACTGTTCCAAGCTACATACGAGCCCCCTCAACGTTTCAACGTCTCGGCCAGTCATGGCACTCAGCGCAGTATCGACATTGTACAAGTTATCTTCTTTTCCCGTTGTTGTCGTTTGTTTGTAGAAAAGACGCTATTACATAGGCATCAAGCCTTAGCGGCCTCTCTCCCCAGAGGCAAAAGAAGGATTCTAGAACGGCATTTCTTTACGGAGCTTATGGTCTGGGAGTTCAGGTCCTGCTGGTTTGGCAGGGCACGGATGATGGAGTTTCAATATGGTTTTTCTTGGATCGAGAGGAGCGACTTCATAGGAGGGAGATGCCCGCAAATGTAAACTCAACTTAGGCAGGCGCGTGGGCGCTGCAGACCGTAGTAAGAATAATACTACAGAAGAGAAACACGTCGCGCCCGAAGTGAAGATCTATCATTTTGTCATGTATCAACGCTGAAGCCCGGCCAAATGAGAGATACAAACGTCAGAAGTATAACACAACAACAGAGCACTGATGGTCACTCAAAATTGATCGGCTTTGATTTCCCCGCAGATCCTGCCAACTGCGTCAGCCGCGGTGGCTTCTTCCGAATGCAACCCTCACGACGTGTTCCCGACAGCCACGCAGCGCATACCACAACCTCCGAACGAAGGGGAGGCAGACTCTGCCGGTTCCTGAAATGGGGAAGGGGCATAAGCTTCCTTGGCACGCGGCGCCCTCTCTTGGAGTTGCCTCCATTCTGCGAGATGGGCCCCAACTCTCGACCACGCAGACGACGAGAATCTCGCAAGCCAAGCACAAAGCAATATCAAAGTCGAGACCCTTTTATATCGCAGTATCGCCAGACGATACCCCTTAATCGGAATTGAGTTTCCCTGGAACCTGGCATGTCCTTGCCGGACGGAACGGTTCTTGCTTCCTGGGTTCGCGGGAGCGGGCGTGGCACGCTTTAAACTTCATACAGCCTAAATTTCCCCCCTCTCTTAAAATTCCCCAAATCACCGCAGGCCCCGATATAAAGTGCATCGGAACGTGCTGTCCGAACAAGCACCATTTGCTGCGTCGAAAAGCTTCCGTACCCCGGACAAACCTGGGGGCTGCTGGCTGTTCGGTCCGTCCGGACGATGTTTATATTGCTCGTGACCCTCTCTCCGCGTCTGACGATGTGTGCTAGCGGTTCGCAATACACTTTATTCAATGTCGTGATCCCGGCTTCCCCATATTGAGTCCTCCTCTGGTGATGTAGTATATATAAGCCCGGAGCCTGCTGCCTCTCTCTGAAGAACCGTCCTGCCCATCATTCTCTCGTTATCCCAACCCGTAGTCCGTTCCGATCATAGAACAACCGCCAAGATGAAGGCCACAACACTCCTCTCCCTCCTCCCCCTCGCCACCGCCAAAGTCCTCTGGGACGGCCGCTTCAACGACCTCACCACCTCCTCCGACCTGAACAAGTGGTCCTGGTCGAACCAGGTCGGGCCGTACCAGTACTACATCCACGGCTCGGGCGACGTGACGAAATACGTCAACCTCTCGCCCGACTTCAAAAACCCGGCCGACGCCGCCTCGAAGCAGGGCGTCCGCATCACGCTCGACTCGACGGCCTACTGGAACGGGCAGAACATGCGGCGCACCGAGCTCATCCCGCAGACCAAGGCGGCCATCGCGTCCGGCAAGGTGTGGTACCACTTCTCCATCTCGCGGCGCGAGGCCAACGCGCCGTCCATCTTCCGCGAGCACCAGATCGCCTTCTTCGAGAGCCACTTCGTCGAGCTCAAGAGCGGCTGGATCAGCGGCGAGAGCGCGGCCAGCAACCCCAACCTGCAGTTCATGGTGCAGCAGAAGAGCCTGTGGAAGACGGAGTGGAAGGCGGGCGTGTGGCATAACATTGCGTACGAGATTGTGAGTCTTTTCCCGTTGATTGTTGTTTGATGAAGAGGTAGTGAGAGCTGACGGGTTATGACGTGAGTAGAACTTCTCCAGCGGCAGTGTTGGATTCTGGCACTCCGAGGGCAGCGCGCCTTTGCAGCAGGTCGTTGCTCCCGTTTCGGCCTCGACGTCTTCCAACGGTCAGGATTGGCACTTGGGCGTTCTTGAGTTGCCTCGCGATGGGTACCCCGACACCAATGAGGACTTTTACTTCTCCGGTGTTTACGTTGAGGATGGCGCAATCACGACCTCCGTCACTGGACCCGGTAAGTCCTGTTGAGTATTATGCATTGGTATGGAGAGCTAACTCGGTGAACTCCAGCCGCATAAAGGAGTGTTGAGTGATGGATCTTCCCCTGTCGTCGATGCAATTGTTATCGTCGTCCTCGTCCTCGTGATCCTTACTACCCCAATTGATTCTACTCAAGCCCGAGTCGGCCGCGGCAACATGTACATGGGCTGCCTTACTGTACATAGCTTACTTTCACTGCACATATGAGTATTTGGAAGAATGAAGTTTTGACTCTGAATTGTCTATCTGAGTGTCCTTGTGGAAGTGATATGTTCTTCTGTAACAGGTCCCACCATCTGTTCAGCCATCCGTAGACTTAAAAACCCCTTACTCCCTTTCCGCTGTTGGCGTGGTTCATATCTAGGCTCTCCTAACTGAGCTCTTGGCCTGGATGATTCATGATGGGTAACTACAACTTGTTAGCTTAGTGATTCAACTGACAGCAGCATGAGAGACTGCAAATGTCCTGGAGAAGGAAAGAGCTGGAGCATGCTGAGCAGGGGCTTACCGGAATGTATTTGTGAAATGCAAGAGAATCAAAAGCTTAGAAGCTCTCCAAGCTCTTGGTCTCCTTGGCGACGGTTGACATAGTAGTAGGAGTGGCGGAAAAGTGAGCAACTCCATCAGTGCCAACTGAAGCAGGAGCCTGGCAAGAACCAAGCGTGGTGCGCTGCATGCCAGGGATGGGGCCGAGAGAGATATCGTAGCCCGTGATGCCAGCCCAGTACATGCAGTAGGAGGTGCTGCTTTCGCAGTAGTTGTAGAGGCAGTTGACAGAAGTAGTAGGAGCGGGAGTGATGAGGATCTCGTTGTCGTCCTGAACCTTGCGAGGCTCAAGGCTCTCAGTGGTGGTGGTAGGCGTGGCGCAGGATCCAAGCTGGGTGACGGTCTCGCCAGGAATTGGTCCAAGAGAGGGGTCGTAGCCGGTGACTCCAGCCCAGTAGGCGCACATGGACTTTCCGTCCTGGCACCAGCTGTGGTCGCAGTCGATGGAGGGAACTGGGGAAGACCTGGTGGTGATAGTGGTAGGAGCCTCGAGGTTGGAGCTGACTTGTATGTCGTTGGTGGGAAGAACGGCAGCCGTGATTGAGGTGGCCACAAGGACTGAGGTGAAGAGGAACTTGTTGAAAGAAGACATTGTAAGGTTGGGAAGGAACGAAGGGCTTTGAACGATGTGTTGAGACAGGTTATGTTTTGGAATGAAGATGGGAAGAACGACTCTTTATATTGTAAGAGGGGTGGGGTGAGGACGTGATCAGCAGTGACAGTTGAAGAGTGTTGAAGACAAAAGACTGTAGAGAGTTATCTTGAAGTGAGTAGAAGTTTGGCAAGGGCAAAAGTCTCACAACTCGCTTAATTAAAGGCTCTTTTGAAAGAGGAAAGAAGGAGGTTGCAGATGAGGAGGAAGGAGGGACAAAGAGAGTCATGCATAAATACCCTCTGGAAAGGCAAGAGCGTGATACCAGGAGGGGTAGCTGGAAGTCCCCGGTATCCTATCTGATGCCCTCAGCCAGCCTCTGATGATATGTGTCAGACTGCCCCATGGAAAGAACGGAAGGCATTGGATCTGGGAAGGAGCGCCGATTTATACGACCTTTCTAGGTAGGTCTGAAGTTCTCTCTGTTCCACAAGGCGGAAGAGTGTGAGACAAGTCAACTGCATCTTCGCATCCATCGGACCATATCCTTGGAAGCGATCCAAGTCTTGATTTGCTAGATTCTAGAGCTGACGAAGCAGGATTTCGGGTTTGTTCTACTATTTTCAGGTGCAGGATGCCTGGCTGCTTACCCGATCTTGGGGTGTAAGACATCGAGCTTCTAGAGTCTGTCAAGCATAAGCAAACAAGCGTGTCGCCACGTTTGCGGAAGGCTAGGTGCTGCTGACGAGGTACGAGGTTGTCGAGTGCGTCCCGAGAGAGATGCCGTCGACTGAGAGGTGGTGGGAGCCTTATGATCCCATTGGGTGTTTTGAGCTCCCCGAATAGAACACCGGTGCAATCAAATCAGAAACCGAGAAGCAAAACACATCGCCGGAGCCGATAGGTTGGCTGTCACTTTCATATCATTTGATGAGCTAGATTGATACGAAATTTGAATGCTATATACTGGCAGGAAGGATACGCGATTAAGCGGCCCATTGTCGTGCCGCCATGATATACGAGGTAAAGATAAGACCAATACTGGTCGTCCAAACCAGACTGCGAATTGGGGCCCAGGCACGGTTGTCCTGCAGACGAATGTAAATGATGTTGTACAAGACGCGGCAGCCAATATAGCCGAAGGAGATGAGATTGACGGAACGCGGGTCTACGCCGGCCACGTTGGCGGCGACCACGCCGGCAGCATAGAGACCAAGACTCTCGAAGCCGTTCTGAGCAGCCGCCTGCGCACGCTGAATCCGAGCCTTTACCTGGAGGAGGAGTTAGTTATGCGACCAATCAAGACCTTTCGGACTGATCCATACAATCTTGTCCATCTTTTCGTCAGAGGCGAGGACGGACTGAAGTTGTCGAGGGGTCGCAGGGTCGTAGCTTTTCCCCGCAAGCGCGGAGGCGTAGCCGTGGGCGCCCATGATGGACAGCAGGGCGAAGGGAATCTGCCTGTGATGAGCTCGGTGACGCGAGTGAGGTCAAGGTGAGGGGTTGCATACGGTGTACAGAGACAGGCCCTTTTGGGCGAGATCAAGACCGAAGGACATTTTGACAGGTTTGCGATTTCACGATGAATTGGTCAGGTGAGGGGAGACGCAATGATTTGGTGCACGAAGAATGGAAGTGTTGATAGAACTTCGGTAGCTGCAGTATGACCTACTTATCCAACCTCAATACAACGGACCAGCGCAGTGTTTAGCGGACTCCGGCGGAAGCTTGTTGCACCGAGGGTGTGCCGCAGAAGGATTGCCCCGAGCGGAGAGCCAACTCGGGTTGGGCAATGCGAGAAGGAAACCCGACAACTCGATGGCACTTCAACATGGAATACTATGTTGATCTGGTTATTATCTCAACTGCTCATTGGCAGTTCACAGCTCGGCCCCTGCACAAACCCACACAAATTGAGAGGCGGAAATCGTGATGTCACACAAATCGGTCTTCATAGTCACTCAGCCAATCAGCGAGTGCCTTACATAACTTTCGGAATTTGAGCATTGTGCAAGCAACTATCGTCTCCCATTGGACGACAGCATCAAGGTCCTCGACAAACTGGAAATCCATCATGTCGTCGATGCGATTTCTTTTCTCCGGACTTTCTGGCCTGGTATCCGTACGCCCACACACTCAACTCCTAGCACAGAGCTGAAAATATTTCCTCATGGACTTTGCTTTTGCTGGGCGGCGAACTTGTCAGGCTGAAGCCGTTGTCATGCTCTGCTCCAACTTTTAGACTTCCTCTCATGGAAGAATGCGACGTCTTGGCAACTACCCTTTTGAATGAACACCAAAACATCGATTCGACTACTTACCTCCCATATCCCCATGGTCTACGTCGTCTTGGACGTCACCCAAAAAGTCTCCAACGCAAGATGACGGAGAATCGCAAGATGACTATCCAGCTCAACCCACGGGCCTTCTGGACGCAGCTAGTCTTTGGAAGAGCTGACAGCTTCGACATACTTCGCAGTACTCGCGGAGGTTTTTCAATGTGCTAGGAGCAGGAGCTCCGGCCAATGAACGTCAAGCACTCGACCCTGGGCGCTGCCTGCAGCTCTCACACCCTCACCAGCTTCCTCACCCATGGGGCCCCGGCGCAAAACCCGAGAGGAAAATCTCGAATAGTGGCCACCAGCGAGTGATATAAGTCATGAACTGCAAGAATGCCCGTGTGGTGGACGCTCTGATCATGTACGTTTTCCAACATCGCCAATGAAAAACTTTTCTGGAACTGACAACTTCTCAGGCGGCAGCTGGGAGGATATGGGATGATGCAAATGACTCGAGGCATTGCCATTGCCGCTACCGATGAGCGAGGACGGGAGCAGTCGAGGGTTGGGGTTTGGCTTTTGGCCCGCGAGTTTCGGGACGAGCTTCTTCTGAATTCCCTGTTCTTCGACTCATGGTTCAATCCCAGGCCCCGCGATGCCAGCCTCAGTTGCATTGCCGTCTTTCTCAGCGCAGCCTGACGAATCAGCCAATCTCAGCTCTGTTGCTGTTCGTCTCGTCAGAGGCGCATTTCAAGGCCATCACTCCTCGAGTGAGGACGGCAAACAACGCCGCAGGGCCCTTGGCGTCGTTAGCGTTTTTCAATTATGCGGTTGTTTGCCACGGTCGCTCCCTGTCCGTTTGTCATCGCATAATAGTCAAGCGACCATCCGGACGCTTTCTCACAGGCAGAAACAGCGCTTGTCACTGGGTCGTGATGGAGGGCCGGCGCAGACTCGCATGGTCGTCGAATTCTGATGCCTGCTCTCATGCTCAAAGGTAACAGCAGCCTGATGGGCGCATGAGCGGGAAGAAACAACCCACCAACAGTTTTTGGGGTCCTCCTCTGATTCAACAACACCAAGGAGATCAAGTGAGACTCGGAGTGAAAATGAAGCAGAGGAGGACCGCTTGCACCTTTGGAATGTGAATGGAGCAGGGATGCTGATGAGATTGGATGCCAGACCTCGCAGGAATTGGGTTGGTCTAGACGAATGCAGCACGCTTGCAAAAAGCGCGTACCCTGAATCAAGCCAACGAGATGATGACAGGCGCGATACCTCGGGGGGTCGTTTGGAGGCGCCTGTCTACTAAGATAGGCCAGGTACCTCTACCTACCTAATGTGCCTCGAGAGAGTCAAAAAAGAATGAGGTGGACGGGCGCGAGGAACTGAGCGCCGGCGAAAAAAAAAAAAAAAGAGCACTGAACGCTAGGTATGTCGCTGGGACTCAACGCAACGGACACATTGCTGCGTGGAAGAAGCGTGCCCGCGCCCCAAAAACCAAACCTGAGTTGGGGAGGTGAGGTGGAGGAGGGTCCCGGTCCAGGAGACCCCATTGGAGAGGCTTATCGCATAAGAGATTAGATCCTGGCACTGTGCCGCTTCTCCTTTTCGTCCCGGTCGTCCATCCTGCTTTCCCGGAAACAGCTACCGGGCTTGTTAAGAGCGAAGCTGGCACGCACAGTGTTTTCGTCTTTACCCCAAGAAAGCGATAACATTTTTTTTTTCCCTTCCATGAAGTGGCCCATCAAATCCACCCCCCCAATCTGGCACCCGGCTGTCGCCCAAGCCTGTGACTTCCAGAATCACCTACTCGTTCAGCGCCCGTATACCGACAAAATTCTGGTCGAGCCTCCACGCCTCCACGCCTACACGACCAATTTCAATCGCGATCAATTGCCACCACCCAACAACAACCCTTTCATCCCTCTCGATCGTTGATTTCATCTCTACGGACTCCGAAAATCATCGTCGACATTCCGTTTTTGCCTAAAACGGATGTCGCGGCAGCTCATGATATGACTGAGGTCGGGCCTGCCGACCGCTCCAGGCTATTGCGATCCAAACGCGATGAATTTAGGTCAGTAATAATTCTGATCGATGGAGATTTTTCTGCCGATTACAGCGATGTCAAATTCGTGGTGTTGACATTTTTTAGTTCAATTGTAACCTCGAGGAAGCGGAAGCTTCGCCAGTTGTTTGGTGTCGCGACCGAAGCCAATGCACTTCCAACAAACGACTTCTCGAACCCTGACGCGCCGCCAACCTCAAAAAGCGAAATACCATTCTTGCATGGTAGCGACTTTTTACAGTACGTTCCAGCTGTCATCCCGCGCTTTTTCAAATTATTTCGATCGCGTTTCGCTGTTATTGTCCCCAAGTTGTCGCTAACACGACTTACAGAGGACGGAGTCTCAATGAACAGAGTATTCCTGCCCGACCTCAACTTAACTACGATGTCTTAAAGAACTCCCTCGATACCTCTGGTCTCTTCGCACCCGACCTCGACCCCCCTCCATCAGCGAAACAAGACGCCGTCGTCGAACCGCAAGCGAGATCTCCACCTGTTCCGTTGCAACAGCAGAGCTTAGGTGCATCTCACGATGCGAATGGCGTCGCACCGCCTCCCCAGACACCTGCGGGCCTGGTAGTCCCGCCCACACTTCCTGCGAAGCCTCCGACGCCCTCGACGCCTCCGATTGTTGCCCCGACGCCGACTCGATCCGATGTTGCGAAGCCGCCCGCCGCTTCTGTTCCAGCTCCTCCAACAATCCCATCAACTGTCCCGATAAAAGACCCTTCGCATGCGTCGCGACAAGATGCTAGCGACCCGGTCGATGGCGACAGCCTCGAGAAGAACGCCCCGTCACCTTCACGTCCTGAGCCGAGCGCTATCTCAAAGCAGGCCGAATCGAAGCCCGTCGACGAGCCTCGGGTAACTACTATCCCAACAGCTCATCAGCCTCCGGCAGCACCTCCTACGGAGACCAAGAAAGCTGAAGATGCTATCACCTTACCCGCCAAGCTACCGCCAGAGACTGCACGTGCCGTGGATGCCCTTTCATCCCCAGGCTCGACAACGCAGACCGCCGCTACCCCCGCTGTTCACGACGTCTCTACAGACACCAGCCCTGACAATGAGGGACCCCATTATGTTGAGCGTACAGAGGCGATGGATGAGGTGGAAACTGCAGAAAAGGCGGATGAGGAGTCCTCAGGAGCTGAGCCGGCAGCTTCATCGGACGCCGATAGAGTTCCTGATGGGCCGGAAGCGCAGCTCCTCCAGGAATCCATGGCGATGGATTCTACACCTTCCGCACCAGTATTTGAACCCCCTACCAAGGTGCCGTCACCACCGTCTACATCCAAAGTCAATGATGCCCCTGATCACCCTGTTGTGCAAGAGTCGGAGGTAAAGGAAGCTGAACCTGTGGAGCCCAAGTCCCTGACTCCCAGCGTGGCCCCAGAAACACCCGTTCCAGCAGTGGTCGAACCAAGTTCAGCGCCTGGGGTCAAGGAGATTCCGGATAGTCAAGAAGAGACTTCGAGTATGGACCGGATGGATGTGGACCAGCCAAACTCTAGCCAAGCAGAGGATAAGGTTTCCTCGCCACAAGCACAAGAGGTCCCTGAATCCACCTTGGTAGAACCGAAAACTCTTCAGCCCCAACCGCAGGCGCCGTCAGAGACTCCGAAAGATCCTGAAAGAGCTGTCACTCGAACGTCCTCAGGCGCAATGAGACAGAAGTCGGTATCTGAGATTCTAGGAGAGTCACAGCCGGATGCCGTTGAGACTGAGAGTGTCAGGATGACTTCGAACCAGCTCACACCAGTAACATCAACTCCCCAGTCTCCGGCTGCAAGGTCCAGGACGCTCACCAACAAGAAGAAGGACAAGGCGAAGAAAATTCCATCGGCGGTGGTTTTTGGCAAAACAACCAAGCGGTCAGCTGAAAAGTCCGTCGTGCCCACTCAGCAGAAGCAGAGTTTCCTGCCCACCGACGACTACTTCACGCCACTCTTCGTACAGGGCTTTACGCAAACATCGAAGTGGATGAAGCCAATCGAGGTCGTACTCAACCAGTCTCACAAGACGGTTTCAACTCCGGATGCTTATGTGGCCATTCAAGACAACCAGGCATGTAAGGTTTTGCGGCGTGTCTACCACCTTCAACAGGCCGACAAGTGGTCATTGCGACAACCCAAGAGATGCCCGGAGCCAGTACGACCCGAGTCCCACTGGGATGTCCTGCTCAAGGAGATGAAATGGATGAGGACCGATTTCCGCGAGGAGAGGAAGTGGAAGATGGCGGTTGCACGCAATCTCGCCCAAGACTGCGCTGAATGGGTTGCGGCTAGCCCGGAAGAACGCAAAGAGCTCCAGGTCCCTGCTTACATACCTCCGAAGCCGCAGGTGGTTGAGGCGGAGGTCGATACGTCCATGGCTGACGACTCGATGAACGCTTTCGACAATCAGACGCCTGAGCTGATTCCATCAGGCGAAATGGACTCTCCCGAGCATGTTGATGAGCTTCGCGAGGAGGTTCTTGAGACGGTTGCGCCGTCGGCAATCTTCGCTCTTGAGGACGACGATGTCGTTTTCGCGTTGCGTAGTTCGCCCACCGCAGACCAGCTACTCCAGGAGCTGCCGATGTATGGCATGCCACTGAAAGTTCCCTCTTCGGACTTTTCCGGTCCGGAGGTCGACCCTGATGCGCACTGGAGAAGGCCAGCTCTTCCTCTCAGTAAGTATGTTGAAGGCGAGATGAGACTATCAACAGATGGTCCTCCCCGGAAGAGAAGTCGATTCCAGTACGAAGAGGAAGAGGATGACGACGATGAGAAGGTTGTGTATGGTGGATTCCAGCCTGCGAAGAGAATGAAGATACCGCCCCAGAACACCGATGTGGCTCTCTTCAATCCTGAGATGAAGCCGATTAGGGATCGTCTTCATGCTGGCCATCAGTTCCGCCCTCCCGCTGAGCATCAAATGCCTATGCAGAGCTTTTACGAATGCCGCAGTCCGTCGCAATGGACCTTGGCCGAAGACGATGAGCTGCGCAGTCTCGTCCGCGAATATTCTTATAATTGGTCGCTCATCTCCAGCTTACTCACCACGCGGTCTGTGTTTGCTTCAGGGGCGGAGAGGAGGACGCCGTGGGAATGCTTTGAGCGATGGATCGGTCTTGAGGGTCTGCCAACGGACATGCAGAAGACGCAGTACTTCAGGGCGTACCAGAATAGGATCGAAGCTGCGAATCGTGTCATTGCGCAACAGAACCAGCTTGCTCAACAGCAACAAGCTCAGCAGCAGCAGCAGCAGCAACAACAGCAACAACAAGCTGCTGGCGCAACAACACCCGCGACACCGGTTGCTAGGCGCAGACCATCGACACCGCTCCGGGTTGAACGACGACGCAACCAGAAGCACCTGACGTTGATTGATGCGATGAGGAAGCTTGCCAAGAAACGGGAGACTGCCGCCCAGAAGCAGCAACATGCTTCTCAGATGGCAGCAATGCGCAAGGCCAACGAGTCAGCTCAACCCAGAGGACCGACCAAGACGCCGAGGGATTACAGCTTGATGAGGTGGGAGCGTGACCAGCAACTCGCTGAGAAGGTGGCTCAGTTCCACCAGCGGCAAGAAACTCAGCGAAGGGTACGTCCCGTAAAGAATACTGAGACTATCGCCCCTACTAACACAGACTCTCCGCAGATGGCTATGCAACAAGCACGTGTCCAAGGTCAAGCTGCACAAATGGCGTCAACTCCTGGTGCTGGGCAGATGCAACCGAACGGAGCTGCTGCAGCAGCGGCGGTCGCGGCGGCGGCCCAGGTCCAGGCCCAGGCCCAGGCCCAGGCGAACGGTAACATGGCTCGTCCTAACATGCCGAACCAACTTGCTGTTCCAGGCCAAGGCCGTGGCCGCATGCCGATGCAAGCTCCAACAGCCAACATGGGAGGTGTTTCCGCCCATTTAAACAGTCTTGTGCCCCCGATGCCAATAAATGGTGTATCGCAGGCGCAATTGCAGGCTGCGATGGCTCAGCAGCATAGGATGCCCATGCCGACCGGTCAACCGGACCGCAATCTTCTGGCAGAAGCGCGTCGAATTTCAGACCAACAGCGCCAAGCAGTTGCGCACATGCAGCAAGCTCAACAGGTCCACCAGCAACCTCATCAACAGCAGCAACAACAACAAGGTCAGCAACAGCCTCAACAGGGCCAGCAAAGCCAGCAACAGATGCATCAAGGCACACCAGCCTCGCAATCCCACTCGCCGCCTAATATGCGTCCTGCGGTCGCTGTGAACGGTGCAAACGGCGTTAACGGCGTCAACCAGCAGAATTTCTTAGCCAACGCACAGGCTATGATGGCTCAGTACAATGCTGCTAATGGCGGCGGAATGTCAACACCGCCTGCTGGTGGTCTACATATGCCGAACGGTACATCGGGCTCTCCACGTCCACAGGTCCCACCCGGCATCCAGGCGCAGCTCAATGCCCTTCAAGCACAGTTCCAGGCTAAGAACCCGAACATGTCGGCGAACGAGGCTCGTCAAGCTGCCACTGATCATCTGACCAGGCTCATGATAGATCAGCGTCAAAGGATGTCGCAGAATGCCATGAACGCGGCGGCTGGTGGCGGTGGTGCGTCGTCTCCAGGCATGCCTAATGGTATAGCAGCAACGACAAGCCCGCACCAGTATGCTGCTCTGCTTAGGCAGCAGCAGCAGCAACAGCAAGCTGCTCAGGCTGCTGCGCAAGGGGGTCAACCGAATGGACAGCATCAACAGCAACACCATGGGCAACAACAGCAAGCGCAGCATCACCCTCAACAACAGCAACAGCACGCCCAGCATCACCAGCAGCACGGCCAACAGCAACATTCTCAGCAACATCACGTTCAGCAGCAACATCAGGCGCACTCACGGGCTGCATCCCAGTCGCACTCTACTCCGCAACCTCAGCATACTCCACGACCTCAGTCTACTCCTCAATCTCAACCTACGCCAACACCACGACCTCAATCTACCCCACGACCTCAGTCAGCACAGCCTCAGCACCAATCTCAGCCCCAGCCACAACAACAGCAGCCGCAGCAGCAAACGCCACAGCAACAACAGGCGCATGCACTACGTCAACAACAAGCCCAGCAACTGCAACAGGCTCAGCAAGCTCAGCGAGCCCAACAGGCTCAGCAGGCTCAACAGGCTCAACAGGCTCAGCAGGCTCAGCAAAACCAACAGGCGACTCAGCATAACCAGCAGGCCCAGCAAAATCAGCAGCCCCCGCAAGGCCAGCATACCCCGGCCCAGCAAACGCAGACGCCACAGCCTCCTCAGACGCCGCAAGCCCAGCAAGCCCAGCAAACAAAGCAGGTACCGCAGCCTCAGCAAGCTCCGCCAGCTCCGCCAGCTCAACCAGCTCAACCAGCCCAGCCAGCCCAGCCAGCCCAGCCAGCCCAGCAGCCCACTCCACAGCCTGCAGAACAACAAGCGCAGCAGCAGCAGCAGCAGCAGCGTCAGGCCAGCGGAAGCGCCACACCATCTGCTACACCGGCAGCCTAAGCAATATTGGTGGAGATAAAGGGCTCTCTTCTATACGATAACCTTATTAAACACCACAACATGAACCATATCTTCCAGAGGCAACCAGTGCCCAGACACGGCGATGAGAGGAGGAGGTTCAGAGCCGCGGGGAGGCGCGGATGGATGCCCGACGTGGTCGAGAGACAAGAGGGGGCACCTCCGCAATGTCGTCGCGCCGTTCGCCTCCCGGTCGTCTAGTACCTCTTATATGACAGGTGCCAAGAAGACGGCCACGAGGGAGCCGGCGGCGCGAGCAGACGAAATGTACATAGATGAAGAAAAGAAGCAGCAATGTCAGATTCTTGCCAGCAGCGGAGGCCAAAAGCAGCACCCCACTGAAAGGTTGTATATATAGCCTTTATTTAATGCGAAGACGAGATGACGGGAGGGCAGACGAGCTACTTAGATGAGGGGGGGGGCTGCTTGACGAGGAAAGACGAAATGAAGAAAAGAAAGCCACCCCACAACCCGGTCCATGCTATTTGTGAAATGCTTCGATGTGATTCATAGCTGTCATTTGTGGTACACCGAACACAACTTCTTAGAATCGGGATCAATAGTGATTTGTCACTGCGGCGAAACATCACGTACGAAGCACGAGGAAACGAGATTTCTTCATGGAAACTACGCCGGAAAACCCGGGTTTCTCACTAAGTAGGTAAGGTAGACAGTCAGACCTTGCTCTATAACTACGCCTTGAACGCCGATTGATGCCCAACATCCCGGTACCGCTAGGGATGCGCACACAGAACCGGTCTCCTGAAGAGGGAGACGACACAAATACAACACCCCCGTGACATTTGTAAACATGAATACGAGACCGCTACACATGCGGAGCTGCAAGCCCTTAGGCAGGGCCTGAACCGTTCCCACGGTGGTTGTTGTTGTTGCTGTGACCGCCGTCGAGGAGTAATGTCGGCTTGATGAAGTCTTCGTCCAATTGCCTGAACAGACCCGCCGGGTCCTCTGCGCTGAACAGTTGTCTGATGGCAGACGTCGCGGAGACGTGCGGTGCCACGGCCGCTGGCGATGGTTCGGCTTGGAGGATCGCGGGCGTGGTCGAAGAGTTCGACGCGCCGGGCGTGAGCAAGGGGCTTGTCCGCCGCGGGTCCCGGCGGGCGGGGGGCGGGAGGTCTGACGTGTCGATGTCGCTGCCCAGATCCGAGTCCGTCGTGTTGCCGCTGCGGCCCAGCAGGTCGCCCCTCTCGGCCTCGGAGTTCTTACGGCTGAGGCTCGTACCCCGCAGGATCGGATTCGGCGAGCGGTGGCCGGAGACGTAGCTACCGCGCTCCGATCCCACCGGCGGACGGGCTCCGTTGCGCGAGGCGATGTTGTCCAGAGACATGTTGCCGTTTCGCCGTCCGGGGATGAAGCCGATGCCGCTTCCGGAGCGCTTGTAGTAGTTACCTCCAAACGACTCAATGTCAAACTCGTCATCGCTGTCAATTTCGTCGACCACGCCAGTGCGAATTCCTAGGATCTCCAGCATGCGCGCAGTCGTGCCGCCGAAGATGATGACAGTGAGCACTACGACGACTAAAACGGTGGCCTTGAGAGCGTAGGAGTTCTCGCCGGTGAGCAGAGCTGCAAGGGCCACGCCGACAGCTCCACGCAGACCAGCCCAGAAAAGCATGGCCTGGTAATTGTACGGGAGCTCGTCGCTGACATCTCCGCCTCTCCGTTGCGCCCTGTAACGAATGACCCAGTTGATGGCGCGAGAAAGAGGGAACACCGCCACCCAGCGGGCGGCGCAGACTGCTGCAACGGTAATAATGATGAGCAGGGGACGGAACTGCAGAGCGTTATCCGTGAAGAGGGCGAGACCGAGGTAGATGAAGATGAAATTCTCTGACAGCTGGGCGAGGATTTGGAAGATGAACTTCGTCGTGAGCTGAGTTCGCCTTGACATGTTGAAGTAGGCATAGTGCTTCAGTGTGATGCCGCAGAATAGCAAAGACACAATACCTGAGATACATTAGCTCATGAAATCTTCTGTCAGACGGGTGTTCTTACCTGACATGTGTATGCCGTGCGAAAAGAAGTACGTCGCATATGCAATCAAAACCACCAAGCAACTCTCCGTCTTTGGGTATCGGCGGATATAAGTGAGCTTCAGAAGCAGTGCGGTCAGAACACCAACGAGTACGCCAATCAGCAAGCTGCCGAAGAAGACGATCAAGAAAATGCCGATACCCTCGAAGAAGCTCAGGACACCCAACTTAGAAGCATCGCCTTTCTTGTACTTCTGCGCTGTTTCGAAGATAACAATGGCAATGGCGTCGTTCAGAATCGACTCGCCAAAGATGATGGTGTAGAGCTTCGGGTCGACCTTGTATGAGTTGAAGATGGCCAAGATGGTGACGGGATCGGTAGCGGACAGAGTTGCTCCCACAGAGATGGCATCGACGAAGGACATGCTTATGGACTCGACGCCGGTCAAGGCGTAGAGCCATAGGATCAGGCCAATAACGACGGCTGACAGAAAAGTTCCGGCGAAAGCGAAGGTCAGAATCGTGCCCATGTTCCGAAAGAAGTTGGCTTGATGTAGTTCGTATCCTGACGCGAGGATAATCGGTGGTAGTAGCAGGTTGAAAAAGATTTGGTAATCGAAGCTGATGAGGTTTCGGATCGAGTCGCCGGAGGTCACGAGAAGGAGAAGACCAACAGTCATTCCTAATTACCGGTGTCAGATATTACGATTTCGAACCACAGAGTGAAAGCGACGTACCCGCAAAGATGGAAATGACAGTCTCGTGGACAGCTTCAATCTTCCGTTCTTGGAGGAAGTAGCTCGTCAGGAAAGCAATGATGAGCAACATGATGGAAATGAACAGCGCCCATGCGGCGAAAATTTCCTTCTGCGAGCCATCTGAACCTGGGTTATACGGTCAGTCGCAGTCGGCGAGAGCGCGGGGGAAGAAATGGTATGGGCAGCGTACTTTCGGGATCGCCTTCTTCGGTGGCACGTCCTAGCACAGATTTGTTAGCTTTCGCATTCTATTCAATCCTATTGAGGGATTGAAATCGCATACGAACTAGATGCAGGGCCGCGCCCGCGACATCTGATGCTGAAAACATGATAGAGGAGCGCAGTTTCTGCGGCTTTTGCGACGTTCAAGGGTTGGTAACAGAGTAAGATCCTGAATCGAGTGGAAAGCAGGCAGACCGGCGGCTCGCACGTGAGCTCCGAGGGGCGCGGATGACGATCATGAACAGGCCAGCTCGTCGGGCGCCGCAAGGTCTCCTGGAGAGTCGATCGCTGGTGTTTCGTGAACTGGCGACGGGAGGGAAGGGAGCTGTCGATGTCGCCAGTTTTCAAATTCGAGATAGCATTCGCAGAGGTGTCCACAGGACCATGCAGGTGCAGCAGGACGGGAGCCAGCCACTTCTCGTAGGCTGCGACAATGCACTGCGGTGGCTCTGACACCATCCGGTGATTGGCTGACGGACGTTTAACTGGTGGTTTTGCTTGCGAAGCCTCGGCGGGGTGGTAGAGTTACAATCGGGGACGGGCAACTGTCAGTGCCTGTTGGGGGAAAGTCGACCGCCAAGCGCAGATCTCGAAGTACCCGGTACTGTGAACCCAGCACTTGAAGCTCCCAAATATGGTTAGACGGGATGTGGGACACTGATGCAACGACGGGGGTCGTTCTCCCGTTCGTCTGGACGATAAGGCATCGGATTCAGAGGTAAAGTTGGATTAGACATTATCGGGTATTCTCATTTATGTATTATTACATACCACGAACCGAGTCTAGCCGAGTGGAAGCATGACTTCATCCTGACATGGCACGTGCCTTCCCCATGCCCCATCTGGTCTAGACTGCGGGCAACTCTGGGCCCGGTGCAGCTGAAGTCGTCCCCAGTTTTTCCCCGGCGGAAGCAGAGAGAAGAGGTGAAGGACACCGCCGTTTGAGGGTGTCGAGGATGGCGCACTGCCGGCAAGATCTGACACTCACGGCTCGGTTGGGTGTACTGTTGGGCAGCTGGGGTAACACTTGACCAGATGCTCGTGAGGATCAGTAGCCGGGTGGATGGCACCGTCAGCCGGGGGCGCTCCTGTTCTCCCACACAAAGCGACTCTGACTGATGATAAACGTGAGATTGTGTCCTACCGTACCTGCTTGAAGATTTCCTGATGCAGCGCACACGAGGCTTACGTGGGTATGAGATGATAAAAGTACGTAAATATGGAACCAGGGAACGCTTCTGTTATTCAACTCTTTTCCAAGACGGCGCACATTGTGTTGTTCAGATGCTGTAATACCATGTGCCATATTAGCTGTGGAAAATAGAAGCAGCTAATGGGGCGGCAGAAGGAGCTACGGCCATGACGTACCTTATTGCGGGGGTACCCTGGAGACGGGAGTTCGCAAACAGGGTGCTCTTCACTGGCTGAGTCGCTGTGCGATGCCATCGTGACCAGCTTTTTGTTCCCCTAACAAGCCACTCCTGGAACTCCCGCGTTCTCGGCCGTGGAAGCTTCCATCATTTCCACCACTCAATCACCCAGCAAATAAATACCAACGTTTTCCCCCTCCTCTTCTCCCCAAACTCAGGGTCTCGTGTCTCGTCGTAATCAACCGACACTCGCACCGTCCACACGTGTATATCCGACCGACCTAACCTGCTCTAGGGTCGCGCGCCTGCCACGCTCTCGGCGGATCACACACCCTTCAGACCGTCCCAACAGCTGCATCACGGAACTCCCTCGGCTTCGCACCATTCAGCTGCACTCCGCCCTCCCACCCCTTACTACGTACATCGGATTCCGCCAGTGCCAGACGAACCCGACGACGGTTCTGGCTGCCGCTCTCCCGTCATCCGCTGCTGTCAAGTCTCCAGCTTTACCCATCCGGTTCCCCCTGTGGCATACATTCTGGCGCAACCCTAACACACCATCTCGATCTGCGGTACCGCCTTTCATTCGTCCTCGACCGGCTCAACTGCATTACCCGGGCTCGAATCAGGAACCGACCTGCATTTTTTAGTTGGTCATTCAGCCAGGGCGCAGTTTGCATCCAGCGAATGACGCAAAGTCTTGCTGCGCGAACTGTCATCGTCAGAAATCGAATCACTCCGTACCAGCCAGCCCGCGCTCGGGGTCTCGTGGCATCCTCCTACTTGACCGCGTGACAGCACCGCGTCTTTCTGCCTGACTTGGCCACCTCCGCCCGTTTTTGCATTGCTGCGAGTCATCGTAGCCTCTGTTTAAATACTCTTTCGTCGCTTCTTCGCTGACTAGGGCTGTCAACAAACCCACCGACCTGTGCCCTGAACTCGAGACGAGCATCCGACTTGAAACGACATTTCCTCACCGCCCGCTAGTGGGCTTAATCCGACATCGCCAACCTGGATCGATTCAACTGCTTGGCCTCATTCCAATATGACTTCGAAAGCTCAATCCCCAAGGCGGGGCCGACCTTTGCCCAACATCGACCAGAGCAATTCGCCGTCCAAGACAAACGGCGCCCAGAATCGAACTCTCTCTGGTAGCACTGATCGAAACGCCTCCCGGGACAACCGAATCGCCACCGAACGCTCACCGCTCTTGTCCCCAACAAGCGAAGACGATGGCTCCAACGGTGGTAACACGGTCATGGAGGAGCAGGATGACTTACAACAGACCAAGAGCGTCTGGTATTTGATCCTGCTGACGATCAGCATCGGCGGTTTGCAAATCGCCTGGTCCGTCGAACTGTCCAATGGATCGCCATACTTGCTCTCACTGGGACTCAGCAAGTCGCTGATGGCCTTGGTGTGGATCGCAGGTCCGCTTACCGGGACTCTGGTCCAGCCCTACGTCGGCATGCTTAGCGACAACTGCCGGCTCCCGTGGGGCAAGCGGAAACCGTTCATGCTCGGCGGAGCCATCGCGACCATCATATCCTTGATGTTCTTGGCCTGGACGAGGGAAATTGTGGGCGGCTTTTTGGGCCTCTTCGGCGCTGACCCAGAGTCTCAAGGAGTCAAGAACTCAATTATCGTAGTGGCTGTGGTCGGGATCTACGTGCTCGATTTCGCCATCAACACCGTCCAGGCCGCCATTCGAGCCTTCATCGTCGATTGCGCCCCAGCGCACCAACAGGAGGCTGCCAATGCCATGGCAAGTCGCATCACCGGTTTTGGCAACATTGTAGGATACATCGCCGGCTACGTTGATTTGCCCAAATACGTCTGGTTTCTGGGCGACACCCAATTCAAGGTCTTGTGCGCCATAGCCAGCATCGCTTTGAGCACGACCATCGTCGTCAGCACGACATTGATTCGCGAGCGAGACCCTCGTCTTGAAGGCCCGCCATCGCAGAGCAAGGCCGGTGTCATGTCGTTCTTCGGCAAGATCTTCACTTCCATCAAGCGTCTGCCGCCTCAGATCAAGAGAGTCTGTCAGGTACAATTTTGCGCGTGGATCGGCTTCTTCCCCCTCCTTTTCTACACCTCTTCTTACATTGGTGAGATTTACGTCGAGCCCTACTTGGAGCAAAATCCTCACATGAGCCCCGAGGAGCTTGACAGACTCTACGAGCGAGCGACCAGAGTCGGAACTTTTGCTCTGCTCATCAACTCGATCGTCAGTTTGGCTACCAATGTTTTTCTCCCATTCTTTATTGCCCCTACCTATGATAGTCACCCCGTCGTATTCGACGAGTCAGATGCCTCCTCAAGCGAATTCGACGACTTGAAGCCCTCTTTCTTGGATAAGCTTCAAATTCCAGGCTTCACGCTTAAGCGAGCCTGGTTTGCCTCGCTGTGGCTCTTCGCGGGAGCGATGTTCTGCACCGTCGTTGTTCGAACTGTCGAGGCAGCCACCGCGCTGATCGGATTGGTTGGCATTACTTGGGCCATGACCCTTTGGGCTCCGTGGGCCATCATCAGCGCCGAGATCAGTCGTCGAGACGCAACGATTCGCGCTGCCAGGCAGCGACACGCAAGCCCTAACAGGGGCGCCGATGGACCGGCTTCGCCCTCTCTCAACTCGATCGCCGACTCCAACAAATCCGACCTCGGCGACGGCGAGGAGACAGACCAAGCCGGAGTCATTCTCGGCATTCACAACATGGCCATCGCCGCGCCTCAGATCATCGCGACCGTTGGCTCGAGTATCATCTTCCGCATCTGGCAAAAGCCCCGCGGCACGCCAGGGGACCACTCGATGGCCATCGTCCTGGCCCTCGGTGGAATCGCCGTGCTAGTATCGTCATTCTTTGTGGCCGCCATCAAGGAGAGCTCCACGATGCCAGCGGACGCCATGATCTCGGCAGAAGAGGGTGACAACACCGGCGCGGGCAGCCGCCCGGGAACTTCATACTCGCGTACCAAGAGCTACGAGCAGCTCCCACGCGTGAGCATCAAGCGGGCCACCCTCACGAGAAATAAGAGTTTTGGAGGTGCCGAGTACTAGCTACCGTGCTCATTTCACTCATTTGGCGTTGGGAAGCAAGGGGACAAAAGGGATACCCCTGAAATTGGATCGGGTCAACTGGAAACATGCAAGGAGTTTATGGGCCGGACGGGACACATGGGCAATATGGATGGCGGAAGGGCTCTGCCACTTTTTTTCTTTGGGTTTGATTTTTATGACGAAGGTTCAAGTATGACCAAGCCGGGCCCTCCAACGATACTTAGAATGTGACATGTAGACCATTATACCGAGAAAAAGCAGGACTGCCTGCTTAGAATGACCAGGCGCGCAGCCAATACGACATAGCATCACGAATTCAAAGTCATCAATCACATTGTTTTTCTTCGGGACATAACTCGTCGGAGCTTTTCCAATTCAAATCAATTACCCATAGCATAACTTGTGCCTTCATTTCGTACAATTCATCAGTCCTTAGTAGAAGAGATGTCTCGTGTCATTTCTACATACACACAAAATCAACACATACAGGCTTGCTTTCGTTCCATGAAAACTCGTGAGAGCGTGTGGGAATCGTTGCGACATGCTACAACTCTCATCAAGAAAATAAAGTGAAGGCAAAAACAGAAATCCCACCGTTAACTCCTTTCGGGTCCTATTTGGGCCGACCCAATGCAATCTCTTCTTTATGTTTCTTGTCGTCTGGTTCCAGAAACACAATTTCATGACCCAGGAAGAGGAGGAGACGTAGCAGTCGAGGCGTCTATTGCGTCCCGGTCATAAGGCGCTCTAGTCGTACATGTCTATGCCCGTCGGGCGCTGGCTCGCGCTGCTCCGTCTGCGCTCCTGCCTCCTCCTGCGCCGGTTGTCCGCGGCCGCCGATCCCGTGGGGTTCGGTCCGGCGGGGGCCGCGGGGGACGGGCTCAGCTGGGACCAGGTGCCGTGGGTGTGCTCGCTGCCGATGCTAGAGACGGTGGCGCTCGCGGCCGGCTGGTTTCCGGCGGGGCCCGAGTAGTACGCCGAGTCCTTGGGTTTGCGGCCGGCGGCGAAGGCCGGGTTCGGCGGCGAGAGGGTGTCGCCCGCCTCGGCCATGCGCTCGGCTGCCGCTTCCGCCCGTCTCTGGCTCGAGTCGCGGCGGTATCGGCGTCCGCTGCCGCCCGCGTCCGTCCCGGATAGACTGCTCATCGACCCGCGTCTTCTCCTGTGGTCGCGCCTCGAGGCGGCGGCTTCCTCCTCGGTTAGTCTCCGCAGGGTGACGTTCCTGTCCTTATCGTCGTGGACTCTGACTTTGACGCTCACGGGGGCCGAGGGGGAGGCGCCCATGCGCTCTGATTCCGTGCGGCGACGGGACTCTTCCTTGGCCGCGAGGACGCTGGCTGATGCGACGGCTGCGGCTGCGGCTTCTTCGCCGGCCCTCCTGCGGCTGGAAGAGTCGCGGCGGCGGGGACGGCTGCTGGGTGAGCCGTACACGTCTGACTCGGAACCGCGGTTGAGGATGCCGTGCGGGTCTGGGGGCATCGATGGCATGCTGACGGAGTCGGGGTAGCCGGCTCCCGGGGGTGTTCTCGGAGGTGGGCCGGCGGAGAAGGGCGGCATGGGTGGTCCTCTTCCGTAGCCTGTTCCGGGAGGTCGCGACTCGAGTTCGGAGGACTCGGTCAGCTCGGTAATCTCTGTGCTCAGGGCGGACATGGGAGGTCTAGGCGGGCGGCCGCTGGCGCGGCGAGAGCGTCTGTCGCGAGACGGGGATGAGAAGCCGTCGCCTGTGTATCTGGAATCCGTGACGCCCGATCTCATGTCTTCTTCCTCCCTGATCCTCTGCTCCTCAGCGCGTTTGTTCTTGCGGTCGGCCAGCTTTTTCGCGAACCATCCCAGGCCCAGTCCGGCGAGAATACCCTTCCCGGCCCCACCTGCGGGGCCGGCGGGTGCGGCTTCCGGTCGTCTGGAGGGGCTGACGTAGGACGAGTACTCGGAGTCTTCGAAACTGTACTGGGATCGAGTTCTGGCGTTTTGAGGTCGGTTGGTGCGTGATTCGGCGGCGCTCAGAGCCTGGGCGGCCATTACCGGGTTTCCGGGTGGAGGGAGGATGGACCCATCGCGGGGCCCGCGCCGGGGCGGAGGGGTATCTTCGGTCCAGTCGGTGTAGTCGGTGAACTCGCTCGCGGCCGGGTAGTTTCTGCTGGGGCGACGTCTTGGGGTTTCGGTCGAGACAGCGGAGTATTCCTCGTCGTGGGGTCGATTCTTCTCCTTCTTCTTCATCATGTTGGATAGCAACTTACCAGCGCCGAGGCCAGCACCAACACCAAAGAGGGACTGCATGAAGCCGCCCCCTTTCTTCTTATCATCGCGGCGTGAATCAACTTCGGTGTACTTCTCGTCCTCAAAGTAGCTAGCGGAACCTCTGCGCGAAGGAAGATAGCTCACTGATTCCCGTCTGGAGCCGATGACCTCTGGTCCGCGGCTGCGGCTCCTTGATCGTGATCTATCCCGGCTGAGTTCCTTCTCCCTCTCCTTGTTCTTCTTGCGACTGAACAACGCGGCAATGGTGGCGCCGGCTGCCAGAGGCGCCACCCACTTGTGACCCTTGGACTTCTCCGTGCGGACATCGCTGTAGTACTCGGAGTCGTATGAGACGCCGCTCGGTCCTTCAGAGCGACCTCCACTGATGTAAGTCTCCCGGCCACGGTCATCGCCCTCAGCTCGGTAACTGAGGATGAAGTAGAGCAAGAGCAAAAAGGTCATCCAGAGAGAGTAGAGGATAAAGGTGTACTTGGGCGAGCCGTAGAGTGTCAATCCGAGAGGAACCTGGATGATACCGAGAAGAGCGATGAGCCGTCCGCTCCATCGATGAAACATCTTCCTGAGCGAGCGTCCCTTGATGTTCCTAACAAGCCGGCCGCCGATGATCTGGAGGAGGAACATGATGAAGATAGCCAAGCCGATCGCGTGATGTGGGTTGGTCCAACTTCGTTCAGGGCCGACGGCGAACCAGCCCAGGGTAAAGACGGCGACGAGCATCAGCGCTCCGAGGATCTGTAGTTGCGCATGATAGGGTATGGCGTAGCCGGGTTTCGCGGTATAGAATCGAGCCATCAGGATGGATATCGGAACGATGAAAAGGAAGACTATGGCGCCCATGACGCCATGAGCGAGAATGAGAGTGTGGTATTGAGCGACCGTCGAGAAGCGATTCCCCATGCCTGAGAAAGTCAGTGTTAGTCGAATTATTCGACGAGGTCGCCACTCATGAATACTCACCATTGTATTGCATCGTCTCAAAATTGAGACCTTGAAGGTTGGGCAACAGAAAAGTGTTCTTCTCGAAATCCCAGGTTCCGTCGCCGACCGTCATGGTGTTGGAGTCGTAGGTAGCGACGCCCGGCGCCGAGAACCCTTCTGCCGGCGCCATGATGGCGACGACGGGTGAAGGAGTCCTTCAGTCGGTTGCGGTGGTTGGTGAGGAATGCGGAAGTTGGTTTTCGATGTCTCGATGGTGGCCGACTCAACTTTCAAAAGAAAACCCCCCGAGGAATGCGTTTGTCTTGGGGAGGGTTTCCCGAAAGTCGGTCAGTGAGCCGGCCGGACTGTAAGTGGGGGAAATTCGGTGTGTTGATGTGTGTCACGAAGTAGAGGAACTTGCGCCCTGCTTGTTCTCTCTCTCTCTCTCTCAAAATCGAGAGGTTTGGGACAAAGAAAATCTTCAGGATGAACCCGAAGACCTGTCACTAAGGTAGTAACGAGAGACTAGATTTCTCCAAGAAACGAGAGTGGGTTTGCCCTGTCTGTGAGCTCATCAGCTTGTTCGCTGACCAGACCGGACCTGCAGCGTGGTTGCGCGGGGTAACCGGGTCGCCCTTGGCGCCGTCGTGCTGGACCCACAGCGGGCAGTTGTGGAGTTTATCGATAGGACGGAGCTTCTTATCCGCACGTGACCGCCCGAACTGATCGCCCGAACTTGAACTTGATTTCGATTATTATCCGCAGGACGTCAGCAACATTGTCCTGGGCAACCATGCTTCCAGGATCTGGCTCCTTTTTAAAGTGCATCGATTTTCGACAATTCCTTCCACGGAGTGGAGGGGCGGCCGCAGCTTCTCGAAGGATGCGGCTCGGCTGAGGGAAATCTTGTTGGCAGTGCCATTGCCTTTTTTTGGTAGGGGCGGTGTGCCACGTGTTCGCGGTGAGCTGGCAAATCCATTTGTCCCTCTGCACCTTCATACGAAGCAGTGGAAAAAATTAAAGCGGACTCGGCGTGAGAGGGGAATGAGATGACAATAAGGCCTGCTTACATTCGAGGTTTGAAACAGGCGGTGGGAGAACACCCCTGCTCAGGCACAAACATCTGCACTCCGTCGTACCCGAACTCTCGAAGATCGCGGCTCCCCGCAGTGACATTTCTTCTTTCCGATGGGATGAACGCCCCGCCGTCGAGTTGAGTCACGGTCACGTTTGCCGCATCTAGATGTGACACACATTTGTGTCTGCACACAATCTCTACTCATGCTGCGGAAGCGGATGGGTGAAAGTGGATCTGCGATGAATTGACTTCGGCCAGCAAGGAGACGGGAGAAACGTGCCAAATTCTCCGAGAAAGAGTCCCGAGAAGCCGCTGTACGATAACGAGCCTTCTTGTGAGGTATCGAGACTGCGAAGAGCCAATAGCGGCTGCTCCTTTACGAATGCATTGATCAGCGGGTTCTTGATGATGTCGATATAAGGGTGGTTATCGCTGTCGTTGAGCCTCGTTCTCGTTTTCGCAGTCGCACGGATCAGTGGCTTATGATGGCTTCATCCACAAAACCACATACTGGAATTAAGCCAAGAGGGCAATTCCAACATGCGCAGCCTTAAACCATTCTTCAGCGACATTTGCCTGGATGATAGAGGTCATGGACGACACGGTGGTGGATAAGGAGGCAGTTCCTCGATGCTATAAAAGAGACGTTTCTGTTCCACAAGGTTGCCAGATGCTGTGTAAATCCATCTCAACAAGTCGCTTCATCTACTACGCCCTTTGAAAGACTCTCTTTGGTATCCGCTCTTTTGGAATTTCACACAACTCAACTTCAGAATGCAAATCTCTTCGCTCCTCGTCATGGGATTAGCCCCCATTGCCTATGGCTTCCCTCACTTCGCGAACACCGGTGTTGGACATTCATTCCGACCACCTACATCAAAGGCAGGAAATGATACCAACCGGCTCAAGCCGCAGCACTTCATGTGGAAGCCTCCCGGTCCGAATGATCGTATGTCTCCTCGTTGACATTGTAGACCGTGGACCTACTGACATTGTCCCAACAAAGTGCGCTCTCCCTGCCCGGTGATGAACACCATGGCGAACCACGGCTTCGTTCCCCGCGACGGCCGAAACATGACGCGCGAGATTCTCATCAAGGGCCTCGGAGATGGACTGAATATTGCCGAGGTACGAGCTATCAACATCTTCGAAAACGCTCTCCAGGTCAACCCCATCCCGAACGCCACGGTGAGTCGCCCGTCCCCCTGATACCAAAGAATCGTCTTTGCTCTTTCATTCGGGTACTAATGTTGTTTCAATAATAGTTCTTCGACTTCCAAATGATGCATACACACAACATCATCGAGCACGACGGCAGCCTCTCTCGCCGCGACGCCGTCTTCGACCCTACGAACTCATTTGACAAGGGGACATTCGACAACTTCGTCAGCTACTTTGGAGACGAACAAGCCATCAATATCTCTATGATAGCAAATGCTCGAGCCCGTCACGCCCTTGACATGAGTCGAATCAACCCGACTTTCAACATCACCCAGGCTCAGATCCCAGTCATTGTGGGCGAGAACGCCATGTTGCTGGTCATCTTCGGCCGCCCTGACAACCCGATCGCGAACAGGTCGTTCCTGGAATACTTCTTCAGTGAGTCCTTGAAACACGAATGCTCCTTGCGATGACCTTGGCTCACATTTGGCTTGCAGGAAACGAGCGGCTCCCTGTTGAGCTCGGTTGGGTACCTCCCGATGTTGCCATCGACGCCACTGTGGGACCGATTGTACAGGACATCATTGCTCAGAGCCCTCCCGATGTACCCTTGACGTTCACTCCGCAAACCTCGGTATGAGTTGAATGATTTCTTTTGTTATTCAACTCCGGAAAGAAGGTTCATGTGTTTGAACGTCATCAAGGCTGGTGGGAGTGGTCGATCCACAGTCTGTTACCCAGATGTAGGGTAGTGCTTCGTGCCTCATGACAACAACAAAATACAATTATTTTACGAGCTTAGCTTCCAGCATTTCCGAACCGGACGTCTTCCCAGACTACATGATCAGTCCTAGCTTCCGAAGCCGTTGCAATATATGTCCTTCTCCTTTAATAGCTTCCTTCGAGCATGACTCGTAAAGAGAAATCGCTTCAGGCCCTTCAATATCGCGATGACCGACCAATAACTCGCCGATGAGACGCTTCGGGGACTCATGCGCTGGGAATTCAAAATATTCTCCGCTCCACGCCTGGAAATTAGACGGTTTCCTCTGATAATTGAACGCGAAAGGCGGCTTGCAGAGGAGGATACTGTGGGCGTCTTCATCCTCGTCGTGGATACCAACTTCGTCTTCAAATTGGCGCAGCAGATTGGATAATTGATCTTCATCGTCGACATCCATTCGGCGTACTCTGTCGCGGCTCGTCTGTTTTATAATTTCGAGAGCAGTGTACGCAGGTAACACCGCAACACCGAAACAGCGGGAGTAACCCTCAGGTCGCCGCCATTTTTGAAAAAGGCCTGGATCGAGACACGACAATGGCGACAATCTGAGCCATGGCATATGGCCATCCTCGACGTCCTCGACATTCTCGACATCCTCGACATCCTCGAGATCGAAGACTATCCCGAGGCGTTCCCCAAGATTGGCTCCATGGGAGATGAGCTCCAGCGTGGCCTTCAACCTCGTGATCATGGTCCAACCCCATTCTTTAGCGACTACCATTCTCTGCAGACAGGCTGTAAAAGGTGACTCCAACGACATGACAAACCCAGGAATAAAAGGCGACAGAACCTTGCAGTTGGGGTCAGCACCTTGCCTCAGGAGAGTTTGCACAAACTCTTCATTGTCGTCCCACCCGCAGGCTTTTGAAAGAAATTTAGAAGCTGAGACCCGATCTATTGGATAATGCTTGTCTGCATCCCAGCTGCGTGCAAGAATTCTGTAGAAACGCCCGTCATCACAGATACTCTTGTTGAAAGAATCCAATCGCAATACTCCTGCATCACAAAGTCGCTCGCAGGAGAAGAGTAGCTGATCAAATTCTTCTTGGATCCACTCGTCAGACTCTTTCATGCTTTCTTGCAAATTCCACAGAAGTTCTTCAACATCCTTGACGTCCGTTGGTGACTTGAGATGGCCCAGTAGACCATAGGAGGTGTCGCGAACCATCACAAACAGTCGGCACTTGGCCAGTCTCGACTTGATGATTTGAATAGAGATAGAGAATGTAGATGTAGACTCATACCCTAAGATTCTTTGTCCCTCTGCTGTATCAAGAAGGAAGTCATACGCCGTTCGATGAATAAAATTCCAAGACTTAAGCTGTGAAACGTGTTCCAACAGCTGCGAATATTCTTGACCATGCCGACATCTTATGGACCAACTGGGACCAGAGGTAGCCATAGATTGACTCCCACCCAACTCAAGAAGACCAGCACAATAGACTGCTATTTTTCTCTCAGTCTCTTGATACTGTTGGAGTAAGGAATCGACAGGGACGGAGGCGAGCATTTGGTCATTCACGCCCACTTGCAAAATCTGGTCTGCAAACAATGTTGAAGCGAGCATAATGTCGAATGTGTCCGGGTTTCCATCGCGAATCCAAGGTACTTCACTTTCGCGGCCAAGTACAAGCTTGAAATACAGTGCAGCAATCTGGCGATATTCCTGTGGGTTCTCGTCGGTTGCTCTCTTCCACATGTCTTGGTACAAGGTGCTAAGACTCTCGGATAGGCTGTCAATTCGGCTCTGGATAAGCTTGGGGTCTCTGTCGCCAAGCATATAGCCTTTATTGATGTTTTTGATGGCTAGACAGAGCCACAAAAACACGCCTCCTGCCTTCTCCACCAGTGAGTTAACCAGCGAAGGTGAAGGTGAGAACTTGACATGGGATTCGGCATAGGAATGCAAATCCTTCCAAGTCAGGTCTTGTAGCCGGAGTTGGGGATATATCTCCAGTCGATTTTTCAGAAGAGGTTCCGGTCGACTTGAAATGCAGATTTTCATGTCGCCCGCCCCGAGATTTTTTAGGCGGTCGAGAAGGTCGAAAATCCCGTCAATGTCATTCTCGGAGTCTACGTATTCGTCAAGACCATCGAGAAGCAGGCATATAGGTTGTCCAAAGGCGTTCACGAACTCAGAGCAGACCACCTCCAGCTCTTCAATTGACCAGTCCGAGTTCGTGTCTTTGAGACGAGTCCCTGGCAGGGACAAGAGAATATTATCCATCAAGCCTGGTTTAGGATGTTCAGATAGTAGTTGAAACATTAGCGAGCAAAGAAAGCCTTTGAGGTTCCTCTGCGCAGGAGACCCAGGTTTCCAAAAGAAGTGCGAGATCAGCACCGAATTAGGCCTCCACGTCTTAAGTTGCTTCATCGTTTGCGGTTCAGTTAGAATGTACTTGATCAGTGTTGACTTTCCCGATCCAGGCTTGCCAGAGATCCAGTACATGCTGTCCGTCGACTGGAGCCAGTTGCCAAAGCTATGCCACTCAGACTTCTGGGGTTCACTGTACCGACGACTATGATAACTTGGAGGAAGTTCTTCAGAGAAAATCCACTGGAACGTCTCGCCAAAAGCCGTTTTTACAGCATTTCGCCGTTCATTGACCTCCTTGTATTTGAAGCTGCGCAGCAGACGTTCATGCTCAGCTTCACTTGCTTGGATGCCGGTATGGAATTGCATCCGGCTTTGGATCACGGTGGAGGCAGCTAAAATGTGTTCTCTTGTGCTCTGGCCCTCTTCACGTATCGCGTTTTCTGTGGACTCGAGGTTTTTGCGGTACTTGTCCACAAAACGCCTCACATCGTTGTTGAGTGTGTTGAGATCTAGCTGGGATGCGTTGACATGCTGCCTGATGCGCACGATTTGTCAGAATTTTTCTCTCCTGGGAAGAATAGATATTCAAGCATGAATCCGAACTTACCAGAGGCTGGCTAGCAGGCCAGTCTGCATCGTCTTCTCAGCGTCATCGAGCTTCTTTCGTAGACTGTCCAATCGGCCTTTGTGCCTATTGGCCTTGGCCGCAATCTTCATTGCTGAAAGCCGACTCCCTGGCTTCGCGTTGCGAAGCAGGAAGTCGACCTTCTCTTGTAGTTCTCTCGCAGCAGCAAAGCACACGTCCACCACTCTCTGCAGTTCTGGCCATCTTTGCGGTACGTTGACATTCTTGATATCAGTCGAAATCTTCTGTAAGGAAGACGTACGGTCCTCGAGGGTCGGGTCAAGCGAGCGATTGTCGTAGACGACTTTGGCGAGTTGAATGGTCTGCCGACCGACCTCCACGATCTGCAGGATGTTGCATGCCAGACCCAGAGCTGCCAAGGGTTCTAAGCCGGACATTTTTCCTGCTTAATCGAATGTTGCGAGATCAGTTTTCAATCTCTGGAGGTTTGGCCCTTCACACGAGGGAATCAAGCTCGATTCTTGGATGTTGAGAAAGCTGCTCCGTATGGCGTGTGCTTCGGTGCGGGGACTGGAGATGAGGAGGAGAAGGCTGGCGGAAAGAAGATGGCAGATCCAGGCAGAATCGAATTCTTCCATTTGAGAGAAGGCAACCCACAGGCTTCGTGGGTAGCGCAGCTGCCAGCCTGCTTCTTCCTGCATCTGGAGGGTCAGCGTGTCGTACTTTCATTTGCTGTGGAGATGTTGGAGGTGCGGTAAGCGCCATCTTGGATTAAGTCAACATTGGATGGCAGTGCATCTTACAGGGTGCGGGTCGTAGGGTCCTCTGCAGTGACACCAATCGGAAGTGCAGAGGCGCCAATTCTGCGAGCTACGAATGAGCCCGATATCATTGCCGACCTTCCGCGAATGGTTGACTGTCGTTGGTGTTCGTTCACCATAAAGGAACATAGTAGATCCATTTGAAGTCTTATGAGAAATGCTAATACCGCTGTTGATGTCGTTTCTATCTCTCTCATTGGAAGTGGTATCTTTAAAGTGAAAAAGTAAATTGAAATGAGGCGGACATTAGAGTTGACATCCCGCTGTTTGCTTATGAGTTTGAATAGAAAAGCTTCAGTCTCGCAGCGCAGTTTCAAGTCACAAGCAAGCATAGAATGCTGTCCTCATGAGGAATCAACCCGTCGTAGCGTCTTCCAGACCCCAAAACCTCCGTAAGCCAGGGCTGACCTTGAGACACGGCCATCCAACATGCCTCTCAGCCTCCAACAGGATCTCCAACAACCGCGAAGTCTCATTAACCTCAGTGAACAGCTCCCCAGTCATACCAATCGCGAGTCCCGCCAGAACTCGGGCTGGAACGTACTCCTGGTTGGACAACCAAATACCGCAGATAGTACGAACCGCGTTCCGAATCTTCTCTTCCTGGGCCCTCAGATAGCTCAACCTCCCCAAGCCTAGGCTGGGCGTCCGCGGATCATGAGCCAGGAGAATGATCTTGCAGATCTCCAAGTACTGTCGACCGCTGACTGCGCAGTCTGACAAGTAATAGAGAGCCGGAAAAGATCCTACGTGACTTTCCGTGCTGGTTTCGTTCAGCGGCTCGAAAGCAATTGGCTTTGCGCTGTCCCAATCCTCTAGATACCGCCAGAGGAGATCCCACGCATCCAGGGTTCGAGGCTCGCTGCCGTATGCGTAGTTGGTGACTCGAGCTGCGTGCGCCGTCATCCTATGCGCCCACATGACATCGGTTGCAGAACCCAGTCCGTCATCTATATCACAGTCACGACCCAGAAGCTCAACGGGTCTTTTGACCATATTGGCAACGAGGATCTCCTGTCTGAGGACTATCGTCATTGCTGCGTTGCTGAGCTCGGTATGTCTTGTGCTACGTTGCCTCATTCGCAATAGGAGCGGCGCTGACACAGTGTGCCTGATTATCAGGTGGCTTTCTGCAGGGTCTATAGTTGAAAGTCAGAAGATCGTTTCCAGTGGGTTGTGAGATCAGACTCACCGGTCATCTCGTCGAGGAGTCTCAGTAGCAACGCCGACACAAGGAGACCATCATCGTGTGGTTCCGTCGTGTTCTTATCATTCAGCATGGGAATCAGAATACCGAGACATCTTCGCTCGTACTCGTTCGAGTCAAAGTCGTCGGAGCCGACGGCTTCTAGGTATCTGGCTGAAACCGCCATAACTGCATACAAAATCCCTTGATCTCGGCGCAGTGCATCTTTGATGTAGGATTTAAAAGGCGCAGACGCCCAGCAATAGTCAAACTATGAGCCTGTCAGGCATCATCATTCTTCCACATTATGGAACGTGGTAGACCTACCCAAGGAATCAGGACGGTGAAAAAGTGCTTCACAAGCTTGGCCTCGTTGTGAGGCAGTGGGGATGAGCTCGGTTCTATCCCCTGTTCGGATGATCCAGCGACATGAAGTGGCTGGTGGGCAAGCAACGATGGCTCTGAAGGTATGTCGAGTTGGTGAGCTTTGTTTGGTATTGCAGATGGAGTTACCCCATCTGGCTCCTTCCGGGATTTGGAAGAGCTTATACTCGATACACTCGAATCTGCAGCTTCGGCTGGAGAGTGGCTCAGTTCGCTGAATCGGATCTGAAGCTCACTGCTACCCCCGCCTCGACACTGTGCACCACCTGCTTTGCAATTCGAACAGGTCTGGTTTCTTTTACGAAAGTCGCCTGGGAGTAGTCAGTCGCCGATGCTTGAGAGAAGTACTCGGCGGTGATTAGACATGACATCATGAATCACGAGCTGGTCGCGAGGGTTGAACTACATTTCTTATGAAGTGAACGACATCTATGGCTGCAGCATACGTCAGAAGATGAACTTATACGCTTTTAGACCAACGTACCAAGCTCGAGGGAACATCCACAACCTCGAGGCCGGAGGTCGTGCGTTTCCGACCGGGGTGTATTGTTTGAAGACTACCATCTCTGGTCTGGACGGGGTGAGACACAGATGGACGTGGGAATGACGAGGAAAGGCAGAGGAGTTGTGGGATATGTCGGGGTCTATTACTTTTGTGGGTAGCGGGAAGAGTTGCCGTTTGGGGTAGGCGGACTGATTTTCCAATCGGGGCGGGATGCATGACGGCGCCACGCCATCAGCGGATTTCCTAATCCAGAACATCTGTCCGATCCGACTTACACGGGGTGCGATCGTGGTTGAAGCCACCACCAAATGTTACAAATCTCTGTCATGACGGGCCTACCTTCTACTTGAAGTATTAAAAGTAATGCCTATCATCATGAGACCAGTGAAGATGAACCGAGAAGCAAGCACTTCAAATATGTACGCTCAAACAAGTATAAAAACAATTAAACAAATTGCCTGCCCTTGATCCAGGTCAAGAACCATTAGTCTTCACTCTAGACAGTATTCATCATGATGATCAACGTTATCATCTCAGCTCTCCTGCTGGTTCTCCTTGAACCCCTCCTTACATACCTCCTCGACACCAAAAACCTCCGCCGCTTCCCACCCCTCTCCCCCCTCTCCGGCCTCACAAACATCCCCCTAATCCTCCTCCGCTACGCCGGCTTCCGCTCTAAAGCAATCCACGCCTCCCACACCCACTCCCCCGTCCTCCGCCTCGGCCCGAACACGCTCTCCTTCTCCTCCCCCGCCGCCATCCGCGCCATCTACGGCCACTCGACCCCGTGCACCAAGGGCGGCTCCTACGACAACATCCAGACCCCGCACCCGGGCCTCATCGAGGTCATCGACAAACCGACCCACGCCGCCAAGCGCCGGATCCTCTCGCACGCCTTCGCGACGCGGAACCTCGAGGACTGGGAGGACAAGGTCGCGGATAAGGTCCGGAGGCTGCTGGGCCGGTTCGACGGGGTCTGTGAAGATGGTGACGGCGGTGGCGGCGGTGTTGTGGATTTTCGGAGGTGGGCGAATTTGTTCACGGTCGAGGCTATCGTCGATATCGCCTTGAGCCAGAGGTTGGGATGTCTCGAGAGGGGTGATGATCTTGTTGGAGTCCCGATGCCTGACGGCGGGGAGAAGAGGGTGCCTTTCGTCGAGGGTCTTCACGCGCCGAGGAGAGCTACGTCGATGATTGTGTGGTCGTCTTGGTTCGGCGTGTTGAAGCTCGTCTTGCAGAGCGTACCGGGATTCTTCCGTTCAGGGTGGAAAGTCGGAGAGGACTTCAATGACTTGCTCTCGCACCTCGTTCGACAGCGCGTCCACATGTATGATCGAGGAGACGAGGTGGACGATCTAGCTACGTGCCTCCTCCAGGACAAATCAGGCCGAGCACGAAACCTAGACACCGCCGAGATCGAAGGCGACATGGCAACGCTGCGTAAGCCCCCTCTTCAACTCACTACGTACATAAACTGACCCCCTCAGTGGACGCCGGATCAGACACCACGGCCATCGCACTAACCCACGTCATGTACTTCCTCCTCAAGAACCCAACCACCCTGTCCAAACTCAGGCACGAGATAGACGCCAACGCAGCCCTCCAAGACGACCTCGTCGCCACGCACGCCAGCGTCAAGAACCTCCCCTACCTCCGCGCCTGCCTCGACGAGTCCCTCCGCCTCCTGCCCCCCGTCTGCGCCGGCCTCCACCGCGTGACGCCCCCCGAGGGCCTCACCATCGACGGCCACCGGATCGAGGGCGGCACCGTCGTCGCCGTGCCCATCTACACGGCCCACAGGAACCCGGAGCTCTTCCCGGATCCGGAGACGTACCGGCCCGAGAGGTGGCTGGCGGAGGGCGGCAAGGACGCGCAGGCGTCCTTTATGCCCTTCAGCGCCGGGGCGCGCGGGTGTATCGGGAGGAACATCACGTACATCGAGCAGACGATGCTTCTCGCGAGCCTGGTGCGGAGGTACGAGTTCAGTTTCGTGGATGAGGGGTTTGAGATGACGCACGAGGAGGCTTTTAATCTTTGGCCTGGTCCGCTGCCGTTAAGAATGCGGCGGAGGATGTAATGAAGTTGATGTCCCGATGACGAAGGACTGCAGATGAATATGTGAAATCGAAGTCTGATATCCTTGAGAATGACCCCCGACATTAAATACGCAACTTCTCAAACAGCTCAGAATAGCCTACTGTTGAACAATGCCTTGGTGCCGTGAAACCAGTATGCACAATCCCATCATTCCTCCCCTTACACGCACATATCATACACGTACGCCCGTTTCCCTTCCATTATCGTACAACCCGCTCCAAATTACGGCGGCACCCACCCAAGCTCCTCGATAGGCCACTGGATCCACAACCGATGATCCTGATCCAGCAGCGCCCACGCCCTCGAGATGAGATGCGTGGCCCACCCTTGCAGCCACCACTCATTCTCCAGTCTCTTGAGCAGGATACAAAAGTGCGAGAATATGGCCACCGCCTCCTGCGTGGCCCCGGGGCTCTTGAGGAGCGGAAGAAATTCCTCCGCCATGAGGTACTTCCAGACAAACGCGTCCGTGATGTCCATGCCGCGCCCGCCGTCCCAGAGGAAGATGCTCAGCGTGCGCCGTAGCTCGTCGATGGCGCGGTTGTACGTCGGCAGCAGCTCCGGGTCCGCACAGGTCTTGTTGACGAGGCGCTGGAGGTCGGCGAGGAGGTCCGATTGGACCTTGGAGTCGTCGCGCGTGTGCATGTAGCGCTCGCGGCCGTGGGTGAACATGGGCAGTAAGGGACCCGTGTAGGAGCGCGGGTCGAGGATCTTGAGGAGACCGCGCGTGCCGCGGAGGAGGAACATCCAGTCCGGGAAGGAGGACTCGCCCATGATTAGGGAGTCTGAGGATTTGCGAGGGCACGCGAGTGCTTATGTTTGTGTTAGTTTACGGTTATTGCGAGGATGAAGAATTAGGGGGGTCTAAGGGGAAACGGGGCGTACCAAAGAAGATTGTAAGGACGGAAAAGAGGTAAAGCTTCTCGCAATTTTCGCCATCCAGAGCACCCATCAGGCCCATGGCCGTTCGGCTAGCCATCTGGTGATACGTCAGGGCCCTACTGATGAAGAAGTCCCTGCGCTCCGGCCTGTGGTGCGCGAGGTGCAGCGCCGAGACGGAGAGCAGGGCACGCATGACGTAGTCGCACTCCAGCGCGAGGCGGACAACGGGCACCTTCCACATCTGCCTCACGACGGCGTCCGTCGACAATGTCGTGTACGCGAAGGTCGTGAAGTTGTGCATGAGCTCCAGGTCCACCAGGTTCAGCGAGAGGTCGTCCAGGCCGCCGCCCCCGCCGAAGCTCGGGATGCCTCCGTGCGTGCCGTTGCTCGGGCCCGGCGTCTGCGTGCCACCCGGTGACCTGGGGACTGACGAGGACGAGCCGTGGCGTTGAGATTGCAGAAAGTCGCACGGGACGGCGTGCTTGATGCAGTTCCGGCATGAGGGTTTGTGTTCGTCGCACTAAGGGGGTACGTGTTAGTCCGAGTTTGTGCGACGGTTCATAAGAGAGAGACAACGTGTAGACGTGTGGGTGAGCGCCCTCATGAGATGTCATAAGTTGAATGAGATGAGTGTCTCATCCGCCCGATCTCACCCAGCACACCCGATACTCGAAACTCACCTTGATTTTTCGATTTTTACACGTCCTGCACCCCGTCCTGGACTTGGGATGCGACCGCCTGGAAACCACAGTCGTCGAAGCATTAACGCTGCCGCCACCCGTACTCGCAGTTGATGCGCCGCCGCCCACCACCGTCGTCGAGGCGGAGGCAGCCCCGGGTGTCGTCGCGGTGGCCGTCGGCGTCGACTCCGGCGCCGACGACGATCCTCCGGACCCATCCATCGGGCTGTCCATTTCGGGGACCCTTCCCTAAAAAAAGAAAGGCAGGTTTTAAAACCTCTAGCCCGAAGGCCCTGTCAAAGAAGACCCCTTCCCACGGGATTAGCGGATCGGACCTGCAGTAGTATCAATCGGACCTGGGCGACCGGGCGGTTGGTAAGAATCAGTCGGCGCGACAGGCGCGCGGGGAGTGGTCCGTTGAGTTGGCAGAGGAGGAAACGGTTCGTGGGACGTGGTTGGGCGGATGGCTCGTTTTTCTCGGATGTCACCTGCGAAGGAATCCGAATACGACAAGGTAGCTGGCGGGGTTTCATGGGAGGGGAAGACAGGGGCCGAGCGGGCCGAGTTCCTACCGCGGCGGCGGTTCTTCACCTAATGTTGAGCTCAGAGCTTCCTTCGCATCAGCCAAACAGATCTGTCAATCGATGGATTAGAGTCTACAGTCAGGGTTGAGACCAAAACTTACCTTCGCCACTACACAGCAACTTCGTATTTCGTTCTCGTATCCCGCAACTTTCGGGCTCACTCATTATTCATCTGGATTCCTGTATCAATCCAGTCGGGTTGGTCCGTTGATCCATTCCATTGAGACTATCTATCAGCGCTGCGTAGCCCCTCTACTTGTGATATTGCTTCTGTGAGGCACGAACAGCACGCTTGCCTCCCGTCTCTCAGATACCTTACTCTCCACGCTCAATGGAACCAAAGATGTCACGGGCCATTCGTTCCCTCTAAATTACCGCTCTCTCCCCCTTCAGTGACTAAACAACTATGCAATGTGACCGAGACCATTAGCAAAAAAATTCCCATGCCGCCATGATAATGGGATGAACGAAACATTTTGTCGTCCCGCGTGAGTCAGAAGGGTGTCAAGGATATCCGCGTCGATTCAAATGGAGAGATTCATGAGTACGTCGTCGTGAATGGGTGAGGGAGAGCTTCGTGCAGGGTCGCAGGTCGGGTCTTCTTTTTTTTCAGCCGGTGCATGTGTTGCACGAAATCACCGGTTCCGCAAACGCCGCCTATGACTAGAAATGCCTGTGCGCACCACCTTATTTGGCGTGCTTCTTGAAGGCGAGGAGCTCAGACAAGCTACCGAGAGGGCAGCCATGCTTGAGGAAGTCGTGCGCCAGAAGCTCGTCCGCAGATGCTCTGCTCTTGACATCTACGCACAAGCAGACCGACAGGAAGGCCTTGAGCTCCTTGCTCAGCTTCTCGGGCTTCTTGAGGCGCGGTGTTCCGTTGGTGGCGATTAGGTAGAGAGCCTTCAGGGGCTCCTCGTTGAGGTAAGGTGGCTCGGACTCAATCATCTCAATAGCCATGATACCCAGCGACCAGATATCGACCTTGGGACCGTACTCCTTCTGCTTAACGACCTCAGGTGCCATCCAGTAAGGCGTTCCGACCATCGTAGCGCGCTTCGACTTGGTCTCGGTGAGCTTGGCGGAGAAACCGAAATCGGCTGTCCATGGTTAGCACGTATTCGCGATGCTGTCGGAAATCGACTTACTAATCTTGACGTTGCCGCGAGTATCCAGAAGAACGTTGTCAGACTTGATATCACGGTGGATGATGTTCTGGGAGTGAAGATGTTGCAAACCACGGCACGTCTGTCCAAGTTAGCACGATGAATCTGCTTGACTGCGACGCAATTTCTTACCTCCAAGCAAATTGTGGAAATCTGCTCCTCCGTAATGCTAGGGTTGTTGTCGATGACATCCGTCAGAGCACCACCCTCCATAAACTCCATGACGACCCAGAGTTCGCCGTTGTTGTTGCGCAGGAAGGCGTCGAGGAAGTTGACGATGTTGCGATGTTTGCTGTCCTTCATGACCATGATCTCGTTCACAATCAGCTCCTTTCTGGGCTGGTGAGCAAGATCCATCTGCTTGATAGCGACCTGGGCCTTGGCGCCCTGCGCGCGCAGGACCTCGCGGGCGATGGGAGAGACGGCGCCCTCCTTGACCTTGGCGACGTAGACGGAACCGGAAGCACCCTGTCCAATCTTCTTTTGCTTGGAGTAGGAGAGGTTCGGATCGTCCTTGGAAACGGCCTCCTTGAGCTTGGCCATAACTTCGCCCTCGGACATGGTGGACATGCGGACGTCCTTCTGGCGCTCCTGCGGGGTAGGCTTGGCGGTGAGAGCCGCCTCTGCGGCCTTGACGGCATCGCTTTGGGGTGCGGGTTGCGCCTTGGAGACGTTCAGAGGCTTGACAGGAGCGGGCAGGCGAGATGGCGGTTGAGCCTGAGCCTGAGGAGGCTGTCTCTGCTGCTGCTGGGGGCTGCCGTTGGGATACCTCTGTTGCTGTTGACTGGGCTGGTCTGGTCGAGGCATTCGCTGCTGCTGGTTGGGGTCCCGCATCGAGCTCGAGCTCTGTTGCGACTGCATCGGCGGGCGAGCAGGTTGGCCGGTGGTAGGCGGTGAGGGCGCCGGTCGCTGGGCACGAAGGCCATTGACCTGCTGCTGTTGTGACGGTTTCGGTGCCGGGGGAGCTGCTCTCGAGGGGTTGTATCTGTCCGTCGGGGGGATTGATGATCCGCCGTAGCCGCCAATTTCTTGTTGAGCCATGGGCGTCTTCGTCTTGGGAATGGAGGCATTGAAGACCTCCAAGTCCCGCCGGTTCTGTTCCTCGATCTCCCGTTCCCTCGCACGCTGCGCCTCAAGCTGCTTGAGCCGTGCCTCTTCGCGGGGATCCGGCTGGTAGTTGGAGGCCATGCCCTGCATCTGCTGGCGCTGCTGCTGCTGCTCCGTAGGCGACGGCCGCCGCTGCTGGCTCTGCGACGAGGGCTGGGTGTTGTAGCTGGGTTGACGCTGGGCCTGGGACGGCGGCATGGGCCGAGGCGGCGCGACACCAGCACCACCACCAGCATACCCGAGTTGCTTGTTCTGTTGGCTGCTGGCGGGTGGCGTGGGGGTAAGGCTGGAGTATTGTTGGGGGTTCTCGGCGCGCTTGGTCAAGTCGGAGTAGAAGTCGAGTACCTCAAAGACGGCCTGGGGGTTTCGCTCGTAGTCCTCCTTGGTGATGGCGGAGGAGTTGAGAAGCTTCGACCATTCAGGGGGCAGGCCGACGAACTCGCCTGTTTGGGGATCGAAACCGACGTGCACGGCGTGAGAGAAGTTGGTGGGGTTGCTGACACCGCCCATTCCAGGGCAGGCGCCGTAGATCAAATCAATCCATTCGTACAGGTCGTCGTCGCTCTTGACTCGAATCTGCAGCGTCTTGGTCTGGCCGTCGTCTTCGCCGGGACTGTTGGATGAGCCGCTGGGGTTTCTCTTGATCTCGAAGATGGTGCCGGCGGCCTCGACACGGCCGACGTTGACGACATCCTTCAGGTAGAGAGTGTAGGTGACCTTGCCACCCTCAGTCTTGTGGAAATCGAGCGACTCTTTGCGCAAGATGAGGTATTTTTGCTTCCACGGGTTGATGAAGTTCTTTGACTCCTTTACCGAGGCCCATCCTTCCTTCTTGACGGCGACGCCTCCCATGCCATCCATCTGGTTCGACTGCTGACGGGCGATCGGGAGGGAGATGGTGGAGCCGGTGTAGGTCGAAGTCGCCGTGCTCCGGATGGGCGAGATGGCCATGTTCGCCATGTTGCCTTGCAGATTACCTGGTAGGTTGCCTGGCAGGTTGTTGTTGGGGACGAGGTTTAGACGAGGTCGATCGGTCGGAGGTCGTGGCGCCGGGCCTGGGTTCATGAACTGGCCGGACGAGTACACACTGCGTTCGTTAGCCATGATTGCGCAGCAGCGTGGACGACGGCGTCGACGGGCGCAGTCTGCATGCGACGAAGCAAGGTAATCGAAAAGGGGGGGTTGGCTCGGTGGTGGACAATCGAAAAGTGACACAAGAAGGTGAAAGAGCCGGCGACGGGCGATAAAGTGATGGCGAAAAGGGGGCTTGTGATATGCAAAGACGAAAGTGTGGAATGGGAACAGCGCAATCAGGAGGCTGTCGGCGGTTGACAATCGGTGAAGTGCGCCATGACAGATCGAGTCGAAATTAACCCCACTTCTAGCCTCGCTGAAGGACACTGGAGTCGTCGAGTCGAGTCGCTTCGCTGCGTGTTGGAGATGTGCTGTGCGGCGCAGTACAGTACTTGCTGCAGCTGCTGGCTTCTCTCTGGCTACTAGACTGGCGCTATGCGGTGTCTGCAAGCCTAAAGAAACCTGACCGATTGCCGTGCCGCAGAGGAGGGGAAGGGAGGCGACGGGAGGGGAGGGGAGGGAGGGGGAACGGGTGTGGAAGAGATGGGGATGGGATGCACCTAGTGGAAGGGATGCAGCAACGAGCAGGAAGTAAGGTAGTACCTACCTACACCTACGCAGCAGATGGAAGCAGAAGCAGAAGCAGAAGCAGATGCAGGCAAGGCAAAGGCAGGCAGGCTGCAGGCGCGGTAAGATGTCTGGTGCTGCTGCAGCGCAAATGCAAAGGAAGTGCAAGTTTGGACTGGACAGATGGGACAGATGGAGAGCGAGAGACGGACGGACGAGCAGACAGGCCAAACCAAGCGAGGAACAAAAGGGACGAGATTTGCTTACCTATTCTGTGTCGCCATCTCTCTCTTCCAGCTTTTTTCTCGCAGGGAAATGGCAGACGATTACAGTTTAATAGAGGCGGGTTGTTTCTGTGGCTGTCCTCGGATGCGAGCCCCCGGGGCAATGGCTTAAGGTATGGAACACGCGATGTTTCGTAGACTTGCTGGTACTCAGTACTCGTGCCTCCTGGGGCTCCGCTAATATGCTGGCCTGTTGTGGGCTGTGGGCTGTGGGCTGCGGGCTGCGGTTACGGTTTGGTTCGACGTCCAGTTGTTGGCCGTCCTTTTTCTTTTTCCTGTCCTTTCCGGAATCTTGAGGATCAAGGATGGGACAAGGGCATGTAGGTAAATGAGGGGACGACGTTGCCAGTTCTTCCAGAAGGGTCTCCTCTTTCTCTGTGTCCCGACTTTGATGAGAGACAACAAATAGGGGGTTGCTAAGCGTGATTGCCGGACCACGGTGTAGCAGTATGCCAGCAGACGACTGGCAAAAGGAGCAAGGTGAAGAAAAATAGAGACGGGAGAGAGGGAGGAAGCTGGAGCAAGCAAGCAGCGAGATTCAAGGACGAAAATCAGACGGGGGTGGAATTTCCGTCTTGGAAACAGGTGGTCGTAGGAATTGGAGGGGTGGACAGTGGACAGGGCATGAGTCTGTCTTGTCTTCCATGTCTTGTCCACGTCTGGTCGTGGTCTGGTGTCTGGTCTGTGGCCTGGCCTGGCACCTGGAGACTGGAGGAAAGGGGCGACACGCCTTACGCAGTAAGGTAGACCTTTTAGGTGGTCGATCAGCCGAAAAGAGGGAGGGGGAACATGTGCTGTGCAAGTCTAGTGAGAGAGTATGGACACAGCCCACACGGAATGGTCGACTGTCATTCTGTTGAGGTCTGCGAAGGTGGTTCATCATGATTCTGATGCTCAAGATGATGGATAAAACGTAGATGCGGATACGCTACCGGTACCGGTCCCGGCACTGGCATGGCTGGCTGATGCAGTTGAGCCAAGAAGTGATGCGTCGAGGCTATTTGGAGGGCGTCAAGGGGCCGTCACCTTTTTTTGGGTCGCCTTTGGTCTTGGCCTTTCTACGTATTCTCACTTGTGTCGCGGCAATATCCATCATCTTTGAGAAATGGGATTCGTGCATGATAAGACATGGCTAAAGTGCATCGACGATGACTTGTTTTCAAGCAAACACACAACCTTGAAGATGAATCGAGAAGCGGGGATTCCGACTACCCAAGGTACCTAGGTAAGGTATTGGCAAGCGGAGAAACTAGGAGAATTAAGGGTCTATCAGACTCCAGAACAATAAGGTACCTAGCCCAACAGCAGATTTCTCAGCCTAAAGATGGAAGGCACATCCCGACTTGCTTTACCTTAGTTACTATTGAAGTAGGTACCTTACGCAGTAGAGCACCACCTCCTTCCTCAGGCCAGGCCAGGCCCGAAGGCAAGGAAGGAACGACGCAGCTCGGTGTTCCCGCCTTGTTGACGAATGAGAAGATGGCATTTTGCATTTTGCATTTTGAAGTGGTGGACCTCTTTCCTCAGTCCTGGTGGGCAACAGAACGCAGGCACGCAGGCTGGGACTTCCTTCCTGACATTCCAACTTTCAACACTCTCATGTCACTTACTAGTTGGGCAGGAATGAGTGACTGTTGTTGGTTTCCACTACCTTCCAATGTACTTTGTACGATACAACGGCCTTTTCGTGGCATTTAACAATGACACCTCAGCAACCTTGGGCTCCGTCTTTTCCATCTTCCCCATCTTTAAGATGCACCAACTTGATCAGCTTGGCAAGTCTTCCACCACTCATAGCGCATGCTGTTGACTTCGCGGCGGTAGTGAGATGGACGAGGGGAAGATGGGCCCCCCATTACCCCTTGGCCTTGGCTCTTCCCCGTGATCCCTGGAGAGGTATCCAGCACAGTAGCCATCCTCGTCTCGACACGGATGGTTTTTGCTGCATCGTGAGACGTCATAGCGGGGATTCTGCCCCCAAGACGCCCAAAGAAATGTCCTTCAACTTGCCCCGGACCAGCCGCCATTGCCTCTGTCCCGTTTCCGATAAAGACAGCCAGGCACTGTGCAGGGTACATGCTTCTCCCCTAAACAAGCGCCCGCCCCGTCCCACTCCACAACTTCTGCGTGGTGACAAGGGTACATGCCTGCCTCAGAAATCCCAAGTTCTGAACCTTTGCTCTGCTTGCTACAGCCGCCTGAGGTGGCATTGGAACCTCCTTCGGGAACCTCCTTCCTTGGGAATGGCTTCGTGTCAAAGCAAGCCACGGACCAGACTCCAGACTACACTTATGGCTGCCCTGCTTCATATCCTCCTCACCCAGCCCTGTGTTTCTCCTCCTTCACAGCATCCACAATTCTGAGGGCTGTTTTTGATGCAACTTCGTCCCTTCTCGTTTGCCGCCGCACTGCAAAGCGGGAGTCCGACACACGTTTGTTTGCTTGTTTGTCTCCTCCCACTCTGCGTCCGTGGTTCGGCTCCTTGTTCCAGACGTAAATCGACATGGATCTCCGACTTCCCAAAAAGAGATAATCCTCCTCGTCTCGTCTGCATCGCCGGACCTCAGCTCGACCTCTCATCACCTCTCGGCTCTTCGGCGCCGCTTCCACCACCTTGGCGCCTACTTTCTACGTTGCGCAACGACTGGCTCGGTTGTCAGATATGAACGCGACGTCAGGACAGCAACGCGTCAAACTCAAACCTCCGGTATCGACTTTTCACCTGCCACCTCAGATACCAATGCCACGGATCAACACAGACGACAAGAGGCAACCGATGCAATCCCGACCCCCCAATCCCAATCCCCACTGCGGGTAAATACAGCACTCGACAGGCCCCTGACTCTTTGAGACTCGAATAAGGCCATTTCACGTCAACCACGACCTCAGCTGTCCTGTCCTACCCCTGATGCCCGTGTCAAGATTCATGGCAGCAAGCGGCATCTCGGGCACGTGCGAATGGAGACGCACACCAGATCCAGAGCCACGGTCTGGAGATCGTATCGCCGATTACGGGCTAGTTTAGCACTTTCGAGAGCCTAAGCAAGCCAGCAAGCGTCATTCTGTCCGAACGAAGGCAAGTCCTGGCATTGGACTGCCACCCTGACTGGCGCCTTCTTCTGTTGTATCAGAACTGTACAAGTACATGCAAAGGCATACCGCCGGTTGCGACCAACAACAGCCAGGCATCAATCGTCATCGCGAAACTTGACAAGCGTGAGGGTGGCATTTTAGACATATGAGCCTAGTCTATGCTCAACACACCAACAACCCAAAGAAGCCTGCAGAGAACAGAACACACTCAACTCTGTGTCCTGGCTGCTGCCAATGCGCTGGGTCTACCGGTCTAACTTCCGAACTGCCAGCCTGCGAATCGAAACTCAACTCACGCCAACCGTTTGGCGTCTGTCTTCCCACCAATCCTCGCAGTCTTGGCCAAACGACTGGAACCTCCGGGGTTCAAGTCCGTCTTGATCCCTGCACCAACGACATGTGCCCTCTGTCTTGGTGTTCTAGGCTGCGAACCATGGACTCGAAGAGTGGACGATGAATCGAAATCTCGATTCTTACTTTGATGACTGCTGTTCTCGACCTCCGTCCTCTCTGTCCACCCATGTCGTCGGCTGCTTCTAATTGGACCAAGACAGGATCGCTAACAAAGAAGCAACACCTCCGAGGAATAGAGACGGCGACGTTCTGTCTCTCAGTTCGAGATCAAAGGCCCTCTTCCCATCGGCATCGCCCGAATCACAACAGCCAAGAACCCTGCTCTGGATTGTCCAAGGTTCGAACCCCCACAACCGGCTGAAGGTCAAGTCTGCAAACCACTGACTTGCGCGCGGCCGGAGAGCTGCTGCTGACGGGTGTGAAGTACGTTCCTTGCGGTCATCAGCGACTCATCCATCTCACACCTAGATCGCGGGCATGTTTCACATTTTTCCACCCCATTTCCGCCCTAGGACGGCAGATGTGAAGCAAAGCACAGCGCGGGAAGACGCCTGTGGTCTACGCATACACAGATGCGAATCACACACTACCCGCTCAATACGCAACAGATGCATTTCGCAATATCAGCATTGCCTGCCTGCCTGTCTGCCTGCCGCGCATGGGCAGATCAGTCAACTCACCGACACGCGTGCCCAAGAATAACGCTGTCCCTGAGATGTGCCGCAATAGCGTTGCATCAAGGGGATGGATGTCAGCGCAACACTCCACGCCAGAAATTCCTTGGACCGCGGGTTGGAGTTTTCCCTCGGCCGACTGCCCCGGAAAGTAAATCTGGTGAACATGGGCCGGACGAAGGAAATCGGAACACGCTCAGGAATGATCGTCGTTGCTATCCCCTCTTATTATTGTGTTGCCCTTGCACCTTCTTATTGGGCACACAGCAACAAGGCATCAATCATTGCAATCGACCATAAGCGCCTAACGTAATCTCTCACCTTCAGCAAAGATCAACCGAAACGGCGCGTGAACAGACTGCGCAGTTTTGTTTCCAATGCGCGGATCTGTCGCAGATTCATGCCTCCAGCTGACCCCCTGAACTCGCCTCCGGGACGGGATAGCCGCCCTATCTGGTGCTTGGTCGTTTTTCCGTGGATGCGCCAAGGAGCAGACGAAGAGATGCGACGAAAAGCCCGGGAAACCACCAACCGATTTTGCCGCCACCGTTGCATTCTGGTGCTTATTTCTGGAATCGTCGACGATATCGTGAGAAGGGGTATAATTCGGCCTCGCCGCCGCTGCCACGCCTGTCTCGCGGCCGACGGAGACCGGTCCATGATATCACGATCTGAGACTCTGACAGCTGGAAGCAAGCGATCCTCCTGGGGCCTGACCATGTTGCCATGGTGCTGCAACCCCGCGCAACGAGAACGGAATGCATGTGCATCATCGTTACTTACCCCGCGATGTGACTACTGCATGTCAATGTCACTCTAGTAGCAGCACCGGCGATGCCTATGTAGGTACAATGAGGCTCAAGCCAGCCCTCCGCGCGGGCCGTCATCGGTCAAAATCACGCTCAGCCACCGCACAAGCTCTCGCTGCCCTTCACACGTTTCTTCATCCGTACTACCTACCTACATATGCCGTGCATGATCTCGCAGGACGTTGGGGGCTCGTCGAACGGACGAGTTCGTTGAGGCCAAGACCGACAGCTCGGGTAGATTCGTCATGCAAAGCTACGCCTTGACGGGGGAACACGCGTTAAGGAAAAAAAAGAAAGAAAGAAAATTGGCAGAGTTCATATTGCGACGCTGTGATTTTCACAACACCAAAAACACTCTCGTATCCGGAAATGTCCACACTGACAAGCTTGAGGAAAGTCAACTCATGCTGTCATTCAGCAGAATGGTTCTCGCTATACACTTACACGTAGATAATCGAGGATCGACTCATCAAAATAATCTGCGTTGAAGCGCCTTGACAGCTTCAGCCTCTCATAGACGCTTTACATCATGCAAATATCACACGGACTTGCAGCAGCAGCAGTGAACTAATCATGATCATACGAAGCCAGCTTTATTCGCTTCTTCTACAAACGCCTTTTTTGTTTGGTCATCTCTCTCTCAGGTCTCTAATCCGGTGCATGGTGTGATGGTCGGTAGTGGGGGTATGTGGTATGATATATGATGGCCATTTGCTTCTTCCTTTCTTTCTACTTCTTTTTGGTTGAGTTTACCGCTGAGCGATCTCGACCTCCTGGCCCTCGAACGCGGGGAGCGTGGCCTCGACGTCCTTCCACTCCTTGGAGCCGTCGACGAGGCTCTGGATGGCGGCGATGACGGTGTCCTCGTCGGCGCGGACCTGCTTGGTGGAGTCGCGGTCGCGGAGGGTGATGGTGCTGTCCTGGACGGTCTGGAAGTCGATGGTGATGCCGAGCGGGGTGCCGAGCTCGTCGTTGCGGCTGTAGCGCTTGCCGATGGTCGCCGACGAGTCGTCCACGCGGGCCGAGATGCCGATCTTGCGGAGCTTCTGGGAGATCTTCTTGATGAAGGGCTTGAACTGGGCGTTGCCGGACAGGGGCACGATCAGGACCTTGGTGGGGGCGATCGTGGGGGGGAAGGAGAGGACCTGGAGGTGGATGTTAGCTGCATGGTTCCTGATACGTGATGTCTTTCGTTGAATCATAAAAAAGGGGCGTGACTTACACCGCGGGACTCGTCACCACCAGCCTCGCTGGCACGGTTCCAGTAGCAGTGCTCGATCAGAGAGTAGAGGATGCGGCCGATACCGAAGGACGGCTCGATGACGTTGGGGGTGTACTCCCTCGTGTTCTCCTGGCGTTTCCTGAACTCGATCTTGACGAGGTCCTTGCTGACCTTGACCTTGCCGCCGGCGACGCCGGCGACCTCGAGCTCCAGCTCGCCGTTGTCGGCGAGCTGCTTGGAGAACGTCTCGCGCTGCTCCTGGGTCGTCTCGACAAGGGCGGTCTCGACCGCCTTGCCGTCCTTCTTGAACTGCGGGCCGAACTTCTTCTTGTCGATGTCGACCTCCCACTCCTCGATGATGCGGGGCTCGTCGAGGCGCTGGCGGACGAGGAGGGGCGCGCCGGTCTTCTTGGCGTGGACGGACAGGTCGTAGGCGCTGCGGTCCGCGCAGCCGACGCACTCGATCCAGCCGGAGGAGGTGAGCAGCTCGGCGTCCCAGCAGTCGGCGGCGTAGTGGGCCATCTCGTTCTCCATGTGCTGGCGGAAGCGGACCTTTGTCATGTCGACGCCGATCTTCTGGAGGAAGAGGTGGATGCGGGCGATGAAGTAGCCGAGGGTCTCGTTGTCGATGACCTTGTCGGCGACGGCCTGCTTGACGGTCATCTTGCGGAGGTCCGTCTTGCCGGAGAGCTGGGTGTGGCGGTCGAGCAGGGTGAGCTCGATGTCCTCGACCTCGACGAAGCGGGAGTGCTTCTTGCCGCCCTCGGGGTCGACGAAGTGCTCGATCTCGGCCATGAGGAACTCGCGGACGCGGAGGAGGCCGGCTCTCGGGGAGATTTCGTTTCGGTAGGAGCGGCCGATGGAGGCGGAGGCGAAGGGCATCTGCTCCATGTTGAAGGCGAGGAGCTTGGCGAAGTTGAGGAACTGGCCCTGGGCGGTCTCGGGGCGGAGGTAGCCGGGGGTGTTGCTGGAGGGGCCGATCTTTGTCTGGAACATGAGGTTGAAGGCGACGGGAGGGGAGGGCTGGAGGCCGGTGGCCGGGTTCCTGAGGTCGTACTTCTTGATGAGCTCGCCGAGCTCCTCGCCGTTGTAGTTGTCGATCTTGGCCAGGACCTCGGAGTACTCCTGGACGAGGGCGTCGTCGAGCTTGACGGCGACGGTGGCCTGCTTCCTCTTCTTCTTCTTCTTGGGGTCGTCCTCCTCCTCGACCTTCTCGCCGCGGGCCTCCTTGTCACCCTTGAGGCGGGCCTCGAGCACGTCCTCGACGAAGTGGTCGGCGCGCAGGATGTCGCCGTTCTTGGGGTCCTTGCACATCCAGTCGGCGAACTTGTCGACGTGGCCAGAGGTCTTGAGGATCTCGTGGGGGGTCAGGACGGTGCAGTCGACCTCGAGCATGTCCTCCTCGAGGATGAAGTGCTTGCGCCAGAGGTCAATGATGTTGGCCTGGAGGGCGCAACCGGGCGGGCCGTAGTCGTAGAGACCGGCGACACCACCGTAGATCTCAAAGGCGGGGGTGAAGAACATGCGGCGGCGCAGCATGGCGTCGAGGGTCGGCCGGTCGAGGGGCTGACCCTTGAGGGTCGTCGCGGTAGACGTCATCTCGGATTTGTGGTCGTCGGCGGCGGCGGCGACGGGCTGCTTCTTGCGTATGAGTTGGGCCCTGTAGAGGTGACTGGAGGTGGTGAAGGTGCGGTTGTGGTGGGAGGAAATGGGAGAGCGGTTGGAGGGGGAGGGGTAGGTCTGAAAGTGGGATTGTGAAAAAGCGGCCGGCCGAACTGCACAGAAGCTAGCTGTGGAACGAATAGAAGGTGATTGGCGTGCGATAAAGCGTAAGGGCTTCATCAACGGTCGTTTGGTGGGGTGTAAAACGTGAGTCATCCAGGGGGGAGGGAGGGGGAGGGGCTTTGCGCCTGAGAGAGAGTGTGCTATGTGTGTTTTCCTCCCGCAGGCAGGGCTTAAGCAGTCAATTGGGAATTGGAGAGAGAGCCGCAGGCTGTGTGCTGCAAGCTGGTGCGGTTTGCGGTTCGAGGTCTGAACCGTGACTCTTAACTGTCGTTCTCTTTTTTTGCAACCCCCCCGGAAAACTTCATTGGCCAGTCAAGTGCCCTGTCGCCCGATCGGCCCAGCCCACTTCAGGTCCCGGACGGAGGACCCCGCAGCCGCAGACCTGAGGGACGGAAGGGACAGAAAAAAAATATCGATGGCGGAAAATTCAATTCGCCGATGACACCCAGACCCCTGCGAGCACGGCCCCGTTCAGATGCATCAGCTGCAGGGATTGGTCGGTGCCCCGCCAAAATTTCTCAAAGCTGATTTTCACCGAGCGCAAGACGAGGGTATGATTTCAACTTTTTCTCTCTTTTGGCCGTACTCTACACAACGCGACCGCTGCTCCCGCCTCGTCGACTAGCTTTCTGATATTGTCGACCCAATTGAACACTCGAGAACCAAAAGTCAGACGACGTAAAAGCCTAGCATGGGCTTCAACAGGCCGGGCAAGGCCTTCGGGACCTCGCTCTCGACAAAAACCGCCAACAAGCTCAAGCGCCAGGAGCTCCATGTGCTCAACAAGAAGGAGAAGGACAAGCTGCAGCGCGAAAAGCGCTTCCGCCGCAAGAAGGAGGAGGACAAGAACCCCGAGCTCAGGGCAGAGCGTCTCGCCAAGAACAAGCCCTTAACGCTCGACCAGAAGCGCGTGTGGGACGACGTCGACGACGACAGCCTCGGTCTGCAGGTGGACGTGGAGAGGCTCAAGAGGCGGAGGATAGAAGAGGAGGAGGCGGCGCAAAACGCGCTGCTGGACAAGGAGATTGACGCCGAGGAAGGAGAGGGTGACGACGAAGACGACGACGCCGACAGTATGCTTGCTTCGGACGACGAGGACGAAGACGAGGACGAGGAAGCCGCGGCGGCGAAGAAGGCCGAGCGGGAGAGGAAACGCGAGGAGAAGAAGCGCGCGCGCAGAGACGACTCGATGGCGCCCTCGACGACCAGCACGAACCTCGACCTCACCCCGTCCTCCCTCGCCCTCAAGTTCCCGGCCCTCTTCACCGACACCCCACCCCCGGAGCCCAAGATCCTCATCACCACCTCCCTCAACTCGACCCTCCACCACGAGGCCCAGATCTTCCGCAGCGTCTTCCCCAACGCCACCTACGTGCCCCGCTCCTCCCACCGCTACGGCCACAAGTACTCCCTCCGCGAGATCAGCAAGTTCGCCGCCAACCGCGACTACACCGCCGTCGTCCTGCTCAAGGAGGACCAGAAGAAGCTGACGGGCATGTCCATCGTCCACCTGCCGACCGGCCCCACCTTCACCTTCTCCATCACAAACTTCATGGAGGGCAAGAAGCTGCCCGGCCACGGCAACCCGACGAACCACTACCCGGAGCTGCTGCTCAACAACTTCAAGACCCCCCTGGGTCTGCTGACGGCGGCGCTCTTCCAGCGCCTGTTCCCGCCGCGGCCCGAGTTCGAGGGCCGCCAGGTGCTGACGGTGCACAACCAGCGCGACTACCTCTTCTGGCGGCGCCACCGCTACGTCTTCCGCGAGAAGCGCGAGACGGAGAAGAACATCACCAACGCCGAGGGCAGCGACATGAAGGGCGTCGAGGGCATCCGCGTCGGTCTGCAGGAGGTCGGGCCGCGGTTCACGTCCAAGCTGCGGAGGGTGGACAAGGGTATCGGCCGGGCCGGCAGCGATGGCGACGACGCGCAGCCGTGGGAATGGAAGGCCAGGATGGAGAAGGACCGGAAGCGCTTCAACTTGTAACCGGCGTTCGTCTGGATCGCATTTTGGCAAGAGTCAGTTTACATTATACATGGATTCGGTCAGGGACCACCCCGTACGGCGTTTTCTGCATGAAATAGAATTGTATCAGACGAATGGTGCAGGGTTGAGTATCAAGTCTCGGACCGGGAAAAGTTGTCTTTTTGTTGTTAAAATCTGAGTGCCATATTTCCTTTACGCCTAGCCATAAGTGCTTCAGTTTCACATAAGAGGTATCATCCGTAGACCCTATCTAATCCCGACGCGCCCATTCTACACAACGCCAGATGACCACTGCGCTTTAAATGCACCATGAGAAAAACGATATAAAGTTACATGAGTTTGCGGGTAAGCAGCCTACTTGCGCTGCTGCTTCTGGTGCTGAAGCATAACTACGGAGTATCTGAGGGGGGTTGTTAGCAGAGTACCAGTGCGCAGAGAGCTTGAGGAACTCACCCGACGATGCCGCCAATGGCAACAAAAACACCAAGAACGGACTTGTCACCAATAGCACGGCCCGAGACCATCCAGCCGAGAGCGACAATAGTGCAGGTCTTGAGGTGACCAACGACGGTACTTGAAACAGGACCAGTCTGGGCGATAATGAAGAACTGGGAAATGTTGATGAGGGAGGCAAAGGCACCAGACTATTACAATTAGCACCAGTACAACGCCTTTTGGAAATTCTTAAACTCACCATGCCAATCATGAGCCAACGGTTGCTGGGTACGGTCATCCAGTCGGGGAAGGTGTCAACGAATGGAATAACGTAGAGCAGCATGAACGAGGCAATAGGAGCCTGGTTGTACAAAAGCTGCATGCTGGACATCTGGAGCTTGCGGTGGTAGCTGGCGATCCAGACGGTGTAGAGAGAAGAGGCGAAGATGCCAGTGAAGGCAAAGAAAACGCCCAGGCCGGAGGTGGTCTTGACGTTGCTGTCCGCGGCCGGCAGCGAATCGTAGTAGGAGACCATGCCAACACCGAGGCAGGCCGGGATGAGAGCCATGATCGCATTACGGGGCAGCGTCGCCTTGTACAAGACAAAGTTCATCAGGGCAACCGTTGGTGTCAGGAGAATACGGGCAATCTGGTAGAACGTAACGGAGGAGAACGCCAGGGAGAGGTTCGGGAGGATGACGTTCAGGCACATGGCTACGGAGAGCGGGAGGAGGTCCCTGATCGAAGCGCGGCGAGGGGTGAAGTAGGCGAACGTGGGCCGCGAGAGGACGTGTAGCGTCAGGAAGGTTACGAGGAAGTGGAAACTCGCAAAGGTGAGCTGGCAAAGCTTCCATTGCGGATCGGAGAAGATGGCCTTGTTTGTGAAGACCTGCGCCGTGTTAGCCGACGGGGTTTGATCGCCAGCCAAAATCGCCGACTTACAATTCCTATCGTTGCCAGGGTGTTGACAACCATCCACACAACGGCAGATTTGAAGCTGGCCTTGGGAGGCTCTTCCTTCTCGTTCGACTTGGGCAGCAGCTTCTCGTCTTCCTCTGCAAGCTTCTCCTCGTCGTCGTTCTGCTTCAGGTTCTGAACGCTGTCCTCCATCGGATCCAATTTAGTCAGCTCGTGAAGAGTCGCGGTCTCGGTGGAGGACGAGGCGAAGGAGCCGGCGCGTTCTGTTCGTTGGCTGTCGGCCATTTTGACGTGATGCTGTCAGTTTGAGTGGTGGGAACTGTGAAACCGAGAGATTGGACGTTGATGGGTGAGCGGTGCTGATCGTCGCTGACGGGAGAGGGTTGGCGGTCCTTTTTCAGTCCACCATGAGAAGGAGCGCAGGCAGCAGGTCAGTAGCACCAAGGGAGTCTCGGGGAATGCATCAAAGGGAGACGACTCGTCTTGTCAAATTCCGGAGAACGTGGTGCGGAATTGACGGGGAGGAGTGACGGGTGCAGATATAATGATTTGTATGGTAAGGTCCGAGGCGTTCACTCGCCAGGTCTCGGCGGCGGTGGTCGCACCTACCCCGGGCTGAAAGCGGCAGGGGCAGGGGTATGGGACGTGGAAGGTGGGAGGGAGACGCAATTCCCTAGCAGAGGCAGGGGGATAGCGGGTACTAATTCTGGGACCAGGAGGGGGATTAGCACGCCTGGCACGCAAGCTGCGGCGCCCAACGAGCCCGTCTAAGGTAGCGAAGTATCGTGAGAGCGGGCAACCAGAGGTCATGGAACTAGCATTCCGACTAGGCCTTGCCTGTTCTGCTGGTCCTGCTCACCCTGGCGGCCCTGCTTTCGGTTTCTACGTGGCCCTAGGAGAGCGGAACAAGGCGGCTTGGCTCTTCGCTACCCTAAATTTGGGATTTTGGGTTACGATTGGGGGCAGGAAGCGGAGGTGAGATTTGATGAGACTCGAAGTCTTCCTTTGCCTCCAAGGGAAAGACAAGAACAACGACGGCGTACAATGGCTAGTATCACGGACTCTCAGACCTCACGCCACAATCCAAGGTAGTGTGTACTATGTAATACTGCGAAAGCGACGTGCCCGGGACTCTTGGTATCCAGGCCAAGAGTGGCGTCCCAAGTTATTTTCCTTTTCCCAACTCAACATCCCAGCTGGAGCACCCAGGCCAACTTGTTTATCCACCGCGGCTTCGTTTTACGCCCATATCCTGAGATCCCTAGCAGCAGCTCGCTATGCTAGCGCCAAGCCATTGGCAATTCGCGGCCTTGAGCCCGTCTCCAGCCCAATCAGACTCAGCAGAGCCATCTGCAAGTTTCTCTTTTCCCATCAAAATCTGCAACACACAGGATGGCAGCCTTGGTGGTGGAAAGTTACGCTCGTAAGGACGTGCAGATAACCAACACGCAAAGACATGCGCTCAGATGTCGCCGTCCCGTCTGGTCTGTTCAGGTCTCGTCTCGTCTCTTGGCCGCAGGGCAGTATACGAGACCACCACATCGCCGGCAGGATCGACGAACGCAGCCTTGCAAAACTGCCGCTCGCCTCTAGAGACGGGGATGGGTGAACTCATCAAGACGTCGCTGGCAATCCGCATACAGCAGAACATCGGGCGGGTTGTCCGACAAGCGCCCAATTGTCTCCGGCAACCGCCTCAACTTTGTCTTATTACTCTCTCTTTCGCTCTCGCTGCCATCCCGGCGAACCTTCTGTGATCTGATCCCATATGGTCACACGTCACCCTGTGGACCGTGATTATCGGCCTTGACACAGAGTCGGTTTCGACGGAGCAACCGGACTCGCCAGCCTGGGATGGTGCCTTGTGTGACGGTGCCGTCTTCCTGGGTTCACTCGGTAGAGTCGGTCCCCTCGGGCTGGACACTCCCAGTAGGGCGAGTGCGGTGTGCGACTGCGACCGATTCCATCAACTCCCCGGATAGAGTTTGACAGAACAATTAACGTCTAGATTGGAAAGTTTGCTCCCTGAGACAGTGAATCTCCAGAAGGCCAAGCGACGCTCGTACTGCCAAGTGTTCGTCTTTCAGCAGTCGTCCCTGTCAAAAGTCGCTGCGACATGTCTCTCAGCCGAGCAATGTCTTGGCCGCCGTCGCACCTCATTCCAGCGGTGCAACATCTCTGCCAGAATACCACGGCACGCTTCACCCGTCCGCATATCCGTCCAGCTCCACCGTTTGGTTCAAGTCTGCCACACCCAACCGTTGACAAGAACCTCGATTGTCTAGGACATTACAAGTTGAAACGCGCTGAGTAGAGAGAGAGATCTTGTGTGTACTGCGTACGAGCATACTCTGTACCTAAGTGAAGCGTTGTACTTTGAAGACTTGGCATCACAAGTCCTCCAGAAATCGACAGTCCTGATCCATGATCGTCAATGCCCCTGCGTTAATCTCATCTGAAGGACGAAAGCATGCAAGCTTGCACCGCCGGGAGGACGGGGATGGACTCGACGGCTTCCTTAGTGGCCAAAATTAGCTCCTCTTCACTTGATTGTCAGGGCTTGGTTGTCCCCTCCTCCTGCTGCTGGCAATCAATCGTCGGATCATCAGGTGCATATCCCTCGCGATGAACTTGTCAGCGGTTGCGTGGAATCTGACTGCTGTTCGCTCCGTGCTTGGCCGGGATAGGTCAGTGTTTCCCTCTCCCTCCGCGAATTCAACTTTGAACGTTTCAGCATTCCCCAGACACCACGAGGCTGTGTGGTGAGCAGACCAATCCAAAGTATGGAGGGAACGGCGTGCTAGATGAGCACCACATTCTTGCGCGGAATACCCCCACCGGGCCATTTCAAGCCACAAGAGACGCGCAGCCGCCCTCCCCGGTCTCGACGGCGCCCGCGCGTGCTCCGGAGCTGGCGATTGTTCTGCACATCACGGCTCCACGTTGAAGCCGCCGGACGAGTGGGAGCTCGCCCCAGCACCCTCCGCTTGTCGTCAGCCAATGGAGAAAGAAAGACCGGCGACACAGTCGTCAGTCATTCCGTGAACGTCGGCGGTTTTTTTTTGCCGTATCGAAAGTTGACGCCGTCAAGCCGTTCGTGAGCGTCTGTGGCGTTCGACACGGGCCGCTCATGAATATGTCTTGGAAACTCCCGGTAGACATAAGCTGGCCTTCTCTTGCTTGGGCTCAAGTCGGCGAATGCCGGGAGGCAGTCTGATGCAGTCAGCTGCAGGTGGCTTGGCGGAGCTTGTGAAGTCGAAAAGATAGAAATGGATCTATCTGAACATTAGCGAATTGCGTGTTCTCTAACATTCCTTTGCCCCTGATATTAGTGTTGCCATTCTCCGTCCCCCTGCAGACGAGTGCTCGGAAGTCGTTCGAGGCTAGAATGGCGATGAAGAGACTGGGCGCCATGCTGTCCCTTTCGGAGGAGCTGATAAACGAACAAAGTTGCCCGGTAGACCTCATAGGATCTAGTGGCCGGTCCAGAGGCGCTTGACTAGCTGCGTCATTCCACAGCTGAGGCCAGCTGAGACCTGATTTGGGAATAGGAGCGCAGGACTTGCTGTACTGACACCGAACAGCCAAAGTCGAACTCCTCGTGGCCAGCCGCACCGCCGTGATAGTTGTCCAATGTCCAAAGTGTGGTCCGGCACGTACGTGTCGTAGTCGTCCTCCCTAGCTTCGATTAGCTTGCGCGGAAAGAAGGGGTCCCATTCCATTGGGAGTCTCGGTTAGATTGAGGTTACATCTGTCAGGCGCAAAAAAAGACGGCATCTCAAGATAGAGCGGCTCCAGATAGCATAGTTAAAGGGGTTTAGAGTAGCTCCCCCCATAAGGAAACAGCTAGGTTATTTAATATAGTCTATTATTAACTAATATTACTATTAAAACTAATATTATATTTACTTATTAACTACTTTTTAACCCCTTTTTAACTACTATTTTATTTAGTACCTATTTAAAATCTATCTAATATTAATTATCCCTATTAATCTCCTTAAATTATTTTCTTTTTATATTATATATAGCTAAAGCTAATTTATAGCTATTACTAATAAGTTTCTATAGGTATCTTTATATTAGCTTAAAGCTTAAAGCCTTATAATAAAAGCCTTATTATTAAAGTAGTTTATATTATATTAAAAGTAGTAATATATACTATATAAAGCTAAATAATATAATTAAATATATTATTAATTTAGCTATAAAGTTTAAATCTATTTAATAGCTCTTATTATTTTATAAATTATAATATCTTTATTATTAAATAGCTATAAATAATATATAAAGTTAGAGATATTATAAATATAATATTTATTACTAAATTTAATAAATAGCTAAAGGGTATAATTATTTTTTAATATAGTATTAAATATAGCTTTAATATTAAACCTTACTTTAAAGTTTACTATATAATAGGATTAGTTTTAAGATATTTAAATAATATTTCTATAGTTATTTAAGTTATTTAGGAAGTATTATTTAAAGAAAATAATTTAAAATAAAAAAGAGAGGAGATAGAAACTACTTTTCTCTTATATATTACTTTATATATAGAAAGGCTTTAAGATTATAATAGTTAAAGCTATTTATAATAAAAAATATATATATCTATTAGATTTTAGTAATTTTTCTTTATATTAAATTAAAGTAAATCTTTTTATATAAGTATTAAGTATAATATTAAGTTTATTTATCTTATAGTTTACCTACTTTTTACTACTAGGCCCTATAAGGGTTTGCCTCGCTATAAGTACCTCAGTTGAAGGGGTTTAAAGGGTCAGGGTCCGAGTCGTCCGAGTACCGACAGCACTTTGAAAATGGAGCAAGGGCAACATGGGGTCTGGCTCGTCGGTCGTCGCGTTGCTCGTTACTCGTGGCTGGAGGATTATTTGGGTGAGGTACGTACCTCGGCAGTGCAGTAGAGAAGTCAATTGGCTCAAGTAAATGTTTGCGGATCGCGACTGCCGTCGACCGAAGGACTCATCGGCGTGATTGAGGTAAGATCCAGGTAATTAGAAGTAGGTATTACTTTCGTTCGTTGTCAGTGGTCCCTAGCTGGACATGATTTATCTTGATTTTGACGTGCGCGGTAATAACGCGCAGCATCTCACGCTAGTGCGCAATCGATGTCGAATGTAGCTCCAAGCCACGAGCATGACACGGCGACACGAACATACTTCTATGGGCAGGATACCTTATTCGGTACTTTACGGTACCGGTAGACACGATCTGCTTGGGTCTTGTTTATTATTATTTATTTTCTGGTTATTTTAGTGCCAAGTAGGGGTGACATTGCAGTGCTGTCCCTGACGGTCATTCCAGGCTGCCCTTGATCGGCCCCGGTTCGCAGCGAAGGACGAGAGGGAAAAAAAGCAACCAGAAACCTCCAAATTGGTACCTCGAGATAGCGAGCGTCATGTTTCAAAGTGTTGCTTCCCAGCCAAGACCCTCCCACTCAGAGTCCACCCCCACCATCCACCACCGCAGCACGGGTGCGAGCAGCGAGTGATTGGATTGCCCACCTCACGCTTCCCGCCTGGGGCTAGATCTGTTCCCATTCTCAGTGCCCCGAGTCTTTGGGGCCACCACCTGCACCTGCACCTGCACCAGCGCTGCAAGCTCCCGTCCCGCCTGCCAATTGACCTCGTTCACGCAGTGGCTTGCTCCTGCCACTTGATCCGAGTCCCATCTCAAATGTAGCTGCTGTCGTAATCGCGAGGAAGTCACCTCATCCGTCCTGCCCTCCAGAAAACGTGTACCTGCCCTGCCCGTACCGCCGTAATCAAGCACCTCCGCCTGCTATCTGAAGCACCAAGCTACACCAGGACCTGACATCACGCTTGTTGCCAAGTACTTCCCCCAGATCGGGCCGGTACTTGCTGCTCTCTATCCTTGACCACCCGAGCTGCACCTGGCCTGCTGTTCCCCAGTCGAGCTTACGCCAATCATCTGGGGTCCTGGTTGATCTGTCCACCGACTGACTGGACTCGATGCCGTACCTCTTACACACCATCTAACCATTGGGATACCTCTCGACGCCGTACTTGCGTACCACCTCATGCTCCTGCGCCTTTCCGATTTCTATCTGAACTTTGGACCTGTCAGGACGCAGAGCCACCGACTTTAAAAAAGGTGGCAGGTGTCCATTCTGCTGATTCCTGCCCGTCGCCCTCGAATTCTCCGTGCCACCACCGATCTCCGCACCTGCATATTCTCGACGCATACATCCACGACTGACGTCTCGGCCGAGCACCTGCAGATTCCTTTCCGTATCATCCAGCCCTTCTTTCATTCGCTGAGATTGCGATCGAATCCAGCTGGCTGAGGTCAGCGAACCAATCTCACGAACCACCGTGGACTTCTGACCACCGTGGCCGACGCCGAACCTCCCTTGCCTCAGCGCGACTCGGGTGGTGTGAGACAGGCCGGGCACAGATCGCCAATGGCCTCGCTCTAGACGTGATAGGGATATCCCATATCTGAAGTAAGATTAATTCCCCGACTGGAGCGTGTCTTGCGTGTGGGCATCTAGCTAAGAAGTGAGTTTAGGGCCGCTCATCGTCTCCCTTGAAAGGGCAGCTCCTTTTGCGTATTTGTACTTCATATCGCCCGAACTGACTCGCTATCTCCCACGAACCCCAAACCTTCTTCGACCTCCCGACACCCAAGAACCCTCAATCTCCCACACTCTCTGAGCTTCATCACCAGAGATCTCATTAACGGTCAAAATGACTCAACTCAACGGACAGAACCGGTCGCAAGCGAGTAAGCCGTAGATCGTCAACTTCTCGCCTCCAACATCACCCAAGCTAACCCTCGCAACAGCCTACAGCAACGGCCACGGCAAGTTCTTCCAGGATGTTGGCGTGTGGAAGGAGGCTCCCCTTCTCAAGGGAACCACCAAGTTCGAGCCACTCCCTGATGTCAAGAACATCATGATCACCGGTGGTGCCGGCTTCATGTAAGCTGATGTCTTGGCACCGAGCCTCATCGCGACACTAACAAATCCCTCAGTGCATGCTGGCTGGTCCGCCATCTTACTCTCACTTACCCTGGACATTACAACATCGTGTCTTTTGACAAGCTTGACTACTGCTCGTCACTCAACAACACGCGCGTTCTGAACGAGAAGTCCAACTTCACATTCGTCCACGGCGACATTACCAACCCCACTGAAGTACTCAACTGCCTGAAGAGGTACAACATTGACACCGTCTTCCACTTCGCCGCTCAGTCTCACGTCGACTTGAGCTTCGGTAACTCATACGGATTCACTCACACCAACGTCTACGGCACTCACGTCCTGCTGGAAAGTGCCAAGAGCGTCAACATCAAGCGCTTCATCCACATCTCGACTGACGAGGTCTACGGTGAGGTGAACGACGACGACGATGACCTTCTCGAGACCAGCATTCTTGCTCCCACCAACCCCTACGCTGCCAGCAAGGCCGCTGCCGAGATGCTAGTACAGTCCTACCAGAAGAGTTTCAAGCTCCCCGTCATCATTGTCCGCAGCAACAACGTCTACGGACCTCACCAATTCCCCGAGAGTGAGTCGCTCAAACTTGATGCTCGAATCCGAACTAACGTTTTTAGAAATCATTCCCAAGTTCACGTGTCTGCTGAACCGTGGCCAGCCTGTCGTCCTCCATGGTGATGGTAGCCCAACCCGCAGGTATCTGTTTGCCGGGGACGCCGCGGATGCTTTCGACACCATCTTGCACAAGGGTCAGATGGGCCAAATCTACAACGTGGGCTCGTACGATGAGATCTCCAACATTGACCTCTGCGGTCATCTCCTCACGCAGATGGGCATTTCCCACGACACCAAGGACGAGTTTAAGAACTGGGTCAAGTACACCCATGATCGTCCCTTCAACGACCACCGCTACGCCGTCGACGGCACCAAGCTGCGCCAGCTTGGATGGGACCAGAAGACCAGCTTTGCCGACGGACTCAAGATCACGGTCAACTGGTACCGTCAGTTCGGTGAGGAGTGGTGGGGTGACATCACCCAGGTTCTCACGCCGTTCCCTATCGTCCAGGGTCTCGATGTGTCTGCCGACCAAGAGCCCATCGGTGACTCCCCGCCAACGCCCGAGAACAAGAAGAGGAAGACTGTCGAGGGAGTCAACGGAAACGGCAACGGCCACGCCGTCAAGGCCTAAGCGCCGCACACCAAGGTTGTAGAGACGGCTGAGGGCACAAGAGCACACGATGAGACGCCCCGTTCATTATGATGTAAATCTATAGACTTGCAACGCCTGGGAATGGGCCACGAGGTTTGCATTGCAATTTGTAGGTGATTTTCGGCGCTGGAAGGAGGCATTTGGACCCGTATGGAGTTAATTCTAGAGACTGAATGGTTGGCAATGAAAACAACGGTATCTCTTGAACACATTGCATTCGAATGTGACGGTTCCACCGACAGACCAGGCGCTGGACATTTGGGCCAGCCGCCGATGGCTCATCCACCTATCCGCTCCTGCCCATCTGGTGTCGCTTTGAGTATAGAATTCGCAGGTCATGTGTATCTGTGAGTTCACACGATGTAAACGATGGCCAAGATGTCCCATTAACACGTGAGCTATGACTTCATATCAACCCAGGCCGTGCAGACGCGGATCTGGCCGCCTACGCGAACCCCCCTTCCATATGGAGGCATATGCGCCCGTCGAACCAGGGGGGCAATCGGGCAAGCAAGCCACGTGCATGTTCAAATAATTGGCGTCGGTTCCATTGGAAGGCGATGTCTGGTTCGCGACACACGAGTCCGAGGAAACATTGAACACGAACGATCCCAGTTGTCTGGCTAGCTTACCATAATTATTTTGATCTTTGGTTGTGGTCTGGTCAGAGTTAAAATGTAAGCACGGATAAGTGGTATCAAGCAGCAACCGACTGTGAATGAGCCCGGTTGATGCGATCGTGGGTATGCTGTCTCCGGCCTGCAACATGTAGCTGTGCCACACGCGGACTTTTCCCCCCCTCGAGTTTGCGAGGTCATGTTTTCTTCTTTCGCCGGAGGACCAGACCACGTTGTTCCTTCGCAAGCCCAGACGCATCTGCATCTGCATCTTTGAACCCCTCTCCGGCTGCACGTTCCGGCCCCTCGTCGTCGTGGTCGTCGTCCAACCCCCTCCTTCCCTATCGATTGCGTGCAGCATAATTGCTTTTTTCCATCTTACCATGGCTGCATCGTCGATTGGAGGGGAAGAAGAGAGGGGGCGGGCGGGCTGTACGAAGTACAAAGAAATGACAAGGTGACGAGAAAGGGCCTCGGCCCATGCGGGCGGTACTCGCTTCGATTTCGTTCTTTTCTTTTTGGGAAAAAAAACCCAGAACCCAGAACCACGAGAACGGGTCGTTCGTCCGCCCGCCGCTGCGGCTCAATTCTTATCGTCTCCGGTTCTAGGGCGCAGGGGAGATATCGGAGATGGTGGCGGAGGGACTCGCTGTTTTTGTGCTGCTATTGCTCCTGAATTGCGGTTGGGGCGCGGCGCTGGGATAGGGTTGACGATCCCTCATCGGAGCAGTGTCCGACTCCGCCGTCCCGGGGCAGCGAAGGAGGCCGACGACGACCACGCCCCGGTATTTTGATGCCCGACCCAAGAGCCCAGGGGGTGGCTGTTTTTTTTTTTCTCTTTCGCGGCGTCGACGTCGTACGGGCTTTGTCATTTATTGTTTTTCTCTCCCGGAATGTCTCGTGCTCGTTGAACGTGGCCCCTGGTTCTGCCTGGGTTTGTGTGGTGGTTGAATGCTGCTTGCTGGGTCATGACTTGAAATTGTTGGTGCTGCTGAGTTCTGCTGGCAGCGTTCCATGGGACTGGAGTTCGCTGGGCAGCCAGGTGTGGGCGGGGGACCCGGAGAAGCCCACTCACGGGCCTGGCATCGACCTCAGCCGGGCCAACCAGGTCCGGCGGCGTAGTGGGGTTTCATGGAGCCGGGGGAGGAGACTTGGAAACAGTTCACACCTAGTTCTGGGTTCTGGGCTGAGTTCTGGGCCTCGAGGCACTTTAAAGAGCCCGGGGCCGTTGTCGTGGGACGCGCTGGGCTGCTTGGATAGGGGAGTGCGATGCAGGTGGGTGACTCTTGCTTGGTTGCTTGGGTGCTTTTGTTGGCACTTGAGGTGTAAAATGAGGTGGGAGAGGATTCCATCGTGCATAGGGGTGCTGCACCGGACTGCAGCTTTTGCGTCCCGGATCATTTGAGTCGAATCAGCATGCCGTCTAATCCTCTTTTCCCATGCAGTCGAGAGGCGACAGGCCCAGCCGGAGGGGACTGTTGCAGCCGCATTAGAAGTTGGCAATTGGTGTTATTGGTAGGCTTGATATTGTTTATGACGCTACGGATACAGATTTGACCGCAGAGCAGCGTTCAGTAACTGCAACTGCAATGATACGTCGTCCCCCCCTTTAACACCCCGTATATCGAAGTCGGCCGTCCATCTCCTTTGCGAATGGAGGCATGAGTCGTCGCTCTTATTCGCTTGCTGTTACAGCGAAGAAGCAGCTCTCGAAGCCCTAAAGGCCATTCGGCATCTTCCACGGCAAACACGGCCTCTGCCGTCTTGCACATCCCCCGAGGTCGCGCCGTGCATCACGGTGCCACGGTCCAACAGCCAAAAGAGCCAAAAGAGACCCTTGAAGGAAGACTCTCCACAGGACCCGTCCGCCGCTCCCAATCCATCGCCGGTTCCCACGTCTCATCCCGGCAGCTGTCAGGATCCTGCGCAGCATGCACTGGCCACCGTCACCACACTAGGACGTCTCCCCCGGCGCAGCCTTTCCCCTTCAGTTCTAATCCTACCCGACTGACAAGTCGTCCCGTCGCCTGATTAATCCTCAAGACATCCCCCGACTCCTCTCCTCTCCCGTCAGATTCGACTCGACTCGACTCGACCCGACGTTCTTCTGTTCCGTTTCTCTTCTCTCGTCCCTTCCCGCCAACTTTTCTCCCGCTCATTTGTTATCTCCTGTTCTCTTACGCCCGCCAAGCCGCGAAAAGCTTCTCTTCCATCCTTCTACGCCCCAAACCCGAACCGACCAACACCCCGGATTCTTTCGTCCAAAATTCGCGAAAAAGCGCCAGCCTACGCCGCATCCACTCAACCCGCCCCTTTATCCTTAGCTCCATCGAGCTGCAAACGCCCAGTCCGCCGCACGCATTCGCACATGCCCTTCCGTCCCTCCCCGCGGGCCATGACATGAGTTTCCGGGGCCGCCGACAATTTCGACTGTGATAGGACCTCGACCAGCGGGTGGCACAGACACACGGGTACCGGCCGCCGCCCATGGCCAAGAAGCGGCGCACCAAGAAGCGGAAGGGAACCAGAACGAAACAAGACCCCGCTCAAGGCGCCTGCTCGAGCATGTCAACCACGGACGAGCTCGCCTCGCACTCGAGCGACGGCCTGTCGAGCGGCGTGCGCGAGAGCGAGAGCGCCGCCACCGAGCTGACGAGCATCATGGGCACCGAGGAGACCTCCCAGAGCGGCGTCCTCGAGGCCGACGACGACTGGAACTCCCAGGAGGAGGAGGAGGTGATGGAGGTCGACGACGACGACGATGACGACAACTTTTCCGTTCTGGCGCCCAGCCATTACCCCCGACCGAGCGAATCCCACCGCACCGAGATGCCCTACAGCATGATGCAGAGCCATCAAGACATGTGAGTGGAACCTGTCTCAGAGAGGCTTCAAGAAACACCGGCTGACAGCACGCAGGTCGTCAACGCGGTCCTTCATGGAGCGAGAATTAGACTACCAGTGGGAGAACGGCCGACGGTATTGCGGTCCGCATTATCACCTCCCCAACGATGAATGGGAAATGTGTCGCATGAGCTTGGTTCATCGCGTATACCTCCATGTTTTTGATGGCAAGCTGAGTACGGTGCCGCTGGATACCCCGCAAAGGATACTCGATATCGGAACGGGCATCGGCGAGTGGGCGATAGGTATGGCGGACGAGCACCCGAACTGCGAGGTCATCGGCACAGACATTTCCGCCATTGCGCCTACATCGATACCGATGAACTGTTTTTTCGAAGTCGACGACGCCGAGCTCGAGTGGGAACGCGAGCTCAACTCGTTCGACCTGGTGCACTTCCGCCACATGATGGCGGCATTCGAAGACTGGAACTTCATTTACAAGGAGGCTTTCAAGGTCATCAGGCCCGGCGGTTGGATCGAGATGCTGGAGTGGGATGATCAGCAGGGCTTCAAGAAGTTCTTGTCAGAGTTCCCTCCCACGTCGGAAATCCACGAGCTGCAGAGAGATCTCACGATCGCGGGAACCAAGGCAGGCCGCGCTCGCGGCGTGTCACACATGAACCCCAAGCTACTGACGGACGCCGGGTTCACGGATATTAAGCTGACGGAGCACACGATCCCGATCAACGTGGAGACGAGTGAAGGCAAGTTGTGGTTGATTGTGTGCATCGACGGGCTGGAGGCAGAGTGCCTGAGACCGTTGACGAAGTATATGGGGTGGGAGCCGGAACGAGTGAAGACGGCCTGTCACAACGTCGCGAAAGAGATGGCCCGTCTGGCGAAGGACCCGATCAAATCCCACGGACTCGTCGTCAAGGCTCGTTGTCTGATTGGAAGGAAACCGCTGGGCATGGTATCGCCGCCGTCGAGAGTGCTGCAGAGATCCTACGACGAGGCGTCAGAAACCGACGACACAGCGAGAGAAGACAGCCACAGCAGGCACCACGGTGAAGGGAGCATCCACGAGTCCAGGACGGACGTTGAAGCTTGAGTTTGGAGGACGATGTGGAGGTTTTGGTGTAGTAATTCTCCGACCCTCTGACCGAGTGACGAACAACTCGGCAGAGCACGATTTATTCTCATGTCTTACATTCATCGCACTTTTACCGGCAGATGGTGGCCGGTCATCCCAGCGATCTGATCTAGCATATATTTTCATACTACAATTCTCTGGGGCTCAGGCGAACTAAAAAGCATCACGGCGGTCAACTGGATATTGTATCGATGAGTAGGTGGTGTAATGAGCCTTGGCAGGGCAGACCGGTACCATATCAGTTTAGCTAGTCAATCAAAGAACCGCCTTCAGCTCAATTATCTCTAAACCGCCATCACTGGCATAAATCGTGGAGAGCTTTCCGTCAAGGTCGTTGCTTGGTAGAGCTCAGACAACGAAGCTCGGGCAAGTTGGGTACGTACTACAGCTATCAGGTTGCACGAGTGGAGACCGAGGAGCTCCCTGCCTATGTCATCCTCCACCATCCAACAGCGACCTACCGATCGACGTTGACACCAGCCTCCGACCGAGCTGCATTCCATGTGCATCCGCAGCGGGCGACCTCGCCAGCACTCGTGACGAAACACCCAAAACCGAGCGACGATGATTGTATGACCGCGCCATAAACCGAACCATGGCCCTCAATCCGTCCGACGGCTTCGCCGCCGGCAACGGGGTGCTCGACCTGGACGACGTCGCGTTGCCCATGTTCATCGTCGAGCGAGTCCAGCTTCAGTTCTCCATCGCCGCCGACTTCGTCGCCGCGCAGGTAGCGAACAACGTCCTCGTCCTGGCGCTCTCCAACGGACGCATCCTGCGTATCGATTTGAACAGACCTGAAGACATCGATGGTGCGTCATGCAACAGTGTGATTCGTGTGCTCGCAGGCAGCAGGCTAACTCTCGACGACAGACATCGATCTCCCCAAGAAACCCTCGGAAATCGGCGTCATTCGCCGCATGTTCCTCGATCCGACGGCCTCGCATCTCCTCATCTGCACGGCGCTCGGCGAGAACTACTACCTCCACTCCCAACACAAGCATCCCAGGGCGCTCGCCCGCCTCCGAGGCGTCTCGATTGAAAGCGTCGCCTGGAACCCTTCGCTGCCGACCGCCTCGACCCGCGAGATCCTCCTCGGTGCCTCGGACGGCAACATCTACGAAGCCTTCATCGAGACGACGTCGGAGTTTTACAAAAAGGACATTAAGCTCAAGAACCTACACAAGCTACCCGATGGGCCGATCACGGGTCTTTGGGCCGACACGCTCCCCGGCCGGGCAGACATGCGGCGAGTGCTGATTGCAACGCAAAGCCGGCTCTTCTATCTGGCTGGCAAGGTCGGCAGCGGCCACGACAGCGGTGGATCGATCTATACGAAACTGTTCGAGTCAGAACAACCCACGATCCACGAGCTATCGCGCTCCTCCGGCGCAGCGGCATCGGCGCTGGTGGTCTCGCCGGACCCTCCCGACCAGAACCCGTATGAGGATGAGACGCGTGAGAGAGCTTACGCGTGGTTGTCCGCGCAAGGCGTCTTCCACGGGCAGCTTGCCGCTAATGCGGAAGGCAGCAAGATTTTCAGCGAGTCTAGCCTGTTGCCTCGTTCGCAGCTCGGCTCGTCTGACGGGCCAGGCAGACGCAATACCACGGCAGACTTCATTGAGGCGATTGCGTTGACGCAGTGGCACATTGTCAACCTCATTGGCGGCCGCGTGGTCGCCACGAATCGTCTGACCGGTGAGGTCGTATATGACCAGACTGTCTTGGAGCCGGGGCAAAAAGCACTGAGCTTGTGTGTCGATATACAGAAGAACACCTTCTGGATGTTCACAGGGCAGGAGATCTTTGAGGTCGTTGTGAACGAGGAGGATCGCAACATCTGGCAGATCATGCTCAAGCTGCAGCAGTTCGATGCCGCGTTGCAGCATGCGAAGACACCCCTTCAAAGGGAAACGGTAGCCACCGCCTATGGTGACCACCTGGTGAAGAAGCGTCAGTTCATGGACGCGGCCGCGGTTTATGGACGCAGCAACAAGCCATTCGAAGAGGTCGCTCTTACGTTCATCGATTACGCTGAGCCTGATGCGTTGCGAAAGTACCTCTTGGCCAAATTGGCCACTTTGAAGAAGGCAGCAATTATGCAAAGAATCATGATTGCAAGCTGGTTGGTGGAGATCTTCATGGCCAAGCTTAACTCGTTGGACGACACGATCATCACCCAAGCCGAGCTGGCGGACGGCCTCAACCCAGCACAATCGAGAGAACAGCTCCGAGCTGTCCAGAGCGAATTCCAAGAGTTCGTCAATAAGTACAAGACGGACCTCGACCGCCGAACAGCATACGATGTTATCAGCAGTCACGGCCGCGAGCAGGAGCTTCTCTACTTCGCCAACGCTGTCAACGACTATAACTATGTGTTGTCGTACTGGGTCCAACGCGAGAGGTGGGATGAGGTACTGAAGGTTCTCAAGAAGCAGACCGACCCTGAGGTGTTCTACCGGTACAGCACGGTGCTTATGACGCACGTCGCTACGGAGCTAGTCGAAATTCTCATGCGGCATTCGGACCTCAAGCCCCGGAAGCTGATCCCGGCGCTTCTCGAGTACAACCGCAACTTCGAGGGCAGCTTGCTGCAGAACCAAGCCATTCGGTACCTGCAATATGTCATCATTCAGCTCAATTCCAAGGACTCCGCGGTTCACAACACGCTAATTTCGATTTACGCATCCCATCAGTCTAAGGACGAGGCGGGCTTGCTGTCATATCTCGAGTCCCAGGGGCCTGAGCCAAATTACGATCCGGACTTCGCCCTCCGTCTGTGCATTCAGCACCACCGGACGCTTTCTTGCGTCCACATCTACACCAGCATGGGCCAGTACCTGCAGGCCGTTGACCTGGCGCTGTCGCACAACGAGGTCGACTTGGCGTCGGTCATCGCAGACAGGCCGATGAATGACCCGCCTTTGCGGAAGAAGCTGTGGCTCGCCGTGGCCAGGAAAGTAATTTCGCAGTCGAACGGCATCAAGACGGCGATTGACTTCCTCAAGCGGTGCGAGCTGCTCAAAATCGAGGATCTCATTCCCTTCTTCCCTGACTTCGTAGTCATTGATGATTTCAAGGAGGAGATTTGTACTGCGCTGGAGGACTACAGTCGCAATATTGATGGGTTGAAGAAGGAGATGGACGAGTCATCCCAAACGGCGACTAACATCAAGATTGACATTGCCGCGCTCGACCACCGGTATGCTATCGTCGAGCCGGGAGAGAAGTGCTACGTCTGCGGGCTGCCGCTGCTCAGCCGGCAGTTTTTCGTTTTCCCCTGCCAGCACTCCTTCCACTCTGACTGTCTGGGCAAGAGAGTGCTCGAACAGGCTGGCGTGGGTACGAGCAAGAGGATCCGGGAGCTCCAGGTACAGATTAGCAAGGGCCTGGTCAGCGGGACCAGGAGGGAAGCTATGATCACCGAGTTGGATTCGTTGGTGGCGTCTGCATGGTAAGTTATCTCCCGATGCATTGGCTTTGGTCCGTCACTAACGTTGAGCAGTATTCTTTGCAGCGAGTTCGCCATTAAGAGGATTAATGAGCCGTTTGTGACGCCGCAGGATAACCTGAACGAATGGAGGATCTAGATGGGACCTTATTAAATGCATATTATCTGTAAATGTATGGTACCCCTTGCATGAGCAGGCGCGTAACGGCTGCAATACCCGGCGTTGAATTCACGTTCGTCTTCCACGACATGTCGTCTATACATTAAGTGTCCAATAAATTTCCATCCCTTTCGTCTGCAGACGTGTCCTCAGTCATTAATGATGGCATCCCTTTCCTACCGATCACGCGGCCTCTCAAAAGGTGCAGCCTCTCAAAAGGTGCAGTCCGGCACCGCGTTTGACACCAACATGATAGCAATGATGGTGCCGTACAGGCCGAGCACCTCGGCGAAGATGAGGATCAGAATCATGCCGACGTAGAGACGAGGCTGCTGGGTGCTCGCCCTCACTAGTACCGTCAGTCACCCATTGCCGAACTGAGTGAGTAAGGAGAAACAGAAAACAGCAACCAAAAAGAACAGTCTCACCTCCCGAGTCCCCAATAACCCCGATAGCGAACCCGGCCGCGAGCCCGCACAGCCCGACGCTGGTACCCGCGGCGAGGAAGAGGAACCCGTTGTGCAGCGCGAGCCCCCTCTTGTCGAGGCGGCCGGAGATGATGACGGCGACGACGAGGCCGTAGATGGAGAGGATCTGGGCCATGATGGGGCAGATGACGTTCTGCATGAGGCGCTCCGGGCGGAGGACGCCGGCGTGGAAGATGGCGACGGAGGACTTTGCGGTGCCGTAGGCGGCGCCGAAGACGGTTAGGACGATGGCGGAGGCGCAGCCCATCGCGCCGAAGAAGGACTGTGTGGGTTTTGTGAGTGGGATGGTTTTCTCTCGCCATCTTGAGAGATTCTTCTACGGCTCTCATGGGTGTTGGGGACTTACGGAGTAGACTGGGCTGGGCGAGGAGGGTTAGTTGATGTCGTCTCACTGTGAAGTCATCACGTACCAGCTCTCCAGCGCGACGAAGTCGATGGTATCCATGTTGGTCATACCGAACAGCGATTCTCACGATGGTTGTGTATTGCGATGTCGTTCAAGTCACAAGTTGTAGGTTTGAGAAGAGGTGAGTGAGGATAGGATAGCTTACGGTCACACGTCATTCTCACTCACGCCCTCTATCTATCTATCTTTTTTTCTATAGTACGACGAGCTCATTGGAGGCCTGCTGATGTCGGTTTGCGGCACCGCATTTGACGTCGATTGGTTCGCCCATTTGGCTGCCTAAATGCATGCGCCGTAGGGCTGTCGAGCTTGTTTTGTCGTTCGAGGTACGGAGGATGGATGAGGCGTGGCGGGCGCCCAATGAGACAAGCAGATAGCGACCACACATCTGCCTGGTAGGGAACTCGGTTTCTTTTGCAATTAACTAATTGATCTCAAGGGAAATCCACGGAACGTTTCGGTAGAGGAAGAGATATCACGATGTTGAGATGCCTTGCAAACTCTCTTATCAACACCGTTTTTTCACCGTGTGAGACGCATCCTGACTGTTGAGTATGAAGTTTGAAGACTACATCAAGAGCTCGTCGAACGGCGTAATCCAGACCCGAAGCTTATTCTGAGCGACGGCTGCAGCTGCGTAGTACGCGTGGCTTACATGCCGCTTGGTTCGATGTGCTGCAGAGAGGTCTTGGAGCGCTGCGTTGATTGGTTCGTGGAGGCGACGGTGGTGAGGTGGTTGCTTCGAGTCCGAGTCGGAGGTCTGGTCCGGGTCACGGGAGAGCGAGGATAATCCGGAGTCGACCCGTGCCGATGCTCACGTGACTGAGGTGTATTCGATGCACGGACCACAACATAGAAGCTGTGTTGATTCTGAGAAATCCTCCTTTCTGTCCATTGTCATTGGAGATCTCCTGCAGGAGACCCTTCGCGTTCTCTGGGGCAGTTAAACCAAACGGCCGATGAGTCAGGGGCTTGCACAAAGTGCGACGATGCTTAATCGCCGTGGACGGCGAATGCAACCGCGGCCGTACGATGTGGGTTGTCTCCTCAATTTTAATCACATTCTTCTTTTTCTCTCCTCCGCTTTTGCCCACATCGTTCTTTGTCGGGTCATCAAAATACGAACGCGATAACACGAGAAGAGGTCCCGCGAAAGAGATTGATGAGGCCAAGAGGTCCTGCCTCGTCATCACCGGCCATCAACCATGATCCATCATCCATTGCGCCCCCCCGTCTGTGAGCTGTCGCCTTCTTCTTTTCTGGCGGTAGCGCCGGGAGTTTTTGGGGGGAAGGGAAGGCTTCATTGGGGCCCGGACGACGCCACATCCCGGCCGTCGGATCTCGGCATCGGGGATGGGGGGCGGAATGGGGCTTGGAAGGGGTTTGGACGAAGGTAAACTGGTGGATGATGACGGGCCTCTTCCGCTTTTGTCGTGTGCTGTCTCTTTTTTTCGCTTTCTTTTTTCTTCATCGGTCCTTCCGGGCTGCGTGGCGATGGGGGCGGGCGACAAGTCGGCTCCGTCGGCCTGCGAACACAACACATTCGACCGACCGACCGACACGAACACTTCGAGGCTCAATGGTGTCTCGGTGTGTTGCGCAATCCATGAGCGCAAGTCTGACGGGAGGAAAGAGGAAATACTACGCTTTCCGACGTCCGCAGCGCGGCGAACGGGATCTGGCGCAGGCCATCGAGACTGACGTGACGTTGGTGCGGCTCTGGCGGCACCTAGTGAGAAATGTGTGTGTGAGTGTGTGTGTCACCAATTTTGGTTGGTTACAGTCATTTCATCGTCGTCGTCGTCAACTGTCGTTCGTAAGCGTGCATCTTCGAGATGATCTGCTGGTCCTCTGATGATACTACCACGGATGCGGTGTGGTCCAGCTCCTTGGGACATTTCGGGGGTTTAACGCAGATGCGAATGCAGCTAGGGGACATGATTCTGCGTGGTGTCGTTGGTTCCAGAGCTGTCTGATGTTCCCGCGTAGCCGTGTCAGATGTCGCTCCCTCCCTCCAGAGTCCAGTCGTGGTGGTGTCCCTTTTCCCACCCCTTGGTGCGTCTTGTTTCACCATCCCTGTCACCTGGCACACGCCCGCACACCCGACAGGCTGACAGTGTTGTCTTCTCTTTCCATCTTCGAATCGAATCTGTCTCCCGTCCCCTGACTGCAGCAGAATTTCTGCATCGGAAAGAAAGACACAAGCAGCACCTCAGTGACAGATCATCTCGCTGCTTCTGCCCAGCCCGTTGGCCTCCCACTTTACTGAGCGGTTCGACCAGCACCGTAGCACGGCCACGCGTCTGCTCCGCCTGACAGGTGTACTGTAGTAGTACGGGCATCACGAGTCTTGAGGTGATTGGACACGAACTCGAGTCTTCGAGAAGGGTTGACGCCGGGGTCGTCCCGGCCGTGAAGCCGTAACCTTTCGGCCTTTCCCCTGCGTATCGTTGGACTCTGGAGTCTGCCACCAATTTCATGGCTCCAATCTCGCTGTACAGCATCAAGAGAACCAATCGACGTCCCGTCTCTTGACTGGCTTCCCGCTGTAAACGTGACTAAGGTGGATGCGCATCGCACAGTCTTTCTTTGGAGCATGTCTCTCGCTTCAACAGGTGATTCCCGGTCTTCTTCCTCGCTCGTCCGTCCCAACCGCGTCCGAAGAGCAAAGCCACAGCCCCCCCGGACCATGTCCATGTCCACGCACACACACCCGTGGGACTCACCGTCCCAATGGGCCCCGCTGAGCATGACGACGATGGACGAGTCTGCGACTGTGTGAGACCTTTCGGGCCAACGCTGCTGCGCTTGGCAGTGTCAGTTCCCGCCTTGTCGCATGGCCCATCGTGCCCGTTTCTATTCCAAGAACACCTTCCACCCTCCTCTCCTCCCACCCCCGAAATTTTGACTTTTGATACGTACTTTAGAGAGCTCATGGCCGCTCGCTGCATCCTGCATCTCATGTACGAACCCTCCTCTGCCTGCACGCTGCTCCGTCCGCCTGGTTCCCGTCGACACACACAACAATAACGTTCTTTCGTTGTTTCTCTGCTTACACTAGCCTAGCCGGACTTACTCATCCTCTCGCTTGGGGGATTACACACGAGTCGCGAAAATCTTGTAAAATATCACACGAGTCCGGCGCGCGCGTGTGTGTGGTTCACGGTCTGTGGTTTCTGTAGAGCGAAGCGGTCTTCTTCTTTTCCCTCCTTCCCGCTCTTTAGTTTGGGTCGGTGCCAGTTCGCCCCCCCCCCCTTATTACCAACACGACCAAGCCGCCTTTTCCATCAGCAGCATCGCACACGCAGCTCCGCCACCATCGTGGGTGACGAATCCCCTCCCCACCCCCGTGTGCCGGTCCCGCGCGCCCGATCCGAACGCCGAATATTGCATTCGCAGTCTTCTATTTCTCCTAGTGCTCCCGTGTCAATGACTTCATAACACGAACCGCCACTACGTTCTTTTTCTGTTATATACCACCCGGCAATCCCTCCCCGCGGTCGACTTGGATATCGGGATTCTTAATCAGCCCTACGGAAACAAAAGAACGTATACGATAGAGTACACGAGACGGAAAGAAAATGAGATCAACAACATTAATCGCCCTGGCGGCTTCGCTGCTGCCGACGGAGGGATTTGTTTTGAGGAAGAGCGAGAATAGTGCGCCCAGGGTAGTGGGCTTGGATTTGCACAGAGAGACGATACCCTACACGAAAAACAAGAGGGATATGCTGAGGAGGAGAGGGTCGGTGCAAGCTACGTTGGATAATTTGGTAGGCAAGCTTTCGATCTACGAACGGAACCAAAACTAACACAGGCAGGAAACACTTTACTTCGTTAATAGTTCTCTTGGAACACCCTCACAACCGATGAGATTTCACTTGGACACCGGAAGCAGTGATCTCTGGGTCAACACCGCCAGCTCAACTCTCTGCAAGGGAACCGGTTCACCATGTTCCGTCTCCGGCACCTACGCCGCCAACTCGTCCTCGACATACAACTACGTCGGCAGCTGGTTTAACATCTCCTACGTCGACGGCTCCGGAGCTTCGGGTGACTACGTCACCGACACCTTCTCCATTGGCAAGTCCACAATAACCGACTTCCAGTTCGGCATCGGCTACACGAGCTCCTCCGCGCAGGGCATTCTGGGTGTAGGATACCGGGTCAACGAGGTGCAGGTCGGACGCGCGGGTCTCGACCCCTACGACAATCTCCCCGCTAAGATGGTCGCCGAGGGCCTGATCCAGTCGAACGCCTTCAGTCTGTACCTCAACGACCTCCAGGCCAGCACGGGCAACATCCTCTTCGGAGGAGTCGACGCCGACCACTACGAGGGCGAGCTCAAGACGATCCCCATCCAGAAGCAGTCCGACGTCTACTCCGAGTTCCTTATCACCCTGACAAAGGTCACCCTCGGCTCCAAGACGCTCAACGAGAACATGGCCCTCGCCGTCCTCCTCGACTCCGGCTCTTCCCTCACCTACCTCCCCGACGACATGGTCACGACAATCTTCTCCATGGTCGGCGCCGTCTACCAGCAGGACGAGGGCGTCGCCTTCATCCCCTGCTCCGCCGCCAACTCGGGCAACATGACCTTCACCTTCTCCGACCCCGTCATCACCGTGCCCATGAACGAGCTCGTCCTTGACCTCATCCCCATCACCGGCAAGCGCATCGCCTTCTCCAACGGCGTCGACGCCTGCCTCTTCGGCATCGCCCCAGCCGGCGACGGCACAAACGTCCTCGGCGACACCTTCCTCAGGTCCGCCTACGTCGTCTACGACCTCGACAACAACGAGATCTCCCTCGCCCAGACAAAGTACAACGCCACCAGCTCCAACGTCCTCGAGATCGGCAAGGGCTCCGGCTCCGTCCCCTCCGCCGTGGCCGTGGCGAACCCCGTCGCGGCCACCGCCGGCCTCGTCCGCGGCGGAGGCAGCAGTTCCGCACCGTCTCTGGGTCCCGTGGCCGCTTCGCTCTTTGCTGCCGGCGCCGCATTCGTCACCGGAGCCTGCCTCCTGTTTTGAGCAATTTGTTTGAGAGATTTTTTCATGCGTCACGAATTATACCGCATTGCGAAGGCGTTTTTTTTTATTATTATTAGGCATAGCTGTGCATCCAGCAAGGCGTTTTTGGGGCAGTCACCTTTTTGCACAGCACTCATTCCTTTGGAGGGGTATGGGGCAGATCACATCCACAAATTCATCACACACACCTACAAACACGCACAAAAAAGGATGAGACGGGCGACATATGCCAGTTTAGATACCTAGAGCCAAATGATTGGCTAATTCACAATGAAGCTTTCCGCTTTCACAATCACCGCTGCAACCCCCGTCTGTTCATTTCATGACTCTATTCTTGATGACCTCGTGTTTCTGATCTAACCCGTTTCCAAAAGCACCTTGCTCTTTCGTCTGATGATGATGACTCTCCTCCGAAAAGACTAAAAAAAGGGTAGTCCCAAACGGGATCCGGTTCCAGCTGCTGCGTCGGGACCCCCCACGGAGGGCTGACCCCTGGAGGATTCGCGCGTGGAAGCGGTGAGTGCCAAGAGATTTTCCTTGATCTGCCAAGAGGTTGTATGTTTCTGGATGTCTTCATGCGTTTGAGCCTCATCTTTTCTCCCCCCTCTGTTCCTCTGAAGAAAAGGGGTTTGCCCGTTTCTTCTTTTTGAGGTCACGATGGGCCTGGAAAAGATGGGTTCTCGGACCGGATGAGACGACGTCCGGTAATGCGTCGATGCTTCTCTTCCCCGCATCTCACGAACAATGTAGACTCGGAGGTCATGTGTCTGTCTCCTCAGACAAGACCCGGATCCTCCTCGGCGGCCGCCGCCGCGTCGACCGGTGGGGTCTCCGGGGCCGGGATCCACTTCCGGATGACATCCTCGACGTACGCCGCCGGGAGTCCGAATTGGGCGGCGGCTTCCTGGACGCCGCGGTTCATGCGGAAGACGTACTCCGGCCAGGGCTGCGAGTGTTCGGTCCGGAGGCGGTCGATGTAGACGAGGGCGTTAACCGACTTCGTCTTCCTGAGCACCGGGCCAGCGGCGGTCTTCGGTGCACTGTTGCCTCCGAGGGCGGGCTCGGGGAGGCTGGCCTCCAGCACGTCGACGAGCATGTACTCTTTGGTATAGGCATCTGGAACTCCCTCGTAGCCGTCGAGGACGGCTTCGTCGTCGGGGTCGAGGGCGTAGAGGACGCCGTAGACGCCCGGGTCGTCCGAACCCGGGGCCGAGGTGGTCGGGTTCTGGACGACGTTGGCGTAGCGGCGGGTGCTGATTATGAAGGTGTAACCTGGGAGGTGGGCGAGGCCGAGGGGCGGGGAGGAGGGGCAGCGGTCTGTCATCTGGGTCGGGGAGAGGTTTGAGCCGTAGGCGAAGTAGAGGGTCGTGTTTGTGGTGGACATTGCTGCTGCAATTTGATTGCTAGGTTTGGCTATGGTTTTTGGATGTTTATTGATGGGTGCGTAGGCTGGCGAAAGTGATGATTAGAAACGGCTGCTCTTGATGTTGAGGTGGAACCTGGTTTTTGGGGTAGTGCATTTGAGATGATGCGAGGTTGATGGTGAGGTTTTTGTAAGTTGAAGTGGGTGAGGTGCATGCAGGTGAAGTCTGATGACTCAGGGCGCATTTTCTTTGGTTGTTTTGCAAGCAGGTGCCAAAGTTGCCATTTGTAATATGTCGTGCAACAGCTGCAGCAGCGACAGGTTTCTCTCGCCTTCCTGTTGAGACATGGCTTCCATTCCCTCTTGGGGTTCTGGCTTCGTTTGAATATTAAATCATAGTTTCAAAACATTTCCGTTGATGATTGATGGCTCCAACAGACTGTGGCTTCATTCTCTGAAAAAGCCAAACCGATTCACTCAACTCTGTTCCCATAGTTCCTACGTGGTAATAATGACACTTGAGTTCATGCTGTTGCTCAAGAAAATCAAGCACCAAGTAACAGCCGCGGCATAATCGACAGTAAAAGCCCACCATAATTTGAGAACAGAATGTTCATTTCCAATATTGTCGCTCCTCTCGCCGATGCTAACCTGGGATCGTGCCCATAAACAAATGAACAAATAACCAACAGCTGCTCGCCTTCGGGCTAGATTATGCTTTTATACACGATACCTTGATCCGCCATTTTGATCCCTCCTGAATAGCTCGAAAATGTGTTCCATGTGCTTTGCTTCAGCATTACCCAACTGTGTAGTCTCATTATCGAGGTCTTCCTGCCACCCACACACCGTCCTTTTCACCTCGTCCCAAATGGCGTTGCTCCTCAGCCGCGCATTCCTGTTTAAGATCTCGTGGTTTTCTCCAGAGTGAATATGTTGACGACTCCATATACCCCGGTCAAGATGGAACATCTGCTTCAGAAGATTCGTGACAGCCTCGACGTCTTCGGCCCTGAGGCCATGTGTCGGCCTCCTCACGTTCACATTATCTTGTAGCTCGACTTCGGTCCGGATCGGGCTGTAGTATTTCTGCAACTTTTTCTCAAAGTTTGCGAAGCTCATGAACTGCACGCCGTCGTCGGATTCGCTGAGAACGCTTGAGACCCTGATTCGTTTTGGTTGGTCGCGCAACTTAAACTCGCCGGAGAGCAGCCAGAGGATGACGAAGAAGAGCACGATTCCGGAAGTCACTCCGAAGACGATCTTCTCGGTAGCCCTGTCTCCGGTGGTCGCCTTTCCGACGTTCTCGATGAAGGTAGTGTTTTCGGGATATTGTGCTACTATTGAGTCGTTCTTGGCGTATGGTATCGCGACGAGGTTGGGAGGAAGCCATGCTATGCCCCATTCTACGGTGCTAAGGTTCATCAACTCGAGCTGTTTGGTGGCGTTCCGGGTGTAGTAGTTGTGACCTTTCCAGGAGTCCATCTTGAGCTGAGAATGAGAGAAACGATGGCGATGTTGCAGACACCAAAAATGACAGAAGGTCACGTCTGAACGACGTTGGAGCAAAACAAGATAGAACGACCACGCAACCGCTAAGAAGATCTGATCTCTGGAGAGCGGGACGGGAGAAAGCTTGTCTACGCATGCCACAGGCTTTCTTAGCCCATATGGAAGAGCAAGATTTCCGTAGGCGCAATGAACATCTTTCCGCTCACCCGAGCTAGGCGCTGCCTGTGGCGATGATCCCAGGATTACCAGGATACTAAGGCTACACTGCATGTTCTTCGGTGAGTCAGAAGTGATGAGGCTCTGAGGCCCCCTAACCATCAAGTGCGCCTCGGACACCATAGACAACTCATGCTCGTGCAGAAACGCCTCACTTTAGAATGTCACTTCTCATCACACGTTTTTGCACTTTAGCCTGACAACGGGGAGTCTTCTCCGTGGCAGGATTACACAGGGGTCATCTGCAGCTCAAACGCATATCTAGGAATACATGCACAGCGTAAGCAGTCCAATCCAATATGTTTATCATTTTCAGCCGCTTCAGCCGCCCTAATTCGGGAGATCTTTAGAAATCAACTAGGAAATGTAAAAAGAGACTGCAATCTACCTGCAGGCAGTGTGTGTATGACAGCGTGTCCCCGAGCCGCAGCCTGATTTCTTCGCAGCCTGCTGCGCTACCGCCACCCCACCTCCATCTCTCATATGCTGCTTGTTCAGATGTCACATTAACTAGCGAAAAAGATTTTTAGATCACGTCCAACCAGTTGAGCTTCGTTCGAATCGCCCAAAAACAACTCAGCCCGCCCGCCCTGCTGAGTGACCCGAATGACGACGCGCATTTCCACCTCACGGTACGAGACCTGCTGTGAACTCGGAATTACACCGCGTCGTTGGATCTTCTGGCCCGGCCTCCGCGTGATGCCGTCTTGGTCAAGCATGTTGGCTAGATCGTAATCAAGATTGATTTCGTCGAGACGCCCGGGGTTGGCTGCAAAAGTTCGTGTTAGCTGGTGAGATCTGGCTGATCAGAATGAAGGTTTACTCACAGCCGGTGCTCAGTCTCTCTGAACCAAAGATGTGCTGCTCATTAGGCCGAATATCGTCGCTTGAGATAACCACAGTGACACGGCCCGTTCCGTCGCCGTCGCGAATGAACTTTCGGTGCACATGAACAGTCTCTCTGATACCGGACTTCGAGTCGACGAGGTCTCCTTTGTGAACGACCCAGTCAATTTTTCTGCCTCTCTGGATACCATCCAGTGTGTCTCGGTATCTCTGGGTCGTGTCATGTTCGACTTCGCTAAATCGTGTCGATCCGAAAACACCAATGTTCACAGGGCATTGAAGCTGCGCCGGCGGCAAATCACACCTGGCTCCAAGCCCCATGAGAACCGCACCTTGGGCTACAGCTGTCCACCGATCGCCATCGCAGTGAAATTGACAGCCTCTCTTGTCGGCAAAAGCCTTGACTCGTTTTCGGAGGTACTCGCTCTCTGAAAATCCACCAGAGAGAAAGATTGCCCTTGCCGTGTAATTCTGCGCACTAATCTGAGCGAGCTGGTGTCTGATGAGTTCGAGAGTCCCTTCAACTGGCTCGTGGAACATTTCTTCGAGGTCGTCGCTGTGCCTGTTAGCAGGTATGCCTTGTCCGTCTGAGTATAGTACTATAAGTCTATGAGACTTACCAGGTTATGGATAGCCGGCCATGTTCAATGCCATTATGTGGGTCATGTAGCTCTGCCAGTTGTTCGGGGAGAAAGAGAAACTGCACTGGAGGCTCGCTGTCGTCGTCTGGGAAGCCGGCGAATGTCTGCTTGATGGGCCCATCGAACGACTCCAATAATTCCCTTTGTGCGCCTCTCCAGGCTCGAGAACGGCCTTGGTTGAAGCTATCCCCCTTGATGATGGTCCAGTTTACCTCACCAAGACGTCGGCGGAGGAACTTTTCAATGAAGTAGTCATCGATGAGAGTAGCACCGCATTTGGCGCCTGATGATTGTCAGCACTTGGAAATAGACCCAGTAATCACCATCCGCTGTGAAGGGAGCCAAACCTGATGCCATTGTGATTTTTGAGACTCTGAAGCTTGGTAATAGTTCTTCGACCTTGTACGAGACCAGATCCTTGAATCGTAAGGTGTTTAGCCAGCCAGCCGCTCCTGTTTGGGGTTCTCGTTTACTTACGACAGTACCGCCACCGGCATCTACGACTACAAAGCAGTCACCCTAGCACAGCTTGTCAGCTTCGGTGTTTTTGCAAGACCTGGAAAGCTTGTCGAACCTTTCTGAGACTAGATAGACCCTGCTTCCTGACATTGTGCATGGTATATTGAGCACATGCTTCAGGCTCAGTTGCCAGACGAACGCATCCGTGGTTCGTCGCCATCTCGTGGAACTCATACCGAAACGCGTTATTCACCGCTCTGAATGTGATGTTCTTGGCTCGGCTATGCCAAATTGCTGGGTGGGTGATCACAAGGTCGATAGGCCATTCGGCCAGGTTGTCAGCGATTCTCTTTGCCTCGATGTCGCTTCGAACATATTTTGCGACCTCTTTGAGGTAGTCCGTCATGATCTGTTCCGGTGAGTTTGTCAGATTTTGCGGGACCTCGCTGTCTACGACGTTCTTCCTGCTGTTGATCTGTAGGCTGTTGGAGTTGCTGGCATTGTCGAGCGTGTCTCGCAGAACCCGCAGAGCGTCAAGCAGATTGGGCGGTTCCAGTTCAAGCTTCGTCAACTGGATAACGAACGCCTCCGGGCTTATACCATATCCCCACTTTCGCCCTGGACACTCGGTGTAGGTGAATTTCGAAGGCACCTTGGCTTGCACGGCGCCTTCCCAGCTGTCCACAACCTCGATCTTCTCCAGCATCGGGTCAGCTCCAGTGGTGAGTGTCCAAGCAACTCCTAAATAGTGTTAGTTCTGATTTAAAAAGAGGAAGATGCGCTGTTACCGGTGTAAGTAGTTCCATAGTCGATGCTGATGATGAACCGGGGCGAACCGCCTTCCTGGGCCCTCGGAGTCGGGTAATCGCGATCAAAGCTCATCGTGAAAGCTCGAGGGTGTCTTGATTGTTCATTCAAGAAGGTGCCAATATTCAATTTGGAAAGTCATAATGAATCTAATACCAAATCATGCCTATCGGTTGAGGGTGATCCAACGGGGTTTCGAGAGGGGTGGATATGCACTTTTGGAGGGTGTCGACTTATTGCAGCTGTTGCTGACATGGATGTCTGCGCCACGATATGCAGGCTACTGGCCAAGAAAAAAGAGGTATACCTGCAATGGAAATGTATTATTTCATGGTGTGGCCACTTCCTGAAGTTCCCATAGCAAGCCTTGAACTTTCAGAATGCGCTGTCACGCCTCACTGCCGATCACGTTACGAGGCTCCTTCTAGCATTCTTGTGGCATGACCAAGGGGCACGCCTCGGCAACGACAATCCCGTCTCCTCGAAAATTGTTCAAGCCTTCTGTTCTTCCCGCTCAGATAATCGAATCCCGCAGACCGTCCCTGCATGTAGTTCTGTCAGCCATCCCAGGAGACAGGGCAATACTGGTATTCCTTGCACCATGGGCCACACCGATCGAGAGAATACTGATCCAATGTCTGAGTTCTTAACGAATCTCAAGGATGAATTCAAGCTTTTGTTTTGCGTCCCCCGGAGGAAGAAAAGATATCGCCATCAGACTCGTCGAAGTGACACTGATGAAGACGCCCGGTCGTCAACGAGGGAGCACTCACCCGAACGCTCTTCTCACCAAACCCCAGACGACACCGCTTTGCAGCCAGGTGACGACCAAGGCTTCGAACAGACTCGAGAAACTGAGCGCAGGGAGGCAGCACTCCATGAAGAGCACAGAAAGCCTAGTTGCACGACTAGAAAGCCAACTGCCGCCTCGACCTTGGCTTCGGGGCCTCCATCTCGATCGCAAGGGACGGGCCTTACTGAGAGCTTCTACCAGGACAATGGTAGGGGAGTTTCAAAGCCTCTACGAATGTCAAGTTTGAACAACAGACCAGCGGCTCAAGAACACGGCGGTCCAGAGACAGAGCTAAGACCACCGATTCCCCCGAAACACGGTCTTTTAGACGGGAGCGAACACGCAGAGTCTTCAACGAGCTATCGATACCAGCGCATGAGCTTTGACATTCGTCATGATGACGAACAGACGCAACATCAAGAAAGGCATGCGAAGAGTCCCGTTGACAGCAGAGACGCTTATGCGGCTTCTTTCAACGTTCCCGCGACTTTGATACATCATCACGTCTCGGAAGATGGCCCACTAGAATATGGTTATGATTTGAACCGCACACAGGAACCAGAGATCTCCTCTGATGCTCATGTTGGCCAATCGGACCCAATGGGTGGGGCTTGGAGAGACTTCCCAGCTGTACAAGGCCCCTTGCCGATTTACAGCGACGCGAACGATATCTACACAGAGCAATATCTCAACATGGAACAAGAGCTTCAAAGGAAAGACAAGGAGCTCCAGTGGGCATTAAGGTGCCACGAAAAAGAGCGCAACTCTTATCAGGGGCGGATTGAAGGCCTCGAGAGAGCGCTGAGAGCAGAAGAAAGGCAAGGACGACAACTAGAGCGCCGCCCAAAGCTGAAGCGAGACAGAGCCCTCGCAGAACAGAAATCTCGCATCACTACCCTAGAAGCTCAAAACAGCAAATACAAGGGTGAGATCTCACGTATAATTCAAGCAGAGAAGAGCCTACAGCGAGACTATGACCATAAGGCCAACGAGAATGGCATTCTAGACAGAAGACTGCAGAAAGCTCTCCACGAGGCAGGTCTCAGAAATGAAGAGATTCAAAACCTGCGATCAATATTACAATCTACGCAGGTGGACTTGGAAAGAACGCGAAAACATGTCCAAGATGTACAGCGAGACATACAACAAGTCAAGCTCGCCTACGATCAAGAGATTCGCTTAGGCACTCAGCGACAAGAAGAGCATAGTGACAAGATCAAGGCTTTGGAGAAAAGACATCTTGAGGACACGAGCACTTCTGCGATTCAGCACGCGGCCGAGATGGAGATTTTAAAGGAGGAGAATACCAAGCAGCTATCGCAAGCTAAGACTGATCACGACGAGCGTACCAAGGACCTATCGAACAAACTGGCCCTCAAAGAATTACGGATTGCGGCCTTCAGCTCGAGTGGCAACTACAAGCCAATCCATGATAACGGTTTTGGACAAGCATTGCAGAGGCTCTCTCAACAAGTAAAAAACTTGACGGCCTACGTTCCTACGACAAACCTCATCCCCGTGGACTCCAATATCGATCCGACAAAATACTTGGTCAGAAACCCAAACTCAAGCAGAGGTTGGCAGAACTTTGTAAGAAGCGTGTGCTGGAAAATCATCATTCGTGGCTTCTTCGCATACCAATTGGGGTTCGGGAGCCTCGGAAGCCATGGTGAAGGATTTCAGTCTTTGCTCATGTTCTACCAGCTTTTTGCGCGATCCGGCCGAAACAGTGAGTCATTCTTTCTGAAATATGGCGTTCTTCACTAACATTTGCCAGATGCAAATTCAAAGTCTCTGGTGTTTCCAACCAACAAGGAGACGAATTTTGGCCGAGCATGGTTCTTTGATGGTATCCTTCAAAGTGTACGATCTAACGCATCAGGAGATGGCTTCGCTTCAATGTTTCAGAAGAACGTCTCCTACGTTGCAATAGAGCTCGCAAATGCTCTTCAGCGCCTCAACAACGGCAGTCTAGTTCCTCAGGCAGAAATGCAAATCCAAAACCTGATGAGAGAGTTTGGAGAACTAGCTCTTCAAATGGGCTCACAGAGGGCTCAGGTCTTCTTGGAGGTTTGTGGACACGGAGATGTCATTTCAGCTGGCGAACGGTTCACAGAGGAAGCAGAAGCTAAGGGTATGGTCGAAGTAGATCTCATGATTCAGCCTGGTCTTGTCAGAATTGGGGACGGGAGAGAGGATCTTTCTTCGGAGGCCGTCATCGCTAAGGGAAGCATCGTTTCGCTCAAGGGTGTTTCAAACCAATGAACGAGAATAGATAGTCACGCGCGCATTGAATTTTATCAATGCAATTTTGCCGCAGTTGAATTTTGGGTGCTGTTGACGCTGTCTGTCAATACAGTTGTTGGATGCCGCTTTGCCGTGCACTCAGCACCTCGACAGAATCAAGGACCACAGGACTCAACGACAGTTGCATTCGTGTTTTAGGCTGCAGTAGCGTTTTTACACTTTGTTCGCACCGCCTCATTACTGGTTTCGGTGATGCCTGCAGGCTTAGGAGTCAAGATAGCCGCTTTTGCCGTCAGTCTAGACTCTTCGGGTAGAGATTCTCATCACGAGAACAGTTCGTCAGTCGGCTGAATTTACCTTAATGCGGGTGCAAGCTTTTTCTCAGCAATCTGCGGGATGAAAAGTTCTCCTTGCTCTGCCACACCCGTCAAGATCTGCAGTCAGGCAGGATCAGGACTCCAAGTTGGCAGCAGCCTCATTTTGAGGCCCATGTCCGTTGTGGATCTTACCCCCGGGCGCGCAATTGCGCAGATGCGACTTGAACGTCTTGATGCCTTGAATGCGACTATGTATTAATTCTTTGAGCGAATAAGATGTCAGAACACGGTGAGGACGGTTTGCTACATGCAGCCTGCTGAGCAGGCTGCATGTTCTGCTCCTCGAGCTGATTATGCTGGATTACATGATTTGGACACAGCAGCGAATTAAACTATTGGAATGCCCTCCATGTGCTGGAGGCTTTCAAGACATTGATTTGAAAGCAACACCATCTTCTCACAATGTAACCTCTCAAGTGCGCACAGGTTGCGTTGTCGCGGGCTTTCACACGGTTGGTTGCCTTATCTAGCATTTGTTTTCAGGGCTTGCTGATCCGCAGCCTGGCTTCGTATCACATATCATGGCATGATGAAATAGTAATTCCACTTCAGGGAACATGAAGTCACGGCTAAGAATACTCGGACAATCAGATGAGCCACCTCATGGACCTGCTCCAAGCAGAGCCGCATGCCATCCCTGAGGCAGCCGTCGTCGAATAAGCTCAGACTGCTGAGCACTTTGATACCAACCGTCTTACTTGTGATCAAACATACGCAGATCGAGCAAACCCCCAAAGTCGCAATCTTCGTTTCCTTTCCCGCGGCCTGACACGGTTTTGGTGAAGATCAAGACGGCATTCTGCATCTCTTCTTTGCGATGGCATCAACCACGTTTTGGAAGTTACCAGCGCAACAGCTACCAGCAATCGAGTTGCCCAGAGCAGTATTTGTTACTCTTTGGTTCTTTGGATGCTTGAGCTTCGCGACGTTCTTTCATCGGCTTTACCGGAGAGGCAATGTATGGCGAGGATTTGAGAGCATCATGACTGGGACGTTTCTACTCGTCTTGTGAGTAAATACTCAAATCTAATTTCTGAACATGTAAAGAAAGCCGGGGCTTTCCAAATCATTGTTGCTAACACTTTCGAATACAGTTGGTACTTCTTCGCACTTATTGATCGATGGCTTCACTACGACCGCCGACCTGCAGTCCTCGGCCTCATCGTGGCCGTAGCTCTTTGGGAGTTTCTGCGGGTGAGCTCCGCGATCTTCTTGGTCTGGGGCACATACAGGGTTGTCTGGAGAGACCTGGCGATACGCTTTCGTTCAGGGAAGGAGCAATCAGAAGAGCGATCTGACAACCCCAGGAGCAAAGATGACCGTTTTACAAGAGAGCACTGGTGGCTAGCTGCCCAGGTCGCCATTTTCATCGTTGGCTTAGTCTCCCTTTTCTACGTCGTCCTCAATCTTGCACTGGCGATCGTTTGGATGAAGTTTGTCAGTTTAAACACCATTGACGACATCGCGACGAAGAAGAACAACTTTGAGATCGCCACGGCGGTTTTTCTTGCAGTCTTCACCTGCTTCACTGTGTTTGCAGCTTGTTCGACGTTTTTCTTCCGGGCTAAAGAGCTGGAGGGAAAAGTACCCATGGTGAGTAAATACCAGACATCAGTAGTGAAAACATTGATCTAATAACCCCCTCCCTGCGACAGAATCGTCTCTTCTCCGTGCTTGGTGCTATTTTACTTTTTGTCAGATCCATCTTGGAGATTTCTTTGCTCGTACAAGAAAACAAGCAGACGGCCGACCTCGCTCGTGACATATCCTACGGGCTATTAACGTGTCTCTTTCTTGCCACCATGTGCTTCATGGCCTGGAAAACACAATCAGACATAAACGATATTTCACGGTTCATCGAGTCAGAAGTTCGCAGGATGATTGTCAAGAGACTCGAAGATCGTACAAGCCACGGAAGAAGCCAGTCGCCATCTTTTGCTCAGATTATAAGAGACACTAAGAGCAGTGACTTGGAAAGAATTGTCACGTCTGCTTGGGAGAACCAACGTAATAGTTTCAACGGCTCCAGAGAAGCTGCCAAGAAACTCGCAACGAGATACTTCGACGACCTCCAGAGCAAATTTGGGCATCTGGACCCTAAAACGGGAAACAACTTCGCAGGCCGACGGGAGTCGAAGGTACCAAGCCTCTCCAATCGTTCCTCTCAAACCGCCCAGCATCCTATCTCGAATCTTCAGCCACCAAAACCTAGCCCACGGAGAACATTGACTAGAAATAATCGACCATCTCAGAATATTAGACCTAGCAGCTCAACTCAAGGCCCCGTGCCGCCTATTCATAGGTACAACCCCCCTCCTATCCGGCAACATCCAGTGACTGGGCGGAGAGAAGAGCGGGACGACAGTTTTGACCTGCGTTCGTCGTACTCGCAGTCAACAAGCGGTAGGAATGGAACTGCGAGACGAAACATAACGGATCCCATTCCCCATATTACACCTCGTCCTCCCGTTGGTTTTGCCCCTAGAACCAGATACGCATCGTCGCCGACTGCTACCATGGAAGCTTCGTCGATCGCCGCCGAGCTGGACAACAATTTTTCGAGACCGAGACGCGCTGAACTGCCACGTACCTCTCATATGGCCGCTTCTCAGCTGCACTCTGATCCTCCAACCGATTCACAGCCAGTTGAGGTCCCTGCAGCGCACAGTTTTCCATCGGAGCTCAACTCAAGACAGTCGCGGGCTCAAGGATTGGCTCGCACGAGTCAACCGGAACTAGAGATGAATTTTGAGCGTCCAGCACGGCGGACAAGAGCCCATCAGAGATCGGAGGATGTAGAGGAAACGCAGACTAGAGCTTCAAGACCATCCTCGCAGGATTCGGATTCACCTCCGCAGACTTGATAGCACAGTCAAATCAACTGTGTGGAATTATGTCTGCGCCGTGTGAGCAGGTTTGTTTGTAATCGACGGAGCAATAGCCACTTTGTCATAGAATAAGACGTTCTCAACCATTTCAACATGTCTGATTTGATGTAAGAGAGTACACTCCGATCTTCTCGCGGACTTGAACCCGTTTTTAATCACCTAGCTAAAGGTAACATAAGGGGCAATTTGAACCTTCAAAACATCCCCATTTGTCGATGACTGCTCCACTAACATAAGGGCAACTCTAGCACTAGCATTGAAGAACCAACTTGGGCACATTTGATGCTTCGGCTCAGACTCCAAGCCGAGATTTCGATACTATACCTGCACATGTCGAAGTTAGCCGCTTGGTTAGGCAGCTGTATGCCCTGGCTGTGCAGTCTGCATTCAGCACTGCCTCTTTCTCTCTCTGTCTCTCCCTCTTTCTGTCACACACACACACACACACGCGTGTAGGCATATGACCGATCACTCCCGAGAGGCGGCGTCAGCACGTATGCAGTCACACCACCTCTACAGATGTGCAACCACCACCGCTGTTGCAGCACTTTCATGCAGCCATGTGTATGTAGACGAAAAGTCTATGAATTACGTTGGAAGTTTGCCTCCGCCTCATTTTGAGGCAACCAACAAGTGGTGCTAATGTGGCCCGTTCTGACTTACAAGCCCTGTTCCGTCCACCTCATCACCTTTGATGATATGTATCATAATATGAACGATCAGAGGATCTTATTTCTCTATGTAGTTGCTGAGAGCAGTGATATTGAGTTTCGAAGACAATCTTTATAGTTCGAACCTCTGTTTCATCGTTCAGTTTAATAAGCCATGCAAGTGGTCAACAGACCCAGCTGGCGACACCAGATACGCAACTCTACGGCAATCCAACACTTTCAAAGCGAGTCGACTATCCCCTTCCCCCTCGATGAGCTACAAGCCACTACAAATTACTATTTGCTTCACACATCAATACCGGACATATCGTCTTTCCTCGGGCGAAAGCCACTCCAGAGGTTCACCGACGAGTGTGACCTGCGATTTTGCGACGAGCTCAGAGGGCTGATAAACGAGTTTCCCGCCCGCGAATTTGGCGTCCTCTCCTGCATTCATGTGCTGTCACCCGGAGCAGCTGAGTTCCAACTACGTTCCACGAAACCGGATACAACTCAACAAGATGAGTTTTTCGATAAAAGAGTCATAGTTTACTTGGAATGTCTCGTTCAGGCAAGGATTGCTTGCTCAGGGGCGGGCCTCTCTGCGCTCATTTCGGCTGACGAGAACTTTGCGGCAAAAGAATTGCTCGCCATCGCCAGAGATAGGCACAATCCTCAAGGCAAGCTGCCTCCTGTTGGAAAGTTGCTGCAAGCGATAGGGTTCAACCTGAAAGCAGGCTCGGACCTGCTTCCTTATGATCTGGTTCTCTCCATTATTCGCCGGAATCAACTTCAAGAAAAACTGCGCATTTATCTCGACACGTTTCTAGAGTCGAGCGGGTGGTGCGAAGCATACAGTATCGTGTCTGGCCTACGACGCGCCATTGAACAACATGATACCGTGCTCATGCAGCTTATAAAAGAATTGATTCCGCAGCATATAATGTGGGCTGCTTGGCAACCTGACCGGGACCGGATCAGATTGTGGAATCGATCTGCGGCAGCACACCATCACCACCAGCAACTGTCGGCCCTGTTTGCACTTGAGGGACCAGATACAACCCCGCAACAACGGCAGACTCTGCGTCAATCTAGTAGGGGAAATTTTAAGAAGCTGGTAGATCCCAAGAGGCCTGAGGAGCTCGCTCACTTAGACCGGCTTCTCGATGCTTTTGACAAGGCTCTCGAGACGGGTCCGGCAAGCATCGATCTTTTCATATATCTCTGTATCGAGCCTGCTCCAGAAGAAGTCCATATCGAGAAGCTTGAAAGAGTTGAGGCCGCGTTTAGATCGGCATCTGAGTACAATTCGCGGGTTTTGAAAGGATATCTGAAATCCTACGAAGAACAGTGGCCAACAAGTATAAATTCTCTGACTAAAGCACTTCCGATCATCAGCCGGGACCCCGAATTGCAGCTATTATATGGGCACAAGTTGAATCTTGAAGTTCATTCCACGAGGATCTTGAAATCGGCACAAGATATGTTGAGTACTCGGCTGTTGCATGGGAGACGCAGCGAGCAGCTTGGACACAAAGTACAGGCGTTTGGATCAGCCTTATTACAAGCAAGGTGGCTCCACGGTCGAATTGACCAGTCAATTATCAGAAATTTGCAACGAATACCGTCGGCTCGGCATGTAGAGAGGGCTTTTGTTGAGCTCGAGAGTCTCCCAGGCGCGCGCAGAGACACACAGGTCAGCCAACTACTTGTAGCACTCTGCGGTAGCTCCAGAAGAGGAAGTTCGACGCGACTGCTCGATGTTAATGACCACTATTTGACATAACTTCATCCAATAAAGTCGATTCCGTGTATATGAGGATAGCGTATACGTGCATCTCTGAACATCTCCGGGCATTCGCGAGGCCGTGGGTAATGTTGCTGGGAGCAAGCAATGAATTTGAACTTTCAAACCTCCTCTTCAAGGTCTGAGATGATAAGAGGCTCAGTATTCGATGATTCTGAAGAGATTCGGTCTTTCACTTTATCCATTCACACCATTGAAGAACTTAGCGGACAAACTGAAGCTCAAGACTGCTGCCACCAAGAATCAACGATGTTAAGCGACCATGCATGTCTCAGTAACTCCTGCATAGCGGCCTTTTACACATCACAACCAGAAATTTGTCTGCTAAGTGGGTAGGTTTACCAAGATGGAAGAAAATTGGTTTCGTGGATGTAAGTACTGGCCAAAATGAGGGCCGAGCTCGCTTGCTACGGGAGGCCTACCAAGTGGACAATCTAATCTACCAGGACTGCCGGGAGCTTATTCAATAGATCATACAACCCCAGATTCAGCATTCAGTTGCCCCGTTATTGAATGAGTGGGTTGTCACAGTCTTCCTGTTGGCCAGAGGCTACTGCCTGGGCTGCTAAGAGCCTAAGACTGGGAGTATAACCGACAAAAATCCTGAGACGAACGCAAATACAATCGAACTCCGATCTATATCCAATTTGGTCCAAGTAAGATATCTTTCCTATGCTATAGAAGCAGCAGACTCTGCTGTCAAAGCGCAATCGATTCACCCAGTTGCTCACCTTGAAATAGCTGCCCTGATCTTACTTAACTATCGTTATTCCACTGGTTCTGATAACATGCAGCCTATATGGAAGTAAATCTCAGCCCGGTTATTAGCCCCGATGCTAGATTGATTCAGACTCCTTATTATTAACTTTCTCATCTTCTATAGCTACAAAAGATTCGCGCAAAGCTGGCATTCGCGCCGGTTCCATGTGAGCTAGGCAGCGAGGCCACCGTCAACCATCAAGATCTGGCCGGTGATAAAGGACGCCTTCGATGAGGCCAAGAAAGCTACTGCCTCAGCAATTTCGGCAGCCTCGCCCCAGCGCTTAAGCGGCGTCGCCGCAGTGGCACCCTCCAGCAGGGCCCGCGTCGGCGTATTCATCATCGGCAGCACCATACCGGCGTTGATAACGCCGGGTCCCACGGCATTGGCGCGGATGCCGTGAGCAGCCTCCTCGGTAGCGAGCTGGCGCACCATCATAGCCACCGCCGCCTTGGGCGTGGCGGAGAGCGCATCACACGGCACGGTGCGATTCACTGCGCTGGTGATCAGGGCGACGAACGAGCCGCCCTTCCCCTCTCGCAGTACCGGCACGCCGACCTTGGCGATGTTATAGAAGCCGTAGACGTCGGTTTCCATGACGCCGCGGAAGGACTCCTCCGTGAACTCCGCCAACGGGCCCGTATCGAACACTAGGCCGCCGGCGGACACGACCGTGTGCACGCGCTCGTATGTGTCCACAGCGTGCTTGAAGACGGCCTCGACCGCCTTGAGGTCGGTAACGTCACAGGCTATCGCGCTCGCTTGGCGCCCGAGCTTGCGCAGCTCCTCCACTAAGGACTCGGCTTCGGCGCGGCGCGAACGGTAGGTGACGACAACATTGGAACCGCGCTCCGCCATCAGGCCAGCGCTCGCGCGGCCGAGGCCGCCAGAGCCGCCGAACACGACGGCACAGCCTTCGGGAAATTCGGGTTGGGTGACGCCAAAAGTCATTTTATTTTCTCCTCGATGATTTTTCGTGCGGCGCGTTGGATAGTTACGTGGATTGAGGGATGGTTGCTTGGTGTAGATAGGGCTTTGAGGGTCGGAATGTTCTCCATTTCGTCCAGCATAAATACTTAAACAAATAAAGCGGTGTGTCCCGACCTACATGACTCCAAATAACTCATGCCCCATCGATACTTAGGTACTATAGAAACTTATGAATACTACTTCAGTAGAATCCGCAACCCCCCCCTGCCTCTCGCTCCGATTCGTAGAAGAACGGGACTTTCGTCGAGTACCAAGGGTTGAACGAGAGTACAACGAGAGCAACCTTGGAGACTGACAGGGCTCTCACTGATTGGTCCACCCTAGTTGAGCGGATTCTGGTATTCATGAGTTTCTACACTTGAACGATAACTCGTCGTCAGGTGCATGCGAGAATACCCCTACGAATGGATCATGGATGGGAAATTGTTTAGCTACTTTGTTACCCCATCAGGTCCCTGAAATGCGTGGCGTATTTGCGGGACTGAAAATAGGGCTTGAAGAATGCTCCCAGAGATCCTTCGGCCACAAACAAAGAGCAACGTAACATCAGATGTGCATGATTAACGTTGTGTCAACTGACGGTTCCATGCGTTTGTATCAGCATTTCTTGTCCGAATAACCCCGAAATACTGCAGGACGGGAGGGACAGAACCTCCGCCAATCCCTAGGGAATACAAATAGTCAACAACTCAACACCACTGAATTCTTTACGTATCTGAGAGATTTCTCGCCGCTGTAGCTTCTTCGCATACCTAGGTAAACTGTCATATCCAAGGAAAAAGCTTCCAGATCACGTTAATTGTGTAGGCGGACTACCTGCTTCCGCAAGTAAAGCAAGTGTTCTTCCTGCCTACCTATTTGGAAGTCGAATTCGGGGAAAGCAGCTGTTACGTCGCTGCCTCAGTTCTGCAGTGGAAAGAACCCGAGGGCCTTCCATCCAGAGTGCGGATCCTCCTATTCATCATCGCCCAACGTCTCAGTTCACCAAAATTGACACATAAATCTCAAGTCAGCGTTAACGATACTAAGACATCTTTTGTTGAATAAACGGCGAAGACGGCGAAGTCTTCTCCCGAAAACTAAGCATTACCAACACCGTAATGAACATCGACCCCTACCTCTATGAAAGGATCGTAAATTTGGATCGTCCTATTCCCTTCTACAAAATAAAGGATCCCGACAATATCATCTGTGGTAACTGCGGCAGATAAGGCCACAGTCTCCGCAACTGCGTCGGACCCGCCACGGCTCGCGGTGACATCGACGGCTGCCCCTACTGCAACACCACAGAGCACATCTGGGATGAATGCCAGCGGTACAATATTATGGAAAGGATCAGTTCTCTAGAATCCAGACGCATGGAGATCTTCATATATTTCTTCCTCGACCTCCGTACGAACAAGCCACCCATCCGCACCTGCCATGACTTGTGGCAGTTCATTCTCGACCTCCCATATCAGACTTGCTACCCCTGGTCTCTTGAATACTTCAAAAAATGAGGCTTCCAATCCTGCGTCTATCGTCAACATCAAGCTAGTATACACCGAGGGCGAATACATGAGCAACATCATCGATCCCGACATGTGCGACCTTTTCGCCATTTCACGGAACATGGACTTTTCGGTGACAATGGGCGACGACGCCTCGCGCTCGAATCTTCTTGCCGACGCCTTCGTCTCCGACGAATTCCAGAAGCTCAACCTGGCAGTCCAGTCAGTACGCTATGGGAGAATATCTCGAGAGCCATTCCGCACCATTCCGCTGAAAAACGGCGCGATACCTTCGCTGTCTTCGCCGCCAGCTCCGTTTGGGTTTATTATTTCAATACAAAGAGCCAACCGGAATGGGCAACGGACATGTTTTTCAACGTCATTCAGCATAAGATCGCTGGACCGGAGTTTGTATTCCGCTTCGTATTAGAGAGCAAAGGGCCCTGGTGGCGGTTTTCAGAGCGTTTCCTGGAGACTTTAGGGGTGGTAGGCCTTATGGTACGATCGATTCATTCGTAACATATCCGTCCAGAAGAAAAGTCACCTCCGCTTGAGATTGCTACCTGCTCTGTATTTAGCCCAGTTCAATTGCGTTTTATCTAATCCCATATCCCAAGCTAAGAGGCAAAGCGTTTATTAAGTGATACAAAACTCTGCCGATTGATGGACTCAAGAGATGACCAGGACCAAATAAAAGATTCCGCGGCTTTCTTTCCAACACCTAATGGAGTTTTCTTTCTCGGATTTATATGACCCAATATTTGGGGTCCTTTCCGTCGTCGTCCTTTCCGTCGTCGTCCTTTCCGTCGTCGTTCTTCTCATCGTCGTCCTTCTCGTCGTGCTCGTATTTGGCCTTATACCCCTGTTCTACCCGCAGGATCATTGGCGGACGCCAAGTCTCAACAGACGAAGACATAAACGCCTAAGCAAACTAGCCGATGTGGACCATATCTTAGCCCAGCTCCCTGGTCAACCCTTTAGCCCGAGCCAGTCATGTCTGTCACCCATCGAGAGCACGCTGCACATACATCTAAGCCGTCCCTTTCAGCAGCGACGAAAGAGAAATTCCTCACTAGATGAGCCAAACAGCCATGTCTGCAACTCGTCCAGAGCGTCCAAGTCGTTCTTTTCAGAAGCGACAGAGACATTTGGATCGTACCACCCAGGCGTTCTCTTGGTGAAGGTTCTCTTAGATTCGTCCAAATTCTTCCCGGTACGACAGGAGCTGTCGAAATCAGAAAGGAGCAGACGGCCATCCTCGGCGATGAGTATGTTGTGGGGGTTGATGTCGTTGTGAACCAGGCCGAGGGAGTGAAGGTGGGCGACAGCGCTGCGGATGCCGTCCATCTGTTTCCTCAGCTGTGGGAGATCGTTGACCAAGGGCCGGCCGCTTGAGAGAAATGCGGACTTGTTCCAGTGGCGCGGGTTGACCTTCTCACCCAACGACAGCGTGCATTGTTCGATACAAAGCCCGGAGACGCGTCCGTTCTTTTCGCGATAGCCGTGGTATTGGACGATATGCGGATGAGGATGTTGTTTGAGTGCCTCGTATGTCTCGATCTCTCGCCGGATGAAGCTTTCCACATCGACGGAGTAAGCCTTTAAGTCGGGCGTCTTGACGAAGTAGGCGCTGTCTGGTGGCGCCGATGTCCAGCTGGACTTCACTTGCGGCCCTCGGTCCTCCATTTCCAAAACCATTGGATTCTCAAGTTCGGCAAAATCAGACGGTATCGTCTGCCGGCCCTGCCATCTTCCGATGTAGAGTTTGTTCTCCCATCTTACGATACCTTCCATACAATGGAAGTGAAAATCTCCATTAGCTTCTCTATGGAATAGTTCACTAGCTCGGATAATCTCCATAGTCGTGAAGGGACATTCGTTTTGGCTTGAAGTCGAGGCGGGCATGTTTGAAACAGTTTGCTTTGAAATCGAAAGAGACAGCCGTTGAAGGAAGCAATAATGATTAGGTATTTTCCGCCGGGCATGGAGAATTTAGAGAGAAGAAAGGCAGGATTGATGCGTTGTGATGAGCGGCAGAGACTGGACTCTATCCCTTCGAGTGCCACAACACGCCAGAGACCCCCTTGTGCGGAGTATGGCCAATCAGCGCAGCTAACATATTATTTTAAACCAATAGAAAATTTTCAACTCAGGCGTTTTTAGAGAACCTGGAAACCTTAGAACTGGGCTTGGCTGACGTGTTGTGGCAGGCGATGGGATGACCCTTTAGTGGTAACCTTTTGAGCCTCATGGGGCGAAGAAGCTTGCCACACCGAAAATACATGAAAAGTTAGCAGCAGCCACTTCCCACTGTGACCTTCAGTCTGGCCTGTTTCCCCGCGGTAAAGGTTCTCAGCCGTCGCCTTAAGAAGTGCAAAAGTTCACTGCAGAGCCAATGTGGTCTGAAGCTTGTCAAGAAACAGATCCAAGTATCTAAAGTTCAACATATTATTAGATATAATGAGATATTAAAGCAAGCGAATAAGAAAAGAAAAGGGTAGCTGCATTGCAGTGCGCGTGGTATTGCAATTACCAATGTGACCTTCATGGTTCCGGGGGAGCTGCGCCCCTCGGATCTTTATTATGTGTTACCTTGACTGCAACGTAAAGCCATTTCGATTATGAACAAATGAACAAAACCAGTAAATCCTGCAAGAAAAGCGGCCGATCAAACAAACCAATTTCTGGTAATTCATCTCGTGCGGTTTGATCGATCTTCAATCTGGGGTCCTTCGACGTGATCTACAGAGCCGCCCCTCTTCGTCTCCATGTGTGTGTCCTCTCTTTGGGCATCCTCAGTGGTAGCGACCTTGCCCATAGACGTCAAAGTGTGACTGCCCTCGAAAACCTCCTGGATTTCTTCTAGCGTGTGCCCTTTTGTCTCCGGGAAGACGAAGTAGATAACACCTAGAAGACATCCCAAGATGCAGCAGAACACAACATAATACTTCCACCCCAGGTTCTGTATAGCGATGGGGTTAACTTGGTTAGCAAGTACGAGCGCGCTGAAGCTACAGAGATAAAGAAAGGAAAGCCCGCGACCCCGAAGAGTATATGGGAAAATCTCAACAATGTAAGCTTGTAATAACGGCACCCAAGCAATCGCATAGCTGAAGTAGGTCAAAAACACGAAAGCGACAACTGCTTTACCAGTTGATGAATCGTTGGTTCTGACGAAGGTCGCCGATAAGGAGGTCCAAATGACGTAGAAAAACAGCATCGCCCCCGTTGATACCAGAAAAAGCGTACGGCGGCCTAGACGATCGACCATGAGGGCGCCCACAAAGACAGATGCGACCCAATTGGATACGTTGAGAAGAGCATTGATGAGTGTCTGGTCCTTCGCTTGTTTGATGCCGATAGAGTTGAGGATCAGGAACAGATAGTAAGAGATGAGGCCGACTCCGTTCCACTGCGCGAACCAGCCAACAACGAAGGCTATGAACGTGCGTTTCCGATTGCCCGGAGTGCGAACGAGATCGATCCACGACGTTTTGGAGAGATCACCTTCTGCCGTCAGAGCCATTTCAATCTCTTCGAGTTCGAAGTCAACAAGCGGTGAGTTTTCGTCCCCACCGGCGTGGTATTGAGTGAGGATATCGCGAGCCTTGGTACGTTCTCCGTGAGCGATTAGCCATCTGGGCGATTCGGGAAGGAAGTAAATGCCAAGCAGTTGCATAAGAGGCATTAGACCCTGGAGGATAGATGGCAGCCTCCAGCTCCAATTGGAATCGAACTTGAATGTGCTGAAGGTACACCACGATGCTATGATACCCCCTAGATACTGCAAAGACCATGAATCAGTTGATATTCACGCAGCTAGCCAGGTATACCTTCACTCACAAACGATGTGTTGTAAAGAGCCGTCATTCTGCCCCGATGCGTAGGGTAGGCCAACTCTGTGATTAGGATTGGACTTGGCTGAGAAATAAAGCTGGTAAAAAAGCCGAGCAGAGCTCGAGCTGTGACGAAAGTTGGTATGTCTCCTGCAAAGCCCTGAAGGAAAGGCATCGCTGTACAAGTGACAACTCCGATGACCATTGTTTTTTTGCGGCCAAAACGATCGGATATGTAAGTAACGATGAAAAGAGCAACAATTTTGCCGGCAGGGTAAATGGCGTTAATGAGACCCAGAATGGCCCCTTCAGGGCTGTTGAAGGACTGTCGCCATTGGGGTAGAGTTTGAAGCCCATTCATCATGGAGCCTGAGATTGAATGTTAGCAGACTGTGGTTAGATGGAATACCAGAATATACCATCATAGCCAATAGCTCCAGATGAGAGCAGAGGTATTAGTAGGAGAAGGTTGAGCTTCACTAAGTGAGGTGTTCTCCACCAGGGTGAGGCGTCCTGTGGAAGAACCTGTATTTCCGGCCATTGTTAGCATTTCATTTATGATTTCAGGTTTGAACGACCTGATCGAAATACATTGAAGAATATTGCCGGTAAGGACCGACTTACTGACGCAATACCGCGACCCACAGAGGCCTGGACAGTAGGTGCTGCTTTCTTTCTGAACCAAGCCATTGTTATTGTACAATGATCAAGACGTTCAATACAAGAATAGGAGAAGATGGTGAAACAAAGCTAGAAGCAGTTGGGCGGAAGCTAAGAGAACTGTCCGAAGAAGCGACAGCACATCAAAATATATACCACTTAGTATTCGAATACTTTCTGACAGCTTTGAGCTAGAGACAACGCTTCCACGCAGCCACCGAATCCATCTCAGATGTCCCCTCCTTCCCCATGGGGAAGTGGACTCATTGTGTGGGACTATCGCGTGCCCGCGTGTCCGCGCTTCGTTGCGCCGGTATAGGAAAACCTGGAGAATGCAATTCCTGCGAGGACGAGTCATAATGGCGCTTCTTTGTCATGATTATTGACGGGTATGCAGTTTGTGTTGACGAAGATGATTGGAGATGATGCGTTCAGTTGCTTCTCCTAACACTCTAGGACCCTTCGTATTCAATACGATTTATTCTGCGCCAAGATATGCGCCCCAGACCAGCAACACGCGATGAGCCTTGAGTCAATTCTGTCGAGTCAATCTGGCGCTCCTTATTATGGATGAAGAGCCTAGTCGTACGTAATTTCGGCAGTCTGGCGGCAAAGTCTTGCTGCATATAAGCCGTTTACTTCATCATACGAAAATATCGGTCCATTTACTTAATTTATTGTATCGATTTGAGCTAAATGGAAGCCATCTAGACATAGAACTGTCTTATTTGCAACAAATCATATCCCAACGACGCAACAACTTCCTCGACTATAACCTTGACTTTATGGATCTATTCACCGAACACTTTAACATGGAAACGGCGGTTGCAGCTGTGAAACGCGGTCTCGCGGACTGTGATACCACAGCTGCACATTTGCTATCGAGGCTCACTCTCGAAGAACGTCTTTGGCTACTAGATGGCGACGAACCTTTCTGGCCAGGACTCTACGCAATGACGACCAAAGGATTTTGTCATACACCCTGCATCATGGGCGAAATCCCCCGTTTGAAGATTCCCGGGGTTCGATTCTCCGATGGTCCTCGCGGCTGCATCATGGGGAACTCCACCGATTTTCCGGTGGCTATGGCACGCGCCGCAAGTTGGGATGTTTCCCTCGAAGAGCGCGTCGGCAGGGCCATCGGCCGCGAGTGCAAGGCCTTGGGAGCCAACTTGTTTGGAGGCATTTGTGTCAATCTCCCCAGACACCCGGCTTGGGGCCGTATCCAGGAGACATACGGAGAGGACCCCATTCTTCTGGGAACCATGGGCGCCGCGATGGCCAAAGGCGTGCAAGAGAACGTCATGGGTTGCGTCAAACACTTCGCTCTGAACTCGATGGAGAATGCCCGTTTCAAGATCGATGTCCAAGTTGATGAAGATGTTCTTCACGAAGTTTACCTGCCCCAATTCCGCTACATCGTTGAAAGTGGCGTGGCTTCTGTCATGTCCGCCTACAACTCTGTGCGGGGAGAGTTTGCAGGCCAGAACAGGGAGCTACTCACGGACATCTTGCGAACTAGCTGGGGATTCAAGGGTTTCGTTATTGAGGATTTCATATTCGGATTCCGAGACGTTGCTCTATCTCTCAGAAACGGACTTGACCTTGAGGCACCCTTCCGACAGCAAAGAGCGCAACACCTAAGAGCATGTCTTGAGACCGGCCGAGTGAGCGAATACGATATTGATCGCGCTGGTCATGCCATTTTACGAATCGTTATTGAGAATGAGGTCCTCCGCGGCGATATCAAGTCAACGAAGAAAGTTGTTTTCAGCAAAGAACATCGTGATCTGGCCCGGGAGTCTGCCGTAAAGTCCATGGTCCTGTTGAAGAACGACACGGTGGAAGGAGCGCCTATTTTGCCCATTCGATCAGAGGTAGCTTCTGTGGGCATCGTCGGGTGGCGCGCCGACTCAAAAAATACCGGTGATAAGGGCTCATCGCACGTGCGCTGTCCCGAAATCATCTCGCCATACCAGGGGATCAAAGAAGCCCTTCCTGAAACGGAAGTGGTACTTGAAAGCTCGAATAACCTGGCTAGCATCAAGAGTATCGCCGCTGCTGTTGAGGTTGTCGTTGTAGTTGTGGGATACGATTTCCGTGACGAGGGAGAGTACACAGCCCCTGCTTTCAACGCTACGCCGGGTCTGAGCCACGTCATTCCTCCAGACGATGGATCAGAAGAAGCAAAGTCAGTCATTTCTCGATTGGTAAACCCTGCGCCTAAGAAGGACGACCGCGAGAAGGACAATTACGGATTCGGCACCGGCGGTGATAGGCGGAGTCTGAGGCTGCGACCCGATGATGTGGAAGTCATAAAGGCAGCTGTGGAAGTCAACCGAAGAACTATCGTTACAATCGTGGCTGGTGGGACGGTGATAATCGAAGAGTGGGACAGCTTGCCACCGGCCATCATCTTCGGCTGGTATTCAGGATGTGAGGGCGGCAGAGCACTCGCAGAAGTTCTGCTCGGTCGTGCAAATTTCAGTGGAAGACTTCCTTTCTCAATACCAACGAGCGAAGAACACCTTCCCGCTTTCGACGATAACGAAGAGACAATCAAGTACGATCGGTGGTATGGCCAACACCTTCTCGACCGTTTACAGGTTAAGGCAGCGTATCCCTTCGGCTTCGGCCTGTCATATACAGCATTCTCCCTTTCCGACTTGGAGATCCTTCAGAATCAGTGTGAGCTAGAAGCTGACAAGATTCCCATTCAATTTCGAGTTTCGAATACCGGAAACAAAGCGGGAAGATTCGTGGCACAAGCATATGGCGTAGTGGAGGTTGTAGACTGGCCCAGAAGGTGCTTGTTAGGGTACGGGGTAGTTGAATTGAAAGAAGGAGAGAAAAGGACCATGCAAATAATGGTGTCCACGAGGCCTTTACAGAGATGGAATGACGGTGATTGGATGGCAGTAAGCGACTCCGTTATGATTGAAGTCGGCGCTTATTGGGGAGATGAGGCATCTGTTAGATGCACATTGAAATTGGACACATAATCCCCGTTCTGATCAGTCCACTCTTTCAGAATAGAATCACTGAACCATTATGAACTTTCCCGTCGGCTTTGGTGCATCTTTTCGCCGGGATTGAACATGCTAGATCTCAGTGGAAACTTCAGGGCGCTCAAAGGATGCGAGAGACTTCGGTAGGTTTGGTCTGAAGCGTCCTCTGGCCTGCAGCTGGCTCACTGAATTCTATAGTCGGACCAGTGTTCATAAACGGGTTTCTGTAAGTGCTCACGACTGCCCACAAGAACGTACCCTACAATTGTCAGTATTCTAACTCGGTCTTGATGGTCCCTACCTGTAGCAGCTGGTAGATTGTATCCTACAAAAGTGGCAGTCGTCTAACAGCCCCTACGTAACGACCGCGAACGTGGGTCTTCTTCCGATCTCCCGCGACTCCGTCTGGATAGCATCGTCCGACCCCAACACGCCTCCCCTGATCAAACCCAACTTCTTCAGCTCCGAGGTCGACCGCTTTGTGTGGCGTGACTCGATGCGTCACATGACGCGCATGATGATAGGAGACGACTCGCCACTTAGCCAGGGCATCGTCGAAGCCGAGACGCCCCCTGCTGAACTGAAGCCGTTCAGCCTGGATTCGAGCGACGAGGACATTGAGGCCCGGATTCGCGCTTCTGTTATGTGAGTCAACACGCAGGTTTGAGATTGGATTTTCCAGCTAACACGGCAAAATTAGCGGTACTTACCATCCGATGGAAGCCTGTGCCATGGGCAAGGTTGTCGACAGCGAGCTGCGGGTGAAGGGCGTCGAGAACCTGAGGGTCGTCGATGCGTCGGTGTTCCCGAGCATCATCTACGAACCGTGATACTTGTGAATGCAGGAAACCTAAAAATAAATATAAGCACGATTTAATTCAATATTTCCCAAAATGGCTCTAAGCTCATGAAGATCCTCGACCTTCGTGAAATTCAACTCACCGAGAGCCATTGCTTGCCAGCCAATCTCCTGCAGTCTCAACATCGATGTTATCCCCAGTTTCGGTGCAAATGAGCCCATAATCAGGTGAGCAAAATCACGAAGGTCGAGGAAGCGCAGATTGGAACATGTTCAGATGATCTGTAGCCAGCACATCCAACCCCCGCCAAGGTGATCGACAAAAATAGACATTGACGTCGCTGCCGTGCCTCTCCGAAGCAGAACGCAGGAGATTAGACACCCCCGTGGATCGTGCCAATAGGATCGCGTCCTGCGAAATGCTTCTGCCTGGAGAACCGCAATGCAAGGGTTCAGCCTTGAAACGGCTCTGCTGGGCCTCACAGCGGCATGCCGTTTCGCGGGGGTGGGATGCCACAACGGAACCAACTCCGTGGTCGACAAAAGACCCTCCGAAAACCGCTCAGGACACCAGCGCAGGAGGTTGCGGGGAGGATTGTCACACTTACGGCCGTAGGTGTGAGTGATTTACTAGAGGATGTTCCCACGTCCATACCTTCCAGATATTGAGATCTCCGTAGGGCAGAAAGACAGACCGGGCCGTGACGCGATGCGGCCTTGCCAGGCTGATCAAGCGGAGTCGAGTCCTCAGATGCCGCCACGTCCCAAAAGACGTGTCGTGACCCTAAACGTGCCTGACGTCCTCTCGCAAAACGCCCAATAAGAACACCCCATTGCAAGAAATGAAGCTCTCCAAGGTGGGTTGCGCCTGTCAGCCTGCTTCCGGCGGCGTGCATGCGCGTGATGGTGTGATGCGGCGGGCCTGGAAGACTTTGTGTAACCTGACATGCATCCCCTGTGTCTTTTAACCGCTCAACAGCAACGTCTGGAGGGGAAGCGGTCTGTCTACGTTACACACGCGCGTTTAATTTGACGTGACATTTTCCCGGCGGCCGCGCAGATCTTCCTTACACTGCACATCAATTCCAAATCCGCCAGAACTGTGACGCCGAGTGACAATCCGCTCGGCTCGCGGCTTCGGGCTCAACACGTCACAAAACCCTCCCTAAAAAGGAAATATTCCAGACTTCTTCGTAGAGTCCGAACCTACCAATCAATATTTTCCCACGGTTCAAACAACCAAACACGCGATAAATGTGCCGTATCAACTCGTGATGTGGGAGAAGCGAAAGCTATTTCTGGCTCCCGAATAACCCGGCGAACCCCTTCTTCCCGATTGCCCCTTTGGGTAGGTGGGTCAGAGTCCGAGGTCCCGGTCCGCGCCGCAAGGAAAAAAACCGGGGACGACGGGACGTGCCCACAAATAGAACGCTGCATTAAGGTTTTCCGGGCCCGAGGGCCCGTGGAAAAGTCCGGGATGCTACGGTAACGTAACCAACGGCCGGGGCCGCCAAGCATCCCATGCCTTCCTTTCACGGCCAACCCCCTAACTTCACAGCAATGTTTTTCACGACTACCGTCATCAATCCATACCTCCAGCAGCATTTGCATCTCCTGAGCTCAAAAGCGCATGACCTTATTACAGATCCGGGGGCTTCTGAATAAGGTAGTGGGAGATCATCTGCCCAATGGGATTCCGGGGTGTACGACTTTCCCGATTAGACCGCGGACGAGCTGTGATTCGCGGGCGGTCCAAATCACCTTCCTTGTCCTCGCGTCCAATGAGAATCGGACAGTGATGCTTTCCCTTCCAAACCGTGAGCCCTTTTGTTTCTCCCCCGGCTTCTGAACCAAAAGGTCCAGGCCACCGAACTTCCTCTGAATCAGTAACGTTGCAAGTGGGCGGGCAGGCGGGCGGGCGGGCGTGGGAAGACAACAACCGAGCGGGGTTCCGCCCGCCGCCGCGACTGACGACATTGTTGTCCAGCGCGGCCGCCCGGGTCTATGAAACACCGCACAAGGCAGCGACGTTTCTGGCCGAGTTTGCAGATAAGCGGTGTTGTTCGTCCCTCATTGGCCCGAACAGCTCACGGAAGAAGTTCCTGGCCGGTAAGGGATAGGGCGAGGCAAGACGAGAGGGTGGGCAGCGTACGGCCCTGTAGGGCCCGCACATGCAGAGAGTGGCTTGCATGCCGTCCTGCCGGGGCGCGGCGCAGACGCGACCCTGCGAGAGACGGGACGGGGAGATGGTATCGATTGTTTGCCGAAAACTGTGCGCTGGCTGGGGGTGATGGAATATCCGAGGAAGATGCGCGGAAGAGGTACCCATGACATGTGTCATCCGAGTACTTACATGGTGGCTTGTTTGTGGCATCACTGTCTGCTGTATGAGTTTACAGAAGGTCTGTTCAGGCAGGGTAATCAGAAGTTTGATGATTTCATTGTTCTCAAGAGAAGAAACTGTGACGCAACGCCTTGTACGCCTGACCTTTGTACCCAATTTGCCCCTAACCCATGATGCCATATTGAAATCCGTAGCCACATCGCTGTCTGTATCTATTCGTCAGACGTATGCCAGATCTAACAGGGGCACTCCGTACACATGCTCTCTAAGCAAAGCTTTCAGGAGAGCCCGCTCGTCTTGCTGCTTGATACGCAAACCCCTCACATCGAGTACTTTGCAGAGAGCGAGATCCTCATCATGAAGAAGGTCGACGTGCTCCGGCTCAGGACCGATGACCAATGAGAGACACTGCCCATAGTATCCGCGGTCGAACACGATGCCCATCAAGACCAGGTCCATTTCGCAGAGCTTCGATATCACTGACCCCACGAGACAAGCCCAAATCATGACCGGCCTGAGAGCCTCCATGGATGGCAGGTCGTCGTCGCCTTCATCTTTGTCATCCCCTCCCCACAGCCGCCCCTCTCGCGCCTCTCGCTTTTGCAGTTTCTGCACGACGTTGTGCACTGAGGCTGAGAGGAGGTTCAGGGGCACAGCGTGGACCATCGGATTGCGCGGCTCATCGGGCACCAGGATCTCCAGGTAGACGATGGCAGCCGCGCGGAGTACCGGTTCCAAGAGGTTCGCCGCGGGCGCGGGGACAGGTCTCATCGTGTGTAAGCTCCGCACCATGGCGGCAGCGACCGCTTCTGAACTCCCGAGGTCTGCGGCGATGATGAGCTCGTCCACCTCGTCCAGTGTAGCGTTTACGCAGTCGGACCGCAGCGGCCCCGGATACCGCACGAGTTGGTATTCGCACCACAGCCACTCTTCTATGAATCCATCAGGATGGAGCAGCAGCTCCCGGCCTGGGTTGGCGAAAGCCAGTCGTAGTACCGCGGCGAAGAGGGACGTGGAAACTATGGCGTCTATGATGCAGGATTCGAGGCCGCACGGTGAGAGGGTGATGGAAACGTCTTCGACAATTTTGGTGCGAATTTGATATGGCAACGCATCTGTTGGAGCTTCGAAGAACCTTGGATAGTCGAGATACGGCATCAGACCCAGATGCGCAGCTCCCTTGACATCGGCTCTATTCTTGATGTTAGTCAACTTCTAAGCTTTTCAGGGCGCTTACTTGCCTTCGAATCTCGTTGAGCGCGAAATTCCAATCTGCCCTCATCCCTCCTTCCAGATCTATCAGCTGTTTGAGGCCCTGCATATGGAGCTTCCAGTGATCATATCTCCCCACGTTCCATCCCGCAGAGGCCAACGAAGACACACATTCGAGAATTCCCTGATCGAACCCTGAACTCATTGTATGGTCTGAGAGTCGGTCGTTGACTAAGCTGCAGACCTTGGAGACGTGATACAGGAGTTCGGGAGACGTCCACTCTCCGTGCAAGAATATCTCGGCGTAACAGGCCGTCATGATGATGCAACTGAGACTGGTCTCACTGGACTTGATCCTCTCGATGAATGACGAACTGCGAACGGGGTTGTACTCGAGAATCTGCTCGAAGGGATACATCTTCGTTGGTGCGAATTTGAGATAGAGGTGGACGAGACGCTTCTCGTTCTCGGAAAGGTTTCCCATCCAGGGACAAAGCCATGAATTGGGGCTCCTGGGTATCCGAGATACCTCGTCGAACCTTGGTACTTGAAAGACGTCATCCCGAGCGCTGTCTTGTTTGGGGGACTCCCAGACAAAGACGGGTTCCTGGGTTCTTTTTGTTGCTCTTCCTTTTCGTTCGCGATGCTTCTCGTCGTCCTGTGAACTTTGAGAACCCTTGCTACGTCTTGAAACGCTCCTCCGCGGCTCTTTCGGTTTGTTTGAGAACTTGAATCGCTGCCCCGGCGGGCGAGTATTGTCCGGGTTGCCGGGTTCGTCCTGGCTCGAGGTGTCGTCCGAGGCCGCGGAGGTGTTGATGAACTGTATCCCCTGGTGTTTCGTCTTGGAGACCTGGAGTCCCCTCCGCGTTGAGACAAGATTCCCGTTAAGGACAGTTGAGTTGAAGTGGTCCATGTTGGTAACAAACATTGAGAATGTCATGCGGTTGAACAGCTGCGGAAACACTGCATCTCTTCAAGCCAAGTGACTTTAATCAACGTCTTAGACGACGGATACAGACAACTCTTTATGGCATCACTTCCATAATGGTTGAAGGTATATCGAACGAATGGCGTATATTCGACCAATCAGCATGAGAGTTGTTCAAGCAAAAAGACATCTTGCATATCACAACTCCAACTCTGGGGGCTATACCCAGAATGGAAGAGTTTCCTCTTCCGGCTCTTGTACGGAGGATTCTTGGTATAGAGATACCTACGCCTACAACTGCACGGTTGTGCGGGGAGCTCAATGTAGCGTGTCGAACCACACAGCATTCCAGTATGGAGAGTTTATCGATGGGTTTTTGCGAAATGCTGCTGCCTGTTTGCTGTCTCCGGACCCTTGCTGCAGTTTCCGAGGGTGACCGGGGTTCGGCATGACACCCAACCGACTTGACCCCCGGCCGTTTCCTGCGGGCTGGGGGTTCTAGAGCTGTCGACACAACGTTGAGCTATTTACAGCCCCCAATACCAGAGGTGTGACGCAGTAAGAAGCTAATCGTTCCCGGTCATGAAGTATGTGGGATGCATGTCAGACATTTGGCGTGATGGTAATTCTCGTCTCTTGCTCCCGGAATGGCGCGAGCGTTCGACCATTCACTCGAGGGAACCCGTTCCGTCCGGCAGTGGCACTCTCGTGCTCCCCACACCGCGTGTTATCGTGAAATCTGGTTTTTTGACCGGTGCATATGACGTGAGTCGGCCCTATGAGCATGTAGGGCTCGAGCAAAAGTTCGTGTTACACAAGCGCATGCATCGTCTAGGATCACTCTGCGCCTCCGCCCGGTAGGTATGGCGATCCGCCGACTTGCCAACACCGGAGGGTCAGCTCAGCGGGAAGTGCCTCGGGCCCGGCAACCCGACCCAACACGGCCCCACCGCGGACATTGAGTTGACGAGTTGACGGCGGTGACGATGTAAGCGTAGCATTTCTGGTGGGTGCTAATAGAACACATCGCCTTTCATCAGAACCCGTGCAGTGCGGTGGAGATCTGCTGACTTGATTTTGGTTCCCTCGAAGGTGGTTCCAATGTCCACTTTCCCACTCGGATGCCCAATGCTGACAGAATGCTTCGAACGACTTCCCACTATCTGAGCAGCGAGAGTTCCCGGCAGCTGACTGGCGGCACCGAGACACAATGCAAGTGTCAGGGGAACAGCCTTATGGGCCTGACCCATGGACATTGCCAGGCAACGAATATCAACCTCGGGCGAGCCAGTGTCGGAGAAGAGGATGACAACTTTGGGAACACTTTCGATGTCAGGATCCAGGCCCATTGCAGAAGCCCCCGCGCGCCGGATTTCCTCCAAGAATGACTTGAGATGTGCGTCGGCTTCGATAAGTTGCGGCGTCAGTTCTTCAGCGGCAGGAATGTCCAAGTCCGAAGCTTTAACGAAGACGCCAGGATTGCTGACGTCTACCAAGGATGCCTCTACGGCTCTACCATTTGATAGCTGCAGCCAATCGCAAGCATTGCCAGTAGGGAGTGCCTTGCCCGTCTTGGCTCCGGCAGGGTCCAGAAAGCTCAACGTGATGGGCGAGTTCGTGTCAGGAACACCGTCCATGGCGTAGTCGCCGTCAGAGCAGTACTTGAGCGGGCTCCTATCAACTCTGAAGCGCGATAAAACAACCTTGGAGGTGTTGGTGTTGAAGATGCGAACAACGGCGAATTTCAATCCTTCGACTTCTTCGATGTGCGGATTAGGAATGAGTCCTTCATCCAGGCTCGTGGGGCCAACAGCGGACGACATGTTGCCGCAGTTTCCCGCCATATCAAGGCGTCCGTCCTTGATGCCGACCCGGACGAAGGTGTAGTCCACATCAACACCGGGTTGTGACGGCGGTGAGAGCACGATAATCTTGGAAGTCGAGGAGATGCCAGAGCCAATGCCGTTTAATTGGCGACCGTAAGGATCCGGAGACCCCATAGCGGCCGGGAGGACGGTGTGCCAATCGTTTTCCGGGGGTAGATGGCGTCGGTGGATGACCAGCCCATTCGACGTGCCGCCTCGAACGAAGATTGCGGGGAATGAGCCCGACGCATGCTGACGTGACGATGTCATGGCCTTGACGGGCACTGGTGATTTGACAAGGCCGGGTGGTCTGATAAGGGTTCTGATAATGCCGCACCGACTAAGCGACATGGTGAATCACGGAGTGAACGTCTGGTTGAAGATACCGTGCATGATACCGGGTGAGCTCTTTAGCGGGAAGGTAATACGAGTGGTTGGGAGATGAGTGTCGACGGCTAAATTGACGTGAAGTCGTGCCGGAATTCGGGAGGATATCATGGGTCTATTAATAGGGGCGACCGCTGTAGGGCAGTCGCTACACAGCACGAACTTGGCTAAAGCGCCAAGTCGGGAAGCTGCCAAGGGTCAAGCATTCTCCTCCCGAACCCGAGCCCGACTTTTCCTTCCCGTCTTCATGGTAGAAATATAGGTCACATCCCATTTCATTTTTCTTGTCGACCTTCAGTTTATTTGAGAACAGATGGATTGAAATTAGATAGCTACCTAGGCGATAGATCACCATGTCCGAGAGAAGGATCGCCGGCCGAATCGCACCCGAATCGGCACCGGTTGAAGCCACCGGATATGAGGCGTGTAAGACCGTCTGATCTCGACTTTCCAGGCCTGGAGATAAGCAGAAACATCCGATTGAAACAAGCTTAAGTGAATAAGGATTGAGACATATACTAGACGAGCTGCGAACCCCTCACTCATCCCACTCCCAACTCACTTCATTTCACTTATCGCGACAAGCCATAACATCTGACAATAATTTTCACATCATCACACAACAAAAATGAACCCATATGTCGAAGTAACACTCAGCTGGCTCCTCAAGAGCTCCCGAGGCCATGACGCAAAGGCATTCTGCAGAACCCCGGCCTTCGCCGCGCACAAAGAACAAACCATCACCGTGACCTCCCCGGACTGCGGCCCCTCGCCCGCCGCGCTCGCCCCGGCGTACATCAGCGAGGGCGGCGGCCGGATCCCCGCGCTCTCGTGGACGGCGCAGCCGGACATCGAGAGCAAGGTAAGGGAGTGGCTCATCGTGTCGGAGGACCCCGACGCGCCCTTGCCGACGCCCATTTGCCACGGGTGAGTTTGTGTATCCCGAGGAGAAGGTCGGAGTAGATGCTGATCGTTAATAGCGTCTACGGCGGTATCGCACCGGACCGTAGAGGGGTCAGCGCTGAGGATTTTGAGATTGAGGATGAGGCCAGGTCACTCCTCAAGGGCGGCTTCCACTGGGGTAAGGGACGCAGGGAGGGCGTGTATGTCGCGCCTAGGCCGTTAATGAATCACGGGCCGCATAGATGTAAGTTTTATCTCGAAGGTCGTCGCTTTTTTGTCGAATGCTAACTGGGCAGACTTCTTCGAAGTGGTGGCTTTGAGCGAGCAACTGGACAAGAAATTGTTGGAATCTCGAGCCACGAGGGAGCAGGTTGCAGAGGCTATCAACGGGAAGGTTTTAGGTTGGGGCATGTGGACTGGGAGCGCGGAGAGAAAGTGGAGTTGAGGAGGAGAATAGCACCATTCGGTCCTGGTTTGGGGGACTTATTGTGCCTTGAGCTTCTGCAATTCTCTCAGTGTTCACTCACACTCGAGGTTCCCTGCGGATCTTACTCAAGGAACACATATCGATAATACAACATTTCTGAACGGACTCGTTCTGGTATAATAAATTGTGACGAATAAAACCTCTTCAAAACGCGTCTCATTCACCTATCAAGTCGTCCCAATCATCACGAAATTATCTCAATTATGTTACCCAATCTGTCCATTTAGAACAAGAAACCAACACCAAGTAACCAACACCCTAACCCCTTTTCAAGACACAAAACCTGATAGAAACTCACCTGTACGCCGGCTCTGCTGCCAAACAAAACCCCAGAACATGAAAAGAAGGATGAAGAAAAGTACCCTACGAAAGCCCCAGAAAGTTGGGCTCCCCCGCCCCTCCCGCAGTCCAGTCAAAGTCGTCCATAAGCATCGACCAGTCGATATCCTGCAACAGGTCGCTCGTCGGCAACACCGCGCCGGCGTTCGTGTTATTCGCGTCCGTCCCCGCCGCTACCACCAGGTCAGCAACGCTCCCCCCGAACCCGGCCCTCTTACACTCACGCGTACCGCCTTCACCGCCAACGCCCGCCATCACCGGCGCCGCCGCCGCCGCACCCGCACCACCAATCCCCCCTCCGCCTCCCTGTCCCTGCCCCATCCTCGCCCGGTCAAGCTCCTTCTTCCACCTCCTCAACGTCCCGAACGCCAGCACGGCGCCCGTCCGGTGCGGATACCGCGAGATAGGCGCCTCCAGCGGCGCCATGATGTGCCGCAGACTCCAGTACGACTCCGTCATCCTCAGCACCCTCATCGCGAAGTCGCCCTCCTGGACGGAGCACCGCCGCAGCGCCTCCTGCGAGTTGCGGATCGAGACGTCGGCGTTGGCGAGCTCGAGGTCCGTGGCGTGGCCCGACTGGAGCACGTCGAAGATGACCGTCGTCGCGTCCAGGATCGTGCGGAAGACGTGCTGCGGCGCGTGGTGCAGGAAGCGGTGCGCGTCCTCGAGGCGCAGGCCCAGGTTGATGAGGGCCTGCGCCGTGCTGTAGGCGCGGTTGACGTTGTGCCGGAAGACGGACTTGTCGGCGGAGGAGAGCGGGATGAAGTAGTACGACTGCAGCTCGAACTGGACGGCTAGGATGGTGAAGAGGTCGAGGTCTGCGGGACGGTCAGTTCCTTGTTTTTTCTTCGCCAATGTCCGTGGGGTGATCTTCACCTGTGTTGTGCCGTGATTGCAGCTGTCGCAGCTTGTTCAGCTCGTCCTCCAATAGCTGTATGACCGAATCCGACACGCCCTCGCCCTCCTCGGCGACCGAGAACATGGTCCTGTTCAAACGGTTCGAGAACTTCTGCATCTCGTACAGTAACCCAAAGTACCCCAATGAATCAGGTAGAGACCGGCCCCCTGCAGTCCTGTTCACGGCCTCATTGAAGAACCCTGCGGGAGGTGGAAACCCATTACTCGACGCCACCCTACTCTCAAGTCAGCCAAACCAAAGCAACAAACCCTCAGGTGCCGTCATACCTCTGAGCCTGGATGTTATACCCCATCCAGGTGAAACAGGCCTCCTCGTCAGTGATATCCGTCTGGCGGTTCGGGCCGATGCAGAACTCGGGGTGGGTGCCGCGCCCCGTGTGCAGGCCCAGCAGCAGGGCGGCGTTCTGGGCGATGGCGACGTACGAGGACGAGGGGTCGTTGAGGAAACGGATGGTGGGGAGCGGCCAGGTGCAGAGGACCAGCAGGGCGTCGATGGTGGAGATGCTGATGGGCGGGTTCGAGACGGCGCTCCAGACCTCGCGGGGGAGGTTCTCGACCAGGAACTGGAACAGGCCCGGGTCCGTCTTGGCGTAGCGCCGCGACGAGACGGCGATGATGGTCCAGAAGAGGATCGGGCTCAGCTTGTACAGCTTGTCCGGGTCCTGGGACCGGACGATGGGGAAGTAGGGGTGGAAGTGTTCGAAGTAGCTGCGGACTTTGTCAGTAACCGGGAGCGTTTCTCGTGCCTGGATGAGGGACTCACTGATCGAAATAGAAATCGATGTCCTCGCTGGACAAAACCTTGGAGCCGAGCGCCCTCGGCTGCGCCGGATGCCTCGCCGGTCCGGTCGGGGTCGTATGTGAAGTCAAGGTCGGGGTGGGGACCTGCTCGGCCGGTCTCGAGTGAACGGGCGACAACGCCGGCAGACTCACCCTTCCCGCCGAGGGCGGCGGGCGTTCCGCGAAAGCGCTGGCCGGGTACGCGGTGCCAGGGCTCGGTAGCGGGAGTGCGGCGGGCGGGAGGACGCCGGCGGTGGAGACGGGACTTGGGTTGACGGCATTTTTGATGGTCTGGACCTCCTTTTCGAGCTGTTCGAGTTTACTGTGGACGTCACACGGCAACGCATCAGATTAACGGTTTCACCACGGGGGAATTCCAGGATGAGAGAAGTGAGAGACTGTAAGAAGAAAAGGAAAGGGGGTGGTTAAGGGCAACCTTCTTCTGGTTATGCGCTTGTGGGATTTGTCAATGACACATTGGATCCCGAGCTTGGCGCAACGCTGGCATGGTTTGTTGGGTGTCAGGCTCGCGTTGCATTTCACCTATTTGCCGGTGCGTTCACGGCGCCTCCAATTAGCGACTGAGTTACTTGTATTTTAAACATCGGAAGTATACACGGGACGTAAGACACGCGGTGGTATGTATGATAATGCTGTTCACCGTGGTACCTGGCCATGAGAACGCCAGGCCAATTGGAAGTGAAGCCGGCATGGTACAGGGACATGAGTGAGCCAAGGCGTGACAAGAGCCAGGTACTTTGGACCAGCACAGATGGTATCAAGGTAATAGGCCTGTACAAAAGGGAGGATGCAAAAAGAAAATGATAGGGATATATAAAAAGCCCACCTTGGAATCTCGACAGCTGGTGCAAGCCGTGTTACGCCGGATCCGGTTCGGCACGGGGGGACTCGGCGAGGTGTCCCTATGCGCCGACGCGGGGCTCTTGAGCGGCGGGTCCATGAGTTTGTTTGGTGTTTTGGTTTGCACTGAAGCAAGGTAGATGAAGTAGGGTGCGCCAGCGCGCGCGTGCGCCTGGCCGGGGCTGCCGGGGGAGTCGAGGCCCGATGAACCCTCTCTGTCTGTCAGTCCTCGGTCTCGAAATTGGAATCCTCGGAGATCGGAGAGCTTGCTCAAAAGGTCGTTCGCATTCCGTGGTATCCGGTTGGACCTGGGCGTCTTCGGTCTGCTCTGCGGTGAACTGACGATGAGAAAGTGTGGAGAGAGAGTGGAAAGTCGGTGCGGTTTCGGCAAAATGATGAGAAATGCAAAGGTGCCCACTCGCTGGGGGAAAAGAGGAGGCGGGAGGCGGAGGCGCAGGCGGCACGTCATTGGGGCGCTGTCTGGTGGTTGGAGAGCATCACGTGCGCTTACATCTCCCGGCCTCGAAGGATTCGGCGGTGATGAGGGACAAAGAGTTAAACCAAAACCGTCTGGGCTTAATCCATGAGGCAAATTCCGTTGTTTCGGGATTTTCGTGGTTTAGAAAATGTGGATAGTTCGTGATGAAATGTCTGGTGTTTTGATTCTTTGAGTGAGATGCGTCATGTCATGATACTACCTTTCTACAAATGCGCCACCAGCCTCCAGAAAGCAGCACTTTGCGCGTCTGCCGTCATCCCATCCTGCTTCCATTACGACCGATCGCCGTCGAACCCCCATATGCACCCGTTTCCGTTTCCTTCTCCCTCGTTCATTCCATCATGGGTATCATCCATAACCCCGAGAACCCAAGAGCCCAAAATGACTCGTTTGTGAGGTAAAGGAACCTAGTAACCGCATCTTCCGTCCAGTCCCAGCCCTTTTCTCTACTCTTTTGCCCCTGATCCCACCAAATCTGCCCCCGTCACCGTCGCCTCTTCCCCGCCCGGATTTGTCCATGTCATGTCGCTCAGGCTGCTGAGCATGCTCCACGGATCGATGCCGCCGACCGAGTCAAAGTCGATAAACGAGACCGGGTCGGCGCTCGGCGCGTATTGCAGACCCCTCGAATCCCACGTCGACGAGACGCCCGCCATATGCGCCTGGATGCTCGTGATGTCGATAATCTCGTTTACCTGGCCGTTTCCACCGTGACTGGTACCGGTGCCGGTGCCATTGACATTCCCGTTGTTTTGAGTGCCCTGGACCCCGTCGTCCGGGGTCGTGCTGCCCGGTCCGTATCCCGGCGGTGTGGTGTTACTACTCCCGATCGATTGTGACGGTGTGCTTTTATTCATGTAGATAAGAGATGGCGGGGACGGCGACGTCGAGTTTGTCCTGTGCGGCAAAGTGACATTCGGCAGCGACCCGGTCTTGGGCATCGCTCCTGAATTCGGTAGAAAGCCTACTGCGAAACCCCCGACACCGTCGTTGGCGGGCCCATTGCTCGATGGGGCTGATGCGTTCTTCATCGCGTTGTTCACAGGAAGTGAGCCATAAAATGGACCTCCCTTGGCCTGATTCGCCTCATTACTCGTTGACATAGATGTCCGCCTCCTCTTGTTAGAAACGGGCTCCTCTTGTGGAACGTCTGGTGGATACGGCGAGAAGTTTGGTTGAGAGATACCCGCGGATGCAGGACACCCCGATTGAGGACCAGCCATCGCACCGTGCCATCTTTGGTTCATCCTCGGGTAGTTCTCGTAGGCGGTGCCCTTGGGGTTGCCGAGCGGTAATCTTCCGGGTAGAGGGGGCTGGACTTCTGTATGCTTGGATATCGAGCTTCGAGCCAAGAGAGGAATGTTCGAACACGTCCAGCCGAAGGTGTTCTGGTAGTTGTTCAGACTGGGCACGTCGATGATGCCCGAGAGTCCGTTTCGCTGAATGTCCATAAAGACTTGCTGAAGGAACGCCTGCGTGATCATGTGCTTGCGTCCGATTCCCTCCATCGCCTGGACAATGAATCTAAGGTTCTGCAAGTCCGCCGTGGACATGCCATTTTGAGGGTCGATTTTGGCGTTGTAGACATACACAGATGCCGCCGAGTACAATGATAAAGCTACCAATGGACTTTTCTGTTGATTTGTCAGACGTGAACTCACATACACCGAGGGTCCCAACTTACGTATCCAGAGTTCGTGTGGCTCGTCAGCTTGACGATGTTAACGACTTCTTCCGCCGCAGTCCTTAATCGAAGCTGCGAGGCCGCCTTCAACTGATCCGGCAGTTTATTTTCTTCGATTCTGTCGATCGCCGCGTGGTGCAGACATATGATAGACGCGTGCAGGTTCAGGTTGGTGTGGACAGCCGTCGGATCCTTCATGCTCTGAGGCAGACGGAAGCGCTCAGGCAAGAACATGAAAGCACTGGACAGGAGGTTGTCAATATCCCTGTGCCTCTTCCAGAATTCGCCGTATTCCACGTCCCCCGGTCGGTCGTTTGGCCTTTCCCAGTGGACATGCTTAAGGAGCATGTTAAATACGTAGCAGATTATGACGGCTCCTGCAAATGTCGAGTAGGTCGCCCCCTTGAAGGCCTCCTGGATAGTAGATGTCTTCTCTTCGTGGCCTGAGTTGTATGCTTCCTCGGAAGATGGAAGATGAGTAGTGATCTGTCGAGTTAGTCAGGCCATTGGACAGGAAAATTGCCTCACTTACCTCATTAGGGTCAATCAAGGTTGGCCATCCTGTCGAGATACTAGCATGGCAGTCGATGCAGTACGCTCCCCAGAAGGTCCTACGCCTTTCTTCCAAGTCAACCCATGACGTGGGTGGTGCAAGCGTCGGTGCCATCTCTTTCCCATCCCCATCGATGCGATGCAGACCCATCATCTCTACAAGACGTACGCACTTGGCTGAGCTCATCGCAGCCCTTGTAAAGAACATGCATCTCGCCTCGTCCGTGGCAATCAGCGCCCATGCTTGTGCATGCTGAACCGTCAAAAAGTGCTCGCCGTAGCCCTGCTCCCGGTCAGCATCAACGTATCAAGGCGTCTGTTAAAACTCACCCTCATCTCATCCGCGTCGGCGTACTGCCGAGCCCGCTTGTAGAAAATCTCATGGTACTGAGAATACTTCTCATGCCCGTTCGATGCCATGGCCCAGACGGCGTATTGCAGGCACATTGGCGGCCGCTTATGAGGTGCTGAGTAGAAAGACTGGAGGAAGCGGCCCGGATGAATGACGGGAATGAAATGCGCCTGTCGTTCGAAAAAGCATTTGTTACTACTGAGGTTAGATGGGCTATTGTGGGAAAAGATAGGCGATGCATACAGATCTTCCATCATCTCGAAGGGAGGTAAAGTTTCCGATAATCCGAGTCCGATCAGCTCCCCAGATGATGCGCCAAAGGTTGGCCCCTGAGGTTGAGAGTGAAAGTCGTTTGTAAACCCTGACGATGCGGACGGCGGGTCTTGTGCTTCACCATTCTGCATCGCCATGAACGTGTCCATGTTGATGGTGAAGTCTTCCATACCGACACTGATTCGGCTGTCTAGATCTCCAGCCGTGGGTGCACCGCCGTTGGCCTTGCCGGCCTCCTTGAGGAGATCTTCCACTTGAGCTACACAACGTGAGCAAAGTTCCGCTGTGAGAGTCGACGGGGCTAATACCTAGTCTCTCTTCAAGCTCCTTCACATTCCTCCGCTTAAACGCAGGTTTCCTTCGCGATTCGGGATACACACATTCTCCCTTGACTTTCAAGCAACGAGCACATGCAGGTTTGACTCGATCACACTTGAGCTTCCGGGACCGGCAGGTGACGCAAGCCAGCGGCTCCGAGCCTTGACCGGCAGCACCGGCCTGCTCCGCTTGGTCGCCGGCGTCGGGGTCCATGATGAGCGGCGAGTTTTTGCACCGGAGCCTGCGGACACGCAGGCGATATCAGTGCCGAAGTGGGCCTCAGGTCCGAGCCTAATTACGTCCAGGGTGACGTTAGGTGTGAGACTCGATGCAGCAGAGTGAGACGATAAGAGACTGCCATACGAATACGTAATTCAAGAGCATCGGGTCACTCGTGGTGCAAAAACAAAGTCACTCGGGAGGGCTCGCTGTGGCTACCTCTTCACTATCAAGTCTGCACTAGGCAGATGCGTCCCCATTCGTGGCCATCTCGATCGAGAAGCGCGTCGCCCCGTTCTTGGAAATATCGGAGGGTTTTTGCGCCGATGTCCGATGCCGAGATGGATCTAGTACTTCACTTTCATTGGTCTTCTTCAGCTTCTATGACGAACCCATGATGAGTCACCAAATTCAGCGTTGGAGACGACCCCATGAGTAGTCAGCACTGAACAATTCCGCTCCGACCCACGTGAAGTGCGCTTCTCTACGGAAGTCTGCAGACGCCAAGTTCTTCAGTGATCCTCGCTCCCGTTGAAGATCTTCGCCCGCCGCGTCCCGTCCGTTCTTCCGCTCTGCCGCCGGGCTTTTGTGGGTCTTTGTCGACTCCATGGATGCCACATGGCCTGGCCGAGACACGGCGAGCTCCCAGTCGCATCAGGTCGCAATCGGCTCCGTCTCGGTCGAGCTGTTGAATGGCAGTTGTGCCAGGTGCGCATCGGGCGACTCCTCCGACGATCGGGTACACGAGACCGACAACGCCGCGATTTCGTGGCACCACCGGTTCTCGGATATAACGGGCGACTGATCAACGACAGCTCTTCGCAGCCTCACCTAGATCTGTCACAAACAGGCCCAAAGCTAATCGTGAACCGTCAAACCGGCTTGTCAATGTCCCTAGGGGCTAACGTATCAGGTGTTTGTGACACCCAAAAAAACAACGTCTGCTTTGTCGATGACGAGGTTTTGAGTTTGCGTCGTTGAAAGCCTAAAAGTCCCCGTGGCGCCTCCAGGAACCGGCGCCACTGGCTTGGGCAGAGTTGCTGCGCATGCTGCACTCCCGGGCTGCCGACTGCCATCCCAAATATGTCGTCGCAGCAACTTGGGAGTCGGTCAGCTTCATCGACTCCCATGTGTCCCTGGCGGTCAGATGGACTGTTCTCACTATGGTGGGATGATCAATTGGCGATCTCTTTGCTTCTCATTGGTCAAGTCTGCCGGTGAGAAACTCTGTTCTTCGAGAAATGACGGGAACCACGGCGGCCACGTCGTTGAAGGACGCAAGAGAACGGCAGCCACTGACGACGGCGTCTACCAGTAGCCGTCGTGATCGGCTTTTTTGCACGCACAAGGACGTTCAGCCTAGTGCCACACGCGGATAAGCAACGGGGACCGGAGATTAACTGTCAAGCCAGTATCAGTGGTTGCCACTAGCTGCGAGTCCCTTTCGGACTAACACATGAACAAGCGCAGTGAATTGATGTTCAAGAAACGCCGCATTCCACTTTTTCGCCCGCGCTTGTCATCATTTCCCTTGGTCTGCTTTAGCTTGGGCCCTTCACGCCCTATTGAGCACAAAAATATGCGAGCAAGACATTCGGAAATACTGACAGCATGCCAGCCATCGCTGGTTGACAGCTCCAGACGACATCCCGGCTTAGCGTCAGCAACCAAGCGCCAGCGTTAGACTCCGGTCCAAGGGTGCTGATCGACGGGGTCTGGCCCAGGTGAGAGATCAGAATTGGAGGGCGGGGAGACGTTGACTGCACAAAGGCGGCCATGAGGGTGATGGCAGTTCGTCAGCCTCTCTCCGCACAAGGCGGAAAGCCTGATCGTCACTGCCTGATAAACTGATCCTCAACCCACCGGATCGTATGTCAAGCCCAGAACTCTGGAGGGCGTTGAGATGGCATTGATGGGGGATATGTCGGAAACCGGGCCAAGCAGCCTCAAGATAAGCCTGGCGGGAGTCGACGCTAGCTAAGCTTGACAAGCGCGACTGGACCCGGGGATTTCGGTCTTTGGCGTTCGACGGCTGATCAAGATCGACGTTGACCCTGGCTGGTGATCATTCTGCCTCGTGGTCAACAGGCAAACCCGGCTCTGGCAATTCTCGAAGATTGGCAGGGTAAGTAGAGCTGTGCAACCACAGCAGCGTCAAGGTGTCCAGCCAACAGCACCCAAGGTTGAATGAAAGGGGTCGTCGAGGGCTCTGTTAGTCGGTTTCACCAAAAATATGCTGCTCAGCTCTGCTGCCAGTGGTCCTCCAGACTTGTCATCTGAGCGCCCTCGTGTTTTGCACATCCTACCCAGCCACTATTCGGACCAAATTCGACGCACTGAAGGCAAAAGGGCAACAGCCACCCGGCTAGGGTATAGACAAGCAACGGGGATCGCCGTCGGCCGTTGCGATTCAGGGCAGCCCTCTCATCTGGACTAACCTTAAGGAAGAGAGATGAGCCGGCGCAGCTTATGCTGGGGAAGCATGACGAGCAAAACTGGCGCGAAGTGGAACCGGCGGTTGACGGGTGGGAATCGGGAGGAACGTCAGGACAAACTATGAATTGAAAGGGATGGACAACTCACAACTTTGATCTGTTTGTCACGCACTTGGCCTCATCTAAGGACGGTATGCCAGGATGCGCCAGCAAGCCGGTGCCAAGCTGTCCCAAAGAGGCGACTTGTTCGCCAAGTTGGAGTGATGAGTTAGGTTGGCTGCAGGTCATGACAGCAGACAAGGTAGCGGCCAAGTTGTGATCATCGTGGCTGTCACGATGTACTCTTGGCCAATGCCTCGAGTCAAGGTCTGAGAGGCGACTCCATTGCCATGACAAAACATCCAACGACGGCACCGATAGTTCCAAGATGCCTTAGTGTTGAGCAATGCCTCGGCCTTGGGTGGGCGCATCACATACAGGTCAGCCAGCTGGCAGACGGGGCGTCCTATGTCTGACTGATAGTTAGCGTTGCATTACCTCGGATTGGGCGGGTGGCTGACGGCGTTGTGCGTTGCGTAAGTTGGTTAGGAGGTCCTGAGGCCTTCAGCCTTCAGCCTTCAGCAACCCAGTGACTGGAGCATCCTGCGGCCACGGCTGCACCTAGTCTCGGATACACGCTGTGCCTTGAGCTAGAAACGCATCAAAATGACACCCATGCCGCACACCGAGATCTGACTGATGGCATGCTCTCGCACGCATGACAAGTTGGCCGTAAGCTCGTAGTGTTTGGCTGACAGGATGAAGTTTGCGGGTGCGGGAAAAAGCTCCGGCGAATGCACGTCGAGGTGGTGTTTGAGCGAGGTAGTTGCTTGAAGCAATTATGTGGTAGGTAGTGTGTGTAGAAAGTAGCTCCAGCTACAAGTTGGGAAGGAGGTCAATTGGTCGGACCGCGACTGCCTCGATTAGACCAAGGCAAGCAGGGAAAGGGCGATCATCCGGCCAGCCAAATGATAGGCGGAAGTCGCATCCCGGGGACTCCATGTTCAAGACCCGCTGTATTTCCTTGGTGAGCCCCAGTTTACCTGGCCTTGTTTTGTCTACTATTCGCCAATCAAGAAAAGATACATCTGTTTCCTTGCAAATTGGGGAGGACCCAAGTGCCTTTTTTGCCAGACTTTGAAGGAACATGAAGGTCGAGTGGATACCTCACGATGCGGGTGAAAGGGTACGTACTCTTGGGCTCTGGCTCGCAAACTGGACGTTCCTTCATCCACTCAGGCCCATATCTCGACAACATTATCATCGCAGAGTTACATTTTACGGTCTTCGTTCCAAGCCTGTCGTTAACGGCCGTTCGTTGTGCTAGGCTGACCCCAGTTGGCCAGCAACTTATTAGTGACAAACCTATCTTCCTTTTAGCCGCTATAAGATAGGTCTCTTAATTATATAGAGTATAGTCTTTATAGGGTTAAATAATTAGATTTTTAATATAAGCTTAAATTTATTATACTACCTAACTAATAATAAACCCCTATGAATCTAACTAAGCCTTAATCTATTTAGCTTTAGCTAATAGGGCTTCTTATTAAGTTTTAACTCTATTTTTAATTTAATTTATTAATATTATATTATATAAATCTCTTATAGTAATATAGTATTAAATATCTATAATTATATATATTATTACTTTATATTATTAAAATAAAGCTTTATTTTTAATATATTTATAGATAATCTTAAAGGTTAACTAAAGATAATTTAGCTTTTTATTTTCTAAAGTTTAAGATATTATTATTATTAAATAGCTAATAACTTTAAGGTTTAATATATAATAGTATTAATATTATAGCTAAATATTAAAGGTAATAATAATAATATTAATTAAGAAGCTATAGATAAAAGAGAGAAGAATTATAAGATCTATCTATATATAAGCTAGCTTATATATTTAAAGTAATATTAAGGGGTAAAATATAATATTTTAATAATATAAAATAGTATTAAGAGATAAAATATATATAAGGGAAATATAATAGTAATAAGTTAACTCCTATTTTAGTTATTTTATTTAGTATATTAGCTTTACCTTAAGGGTATACTATAAAAACTTTAATTTATTTATCTATTAAGTTATTAGTTTAAATTTACCTTATTACTATTATTATATAGTATTATATTGCTTAGGGTATAACTAATTAGAATAAATAATAGGTTTTATAATAAGTATCTAAATAGTAAAGTAAGATAGGTCTTATAGGAGCTACCTCATTATAGTACCAATCCGACACGGCACGGAACCGAGAATCAAGGGACAGGAAAAATACAAATCACCAAACGGCTGCCGAGTACATGATACTGATACAGGCCTTCGCGGTTGCACCTTTTCCAGGGAACAGGATGAAAATCCCAGCCCAAGGGCACGAAACGTAAGGGTCTTTGCTGTGCTGCAGAACGGGTTCAAAACGCGGCCGTGGCTGGTTCACCAAGCCTTCCAGGATCTGTTTTAACTCCATGGAACAGTGCTTGAACCCGTCAAAGGAACAATGTGAGACAAAGGCG